TACAACGATGATCAATCATTATTAACATTGTGGTTCGCTATGAACTATTGCTTTTTCTATTTGTATTTTTGTTAGTTTTATAACCTACTTATATTTTATTCTTGCCTCGTTTATTAAATAAAAGGTTTAATTACCCAAGTTTGAGGTGTCAAAACAAAAATCAGAAAAAAATAATTGTTGAGCTGAAAGCGGGGGCGGAATTTCAGTCGGTCCCATCCCGAATAACATGATAGACAAGATAATAGTGGTTTTGAAGCTACAAAGTCGTTTTTATGCTATTACGGTCAACATGAAGGACCATGTGATCGGTCGAGATGCCTCGTTGGCACCTGTGATCCAATTACGAGGCAATGCTGCAGTGGTAAGAGTATCGAACGATTCAATATATTTCATCAAAAATAAAAATTGAAGTACGGGGTGGATGGTATTGTTTCGATCGAATAACTCCACTACTGAAGGAGCCGAAATGCGTGAATGTTCGACCGCATGATCCGTTTTCGGGAAAATGTCGACAGAAAGCCGGAATTTGCCTATTTGGGCATTGTTGTCCTCCAAGTCAACATCCCTTCTATTATTTGAAATGTGCATCTCAGCGAATTTAGGTCTGAGCCATGAAATCGTCAAATCGCCAAATTCGGTCTCGTATCGCACCCGGACGAAGTGTTCGTTGACCGAAAAATTAGTAACCGACTATGCCATGGCATTTTGTGATCCTAAAACGAAAACGGTTGTTTCGGCGGGTTTATTACATAATATTAAAAACGAGCCGATTGAATTCACCGGCGATTTGTGCAGAACGAATGCGTAATCGAAAAGCGGCGCGCAAATGAATCGATCGTTTCGGATTTGCAGGGATTGCCAAGATCTTTATGTGTGCTATGTTCGAAGAGACAGCTCGACCTGTGGAGAATATCCGTTTGTACGCTTATTTCTCATTCAATTCATTTCGTCAATGTTGAATATTAAAGGAGATCAGCCGAGGCAATGATTTCACAATGGTGCTTATTCTCGTTTCAATTTTTGTAATCTTCATTTTAATTCGATTACTTGTGCCTTTCATCACACTATGTCATAAATCGGATAAAAATAAAAAATAGATTTGCATGCTTTATTTTAAGAAGAATAATCATCAAATTATTCTGGTCGTCCGGCTCCGAATCCTGGGTGGTGTCTGCAGCGGTGTCTTGGTCTTCCGTGAGCCGAGACCGATGCAATGGCGACGACGACGAAAGCGAGAATCGAATAAACGTTCATAGTTGGTTGAGGAGCTGCTTCAGCTGATGCCCACTCTTTCCGTCTTCAGGTCTTTTATAAGTTCAGCCCGTTTATGGAATCTCGTAAAATATCGCTTCCTGGTATTGCGCCCTTCCGCATTGTTTTACTGGTTGTCGTAAAATCGAGTTGTGAATTTCTTATAAACGCCGAAGTGACAAGCTAAACGACATCAGCTGAAGCTGCTCCTCGGTCAACTATGAACGTTTATTCGATTCTCGCTTTCGTCGTCGTCGCCATTGCATCGGTCTCGGCTCACGGAAGACCAAGACACCGCTGCAGACACCACCCAGGATTCGGAGCCGGACGACCAGAATAATTTATTTTTTCCAATTTAATAAAGCATTAAAAAAAGAAAACTTTTGCAAAAGTAATTCGGAAGTCGCAAAATAATGCAGCATTGCAGTCAAATTAGCGAAATCAGCGTAGATTTAAATTAATCTATTTATGACTATTTAAATGTTAAATGCGCGAACACTATAATGCAATGTACGCAATCGTCTTGCGTACTTCTCGCTGCCTCGAGACGCATAGGCATCCAGCCAATAATTTTTTAAATTTCGTCAAGTCGTTTGATTCCGTCAATATACATAATTTTAAAAGAAGTGATACATGGGTACCGGGAACTCATAATTTCCTCCGGAAACCCTTTGCTGAAATGCGATTGATTTTTCAAACAAAATTTTTTCAAATAAATCGCGTGCAATTCAAACAACGCAAAAAGGCTTGTCAAAACTTAACAAAAGAGGGAATTTGGGGTGCCATTGGCGATTTTGTTGGTGAATTTTCTCATATAATCAGTGAATACAGGGTGTCATTTAAGTTCCCGCACAAAAACTTGACGCCATGAAGAGCTTAACTGTCGCACTTTTCGTACAATTTATTTTTGTTAAATAAGGTATATTTTATTTACTTTCCAAGTTTCACCTCATTCGGATGTGTTTCCGAGAAATGGCGAAGGCAAACATCCATTGCGCTTCCATTATCGAACTTCAAAATGTGAGCCCGAGAGACATCATTCAACGCCTCGGTGTGCCTCGTAGAACGGTTTACAGCATGAGAAAGGTGGCGTCACACATGGCAATGAGCATCTTCGCTATGGAACAAATCGTCAAAGCGAAGCTTGGACTGACCCCATATCGTGTCCAAAAAGCAGCAATTCTATCGGCCGTCAACAAGCAAAGACGCTTCGAAAAAGCAAAACGACTTCTTAGTCTGGAGTTTCGCGGTCTGGAGAACATCGCTGTCTTCTCCGACGAGAAGCTGTTCAGTGTGGAGGCGGCATTCAACTCACAAAACCATTGAGTACTTGCCCAGACATCTCAGTAAGCTTCTGAGAAAGACAGACAATTCATCGAGCCTCACATTCTGCTAGTGTGATGGTTTTCGGTGCCATCTCCTCAACCTGGAACTGCTCCCTGGTTTTTGTGGATCAGGGGGTGAAAGTAAACAAAGAAGTCTACGTTCGGGACATTTTGGAGAAGCATGTGATGCCCTTGGCCCAAACGCATTTCGGTGGGCAGAAATGAGTCTTTCAACAGTACGGAGCACTCGCCCACACTGCCAAAACTACTCAGAAGTGGTGCCAGACCCATTTTCCCGACTTCATCGAGTTATCCGAATGGCCTGATTGCTCCCCAGACCTGAACCCGCTTGACTTTTCCGTGATGGGAGTCTTGCAGGAGAAGGGCAACACAAAACCCCATTAATGTGTAGAGGCTCTGAAGAAGACATTACTGGCGGAATGGGACAATCTTTCCATCGAATACCTGCGTACCACAGTCGCATTCTACCCCAAGCGTCTCCGTGAAGTCATAGCTGCGAAAGGAGGCCGAATCGAAGAGTTAATCGATAAATATTTGTTATACTATAGATAAAAATACTTCGAGTCTCGTTTGATTTGAATCAAACGACTTGACGAAATTTAAAAAAAAATTTTTTTAATGCTTTATTAAATTGGAAAAAATAAATTATTCTGGTCGTCCGGCTCCGAATCCTGGGTGGTGTCTGCAGCGGTGTCTTGGTCTTCCGTGAGCCGAGACCGATGCAATGGCGACGACGACGAAAGCGAGAATCGAATAAACGTTCATAGTTGACCGAGGAGCAGCTTCAGCTGATGTCGTTTAGCTTGTCACTTCGGCGTTTATAAGAAATTCACAACTCGATTTTACGACAACCAGTAAAACAATGCGGAAGGGCGCAATACCAGGAAGCGATATTTTACGAGATTCCATAAACGGGCTGAACTTATAAAAGACCTGAAGACGGAAAGAGTGGGCATCAGCTGAAGCAGCTCCTCAACCAACTATGAACGTTTATTCGATTCTCGCTTTCGTCGTCGTCGCCATTGCATCGGTCTCGGCTCACGGAAGACCAAGACACCGCTGCAGACACCACCCAGGATTCGGAGCCGGACGACCAGAATAATTTGATGATTATTCTTCTTAAAATAAAGCATGCAAATCTATTTTTTATTTTTATCCGATTTATGACATAGTGTGATGAAAGGCACAAGTAATCGAATTAAAATGAAGATTACAAAAATTGAAACGAGAATAAGCACCATTGTGAAATCATTGCCTCGGCTGATCTCCTTTAATATTCAACATTGACGAAATGAATTGAATGAGAAATAAGCGTACAAACGGATATTCTCCACAGGTCGAGCTGTCTCTTCGAACATAGCACACATAAAGATCTTGGCAATCCCTGCAAATCCGAAACGATCGATTCATTTGCGCGCCGCTTTTCGATTACGCATTCGTTCTGCACAAATCGCCGGTGAATTCAATCGGCTCGTTTTTAATATTATGTAATAAACCCGCCGAAACAACCGTTTTCGTTTTAGGATCACAAAATGCCATGGCATAGTCGGTTACTAATTTTTCGGTCAACGAACACTTCGTCCGGGTGCGATACGAGACCGAATTTGGCGATTTGACGATTTCATGGCTCAGACCTAAATTCGCTGAGATGCACATTTCAAATAATAGAAGGGATGTTGACTTGGAGGACAACAATGCCCAAATAGGCAAATTCCGGCTTTCTGTCGACATTTTCCCGAAAACGGATCATGCGGTCGAACATTCACGCATTTCGGCTCCTTCAGTAGTGGAGTTATTCGATCGAAACAATACCATCCACCCCGTACTTCAATTTTTATTTTTGATGAAATATATTGAATCGTTCGATACTCTTACCACTGCAGCATTGCCTCGTAATTGGATCACAGGTGCCAACGAGGCATCTCGACCGATCACATGGTCCTTCATGTTGACCGTAATAGCATAAAAACGACTTTGTAGCTTCAAAACCACTATTATCTTGTCTATCATGTTATTCGGGATGGGACCGACTGAAATTCCGCCCCCGCTTTCAGCTCAACAATTATTTTTTTCTGATTTTTCAAGTTTTCGAATTTGGAGTGTTGTTGCGGGTCGGCGGAGAATTTGACAAGTATTCAAAAAAAAACTTTTTTTGTTCCAACTAACCATCATTCTGAATATATAAAATGCTCTGAAATATCAAGATATTCGAATATTTGATTTTTTGAAAAACTAACTAAGCACACGATAACAACGAGATAATTGAATGACATTTTCGAAAAATGTCCAATCTATCGTCTATCTCACGTTCCTCTTTTTGCAGTTTAGTGTTGCGACGATTTTAAATCGGATAAAAATAAAAATTGTTGTTTTGCATGCTTTATTTTAGAGAGTATAATCAAATTATTCTGGTCTTCCAGCTCCAGTTCCTGGTCGTCTTCTGCAGTATGGTCTTCCGTGGGCCGAGACCGTTGCAATAGCGATGGCGACGAAGATAAGGACCGAATAAACGTTCATAGTTGGTTGATGAGCTGCTTGAACTGATGGTTTTCGATGTCTCGAATTTTGCTTCTATAAAGATTTTAAAGCATTTTATTGCTGCTCGTAAAACGTTGCTTCCTCATGTTTAATGGATAAATATGGTTTATTTCCGTAATAATAGTTTTTTTCATTAAAATGACGCCATCATAGAAATAATTTTGGTCTGACAGGCTCATGGAAGAAAAAGAAGCAAGAATGATAAAGTGGAGACTGGAAACTCCAAAAACCTCGACTGCGGCCAGGTTTTCGAAGTACCATAGTTTTAATTAAACTGCTGCAAGAATCATGCCATTTTATCCGATGCGCCTTTAATCACAATGATTTCATTTTTTTAACCCATGTTTTCGAGGATTTTTTCTATTTTTCTTAATATATTTTTAAAGGGGTTGGGAGCTAAACTTTTTAGGTTTTTTTCGATCACAATGTAAACAACATGTGTATTCGGCAAATAAAATGCATTGTCTGAAATCATTTAAATTCGGAACCCGAATTGCTACTGTTTCAATCGACATTTGAATGACCGCTTAGTCCACGTGCATCGGAATTGTGCAAGCAATTTATGCTCTTTTACGATGGTATTGTCGACAACAGAAATTTCTTGATACTCAATCATTAAAAAAATGATTTTAAAAAGTGAAAATTGAAAAGGAATAACACGAAATCATTGTTTTTTTTTCAGAAAATTTTTCGAAATTCTCGAATATTTTTTGTAATGAGTTCAAGGTGCTCGTTTTTTTAGACGGTAAATAATAATAATAATATTATTTTGCGTGATTTATCCAAAACGTGTCGAAATAATATTTATTTCAGATTTAAACCGGTTAGGAATGGTTTCGAAATATTGCTATATTAATGCAGCTCTCAAAGATTTTCAGAAATTGCCATTGACGTTTGTTTGATTTTTCAGCCGAAGAAATTCGCTCAAAAATTCAGAGTTGAAGAAGGGCCAGGTTTAGAACTTATTCTGACAGCATCGTTCGCATTTAGTTCGTTCATCTTGTTTCTCTCAATCGCCACCTACAGGATCGGGCTCAAAATCTACCAAACAGTTTTCAAGACGGATGAGCAACGCGATCAAGTAAAAATGATGTGACACATTCCCAATTTATACGCAAGCCGTAAAACATTCTTTTTCAATGTTTCATCAATTGCAATTAATAAATAAACAAGTAAAAAGCAACAAGTTAAGCAAGAGATAGAATGAACCAGAATAACGAAAGGAATTTAGGCTAAAATAAACTAAACAGGGATACGGTACCAGGGAAGAAAGAGAAAAGAACCGGTGAAAAAAGAACAAAAAAAAAACACTATATTATTATAATACGAGTTTGGCAGGCAGATGTTTTACATAATATCGAGAACCTTCTTGAGCTGCACAATTAATTGCCAATCGGCCTTGCTCAAATCATCGCGGAAGTATGTTTTGCAAACATCGATTGATTCACGGGAAATCTTAATTGAAATAATATACTATAGTAGGAATATTTTGTAAGTTACCTTGCTGACAAGTGTATCCTCGTGGGTGAAATGCCGTCCATATAATCTCGGAGCTTCACCAGTGGTGTTTTCAATTTTTATGCAAACCTTTAAATACAATATTCAACTCTATAATTTATCTTAATGGCCAACCTCATCGCCTTGTTTAGCCAACACAACTTCCTCTCCGTTTCTTTCGATGGACGAAACAGTACCAAGAAGAATTCCCTGAAACATTCAAACATTCATTTGTCATAATTATTTCTTGTTCACACCTCTTTGCTCGGCACACAAATCGGCGTTCCTCGCTTCACTTGCCCAGCTTCAACACTTACACCACAGACAATCGGATTTCTCGCATTGTAGACGTGGTTGGGAAGAATTCGGAGTTTGCATGGGAAAATGGCCAAGTGCTCATTCTCGCGCCGGGCCTTTTCAGCCAATTCTTCTCTGCAATTTAATAATGAGTATGACAAAAATTGGAGATTGAAACATAACCCCCTTTAAATACACACCTGTACTTTAAGAAGCTATCTTGCAAATGATAAATAATATCGGCCTGGAAGATTTTAACGCCTTCATTGTCGGCGAATATTTGCGCATCTCTTTCGACTTTGACATCAAATGCAAGAATACATGCGTATCTAAAAATATCGATTACGAAAATACCACGAAAAGCATTTCATTAATTACTCTGCTTTGTGCTCCTTCATTGCTGATGCTTTCTGCACGTCTCTTTTATGAACGGGACCAATATTTACATTCGAATATGGAATCTTCTGGGATTTCAAAAAATCAAGGAGAGCTTCCAATGATCCAAGAGTGGATGCCATCACGTAAACTCCGATTGGTTTCTTCTTAATGTCATGAAGTGCATTCTTTAACTGTTCATCGGCTTCCGCTCTAAAACATTATCTCATTATTTTCAAGGCGATATCGAAACGAAATACCTCAAATAATCAATCTCATCTTCACGATCAGTGATGAACATCGGAAGACCAGCAAGTGCCTTTTCCAAGTTTTTAGCCAACACCTTTACACCACGAGCACCACGAATTTCTTTGTAATGCTTATATTCGTTCTGTAATTTAATTTGTTCTATTTTGAAATCGACAAGAAATGTACCTTGACACGCATTTCTCTCAACGGTTGTGGCATAAGGAGTTCTCTGATTTGAGTCACGATCGCTCCATCGGCTCCGGTTAGCACAATGACATCGCCAGTGCGCATTCTACCGTTCACCAGGATAACATCGATTGTCGTTCCGAGTCCAGGAATTGCTTTCACTTCCATAACGGTAGCATCAAGTTCTTCACAATAAGCGAGCTTTTCGGCGTATTTGGTTTGTGTTTGATTGACGATAAAGGCCATCAAGTTTCCTTAATTAGGAAAGAATATTGAAATCAGTTGTGAACTTCCACAGAGGGTCAATCTAAAAAAAAGCCTAGTTTCGAAAAGAACACTCACCAACACCGTCTCCAAGAGCAGCCGACGTCGGAACCATACACACGAAATCGTCGTCCTTCTGTTTATTCGACAACGTGACATTAATTCCCTGTTCGGCGAATTCAACGACAATCTTTTCATATCTTTCCTTGAATTCTTGTTGAACTCGTTGCTTCTGCGATTTCAACAATTCGTATACGTCTTTGCGCGGATTCGACTCATATTCGTACAGCCGATCAATCTGAATTTAAATTGAAAGGTTTTTCGAAATATTGCAAATTACAAATAATTACCTTATTCAAAGCAACAACGAATGGCGTGTTTCCCTTAATCAGAAGTTTGAGAGATTCAATGGTTTGCGGCTCAAGACCGTGCATGATATCGACGACAAGAATTGCAAAATCGCATAGTGACGAACCACGAGTACGGAGATTTGAGAAACTTTCGTGACCTGACAAACAAAAATTAATAGTGTTGAATTGATGTTTAAAATTACCAGGGGTATCAATGATGAGGAATCCAGGAATTTTCATCAAGTCAGCTTTGAAGTCTTTAACTTGCCGACAACGTTCTTTGATGGCATCAGCAGGCACTTCAGTCGCTCCAATTTGTTGTGTAATACCTCCAGCTTCTCCACCTTGAACATTTGTGCGACGGATCTGAAAACCGTCCGTGATTAATTATCACTCAGTCACGATATTTCTTTTTTCATACCGTATCCAACATTTTTGTCTTTCCAGTATCGACGTGACCAAGAACACAAATCACAGGGGAGCGCAAATCGTCAGTTGTCCGCTTCGCTTGGGCGGCTTCCCTTCTCTTCTAAAATTCTAAATTTATCAAAAATAAATCCTTGAAAATTCGTACCGCTATCCGAGATCTAATCCGTTCCATAAGTTGTTCTTTAGTTTCTTTTCCTTTTCCGACTTCAGCGTCTGAATCCGATGAGTCTTCTTCTTCTTCTTCTTCAGAATCACTATCTGACTCCTCCGATGATTCTTCTTCTTCATCCTCATCTGATTCTTCATCATCATCAGATTCTTCCTCAGCCTTGACTTGCTTCACATCTTCCTTCGCAGGTTTTGTTGGCTCTTCCACTACCTCATCAGCCATTTCCCAATCATCAAGTGGCTCCTCCTTATCAGGTGTTGATTCGGGCGTCTTCTCTTCTTCCACCGAAGTCTCGACCTTTTCAACAGGAGGTGCGTCTTGTTTCGTTTCCGGAGCAATCAATCCCTGTTTCTCAAGCCGACGTCTCTTCTTTTCTTCCAACTTTTGACGAGTCCTACAACACTATTGCTCATTTTCAAAAAAAATTTAGATTTACTTTTCATCCATATAAACAAACGATCCTTTTTTCTGTGTATCATCAGCAGGAGCTTCTCGAACCGTTGGAATGTTCACTGAAAAAGAAGCACATTTTGGATTTGATTCAAAGAATTTCTAATACATCCAGCAGCCTTCAACTTTTCCAAAGCGATCTGTTGTTCTTTTCGTTGCTTCGCCGTCATATAAGTTCCAGCAGCCTTCTGGCGTTCGATCTCCAAACGTTTAGCTTCTTTCGCAGCTTCTTTCTTCTCCCGAGCGATTCGTTCCTGCTCCTCGCGTTCCTTTTCCAATTTTTCAATGCGTTCCTGTTCTTCACGTGCAAGCCGTTCTTGTTCCTCGCGAATCTCCTGCTGCTTTTTGAGCATCTCCTTGATAAGGCTCACACCGCTTGCGCCCTTCTTGCCCTTCTTTTCTTCTTTTTCCTTCTTTTCCTTTTCCTTCTTTTTATCCTTCTTTTTCTGTTTCTTCTTGTCCTTTTTACCCTTTCCGCCTTCTTCATCATTATCCGATCCTGAAATTAATTATCACATATTCAGTTCAATTATTCTTCAACTTCGTTACCGTCTTCTTCTTCCTTTTCTTCTTCCTTCTCTTCGGATGGAGCCTTCACAGAGTCTTCAGTTGGTTTTGCAGTGATTTCGTTTACCTAAAATATTAAAATCAATTAAATTAATCGAGATTCTTCTTACCTCGGAAGGCTCATCATTTCCACCTTTCTTTCCCTTCTTCTTCTTCTTTCCCTTCTTGTCTTCCGGCTCAGGCTCATCTACATTAGGCGATGCTTCTTTCTCGTCGGATTTTGATGTTGCCACAGGAGGCGCAGCTGGTACTGGAGCATCCTTACTCTCAATACTTGCCAAAATCGCATCCAAATCATCATCATCATCAGCCTGTTTCCCCTTTTTGCCTTTTTTCCCTTTTTCTTTCTTTTCTTTTTTCGGTTTCTTTTCTTCGACAACTTTTGGCTCAGGTGTTGGCTCCGGCTCAGGTTCGTCGTCAGATATTGGTTTTTCCTGATCACTATCATCATCCATCTAAATAGAAATTTGTAAATTGGAAAAATATGACTTAGATCACTCACCATCATTGCGGCGAACCCTTTTTTCGCGGGAGCTTTTGCCTTTCCTTTTGGTTTCGGGGGTTCATCATCCCATTGAGTCTCAGATTGCTCGGCGAGTTTTAATGCAGCTAATTTACGCTCAGCAGCTTCATCATCCCTGAAAATTGAATTATTTTCGAATCAATAACCCGGTTTCCAACCAATCGTCATCGTTTTTATTCTTTTTTCCTCCCTTTTTCGGCGGCATTTCTGTCGTATCAGATTTTTGAACGTGGTTCGCAAAATTGTCTGAAACTCTTGTGCTATATCGAAAGGTAGTAGATAAAAATTGAACATCTCATCAAAACAATTAAGGCTTTGTTCGGTAAAATAGGAAATAAAACGACAAAAGCGGACATTGTGTAGACACTAGATCTGACGCACAATTACGTAACCGAAATTCCCTTTGAATCTTGTCGTTTTCTATGAACTATAAATCATATTGACAAGAAATTTTGGAAAGAAAAACAAGATTTTAGAAAAAAATTATTATTGAAATAATGAAAAACAATGGAATGTTTTCTAAATTATGATAACCGGACTTTTTTTTTTTGATATTTCTGAATGTTTAAACTGCTTCTTTAAATTTATTTTTTAGTATTTCGCCGTACGTCTGGTAATTTCAAATTTGCGGGAAAATAACGTTATAAAAGTGGCAGATTTACAGTAATTCGCCTTTGAATCTAGAATGTATAAGCTAAACCATGGTCACTGAACGTTGGAAAATGGATGAAAGGGGGGATCTGTGGCAGATCAGTTTTTATCCACTTCTCGTACATCTTACATCAATTTTTCGTCAGTTTAATTGGACTAAAAACAATTATTATGAAACATAGATGTGGAAAAAAACAAATTTGCCACAGATCACCTTTTCATCCATTTTCCAATGTCCAGTGGTAGCCGCGCAAGTCAAATTAGGTTTTACTCAGCTGAGAACTGAGAAATTGCCAAAAGTTTGTCAAGAAATTGCCACAAGTCTTAAATTTTGGTAAGTGAAACTTCGACAATTTTTAACCACAGCTCAACAAGAAATTGCCGGTATTTTCCGAGAATGTTGGCGGAAAATATTGGACTATGATCTTTAAATCCAAATTTCAGAGAAACTCAACAAATTTTAATGCGAAATTATCCTGTAGTTTGCGTTTATTGAACTGTACACATGTTTAAAACCTTGAAACTTCAGATGTTTCCGTCCAAAATTCCATCAGCTATAATTTCAACGCAGTATTTCCAAAGTTGGAAAGATTTTCGGGTGACGCTTTTACTTCTCAACGCGGAAATAAGCGTTAGCTAATCGGTGCGATGCGTGAGTTCCCGCCGCCGGGGCTCTATTTACCGAAAACCGTACACATATCGACAGGTCCGACCGAAAAGGGGAGGAGGGTGGAGAGGAGCCGAACACGGTCTCGAATGGTCAGTCGGGTCACTCACTGTGTGTTTGATCACCCGTTTTTGTGCAATGCAGCGTAATTTTCTGTTAGCTACCGCGCTGCTCTCATGTACTACACAAGCTTACTACTTCAAAAGAAGTCCTTATGGTGATGCGCCAGATAATGTTCCTGATTACATCAACTCGTACTATGTAAGTTGCTTCAGTTTCATTGTGCCATTTTTGTTCACATTAGGAATTAATATATATATATTTTTTTGATTATTGAAAAGTTAAACAACATCACGAAACGTACAGTATGTTCAAAATAAATAAATAATGTTAAGAAAAGATGCGAGGAAATTTTTAAAAAAAGTTCAAATGAGAATTCAATGATTACTGTAGTCGCAAAACACCTTACGCAATATTACGTACATTTACTTTTCAGGGTTTCCCAGTATTTTCATCGAATGAACCTCGTAGACGACAACCGGCTAATTTTTATCCGTCACAAAGTTCTCTGATTGTGGATTTTAATAGAAACCCGTTTGATTTTGGACCAGCAGCCCACAGGTATTTGTGAATATTCGAATTTGTAATTCTTCGTTTTCCTATTAGATTTGGAGACGCCAATGAAAAAACAGATCGTGAGAGAATTATGGAGAACGCAAAGCCTGGATTCTGGCGTAAAAATAGTCGTGAGACGATGGATAGAATCAAAAAAATCTTAAATGAGAAACGCTCGGATCTCGAACAAAAGCATGTTCAGATTCGCAGAATTATTGTAAACGAAGGCGCCGAAATTCGAGTAAAAACCCAATTTGATCTAAGCATTTTCGTAAAATTGCGTTTAAGGCCAAATTTGCGGATCTTCATAAGCGATTGATCCAGAAGAACAACAAAATGTTCAGCACAACTTCGACTCCGATAAATGAAATTCCAAGATTGAGCAAACAAGCGCAAAAATTGGAAAAGCAAGCAAAGAAAATCATGGAGGTTCATTTCTTTTTATAAATCTACAAGAGTTTTGCCATAATAATTCTAGAATGAAAAAATGCCAATAGAAAAGAAACAGGAAATGTTGGACAAGCTTATGCTTAAAGCTCCAGACGCTGTTAAATCAGAGCTGAATGCTATCAATGATGACAAAAAGTGGGCCAATTTTTCTGCTGCAAAAAATATAATTTTATATTTTAGTGTATCTCCACAATCAACCCAACCACAATACAAACCACAGCAATCGTTTTCTATCGTTGAAGCGCGGCCAATTCGAGTGTCTGAAGATGGAAATGTCATCGAAATTTAATTAGTCTTGATGAGCAATTTTCGTCGTCCCGTCTCACTGAAACATCGCCCAAACGCTTTCGATTTATTAACAAAACAAAAAACAACGGTAGCGATCAGCTAAATCACTATGACCGTTTTTGGTCTTTCGGCGATTTCAAGCTCATCGCTAGTCATCATGCTCAGTTCTTCAATTTGTTCATTTTTCGTTTCTCCATGCTTGTATATAATTCCAATTATATTTAATTTATTATTCCAAATATATTATAAAAGGGAATGTGAAAATAAGTGAAGTTGCGGCATATGATTCGTGCATCGGACCCGCGTTTCCCTCATGAGTACCCGACATGTCAGACAGCTGTGGCGTCTCCGAAAAATGCATTTGTTGGATTCAGCATTTTGGGTGATCGACTGATTGATCTGAAACAACGAAAAATTTGATTATTCGTCGGCACAATTATAGAATATAAATAGGAACATTTTCACTACAATACCGAGAATTTCTTTCAACTTTTGAAGAAAATAATTGAACACAGAGGACATCTGTGAGTTTATTGCTTTGTGTTCAAATTTTATGATATGTTTAAACATACTTTTCGCTGTTTTTTTTTTTCAAAGATTATCTTGCGATTTTTGTTTTCAGAAAATATCGCGCCTTCATGTATCATATTTCATGACAAAATTTCTCAAAAGATGTTTACGAAAATATTATATCTATTTGAAAATTTGCCAGAAAATATTACTTGGTTACCTCCTGAGTTGATCACCTCTTCGAATAACGCTGTTTCGAAGATTGTCGACCGCCCGTTCAACGCTTTTCCTCCTCTCTCGCTGACGAACATTTCCACAACATCGGAATGCGCAGACGCAGCCTGAAATATCGGAGAGTTGGAAAAATTCGAAACATTCGAAATACATGTGATGAACACTGTAAGAGCAACGGCAACTCCAACAGAAAGAAGAAGTGATAGAGTTCCTGTATCGAATCTTGGCTCTGGCGGACCATTGAGTTCATGTGAAATTTCTTCTGTAATTATTTGTAATTTTTATCGATTTTCGAATGCAGCGATTTAATTTCAGAAAAAAAGAAACAAATCTGAAAAAGAAGAAAAATCGATTGGTTAGGGATTCGAAAAGCGGATATTTTTTGGTTTGGTATAGATTTGGAACATTTTGGGATAATCATGGGCAGATGCCTAGCGTTGACGTTTTAGGACGAACGACAGCCTTGAAGCTACCGCCCAAATTCAAAAATTTCCAAGAAATTAGAAAGTTATTTGAACTGCCGCCAAAACAAAAATTGTGGACTAGCGATATTTTTTGGATTTTCCGTGATTTTTTATCACTCGAGGTTTGAAAAATTAGAATATAATTAAAATAAATGGTAGGGCGCAAAAATGCGTGCAAACACAGTGACGCAAACATCTCAGAAAAAATCTCAAAACACCCATCTCTTTTGAATTGATTTTTTCGGTTTGTTTCTTTCCCATCACTGTCGAAATTTTTTAAACTTTTTATCTAGCCTACTGCGGTCTGTTCTTAACAAATTGCTGAGTTTTTATTCTAAAGTTTGATACGGACCACGTAAAAATAGCGCTCAAATGCAGGCTTTCTTAGCTACAGTATCCGAAGTTGCTCCTTCTAAATATACCGTAACTACTCTGCATTTGTGCGTCTCAATGCGTAGAAAAACTTTGAATTAGCAATCGACGTTTCAAATTCTTTTCGAATCGTTTTTTTTTCTCTGCAATATAATCGCTTCGTATGGATTTTCATTACTTATAACTGTCGAAAGGGCGGTGAACCATTCGTCAGTTTGCGCATAATCATTAACTTTTGTCAATATCATTTTCCGTTCCTCTACTGTTATATATTTTTCAGCTAATCGTGCCGGCCAAATGACCATCTAGAAAAAAATAAATATGTTTGATGGGATATTCATATTTCACTAACCTTTTTATAGTGATGCCACACAAAAATAATGACAGAATTGCCACAATCTCCTAGCGCCCATCGTCCTTCCAGTGATCTACAGAACGCTTCAGCCCGTTCTGTTAATTGTCTACAAATTAGTTGAGTGTAATCATTGAAATATAATTAATTTTGCCCACTTGTCACTTGGAGAATGCATTTGCATATAGAGATTCTCGACAATCGCGACGCTCACAATGAATCCATGCAGCTCTTCCTTTCCTCTTCCTTCGATTCCAGTTGTGCATTGCGATCGGCGTTGACAATGACACGGAGTGCCAACAGCGACCGCTTGTAATTGCGCATTCAATTGCATTGCTAAAAAATTCAATAGTTAAGTTGAAGCTTGTGAAAAGTTTTTTTTATTATTTTGATGATTTTAAATTTAAATATGTATTTTAATTCGAAAAATTATATTAACAAACCTTGCGTGTTGTTGAGTATGTGATCGGGATCGCAAAAGTACAAATCATGTCTGTTTCGAGGCAAAATCGACACGCATTGATCAACGGTTGGACCACGAAGATCTGGATAAACGCTTGACGTCCATTGGGAGGCTTTCGCGAATTCGAAAACGTGTACGACGGCGAGAAGAAACAGATTGAGCATGGTTCGCCAAAAACTGAATCGCGAAATTTTCGAAATCGAACGAGACGACAGGGTTGAGCCCCGTCGGGTATTGTTACAACTGCGATAATGATCAGCAAAAAGCGAGAAATAGAATAAGATAGACATCATCGGAGCAAATTGTGTACACCCCCACTCGCACGGCTCCCGACACGAAACTAATATAATTCATTACTTTCACGAAATCCGCAACCTTTTCTACAAAATTGTTGCATGTCGAAAGAGGCACTTGAAAACGAGCGAATGCGAAAAAAATAATATTGAAAGTATCAAAAGATTAAAAAAAAACTATTTTTTGGGAGAACTAAAAATTTAAATTTTGAGATGAACAGCGTCCCTAAAACTTTGAAATAATATTTAACGTTTTAACTATTTTATATTTAAAAAAATATGCAAAAAATATTAAAGGTGATTTTTTATAAACCTGCATTGAAAAATATCCATAATAAAATTTACGCTATAATAAATTTAATTTTAATTTCTAAAAATGATAGACAATGGGAAATAATTTCGGATTAACGAAATAAAAGAATTATTTCGATTAGAAAGAATTTCAAAAATTAGTGATTTCACACAGAGATAATGTTGACCGAGAAAATACGACATGTTTTTCAATAAAACAGATGTTGTAAATCAACGGAGATAGAAGGATCAAGGGAAGCAAAAGAAGCCAGAACATGGATGGAGAAAAGTGGTTTAAAAATGAACACCTGTCAAATAAAAAGTACATGCTTTATCATTCTAAACAAACATTCCATTCGTCGTGTATTCAGTCGGTGGCCCAACTGGCAGCTTTTGGTGCCCCGCGGCAGGACCACCGAAAACTAATCCATTTTTTCCCAAGCATTACTTCAAATAAATCAAACTCAACAATTTCGCAAACAGAAAAAAAAAACCGAAAGCCGTGAAAGGAAGCAGAACAAAAACAGAAAAAAAAATAAATGAAAGCGGGTGGTGTGTGTGTGAGTATTCATGGGGGAGGAGGGTGATGGGTCGGACACATCACCACAAAAACCGACGGGATTAGAGTGGTCCGCAAAACATTTTTTATCGTATTTCAATTGCCAAAACACTCACTCGACTCTCGCCTATGAATAAATGTGTACACTTTAATTATATTTTTTATTGTTTGTAGACTCCATGTGAAGAAAAATGGATAGAAGAAAAAGGGCAAAAAAGAGGAAATGAAGCGGAAATGGGGTTATGCGCTAAAAATATCGAGAATCGACGATTAATTGACTTCTCCTTATTTCTCAGATTCATTTTTGGTCCCTCGTTCTCATGCCACAATTTGATGGAAAAATGTCAAATGAAAATGAATTTTTTCCGATTTCTATTCGAAATATGGGCAGTATGGAAATGTTAATGGTACAATGCAGATTTCGCAAAAAAAACTCTAAAAATCTTTATGTTTCAAATGTTTTATGCTCCAAATTTTTGTACGAAAATCAAATGAACAAGAGATTCACACTGATTACTTAATATCATTGAAATTCAGAAATAAGGTAAGGTGCAATATTGTAAGTTAATCCGTGCGAGACCATAGCGAAGGAGCATGCACGTAAATATACCAACCATAGAACCATTAGAAAAATGAGGTCTGATTAGTTTCCGAGGAATTCAATGTGACTAATTTACCCATTTTAGGTTTTCAATTAATGTTTAAAAAGAAAATTCTAAAAAAAATTAGAGAGTAATGTGCTATTGGGATGACTTTTCACAAATCTGCCAATATCTCTTTTAAAGTTCAACCAAAGGGTTCCTAAAGGAAGAATTCTATAGAATCTTGTAGAATGAATGAAAAACATTGGGTTAGGTGTATTTTGGAATCTAAAATAAATTCATTTCTCATTCATCTCATTATATGTTCTGAAAAAGCCGAAAACAACCGAAAGTCGATTATTTTGAAATCCTCACATTTTTATTGATCGGATGCTGAATTAATAGGGTATTTCCAAAAATTACGGTTTTGGTTGTAAACCGGATTTTTAATTGAAATTTTTTTTAATTTATTTAGTTCATTATATGTATATAAATAAAAATTTCAGATAATTGTAATTCTGACCAAGAAATATTTATTTACTTGAAATACTTGTAAACTTGTTTTCAGTTATTTAGTGTTTGTTAGTTATTTGGTCGATTCGTACTTTTGCTTTCGTTAAGTGAGCGCAGATCACCGCAGGACTCGGCAATTTCGAAAATCGCCAATTCCATTGCCGTACAGCCACAACATTTTAGCTCTTCGATGATTTAATTCTGAGAAAGAAATAACGAATTTAAACTAATCATTTGTTGAAAAAGAGCTAAAGTATTAATAAAAAAATTGAAAAAAGAGAAATATGAATAAGACATGATTTAAATAGGTAAAATGATTGAATGAATCCTGTGAACAGAACTTAATTTTTCGATTGCATTATTGCTTAAGTAAAATGATATACCGCCTATATCTTGCATATTTCAGACTGATTATTAAAGGCGGCAAACCAATCAAACGATCAACTTTCTTATTCATATTACTGTTGTTACACGCGGACCAATAGACTCCGCCCATTGACGGCGCAACTGACCGGAGATGGGACCAATATTCATTCTACCTTTTCCTTTACGCATGGAGTAGATCGCATGTCTCTTCCCGGGTCGCCATCTACTATCACACTCATATCTTATTATAACAAACTATTCTATGGCTTTACGAGAAGATAATAAAAACGGGATCGTGAGTTACTATTAGGGACCATTCACCCCATACTGTACAGATTTTGGCAGAAAAAACTATTTATTAAAATTGTTATTTTGCGCAAATATTTTCAAGATGGGACACAACAATAGAAATAATTCAACTTTTATGAAGAAATATCCTGAAACAAACAAACAAATATAAACAAACATGAACAACTAAATTTTTCCAAGAATTCTTATAAACAGAAAACAATGGTTCTTTGTAAATTTATCGTTTTTTTAATTGTCGTCGTCAAACGACCTAACGGCGGCTGAAAATTCAGTTTCGCAAAATCAGTGTAGAACTACAAAATTGTAAACTTACGCGCGGTCTAACTGTACGCTAAAATGCAGAGTACGTAGACACGCACAGTAGTCTTCCCTTCGAGACACCTCGCAAGTAACCAACATTTTTTTTTAATTTCGGGCAGTCGTTTGACGCCGAGAATACATTTAAAACTATCTGATTCGCTTCTCGCAACCATCTCACTTAGCATCTCGGATGCCGCTTGCGGACTGTGCGCTATAAGCACGACGTCGTCTGCAAACCGCAGGTGTGTGAGGTTGCGGCCATTCACTCGTAATCCTGGAGTGTTCGTATTGTCTTCTGAGTCGTTTTTGAATTGACTCCAAGACAATTCACGGAAAACTTGCTCCAGGCACGCGGAGAAAAGGTTCGGCGAGATTGGGTCACCTTGCCTTACTCCTCTTCGAACAGGTATCTCTACCTGTCGATGGAATGGCGTGATGCTTGTGGAACAGTCAGAGTAACAACTTTGGAGTAGCTGGATATACGCTTCTTCAACGCCTTGGTCTCTTAGGCTCTGCCACACTGCTGAATGCTCAACACTGTCAAACGCCTTTTTAAAACCAACGAAAACAAGTGTGAGTGGGATTTGATATTCTCGTCCCACTTCTAGCAGTCTTTGGTCAGAGCGGATATGATCCACTGTTGAGAAGCCCTTGCGGAACCCAGCTTGTTTTATAGGTTGATTGGCTTCGGTTTTACTCCTTTACTCACATTTCTTGAAAAGATAGTTGTCTCCAACTTCATCCACAATTTCGGTATTGATCCGGTTCCTAGCTAGCGGTTAAATCCCTCCGATATCAGTGTGATAGTATTTTCGTGGCAACATTTGAGGGAGTCTGTTTATTTTATCACTGCCTGCTGATTTCCCGTTTGGGAAAGACCGAAGTGCCAAAATGATATCCTCTAGTAGAAATGGAGGCGGCCTTTCCTGACTCGAAAAAAATCAAATGAGATGGGTGTTTTTTTTTGGGTTTATCTGTGTATATTTGCGACACGGTGTTTGCACACATTTTGACGACCATTTATTCTCGGCGTCTGCAAAATATTGGCTATTTTTTAAAGAACCAATGACAGCGGTCCTTTTTCGTATTTAGCCAATTTTTTGCAATTGCGCAACGCCGACAAAATTTTAATTTTTTTTAATATCTCAAACATTTAATTTAAAAAAAATCGTGATCAGAAATCCAAAATAAAAATAGATTTGCGACTTCGCCAATTTTGCTGCAATTCAAACGCCATTCTCATTTCATCGCAATTTTCGAGGTTGGATGCCATCGTCAACGTTTTCAGCTTTTCCACAATTTTCATCAATCGCTTCCGTTGGGTTCATAAAATTGTAGTATCATTGATTTCGGAGCGATTGGAATTGCGGCATTTTTAATCGAAAATCGTCTTTTCTAAGAACAATCAGAAAAAAAAACAAAATATGTTTTGTAGCTTTCAACAGTCGAATTCAACATTGAAAAAAACGACTTTCTATGTAATACTCAAATGAATAAATCGAACATGCTGAAAATTGTCGATAACTGACAATTTTGAACAGAAAATCTCTCGAGTTTCGAATCTAAATTTTATGAAATTGCACACAACAAATCAAATCAAACATTTGTCCAGCTCCATTCATTTATTTGTGATTTTCTTTATTCAAAGAAGAATATTCCAAAACATAATGAGAGACACCAACTAGATGGATGGATTTTATACACACTTTGCGTTTTTTTTCTGTTGCGTCGTCAAGCGGTGGGAATTCGTTTAAATGAATGAAATGAGCGTGGAAACAAGATACGATGATGGGTGTTTTGAATGATTTTCAATAAGGGAGAGACAGAGAAGTTTTCTTGATTTATAAATGATTAAAAAAATTGAAAAATTAATTGATAGAACGAAAAGGGGGATTGTATAATCAAAAGAAGAAAAAAAGGATTTTACATAAAAAAATGTTTGAAAGGCGGTGGCACAAAACAATTCTAGTCCTGGTCTGGGAATGGTCCGGCCAAAACCTTCTTGACGAAGTCTGCAAACGACAACAATTCGAATTCAATTGAAAATTCAATTGATCATTTCTCACCTTCGTATTTGACCATGCCTTCAGCGTCTTCAATTCCCTTGAGAAGCTCATCGGCCTCATCAGCGGAGAGTCGCTCACCGAGAGCTTGAAGAATGTGTCTGAGCTCTGCGCACAAGATCTTTCCGGTCTCTTCCTTGTCGAAAACCTTCAATCCCTCGACGAAGTCAGCGTAGGTTCCCTGCTCCTGCAAATATCGATTTTATTGACATTGAGAGATACTCGAGAGCGAGCTCTTGACGCGAGGCGCCCAAAAATGAAATCGAAAACTGGTTACTATTGGAGAAGAGAAATAATGATGATGATGACGCGAACCTTTTCCTTAGAGAGCTGCTCGTAGATCGGGAGCCACTCCTCGAACGCGATTCTCTTCTCGCCCTTGCGCTTGAACTCCTGGCCGGAAGCCTTGACGACCATCGCCTGAGTTGGCTTGAGTCCAGCGGCTCTCACAACATCGCCGATCTGGGTACCGTCGATCTTACCATCGAGTTCCTCATCGTAGAGGTTGAAGATCTCCTTGAGCTGGTCTGCAATTACAATCAATCACTTTTTTGGGTGATCTGTTGAAGAAAAAGAAGAAGATGTTGATCATCATATATTCGATCAACAGAATACCAAAAATGTTGATCGAATATGGATGTGAATAGTAGGAGAATTGATTGAAGGATTCGAAGAAGCTCACCTTGGGATGGCATTATGTGTCGAGATGAAGGCGAATAAGTGACAAAAGTGAGTGTGAGCGAGTGTGTGAGTTGAGCCTTTTGCTAGCGGGGGCCACACGGCGAGGATAAGTGTACACTAAGTTTGTGGCGGCGGGGTGCGACGGCGGGAATGGGGGCGGATTCGGCGACGGGGAGCGCGCCTCTCAAGAGAAATCCGTCGGGATGTAAACTGTGAGCAGCACGGGAGCATCAGTGCGACGAGGGATCACGCGAATCGCGGAGGCCGCCAAGAGAATCGCTCCCGAAATAATGCGATCGAATCGGAGAGAGATTGACGCAATCCACGCTGAGGTAACATCGAGTTTGAGACTTGACGAGACGCAAAAAAAAACAAATACAAATACAAGTTTTGTTGCCAAAATTGGAAACTATTTGAAATAATAGACCACTAATTAATCATTTCAAAAAAACAATTTAGACACAATGAAAACGTAACGAATCTGAAATAATTCGCTGGAAATTGAATGATCTGAATCGCTATTTAAATTTTTGGTATTAATTTCAATAATAAAAACACATTCTGATAATTGAGTCTAATGAATTTTATGTTGTAGCTAACTTTAAGGTCTTGATGGACGATATTTGGAATAATCGTTTTTTTCAGCAATAAGATAAACATAAACTTCTGTCATCCCGTTTTCGCTTTATTTTTTTCAGCGAGAGTTGAGAATGTTCAAACTTGACATCGTAGCCTACATTCAACGTCATTTTATTTCTTAAAATGTAATATTCTGAAATATGAAAGAGTTTGACAAATTTTGCGCTGAAAACGAATCAAAAACTTTTCTTCCTCCTTCGCTTTTTGATTGTTTCATTCATTCTCTTTTAATTTTCAAATTATTTTCTCTGCAAAATTTAATTTTCCATAGCTTACACAATTTCCTGCGAACTACAGTAATCATTTAGTGATCGCCGACTTCTCAATCTGTCTCTCTGTCTCTTGATGAGACCTCATCGGCGATAAAGTGTAATTCGTCTATGCGTCGAGGTGCCTCCACGGATTGCATCGACATCTCTTCAAACACGCCGAGGCAGTTCCTCAAAATCCACGCGAATCTTTTTTTTTCGTGTTACTGGCTCATTGCGATCACAATTCGTTGGAAAATCGGGATATAGAGAAGCGAAGAGCAGCGGGACAGGGGTCCGATTGAAAAAAAAAACAACAACCAACAAGAATTTAAATTTTATACTTAAACAAAATAACAAATTCGAATAAACAACAACAGAAACAACCGTAACAACTTTAAATAACCAATATTTAACAAAAATGGAACTATCCGGTGTATCGCGCCAAATCTAATCTCGGTACAATATTCATCGATTGTAGTTCTTGGAAAAGCAGTTTGCAAGCATATGGGATTTTAATGTTGGCCATCGTTTTACTCGAACGACATTTTTGGCACCATCCTTTTGAGCCAATCACACCACATCCGGTGCACACATCAACCTGAAAAAATTTTTATGATATCAGGCTTTCTCGCATCTCTATTCAGATGGCACTGTTCATTGCACATTTCCAATACGCTTCATCTCCATCAAGACTATATAAGCTCGTCGTCATTTTTAAAATTTCCTTTATGTTCTGTTCTTGCAAAAGTTTTGTATCTTCAAGACTCGCAGGACGTATTAAAAATAATGACATTTATATTCGTTGTTTTTTGTAATTATTCCTCCTCGTATTTCACATATTTCACGAAAAAAACCAGTGGCAGAGCCACATTTTTCAGCCGATGTAATTCTGTCGGTGCGAGCACATTGTAGTAATGTTCGTTTATTGGATTGATTGGAAACGAATTGACGGCCGGATGGCGAATCTCGATGTTCGAATTATTAGGAAAAAACGAAACGAGATCAAAAAACGAATTAGTTGGAAATTGTCGCATCAGAATCAATGTCTGCGTCTCATTGACACCGACCGATAGATAACTCGCAATCAACCCCAACCCACTTCAGTGCCACATTTCTCGGCATTCCACTCGTTGGAGGTGGAGAAGAGTAAGAAGCAAGAGGAGCCAATGAAGAAAAAGAAGATACAGAAGCGGCAAAAAAGCAAAGTCGGCGCATCTGCTCCACACGAGGCGTTGGCATTGCATGAGCGTTGCATGAAAACGATGGCCTCAGATCAAAACCGACGCGATCAGCGGTGATCAAGAGCAAAACGACAGTGAAAAAGAGAGGGAGAAAGAGCCAAGCATAAGTTGTACGACGAGCAATAACTCGCTCGTTCTCTCATTTTTCTCATTCGACAAAATTTATCAGCAGCTAAACAACTACCGACCAGCCACTATGTGTCTCTTTACTCAATTCGCCTGTTTTTTTGATGGAGGGAAAATTGAGGAAAAAAACTTAAGTCAGGAAGGTGCTCGTTCTCGTGAACGAAACGTTCGAAGCAAATGTTGTTTGGATTCGGCGAAATGACCTCAAACGCAGAGTCTTTTTTCAAATATCCGTCAAGTTTTTAGTGATACCAAACAAATTATGTTAAAAATCATCAGAAATGTCAACCGAACACTGAAATTTGTTCAATCGTAATTTCATCTGATCTATACACGACTTAAGAACTAAAAACCACGTTATTCTTTTTCCTTTTTCATTTAGTCAATTCTTTTCAATTGTTTAATATACGAACTAATCTTAATATACTGATTTTTTTATATAATGACAGATTAGAAACATACAATCCGATTTTAACGATTATGTATGTATATAAATCACCAATTTTTAAAAGAGTCGAAACTCGCCAAAAAATAAGATTTCAATTATATTTGCTAATGTCAATATGATTTTTGTGAGGTAGGCAAATCTCGCCTGCGACCCACTCAAACGCTCGTAGTAACAAACAAAGATAGACACGCACAAAAAGATAAAAAATAAACGATGGCTGAAGGCAAATTCGCGGAAAATCGCCGCCGCCGCGCGCCCTCCGAGTTACTGCCTACGCGGTGCACAGAAGCAAGCACTTGAGAGCTCTTCGATTTGCCCAATCAACAAGGAAAAATAAAGAAACCCAGAATGAAGCAGGAGCGGCGTCAATTATGAAAGAAACATCAAATACCTTGAACTCATCCGACGATACCATCAATCGTTCAATCAAAAGCATTGAAGCACCATAAGCAATCAAACAATCTCGTTCCATTTCTCCAAGACGAAGACCTCCTTCACGACTTCTTCCTTCCGTTGGCTGACGAGTCAACGCAGCTCTGAAATTGCGAACTACGAAACGAATCTCTCAAGAAAGGAATTACCTTGGTCCTCTCGCTCGAGCATGCATTTTATCCAACACCATATGTTTCAGTTTTTGATAGTAAATGGGCCCAAAGTAGATATATGCCGAAAGTGGTTGGCCAGTAATTCCACTGGTCAACATATCCTTTCCCATATAATTGTATCCACGAGCGGCGAGTTCTTCACATACATCTTTCACCTGAAAATAAGATGAAACCAATATGATAATGAAAGAGATCTTCGGTTTCTAACCTGATCTCCCCCGAAAGCAGTTCCATAATGGTACGTTCCATTAAGAAGCCCCGCTTTTCCGGATAACAATTCCATCAACTTTCCGACAGTCATTCGAGACGGATAACCGTGGGGGTTCATGATCATATCTGGCACCATTCCAAGATCGTTGAAAGGAAGATCCTCCTAGACGTAATAATAATTGGATCAAATTTTAAAAAAAAGAGATTTACCTGCTGAGCAATCAATCCACAAACTCCTTTCTGTCCATGCCTCGACGAGAATTTGTCACCCAATTCAGGCCGTCGAGTTTGTCGCAACAAAACTTTGAACAAATGAGCCTCATCCTCATTGTAGGTGAGCAACACCCGCTCAGCATATGAAGGTGTTGGAGTTTTGTAGGAAATCGAAACATCTTTGTAATCTACTTGTCGTCCAGCGATTCCGATCGAATTTGCACCGGCGCCCATTCCAGACGCAGAATTCGATTCTCCGCTTACAACCGGCATGTGCTTGTTGATAATGGTCTGTTTCGGGTAGAGACGAGCTCCAGCGAACACAATCCCCTCCTGATCCAAATTTTTATGTTTGAAAATAGGTTTTCTTGTATTTGGATCCAACGCCGGTCCAAGAAGTCTATCGAATGTCTGATTCGGATATTTCCGGGCAGTTCCTTTCACATGCTTATAAACTAAACATCTTCCATATCCTACAAGTTACTATCGAAATATAATAACGATAAACAGTTCAAGGTAACCTCTATCAAGCGAAGCCTTGTTCAAAACGAGTGCATCTTCAATATCGTAGCCACTGTAAGACATAACAGCGATAATTCCGTTTGCTCCAGCTGGCAATTTTTCAAAATTGATGAGCTCGATCGTCTGAAATTATGCATGTTTAAACGAACGATATATTTTCCTATCGCAAACCTTCGACTTGACTAACGGACGTTGCGGATAACACAGTAAATACATAATAGAATCAATTCGCTTCTGTTGATTGTATGCAATCGTCCCCATTGCCTGCTTACCCATAGCACACTGGTAAGTATTCCTAGGAGATTGATTATGATGTGGATAAGGTACGAGTCCAGCGCAAACTCCGAGAAGAGTAAATGGTTCGATCTAAATTATTTTATAAATGATTTAAAACTAAAACAATACAAATCACCTCGAGATGAGTTGTTTCAGGCACAATTTCGTTTTCATAAACCGCAATGAGAGCATCATTCATCTCATTTACATCTAAATATTCAACAATTCCATCGTCAACGAAATCCTCAAATATTCGTTTCCCTTCTTTCAATTCCTGAAATTATTTTATCACTATGTATTTTTCCTAAATGAAATTTCCGCGTACCTGAATATGTTTTTCGGTAAGCATCGGTTTTCCATCTTGCACAATAATGTACGGCCGGCACAATCGTCCACCATCTGATGAGATGTATACAGATCGTTGAGCCAATGATCGCGACACTGAGACGAATTCAGATAGAAGACCGCTTCTAAACGAAAAATAATCAAATTGTGTTTTTCTTTTAAAATTTCGTACCTTCTCACATCTCGTACAGCTTTAACTATTCTTTCCGGATCGGTGGCTGTTCCAATAAGAACACCGTTCAAAAAGATGAGATGATTTTCACTGACAATTGTTTGAAGTGAATAAATTAATTCTAGTCTTTCTTACGGCTTATTAATATGAGAAAAATGGCAATTGTGAAGATCTTCAACGCCAGAATTGAACAGTAACCGCAGCACTGGTTTCTCATCACTGTCGGTAGTAATATGACTGATCAACGCCAAATTCTTGACGAGACCACAAGCTTCTCCTTCAGGAGTGTCGCTGGGACATAGCATTCCCCACTGAGATGGTTGAAGAGATCGAGGACCGGACACTTTTCGCGTTTTCTCAAACGTCGAATTGATTCTGGTCATCATACCGAGGGCGGAAATATACGACAGACGACTAAGAACCTAAGATAAATGATTGAATCATTTTTAATTAAAATAAAAACGTACTTGGGTGACACCAAGTCGTTCCATTCTGAATCGCTTGATGATCCAATTTCCCGTTGACATTGCATTTACAATGGTATTTGTGATCATATCTTGTCTCATGTGTTTCACAATATCCAATGGAGCCGCCATAGTCTTCATCAGCGCATTATCCGCAATTCTTTTGAGTTCAGAGTTGAATCTTTTGAACACATCTTCGAAAAGAAGAGATAAAAGTGAACCAGCCAATTCCAACCGCTTGTTTCCGTAGAAATCACGATCGTCTAAATCGTTTTCGCCCAATTCGGTTTGAATTAAGCGTCGAGTCATCAAGCCCAAATAAATCGCCTTCATTTTGAAATTTCCATCAGGACATGCGACGTGAGTAACCATTGAGCTGAATTCATTCATTAACAAAGTTTAAAGTTTTCATATCGTATCTCTTTTTAGATGTGTTTTTGCTCTAATTCAAACGTACTTTGACAAGAAATCGATTGCTTCGTGCTCTTTCGGAGGCGTCAAAACAGTCATCGTTGTTCCAGGCGGTGCACCAAATGGTGTGAATTTTCTCGCTTTTACTTTTGATGTCAAATAAGTCAAAGCTTGTTGTTTCGTATAAATTCCGTTGGCAGCACATTCTTCAAATGTATGAGAAAACGCAGCGACATATCTAAACGAACACGAAAAAATAATTGAATATTTACAAATGAATTCTACTTTTCTTCGTGTCCAATTGCACTAATAATATCATAGTCTGATTCGATACCCATGGCCTGAGAAATGAAAATAATTAAAGTAATAGTTAATTGGGTATCTTACTTTAAAAATGATAGATATTGGAATATCGTCGGTCAATTGATTATGCCGTAATAAGTATTTTCCTTTTTTAACTGTTACATACGTTTTACTCTTTCTTTCAGATGTTGACGAAAGAACCTAAAACAAAAATAATAATAATAAGAATATCACCTCTTTTAAAGACAAAAGTCATACTTCACACTGCAATTCTTTGCTCGAGTTTCGTCCAACCATGATACGATTTTTGGAAAGTTGCTCTTGAATCAAAATAACCTTCTCGCTTCCCTGAACATCGTATTATTGATACTTGAGATAGGAACTCGACTGACCTTGACAACAAAATAACCTCCTGGATCATATGGGCATTCCTGGACTCGCGCCAATTCTTCCTCAGCTAAATCCCTCAAAATACACTTGCTCGATCGAAGCATGATTGGCATTCTTCCGATTATCAAATCTTTTTTGATTACTCTTTGATTTCCACGAGTATACTCGATGTCTACAGTAATTGGTGCAGAATATGTCATATCACGAAGACGGCATTCTTGTGGAGTAATTTTGTCATGTGTCTGGAAATCTTTTTAGATCGAAATCATTTGAAATCGCTTTACCTGATTTAATCCCTCTTCGCTGCTTGGCTTTCCAACTCGAATATCAAGATATCTGGAAAGTTCGATATTTTGAAATATTTCAAGCAAAATAAATGCAACTTCAAATAAAAGTTTGGATTCGCATCACTTGTAATCTTCTGATTCGACAGCATAATCGATCTGATTTCTTCATTGACGAAGTGATCAAAACTGACAAGATGTTGCTTCACTAGACCACGTACCTAAATATGAGCAGTATATAAAACAAGATGACACGATTCGATACATATTTAAGGTAACCCAATTTTTTAAAAAACTGTATATATACATAGATATCAAGAATGATACTCTAAAAACCGAAAATTTGTCATTTTTTCACGTTTATGAAACCACCCTAATTAGCGGCCAGAAATCGTTGAGAATCAAAACAAAAATTAGTTGTATGCATTTCAACGTAAATATTCTAATGAACATGATCTGTGCAATAAAAATTTTTTAAATTAGACATTTTTCCAATACAAGACTGTAAAAAATGCACATTTAAGGTAATTCCATTTTTTTTTACGATATCGAACATTTTTGATTCGAATCAATCAGAGAATAAAAATAATAATAGTAATAATCGAAACGAATCGAGATTTAAAGCTTTAAAAAAAACTTCTCTAAAAATTTACCTTCGTTGGCGGGCGTGAAAAATTAGAAACTACAACGGAAAAATTAAAACTTCAGCGAATATTTATTCTCGTTTGCATTTGTTGCGTTTTGATCATAGAAGGGACGGTTTTTTTCACCTGTGTGAAAACCCTAATAATATCGATTGTAATCATCGGCACTTAAAATAAAAATATCAGCCATTGAACTGATTCAAGCTTGATTTTTTACTAGTCTGGACCACTAAAAAGCCATGTGCCTCTAACACATTGTCCAACGCAGCAACTTCTCTTCGTAATGTTAAAAATGCAAACCTTTAGAAACGCTGGCACAAGAAGCCATTTATCCTTGAGCGGCATACATTTTTGCTCATTAACTGAATTCTCGGGCAACTTTCCGTTGCCCTGAGAAACTGTCATCTGAAATTTCTGGCATTTCAATCGAATTCCACGTTCTGTTAAATATATGAATGGTGAAAAACCACGATTGGCAAATGAAATGAGAATCGATTAAAAAAAAACTAGTTACATTCTATTAGACAAGCAATCTATACATTTTGGCACATAAGTCTAAAAACCCGGTAAAAAGAAATTTGAGCAATAGTATGAAATAAAATTTTGCACCGAAACTGTTTCAAACATAATAAATCCTTAATTTAGATATTTCCTTGAAATTTCAAATCTTCGTTGTTCGGAAGTGGTGCAAAATATTTCTCAACGCGCTCGTCGGTCACTTCCTCAAGAGTTGCTGGATTCCACTTCGGATTGCGATCCTTGTCAATCAAAACTGAAAATGGAAATAAATTAATTAATAATTTTCTCAGAAATATTTACTAGCTCGGCATCCTTCATGGAAATCGTTGTCAGCAAGGAATCGCTGGGTAAGACGAAATTCCATTGTGAAGATCTTTGCATAATTCATCCTGCTTCCTTCGGTAAGTTGCTTATGAGTAACCTGAAACAAGAATTAAATTTCGACTTTAACCACTGCATCAAAGACGAATTATTTGCTAGTAGTGCAAAAACTCATACCTTCAAAGATGTTGGGCTCATTTTCTTAAGAATTGAGATTTGTTTTTTTGCCCAATCCGATCCGTCTTGTTCAAGATTTCCAATGATTTCTTCAACGCTACTGAATAATTTAAGAAATTGGTTTAAAAAGAAAGAGGTACATGTTGATTTCTTACTTTCCATTGAAAATATCGCGAATTTGCCCTAAATGAGGAGAAAGTCTGAACTCAGGAACTTCTTTTGGTTCGAATGAGCGCAATAATCCATCAACAGAATCTTCAGTTACATTCTTTAAATTAAGAAGTTCGGTTTCGAGTTTAGGAAGATCCGTCGAGTTGATGTAATGCGTTGCGAGACCAGAGTGATACGAGTCGGCACCAAGAAGGCGATATCCAGTAAGTGCGAGGTACATTCCAAGGCTCCCTTTAAGTCTCGAGAGGAAATACGATCCTCCAACGTCTGGGAATAATCCGAGAGCGGTTTCCGGCATAGCAAGCATAGTTCGTTCCGTGCACACGCGGAATTTTCCGTTAACGGAAAGACCGCAGCCCTTTAAACAATTAAATGAATGCTATTTTCGTTTCTTCTATTAATTTACCCCTCCCATAACAATTCCATCAATAAGCGCAACGTATTGTTTTGAGAAAATTCCAGTGAGATGGTTTAACATGTACTCCTCACGGAAGAAATCTTTATACATTGTCGTATTTTCTCCATTCTGCGCAGCCTTATAGGATTTAACAACGGCTGAAAAGAAAATAGTATTATATAGACGAAAAACTGATAATTTTTTTTTACCAAGAACATCTCCGCCGGCACAGAATGCCTTGTCTCCACTACCCTTGATAATCACCAAATTCACATCTTCTGTATCATTCCATTCGCGCATTTGTGGATAAATCTCTCGAACCATATCCAGATTTAGGGCGTTTAATGCTTTTGGCCGATTCAACGTAATAATTCTTTTTGTGTCGTGCTTATTTACCAAAACGGGGTTTCCCGATACAGATGACACCGAGAATGCCATAGACTGAGAGCAGTTCTGAGAATTTCATTTATTCATTCATAAAACTGAAAAAGAAAATGTAAAAACCTTGGGCAAATTGCGAATAATTAGAGGAACAGCTCTGATCGCGGCCGACATCACCTTAAAATCAGAAATGAATGAAATTATTTTTTGCGACAAACAAATTGATCACAGATCACAATATGAACTTTGGAAACTGTCAAGAACATTTTCGAGATTTCACTTTTAATCAAACTTAAGTATTATATATAATACATTTGTAGTAAAAATGGCTTTAGCCTCAATTGGTCCAAATATTAGTCGGTTAATCAAACAAAAATAATCAAGCGAAACACTAATTTTTTGGGTTTCAGTGTGGTGGCGAATTTACTCTGGAAGCTCGAAATCAATCGGATATAAAGCAATCTAATCCATAGGATTACCAATCGCATCGGATTTATTCCGAAACGGAATTTTGTTGGATCCGATTGGTTTTGAATTACCAAAGTAGGAAGAAGAAAGGGTAAAAAATCAGTGTTCTTTCCGAGAATCAGAAAAATGTTTAGTAATTTCCAAAAATTGGTAAAATAGTGCAGCCTGGTTGCCTCGTCCAAAACTGAGAAATTCGAACTAAGAGGACAAGGCCAATAAATTCAAGAAAATGTGTTTAATAAAAAATAACGCACAGTTTTCACTTATAAAAATTTTTACAAAAATACGGATTATAATTTGAATTGATTAGTTTTAAAGAATGTTTAAAATCCGCCGAACTTTAGGAAAAATAAAAATTTAAATCTCTGTGGGCGGAGCAAAAAAATTGTTCCGCAATGCAGGCACCTATAGTTGCATTCCGATCGCACGGTTTTCAACAATTTTTTGTTAGCGTTTTTACTTTTAAAATAACTTTTGTTCATAGTTCAATAAAGTGTAAAAATGTGATCTAATACTGATAAAATTTTAGAAAACCATGGGTACATCTCCACAACAATCTTGTGGATGCAAAGGCGTTCGATTTTGCGCACTTTGCGAGACAACAGAACGAGTCAAAAAGTTACGAGTTGACGGCGATAAATACGAAAATTATAAGGTTTTCCTGTTTGATCATAAATATACTTTGGCTCATCCTGCTCCTTCTTTAAATTCAAAATCTAGTCTTGAAGAAATTGTGAGAGGTAACTTTAAATGTCATTTTTTCAAATTTATAATTCTTTTCCATAGAATCCAATTCTTGTACACCATCAGGAAGTTCAATTAAAATCGACGGGCTGCTATTAATACACGATTTCCTATCAGAAAATGAAGAAAATTCAATAATGAAGATGATAGATAATGTTGAGTGGGTTCAATCGCAAAGTGGAAGAAGAAAACAGGTAATAAAAAAACATTTATCGCAAGTATTTTAATTATTCAGGATTACGGCCCGAAAGTCAATTTCAAGCATAAAAAAGTCAAGACTGATAGTTTCATTGGAATGCCAGAATATGCGGATATGCTTTTGACCAAAATGAAAAATTTTAACGAGGAAAAACTTGGTATTTTTTGTTAATCGCTTAAATATATTTATTTCGGAAATTTCAGGTAATTATCAGCCATTTGAAATGTGCAATTTAGAATATGAATCTGAAAAGAAAAGCGCCATTGAAATGCACCAAGATGACACGTGGATTTGGGGAAATCGTTTGATTAGTATTAATCTATTAAGTGGATCTGTGATGACATTAGCGAATGACACCAAGAAACATCTATGCTATGTTCATATGCCTCATCGCTCACTGATTTGCATGGCCGATGAAGCCAGGTAACCGCTTTTAAAAATTTCCAATGATTGATTTGTCTAATGAGAACTTACGCTTAAAAATCCAAGTGATATTTTCTAAAAAAAAAAGACGTATTCAATTTTGATTTTTTCCGCAACATTTATCATATTCATAGACATTGAATAAATATAATTTTTTCATTGCAACCGATTTTAAATAATCAAAGTTGTTCCAGTACGCAGAAATGTCGAGTTATATTTTTATATTTTATATATATTTTTTTCAGGTACGAATGGACACATGGTGTTTTGGCGCATCATATACGAGGAAGAAGAATAGCGTTGACGATGAGAGAACCAGCTAAAGAATTTAAAGTCTGGTCACGAGATTTAAATGTTCAATTAATAACAATAGTTCAGGAAGGCGGAGAACTCTACGAGAAATATGGTGCTGAGTTGATACGTCTCGGAAACATTCGTGTCCCTTTGAATCATAAAACATCTGCATGTTGATTTCGGTGTTGAAACTATAAACCATTTGCAATCATGTCAATCATAATCACGTTACAACCAATGTTTTGATATTGATAGTATTTATTGATAACGTGGTACCGAAAACATGTTTGGTGCAATCCTGCACATATGTATGTACACTCAACGGAGACTATGTGTTGACGACCACTCTGGAAAATTACATAAAATTCTTATCGCATATTTGGATCGTACAATTCGCCACAAAGAACGTGCGGAGAACCCAAGTCGTCGATTTCGAATAGGGAATGCTTTTATCGAAGAGAGATCATGAGCCTGATTTGTAAAAAATACTGAAACTTAACAATCTGATCATTGAAATAAAGACAAAATAGTGAAGGTCAAACATTGAAAGTGGAAAATTCAGGTCTGAAATGTTTGTCTCAAATGAACCAATTATGGAATTTAAAAGTATTGCAACTATTAAGGTTCAAAGTGTTCAAATATCTTCATTCTTTTTTAAAAATTAGTATTCAATGATAGAAAACTTCCATTTTTTTTTCAAATAAATTTTGACGTATTCAGAGAGTAGTGCAAAATAGTCATTTTTAGCGGGAAAAATTACGAATTTTACATGTTTTCATTTAGTAAGAATGACAAATTCGGCAACTTTACAATCAGTGAAAAAAAAACGAAAAAGAAATTTGCTTCTCATATCTTTTTCTATCTATTTGACTTTAATGATTCGACAAGTTAAAAGAAAAACTAAACTTTAAAATTTTTGAGTTTTCTCAAAACTGAAAATCTTTCAACATTCTTATTAATGTTTTTTTTTCAATTTCATTTCTACTTTTTTCGCCGTCTTGCAAAAATTGTGTACATTTAGCAGAATGCTGAAATTGGTCAAAAATCGAAAATTTTATCTCTCGATTTAGATTTTTTCATTTGATCGCTCTTTGATGATCGCTTACTTCAATCACACCGACCACGAGGTTTTCTCTCTCACTCTCCTCATTCCTTCTACTATATCTTTTGCATGATCTCGTCGCCACGCCCACTTTTTTCGTTCGCCGTCAACAATACTCTCGGGTGGGTATATGAAGAGATATTTATATTTGGTGCAGTTCAATATCTCAATTCATTAACGACTATCTTACAAGTTTCCAATTTTTTACCAATTTGCCGAAATTCTCCAAAACATATTCCCAATGTTCGACTATTCGCTCAAATATTTCGAATATTCCAATAAATAATCTCATAATCTAATCTTCTTTAGACTTAGACATGAAAATTATAAAATCTCATTAAAATCATCCACACGAAACCGAAAATCATATGTGTTTGTCAAAAAAGTTCCGAGCTTGAATAAATAAACTCGGAGTGCTCTACTGCTCGCAAACAATTCAATTTTGTCCCCCCTCCCTATTGAAGATTGTATTTAGAAAAAATGATTTTCGATTCAAATTAATTTTTTTTGACAAAAATTCTATTCTTATTTAATTTTAAATTCAAAAGCCAAAAAAAGCCATTCAAAAGCCTTTTTTGGAAAGTTAGCCAAAAAAAAGACGCAAACAATAAAATTGAATCTTAATTTTTTCAAAACCAAATTGTTCTTATGATTATTTAAATATTTCAAATTACAGTTTGATCAAAAAATGAGCGATGAAGCGGCACGTCTTGCGAAAATCGGGCGCGAAGAATACGATCTGATCCGAATGCATGATGCGCCCGATGCCGATGAGAAGACAAAGTATGAGTGTGACCTGTCGCTGGCTAGATATCAGGTCCTTCGAGGCAAACTCGCTTTGGTATTCGTCTCCTCATTTTTGTTTCGATTTTCTGAGTTTAGGAGAAGGTTTACAACGAAGAGTTTGTGACACCTTCGAAAATGCGATATCTCAAAACCGATTTGGAATTCGCCGAAGAATATTTGCGAAAACTTGAGAACACGCCACCATCGTCACCAGTTTCTGAGTGAATTTTTCAAAATTTAAATAAATCATTAAATTTATTCTATCGAAAACCAGGAAATTTTAAAAAATGAAAAAAAAAAACGAATTTGACTAGAAGATGAAAAATAAACCGTACAAATAATGGCTATATTTAAAAAAAATAATTAAAACCTGAAAACAATCTCGTCTTCTTCGTCGCTTGTTGACAGTTTCTCGTCTCGAGACCTCTCGTGTTGACCATTTCTGATTTCAGGAACAGTTTCTTCGACAATTTCGTCTTTGTTAAATTTCAAAAAATGATATTCGGGAATTTCTGCCGTATTCCGGTTTTCTTCTGGCACGATCTCAGGAACTGAACTCAATCTACTCACTGGTCTCTTCGACTTTTCCTCATTTGTCGAACTAAAAATAGAAATTTTTGCCCATCAATATATTACAAATTTAAATGAAATTGTCGGCAATAATTTGAAGGCAAATTTTTCATTTTCAAATTGCTCTTCAATGTTTGTCTTCAAAATATATTTTATGGACCTATTCATGCAATGAAAAAAATTAAAAAAATCAATTTTTTCATTTGAATTCCCTATGCACGCACGTCGAAAATTAAAAAAAATTGACGCGATATATCGTAATTCTCCGCTATTTATTTTTAAAGGAACATGCGAAAAGTTGCGCGGGTCACGTCGCGAAGTCGGTACTGTAATTTTTTAATGGCTGTTTTTTTTCGATTTGTTTATTTTTTGAGCGTTTAAAACGTTTTTTTTGGAAATCTGTAAAAGCATATTGTTTAATCAACGTTAAAGTTTCATTAGAAGCGTCATCGATCGAAGTCTGCATCAAATCAGCACAAAAATCACTATTTTTCATGATAATTGGCATCTAAATGACGAAACATAGACAAATATTGTCGAATTATGAGTAATTATACCAACAATAATTGTTTTTACTCGTTCTTAAATCCGTTCGTCATTTTCTCTTCGAAGTTTTTGAAAAATACGGAAAAATAGCACACAGAATGAAAAATAAAAAATTACAGTACCGACTTCGTGACGTGACCCGCGCAACTTTTCGCGTGAGCCTTTGAAAAAAATTAGCGGAGAATTACGATATATCGCTTCAATTTTTTGTAATTTTTGACGTGCGTGCATAGGGAATTCAAATGAAAAAATTGATTTTTTAAATTTTTTTCATTGCATGAATAGGTCCATTACTGTGATTTACAATTTTTTGAAAACAACTATATAAATATTAAATAAATAAGAGCTTACCTCAAACATTGGCATTAAATAATGTTTACTTTTTTTTAAATTAATGGATCTATTCATGCAAGGAAAAAATTTAAAAAAAAAATCAATTTTTTCCATTTGAATTCCCTATGCACGCACGTCGAAAATTACCAAAAATTGACGCGATATATCGTAATTCTCCGTTATATATTTTTAAAGGCGCACGCGAAAAGTTGCGCAGGTCACGACGCGAAATCGGTGCTGTAATTTTTTATTTTTCATTTTGTGTGCTATTTTTCCGTATTTTTCGAAAACCTTAAAAAGAAAATGTGTAACGGATTGAAAAACGAGGAAAAAAACCAATTATTGGTATAATTACTCAAAATTCAACAATATAAGTCTATTTCTCATCATTTAGATACCAATTATCATGAGAAATAATGATATTTGTGTTGATTTGATGCAGACTTCGATTGATGACGCTTCTCGTGAATCTTTAACGTTTAGTAAACAAAATACTTTTACATATTTCCAAAAAATGTTTAAAAACGCTCAAAAAATTGAAAATTCGAAAAAAAACAGCCATTAAAAAATAACAGTACCAATTTCGCGTCGTGACCTGCGCAACTTTTCGCATGCGCCTTTAAAAAAAAATAGCGGAGAATTACGATATATCGCGTCAATTTTTTTGGAATTTTCGACGTGCGTGCGTAGGGAATTCAAATGAAAAAAAAATTAATTTTTTAAATTTTTTTCATTGCATGAATAGGTCACCTATAACATATGCAATTGAGACAAACCTCAAAGTTTTGGTTCTTGGAAGTGGTATTGGTTTGTCAGTTTCGTTAACATCTTCATCATGAATTGATTCGGAATTACTCGAATATGGAATCGAGGATGTCGTTGACACATCGGTGAATCCTGATGAGATAGTCAATCGATCAAGGCCGGGCTCTTGATAATCGCTGAGACGATGGGCACGAGATGAAATGAATTTTGCGAGATTCTTCGGAATTGTTCCGTCGTCCTCTGAATCAATCGCCCGCAAATCCATCATATTCCTTGATAGATTTTGATTTGCTGTTGTCGGAGGAACTGGAGCTTCGAATTGCGGCGGCAACGGCTCACTAACCGGTCGGAATACAACATTTTCCGAACTCGAATTCTCAAGCCTCGGTATCGAAGGAGCCCTTCCTTTTCCATGCCGTATCTTGATAGTCTCTGGCTTTATCGGAAGCGAATATTTTTTGACAAGTTTTCTCATAAAATCCTTATCAGTAAGCGTGCTTGGATAGCCTTCCTCATCAGTTTCCATTTCTTCAATTCTATAATGATTATTTGGTTTTCAAATAATTTCTTTTAGGTAATATCTATAAACTTTTTCCGGTCGATCTCATCAATTTCATCAAGCCAAGCATCCAAATCTTCCAAAATCTGAATTAAATTGATTATAAATGATATTAGAATGATGTGAAACTTCAGTTCCTTGACGTGATGTACTTCGGATGGTTCCCATTCGAGATGGAGTTTCATAAGTTGTTTGATGAGTCGAATGAGATGTTAAAATCGGAGTTTCGGTTTGCTGAAATTTTCAAGTAAAAATACCAAGTTAATCAATACAGTATTTTTCATTTGTTTTTCTGAAACAACATACAGATGTGACTGGTCGGTGAAGTGGAGAAAATGAATGAAGAGGAGTCGGGTTTTTTTGAACTGGAATTGGATCGTCAAGTCCAAAGCATAAAAGAAATTCGGGCCTTTCAAGGACCTAAAGCAAATTCTCATTTTATTCATTTTTTTTACCCGGAATACAATAGAATTCGGTTTGGGAGCTTCGATTCTCTCTGGAGTTGCAATCGTCGGTTGAGGCTCATTTTCAATCATCGTTGCTGGCCTCGGATTCGCTCTAAATTTCCAATTTCACATACTGGATAAATTCGAAGTCAGCGGGCCTCCGCAAACGACACTCCACATTTACGGAGTAGATCAAATTTGTTTCGAATTGAAATTTAAAAAAAATGGGGATTCGGTTCCATTTTCCAGTCAAATTCCGCAAAAATTATTTCTTGATGACGCCGTGCTAAAATTTTCGGCCCGCCCATCTCGGCCCGTTGCAAGAATGCAATTTGAAAATCAATAAAATGATTGTTCAAACCTGAAGATGATTGTTTCAGTAATTTGCTCATCGACATTTGAATTCAATGTTGGTTTCGAAATCCTCGGCGGCGGCGATGGAGCCCGATAAGATTTTGGGCTTTTTTTAACCGCCACATTTTGATATGCGTGCGATGTATGCAGGTTTTCATAATTTCGAATTGAGCCAATTTCGGGAATCTCGCGTGTAGCGCTTCGATCTAATTGTCTCGACTGAAATTGTACACAATCAGCCGATGAGTTTCAAAAAAATCTACCAATGTTCCTCCATTTGAAGACGATGGTCGAAGATATTCATGATTTCTAAAACACATTTTAAATAGTAGATCAAATGAATTGATCGAACCCTTCATTCCCATTCCCATTTAAAACTGTCCATGCGTCTTCTTTTTCCATATGCGCTAAATGTCTGAAAAATTCCGAAATATTTTTTTTGAAAGCAAAAAAAATGACATACCTAAAGTTATTCGGCATTGATATCATATTTTTCGCCAAAAATTTCGACGATTTTTTCGGTGGCAAAAGAGCGAAATCGTGGCTCATTTCCAAGAACAACCTAGGCCGTTTCGATTGATTGGCTTGCAAAATTGAAACAAATTTCGGACAAAAATTGATAACAGTGCGAGCGAGCACTCGGACGGTCGGTCGGTTCGGTCGAGAGAACCTTCCTGTCGTGTGGCGATCAACGCAGGCGAAAAAATTGAAATACGTTCATGCAAACATGTACAAACCAAATTTGCTGATAATATCGGAGACGCAGACATTCACATACATGAATGACTCATTCAAGCCGGTGGTTGGCAGTGTGAGATTATATTATGTACTATGTGTTCGAGAAACAATTGCTGGTTCTACATCACAACAATTCCTTACATTCAATCACGATACCATTTTCACTAATATTACATATAAGCATATAAATAATAATAATAATAATAAACATGGAGGATTATAACAGGTTTATGAGATTTATAGAAAAACTATAATGCCTGTTGGTCGGCATTTACAAGGAAATTTGTAATCAGCGCGGATAAGCCACGTGTTATCATCATATCAGTAGTTTTTGTAATCAAATAGTGATTGATGATCATTATTTAAAAAAAATGAAAATCAAAATTAATTAAACATTTGATTATAAAATTTTCTTCATTATTTTTCAAAACGTTACTTATCAGTACGTCAGACGACAATTATAACCATTTTTTAAGAAATTTGTTAAAAATTTGAAAAAAATGTTAAATGAAAAGTATTAAATGGTGAAAATAGGGGTCTGATGCGAAATTTCCCGGAAATCTATGAAAATGAACAAATTGACCAGATATTTTGTGGATATTTAATACTTTGTAGTATAAAATGAATCATGTAATTATGAAGATTCTCCTGACGTTGATTTTCCGTTCAACCAAATCTTCCATTTTTTTCAATCCCACGCAATTGTTGTTTGCGTATGATTTCATGTTGAATGAATTTAAAATCTATTTACCTATTTTAAATTTGAGATAAGAAAACCTCATTGTGTTGCTGCAAATAAGCTAACTTGTACGGGAAGGTTTTTTGATGACGTTCCAGCAGGGTCTACTATCTATAAAGAATCACATCCAATGATATTCCATTTGTTTAATTAGTCCAATTATCCGATAAGTAGGCTTTAGGAAATTGTGTAGATACTACCAGTCCAAAAATTCGAATCAGATGACTGAATACGAACCAGCATAATATGAAATATTCTTGAGCATCTCCATTATTATCATTAAATATCCAACTTTAAAATGTTTTTCATTTAAAGAAAGCATAGTTTTAAATTCCATCACGTTTCTAGCCAATTTTTACAAAATTCTCTCACGCGTAGCCCACGACAGCAAGCCAGAAGATTAGGCCTACGCAGGTGGCATAGAATACTTTTATAATGATATTCACCTTTTCATGATGAACCAATCAATAGCACACTAGATTAGACCCCCCTTCCCCCGAATTAGTCAGGCTGCGCAGAGCACGCTCTCCGCAACGGATTGCGCAAACAAATGATTTCTACTGTTACCTACTACTACTACTACTACTTTGTTATTCGCTTGGCACATTTCCTTTCAGTTTTTCTACCAATTAATTATATATGAAACTTCTAGACACTATTTCAGATTATTAACACCGTCAAAACAAAAGGCAATGAGTTGTAGTGAGCAATCGTTGACAGACATGTTTGATAACATTATCCACAATTATGGAGACGAACAATTTTTGTCGGTATTATGGAATGTAATAAAAGGAAGGAAGACGTCGGCAAAATTTGCTGCTATTAAGTACATGACTCGGAACGTTTTCGAAGTTGAATGGCCAGCAAGTCCCGAAATGGTAAGCAACTAACAAATTCATTTTTCTCAAATGACTCACACATAGGTGATTGCGATTTGTGCTTTAATTGAAGAAAAGCAACCGACTATAAGACGATTTGTGTTTCACTTTTTGACGCGAAACTTCCCCCTGAATGTGCCGAAGATGTCGGATAGCCAATATATTTTTATTATTAAAACGTGCATTTCTGCGTTCAGCTATTTCAATGACATCATGTACGAAACACTAATCAATTTTCTATTTCAAAATGCCGGTGAGTTCGAAATGGAGTGGTTGATGTTTTTAGTTTGACGATGATTTCTAGATCAGCAAGATCGAGCGACTCGTTTGTTGATGTCCGGAATCATAGAATATTTAGAAGACTCGAACAACAGTGTGATTAATATGGAAAAATACGAGGATGAGCTTGAATGCAATTATCCCGGATTGCGAGTGTGCCATTTGATGATTCGAGTTCAGCCGAAAATCCGCAATTTTCGAGCCGTTTTCCAGCAAATCATTCCATCGGTTCTGCGAAATACGAGCCGAGTTTTTCACGAAATCTCATTCATCAACAAACTTGGCGAGTTTCTTCAACCGTTTGGTTCCGATATTGTTTGGAAGTCGATCGAAGTCGATTTTGCGAACAAACTCATCTGTTTAAGTGAACATTTCACCAAAAATGTTCGATGCGTTTCTCAGGTACTTAAATTTTCAAAAATTTCCCATTTCGTGTGTGTTTTCAGGTGTTTGAAAGTTGCAGACAACCACTATATTTTAATCATTCTCGAAATTATGAAGCTAAATATCGATTGCTCGAAATCGTTCTCAAATGCCTCAATTCAAAATACACTTTCGACAATTGCGATTTTAATGATATTACCTCAATATATCGAAGTTCCCAGTTTGTGGTTCGTCAATTTCGAGGAATTTCGCGTACAAGTGGTGGGTGCGATTAGGAAATTATCAAAACATAAATAAATTTCAGATCTTGTCGAAAAAGGAATGCAGCTTTTCTGTAAAACGATCACATTTTTCTGCAACTTTTACTTGGAAACTCGCAATCCAAATATGAAAGAATTATTCAGAATGGCCGATTGTGTTGTTAGTAAAGATCTGATAATGTTTCCAAATGATTCTGATGCGATTACACAAATGTTTTCAAACATAATTGCCCCTATTCTAAAAGTATTCACAATTTTTTAAATGTTATATATTTTGATCAAATTTCTAGGTGATCGATGTCGATAATTGGCTAATTACGGTAAAAAACGATCAATGCGATGGCAATGATTTTCAAATTCGATTATCACTTTCCTCCATCGTTGTCGCATTTTACAAACAATCGTATTGCACAATTAATCGACATGATGAAGCTCTTGAAGAAATGATCGAGAGAAATGCAAAACTACAAGCATTTGTCACGACGCCGTCTGAATTACATCCATATATATCTCAAACCCAAATGATGAACTTGGAAGAAATTAAATTGTTCGCAAAAGTTTCCGAGATTCTATTAATCGCTAAAGAACACGAGCGCTATTTGAACATCAATGACAAAATCGATTCAAGCGCTTCCATGATTGATTCGATAAAATAGAGGTAGTTGGATTGAAGGAATACATTTTATGACTTTGATATTTTCAGATGTGATAAAGCCATTGGGATTTTTCGAAAAAAAAGGTTCTGGAATAGAAAACCTTGGTTTTATGAACACACCTCATTTAATAAAAATTTTTCAATAAATGAATATTAAACAACTATTCAAAAATGCGTGTTATAAATCAAATAATATTCAAATATTCAAGTGTGAAAAGATGATTTGAATTGCAACGTGAAAATCTTCTAAAAGGATATGTTATTTCTGCCCACTAATTCCATCAAATTCTCGTTTTTTATTTTGATATCCGGCTATGACACGCCCACATCGAAGTGCGAAAAGTATTCTTGCGAAGAGTGTATGTCATTCATTAGAATCGCGCTGCTTCAATTATGGGTTCAAGACGCGAAACGATGTGACATCCGGCTCTCGGTCGCCATTCGGCTCACCAACTCGAACAACAAGCAGCTTTGCGAGCAGCGGAACGCGTTCCGCTGATGATTCGGCAGTATCTTCAAGCGACTATCCAACAAGCGATTCGAAATGTTTTATTAATAACTATGCCTCAAAATTTGATGATGACAATGAATTGCAGACAGTACTGATCGTTCTTATCGTTCGAATCATTCGGATCGTTCCGATCGTTCGGATCGTTCCGTTCGCTCATCGCGACACCGAGTTCGTTCGAATCCGATCCGTCGATTTGCGCCCCACAAAACTAGCAGTAAAAAGGTTGAAAACATTTGTAAGGTGACAGATAAAATCCTTTCCAATCAAGGTGCTTCAATCATTTTTTTTCCTACATGGATAAAATATTTTCAGTCAAAGAATTTCTTAAAAGCTATGCTGAAGATGAGGAATTCGAAGCATTTACAATGGTTTTGGATGACATTCCATTCATTTCAATTTCTTTGCTGAATGCTGACAAACGTAAGAGTCAATTGAATAGAAATACGTAATAATCAATTCTCGAAATATTCATTAAATGGGTTATCTCAATTTTCACGCCTTGGTTTTCCCGATAATTTTTTTTGTAATTTTTAGCTCTTCGTGATAAATTCTTCAAAATGCCACCACCAACACCAATGAAACCATCAACTAGATCAACTAGAAATTCTTACAGATCGTCGAGATCGAAGGTTTTATGATATGTTGGCATACTTTTGTAATAATTGATTTCAGAAAAGAGGAAATCGCCGGAATAGTGTTCGATTTAGCGAGATCAGTGACAGGGTGCTCGGTGATTTAGAAAAAAAAAAGTTTTTAATCTTTATTTCAGAGCCTTGATCGAAGTCTGAGTGATCAAGCCTCGGAAGTTTTCGGTATATTCAAATGTCCAGAATAATGTAAAATGAATTTTAGAAGAGAACAATCGACGCTATTCTGATTTGTGGAATGAACGCGCCCGAAACCGACATTCATGAATAAATGATTATCTGAATGAATTCTGATGCCAATTGATTATTTTTAACTGTTAATTCGACATAACATCTTCAGTGTGTGACACATTCTTTCTCGGAGATATGTCCGTTGCTCTTCCAGCTCTGCTTAATGATGATCGTGGTCTGAAAATGTCGAAGAGTCAAACTTTGCCGGTTCAGATCTTCTCGATCGTTCAATTCCGTTGTGGTAGAGTTGCTCCAATACCACTACCTTCAGTTTATATACATATATAATGTTGAGAAATGACAAAAGTATCCAGGTGTCGTGGAATTCTGCGTTTTGTACGCAATGTGATGAGCTAGTTACCATAAAAAATTTAACAATATTAATCGACATTTTTTTATACATACTAGCTGGATATATCAAATATATAAATATAGTCAGTGTCCGGCGACTGTTGTACGCGGGTAGATTTACGCACATGCGCCTTGAAAAAGTCTCGCCACGTGTGAACGCTCATTTTGCTGTTTTCACGTGAACGATTAATTTTTTTTCTTGATGAGTTTGGCATTTCTGGTTTTGGATTTCAAAAATTCATTTTACAATAGTATATTTCCGGCTTCGCGGGACTACGGAAAATTGGCTAAATGCCAAAAAATTTAAAAAGGTCGCGGTGTACGATGTGCGCCTTTAACCTATCCTTATATTTGACTCGTAAATCTCCAATTTTGATTTGGCGCCCAGACCTCTGTTTTTTTTAAGCATTTAGCCAATTTCCCGCAGTCATGCAACGCCAATAATACGATAAAATTAAAATCACATATGATGGAATCGAAATCGTAATGGCCGCGTTTGAAAAGCGATTTCGTCGTATACGACTACGAACCATCTACCAGTGAAGCCGGAAATCTCGTTGTTTCCATTGGAAAAAGTACAAAATGAGAAAAAAATTGAGAATCACTCTGTGACGCATCCTCTCCTGGCGCCAAGCGGGAGGGGACCGTCACCCTGTCAGTGCCCTGACAAGCGGACCAAACTATCCACAATATGAGAAATATGGTTTATTATGGATAAATGTGGGCCGGTGCCCGAAGGCAACCGGCCAGCAAGGCAGCAAATTTCCCAACTCCCAGTAAAAGGGGACGGGCCTCCTTCTCCTAGTAAGAAGGAGGCACGAGAGATAGAAAGGATTGCGGGAAATTGGCGCTAGCTAGATTGTATGGCTGTCTACGTTTACTATATCGTCACAACTCGAATAACCCAAACCAAACGAACCAAAGAAGAGTTTTGGATGTTTCAAATACACGTTTATTCGATCGTAGGGTTAAATGTCAAAACTTAAAACCTAAATTGCAAGGATTAATGTTCCATGTTTTCAATTTCTTCAATTATTGCCAGAGCTCTTCGCAAAATCTCTTCAGCGGCCATTTCGCGCTCTCCGTTTATGGTGATGGTGTCCTCTTTATACATTTTGTAGTAATAATACATCCCAAAAAGAGTTGTCGCATTTGCTAGAGGAAACTGCATCTGATAAGCAGTTTTCAACTAAAAAGATAATGATTAATATAGTAATAGAACTAATTGTTACATTTTCGAATGTGAACGGAGCATTCCGGAATTTTGATAGTGCGTCGTAGTAGAACTTCAAATATCTTAACAATTATGAGTCTCAAATTGATCAGTTGTGATTTTTTTTTACTTTTCGGTGTTGTTTCTTCGATTTTCAACACTCAAACCTAAGGTTAAAATCCGGCAAAGATCAGTGGCAATAGATCCTTTAGCAAGATGTTGAAAATCGATAATAGCTTCAATCTGAAACAATTTTCACTGTGGTTCATTCGAATAAAATATCGTTCATTACTTCGTTCGATTGTACATTCCACAAAATGTTGCTTGCATTCAAATCGTTATGTACTAACACGATGGGCATTCCAATAGCTTTATCGATTTTCAGTGAACGTTCGACACTGTCACGCGAAAATATCCATTTGACCTTATTAATTTTTCCCTTGAAAAGCTCTGGTCGCAAGTTTTCAATATCAGATGTATCATTGAACTGAAATAAAAAAAGCATATTTATAATCTGATTTATGTCGATGGTGAATTTTTACCATCATTTCCATATAGTCGCCATCATAGAGATCATTTTTATAATTTTCCCACTTTATTCGATCAGTCATTGAAAGCGTTGTGTGATGGAATCCGGCGAGAGAATTGAGAAGTTTGAGTAACTGAAAAAGATATAGCATGGTTTAGTTTAGTTGGATTCTGGAAATAACGACTACCAGAATCGGTCGCTGCGAGACTCAGCCAAAAAAAATCGACTAATTGATAAAATGCTCAAAATATGAAACATAAGCTGTTTTGTATAAAAATTATGGATCCATGGGAGTTTCCAAAAACGGTCGCTGTTCGTTCCAAAATGTTTTACACTACCAGTAAGGCATTCCATTCACAATTAAAATATTAATTACCTGTTCTTCCGTAAATCCGGGAATATAATCAATAGTGTAAGTTATACCGCTGAGATCTTCAAAAACGATTCCGCCTTTATCAAATTCATAATCTTCGACATAAAAGTTCTTTGGAATTTTGAATTCGTTGAACTGAACATGCCGGAAATCACGGTTGAAAGCGTACTCGCGCTGAAAAGTCCGTAATGTTATTCCTCGGTGTTACAACTTTTTTCTACCATTTCCACAAAAAATTTAAAATCAATAATCTTGCAACCCTTCGCAAATGAAAATTTTCGGCAATCTCATCGGGCGAAACGCGCCATTTTCTGTTTTGACGAATAATTTCTTTTTGCGAAAAGAAGCCATGTTTCCGCCGATGAGTTTCCCTTTTTTTTGAATTATTACCTCACACATTTTTTTGAGCAGCTTTTCGTTTTCTTCATCATTATCTTGATCCAGTGTACTATTTGTTGTTGAAATTTTTGGAATCTAAATATTTTTATTATATTGCCGTTTGTCATTAAAACACACCTTTATAAACACTCGGTTTGGTATTTCTTCTATTATTTCGTTTGTTTTTGGCTTCAGAATCACTCGATAACACTCGGACCAAAAACTACGTGCATTTTCAAGTTGATGTATCAAAATCTCGTACTGAAGACTATTCTTCCCATATTCTTTTTCAATGGACCTTACCTTTTCAAAAACGCGTTCTTTTAAAGAAAATGAGTTTGCAATAAGACGCAAGATATGTTCGTCACTCATTTCTGAAAAGAAATATTGTCAAAAAACTTGTGAACAATGTGAACCAGGAACTAAAATGATTCGAATACTAGACAAGTGATAACCGAGAACAGTACTTATACATTGTGACACTTTGCATAGTTTGAAGAGATCATAAAACAGAGAATGGTTTTATCAATGCGTATAATTGATGGTCTCTGCAAAAATAGCGTTGTGGAAACATTTGAATTGACCAACCAGTTTAATGTGCGAACGTTTTCAGCAGTTAATTCGGTAATTTGAATAAAATTTGAATAAGCAGTAAATATTCTCATTGTCACGAAACTAATTTTCAATTTCTGTTCAGATCTATTGTTGATTTTCGAGAAAAGAGGCATGGACCGGCAAATTATTCGGATTCAACACTAGACTGAATTTTTAAACAGCAGTATTTATAATACAATATTTATAGAAGGAACTTTATCGGGAATTCCCAAGCGCAATTCAAAATTATCGCATTTGACGACAACCGGCAATAAATTTCCCAGAATGTAGAAAAATTGCCCCGGATAGATACGAAACTCCGTATTATTTAGGCCTACGAATAGTTTTCACAGAAATTTATTTCAAATGATGATGCGAAAAAAAATGAACAATGAGTCATCTCGAAACATTTGACAGAAAAAAGTAGTCTGCGTTCGCATGTTCTATATTTTTAATTGTTTATTTGTTTTTATGGAGCAATGCAGAATGATCATTTTTCTTTTTTATTTTCTCTGCATTTAATCTTAATTGATATTGTCGATACCCACATTTAAAAACTGTTGTCTATAATATTTAAGCTACTATGGAGATTTCATCAAAACTTTTAAACAACGGTTAAAACCAGAAGACACTTTTGAGTTTTCCCAAAATCTACATGATTCCATTGTATTGTCGACTGTCTCTTGAAGAAAATTAAAATTCGATTTACTTTTATTAACTGTTTTTTCAAACTAGAGAAAATTTTGATCTTATGAAGCGTCCGTTTTTACGATTGCGAGGTAATGGCATTGTCAATAATGACATAGCATTGCATCAATTTTGAATTCAGTCGTTCTACAGTTTTTAGACAAAATAGATTTTTGTTGTCATCTTCTCCGATTGTTGTGTACATTTATTAAAAAATCTTTTTTTTTTCATTTGGTAGATTGCCTTCGCTTATTTAATTTTATTTATATATCGATTCTCAAATCGTTATTTGTTGAATGCGTTTTCTTTTGAAATGTTTGTTTTTATGGGTCTATTCAGCATATTGTAGAAAAGTCGAAATAACGCTACGTTTGAAAAATTTTCCGTGGTTTCATCGAATAAAATGTCAAATTCGGCAATTTTGTGAGCACTGAACACACTTTGTAGTTTTTACTTACTTATTTACTTACTTAGTCTTACTTACTTATTGTAGTTTTTACTCACAACGAAATTTCAAATCTCATCAAGAATGACAAATGGGTCGACATAAACACACACATAAACACGCGGTCGCCTTTTTGTCTGCCGCATTTACCAGCTGCGAAACTGCCAAGACCTCCCATGCGATTATTCATTTAGATATAAATTTATATATTGTCAGAGTAGCGCGACTGCGAGAAATTGTCTAAATGCCAAAAAAAACAATGACAATGTTCTTGGCGCAAAATTATTAGATTTACGGGCCTATGTATTACGATAGGTTAAAGGCGCAAACCGCGTACAGAGACCTCTTTAAATTTTTCTTGTCATTTGGCCAATTTTCTGCAGTCGCGCGAAGTCGACAACATATATTTGCTTGTATTGCATCCTATATAAGTTTTTAATAATCTCGTCTACACTTTTTCCGTTTGCTACCGCAATCTATATTTGCAACATCACCGTGAGTTCGAACAGCCGGCCGTCTGCCGTTTTGTTGTTTAGATGTTTACGTCTCTTCATATATCTCGTCTCATGAACAAATGCATTCTTCTGAGATTTATTTACTCATTTCTATTTTAATTATTGCGTATTATTCTCTCTTTGTTCTATCAACTAGTATACACACTTTAAAGGTATAGTGTATGCCGACGGCATGAAACCGAATACTTCGGACTCCAAGTTGAAAAATAAATCTTCGTCCAAAGTAAGAGTGTTATCGAAATATCGAAATTACATATAGAGCATATTTCAGAAAGAAGATGCATTGGAGTCTAATCGCAAGGCGATAATTCAGAAATTCAAGGGAGTTAAGCGGAATAAGAATGTGATATTTCCCAAAGGTAACATTTGTTTTTTTTTCCCATTTTTCGGAATTATTCAATATAGTCATAATATATCAATCAATAGTTGAGAAATGCCCATTAGATACAGGATTCATCTTTCCTGACAACAGTTGTGAAAACTGGCAAACGATTCCAAACTTGTTTTTTTTCTGAAATGAAGTGGATTATTGATAAAATCAAGAAGAATGTCGATAAGAAAAATTGGTAGTGAAAAAACGGTAGCGAAAAATCGAAAGTGAAAAAACGGTAGTGCAAAATCGGTAGTGAAAAAACTATAATTTAGGTAGTGAAAATTTGGTAGTGAAAAATCGGTAGTGGAGTGAGAAATCGGTAGTGAGGAATCATTGGCCATGTCGGTGTCCACTGAAACTACCGTTTTCCTAACTTTTAAAGAAAAAATTGAATGCGCTAGGTATTAAAATTCAATGCTTAAAAATTTTATAAAAGTCCAATTTTTAATTATTCGGCAATCTGAGCGAGAAAAAAGCGAGTGGGAAAAACATACGGTATCGTCGAAATCGCGCGTCAGCGACAATACGCGCATTTAGTACTCCACGCCACTTAACGATTCGTAAATGTACCCGAGCGTAAATCGACAATATTTTATAATCTCAATAAGTCTTTTTTTCAGTTAATTTGGATGCGTATCCGTTGATACCTGATTTAATGAAAGTCGATAATGAGATGATTGAGGAAAGCCTGTCAACTGTTATTTATCATGAACCAATTAAGCCGGTGATTGAAATTTCCGAATTAAATCAGCCAAAACGCCTTCCGAAAGAAATGCGGTGTTATCGTTCGTAAGTAAAATATGCAATTAAATTAAAATTATTTGAGTCTAGGCTTATTCGCCAATACTTGCGCCCCGAACCATTTACAGTGCCATACTCAGTTTTGACACAGCCGAGAATAATCGCTGGTGTCGACGTTACGGAGCTTACAAAACGCTTCGCGAATTTTGATAAATTCCTTCTATTGCATAATCTGTCGGTCGCGAGAAGAGAATTCTTACAGTATGACAGAAAGATGTTTAAAAGCTTCAAGCGTGTCGGTAATGGGGGAATTTATTGCCAACAAGAATTCTAATTGAAATCAATTTCAGCTGCTAAAGATGTCGACATGAACAATCCTGATTTATTCGGATATTATAAATTGTTCCCATTTTTTAATAATGAACCACAAAAAGTTAGATTCAGGTAGAAAAAAGAAACAATTTGTTATTTAATTATGTTTAATTTATTTAGAAAAATGTACGATTTTATTGAGGGAATCTGTTCGCTTCGGTATAATTTCGATTATCAAAAGGAACCGGAATACAGTGAACGCGATGAGTATCGAAAAATTTATTTGGAATGCGCTATTAAAATGAAAAATATGGGAAATATTGCTGCCTTTGACGATCTTTTCCATATGCCAAAGAAATCTCAGCCAGTTGGACGTCGTCAAGATCCGATGATGAAATGTATTCAATAATATTACAAAAGTGATGTACACATTGCAAATTTCTTCAGATTTATCGAAATCAATGGAAAATGTGTCTTCGCTAGATATTCCGTGTGAAAAAAATCCGAGAGCTGAATCACTGCCTAGACGTAATTTACTCAAAATATGTATTTAAAATTTGTGTTCAATTTTTGTTTCAGAAAAATCACCAATTAGGAGTCAATCAATCGCAGCGACGGCTGTTACGAATTCGAAACCAAGAAAAACTAGAAGAAAACCGTCTCAGGTGAAACAAGGATCGTATGATCCGCGAGCAGCTGCCGTTCCTCCACTAATCGGATTGAATTCGATCCCAACCACATCGAAGGTGTATCGAATTCCAAAGAAGTCAAAGACTGTTGATGAAAATAATAAGACTTTGGAGAATTCTTTTAATCGAAACGCAGTATTGCCAAAACAACGGAAAGATTCGGAAGAAGCTAATACGCATGTGGCTGTCACGAACCGACCTTTGGCAAACAACATTAGCAACACATGCCCTTCCACCAACGCACCAAGTACTTCAACACAAAATTCAACGGACTGCATTCGTCAATGTCCATCAACAAGTAGGACGGTTGATCAAATGTTGAATCATCAAGAAACGAACGAATCGCCGGCCACTTCGAATATGCGATCTAAGCCAACTGTAGATGCTATGTTAGCCCAACAACGTTCTCGAAAAGTTGTCGATATGATGACAACTACAACTAAGAAGAAACCACTTAATTTGAAAGATGGATCTCGACCAATATTAGAGAGGGCTGATTTACACTTACCCGGTTCACGACTAAACAATGAAAGACGGGAACCTGGATATGTTCATGAAGACGCACTACTAAATGACTATGCACGAAGAAGCACAAGCATAGGAATTGGTTATGATTCTCGAAGTTCAAGTTCAACTCAAAGTCCTGGCCCTCGATTCAAGGATGATCTAAGGCTACGGTCGGTACAACCGTCAGTGTCCGGTTCTCAATTACCTACCGTTCCACGCCTGGTAAAAGCATCCTTGACATCTGATCATTCTTTGAGCCAAGAAGTTAATCAAGCGTATCGTCCTTTGTTTTCTGATTATGCACCACCAAAATCAATTCCATCATCGGCGGCTGCTCTTCAGCTGAGCACGGAACATCATCAGCAACTGGATCGCCTGTCGACATCTGATATTCAATTAAAGGACCCAAGACTAAGATCGGATTCTCAATTACTTTCCGAACGTCCGATGCCACGAGATGCACTACCAAGATCAATTCCATCATCGGCGGCTGCTCTTCACCTGAGCACGGAACATCATCAGCAACTGGATCGCCTGTCGACATCTGATATTCAATTAAAGGACCCAAGACTAAGATCGGATTCTCAATTACTTTCCGAACGTCCGATGCCACGAGATGCACTACCAAGATCAATTCCATCATCGGCGGCTGCTCTTCAGCTGAGCACGGAACATCATCAGCAACTGGATCGCCCGTCGACATCTGATCTTCAATTAAAGGACCCAAGACTAAGATCGGATTCTCAATCACTTTCCGAACGTCCGATGCCACGAGATGCACTACCAAGATCAATTCCATCATCGGCGGCTGCTCTTATCCTGAGCACGGAACATCATCAGCAACTGGATCGCCCGTCGACATCTGATCTTCAATTAAAGGACCCAAGACTAAGATCGGATTCTCAATCACTTTCCGAACGTCCGATGCCACGAGATGCACTACCAAGATCAATTCCATCATCGGCGGCTGCTCTTCAGCTGAGCACGGAACATCATCAGCAACTGGATCGCCCGTCGATATCTGATATTCAATTAAAGGACCCAAGACTAAGATCGGATTCTCAATTACTTTCCGAACGTCCGATGCCACGAGATGCACTACCAAGATCAATTCCATCATCGGCGGCTGCTCTTCACCTGAGCACGGAACATCATCAGCAACTGGATCGCCCGTCGACATCTGATATTCAATTAAAGGACCCAAGACTAAGATCGGATTCTCAATTACTTTCCGAACGTCCGATGCCACGAGATGCACTACCAAGATCAATTCCATCATCGGCGGCTGCTCTTCAGCTGAGCACGGAACATCATCAGCAACTGGATCGCCCGTCGACATCTGATATTCAATTAAAGGACCCAAGACTAAGATCGGATTCTCAATTACTTTCCGAACGTCCGATGCCACGAGATGCACTACCAAGATCAATTCCATCATCGGCGGCTGCTCTTCACCTGAGCACGGAACATCATCAGCAACTGGATCGCCCGTCGACATCTGATATTCAATTAAAGGACCCAAGACTAAGATCGGATTCTCAATTACTTTCCGAACGTCCGATGCCACGAGATGCACTACCAAGATCAATTCCATCATCGGCGGCTGCTCTTCAGCTGAGCACGGAACATCATCAGCAACTGGATCGCCCGTCGACATCTGATATTCAATTAAAGGACCCAAGACTAAGATCGGATTCTCAATTACTTTCCGAACGTCCGATGCCACGAGATGCACTACCAAGATCAATTCCATCATCGGCGGCTGCTCTTCAGCTGAGCACGGAACATCATCAGCAACTGGATCGCCCGTCGACATCTGATATTCAATTAAAGGACCCAAGACTAAGATCGGATTCTCAATTACTTTCCGAACGTCCGATGCCACGAGATGCACTACCAAGATCAATTCCATCATCGGCGACTGCTCTTCCGCTGAGCACGGATTATCATCAGCAATTGGATCGCCCGTCGACATCTGATCTTCAATTAAAGGATCCAAGACAGTTGACTGATATTCATGATGATTCTCCTCTAACATTAAATCCGAAGTCAAATGCATTATCATCTTATAATGCTGAATTGTGCGAAAATGAAAAACTAAGAATCAATCCTGCGATGACCAGTAATATTAGATTGAACGAAAATCTAAGCCTAAACGATGGTTCATCCTTGACTCTTGATTGTCAAAACAAATTTAACGTTCCTACGAATTCTTATTTGAGAGATCAGAATCAGAGCTCCATTAGTAACATGCAATGCGATAATGTCGTTCGATTCCCTTCTTATTCGGCAACTGAACAGCATACAAGTGACGGCATTCGTGACGAATTTGATTTGGTTCTCGGGTTGATTCACCAACCATTTTCGTTGTTTGAAAATCTAAGAGAAGCAAGTATGTTTAATTAGAAAATTTATTGAAAAAAAAACTTTACTTTAGCTTCTCAAAAAACAATTCCGATTCCTGTCGAATCTCAACCTAGCAGTTCAATTCATAACATCACAGGTTAGTTTAATGTTTGTTTGGACAATATACAGTTTTACTAATAATTTTTCCGTGTTTTGGCAAATGTCTGAAAATGAATTGACTGATACTGCGCGCTCCAGAGGCCCTACAACTTTTGGGGGCCGCTCTGGAGCACGCGTCGACCTAGGTTAGTTTTCATGCAACGAATTTAAACATTAAATGAATTATAATTGATTATAAACTGTCTCAAGAATTAGTCCGCAATATTGCAAAAGCCTCAAGTTTTTTTTGAAACAACAAATTAGTCAATGTTTTTGACAAGTGTGTGATAACTACACATTGGAAAATTGATGAAAATTAGATCTGTGGATCAAAAGTGGATAAAATTGATCGGACACAGATGCACTTTTCATCAATTGCTCATCTATTAGCCAACGTGCAATAATTTTTTTTGTCTTCAGGATCTTTAGAATATCAGTCGTCGTCCACATCTTCTATGTAAGTCTATACAGATCGGCGTCCGGCGACTGCTGTACGCGGATAAATTTACGGGGATGCTTCATTCTCTTCGCTCGCGCTGACTGACTGGTTATTTTGCATTTTATGGATTGGTTCGATAATTTTTGAATCGAACGACGTTAGAAATTCCAAGAAATGCCAAACTCATCCAGAAAAAATTCATCGTTCACGTGAAAACTGCAAAATGAGCGTTCACACGTGGCGAGACCTTTTCAATTCGCATGCGCGTAAATCTACCCGCGTACAACATTCGCAGGACACCGACTATACATATTTTTTCAACTTTTACAAATTCAGCAAGTCGACATCGATAGCTGCCTGCCAAATGAATGATGGGCACGATTCTTCTATTTCGAGCAATAAGGAGACAAATGGAAATAAAATTGGCATGGCTGACTCTTTTGATGGTACCAATCCAATCGAGCTTAAGATTAATAAAATAGTAAACTTCACAGTCATGAATTTACCTTAACAATATTTGCAGAATTTAATGAATAAGGCAAAATTAATGGAAAAGGACAAAATAATTGAGGCCTTGAAGAAAGCGGATGAAGTATATTTCATAACAGTTAATTAAAGAAAAATAAATTCAGAATAAGCGGATAACGGTAAAGCAAGAGCCAGTTGACGATGGATATGAACCTTCTATGATAATTTCAAATAATGATCTTGAGCAAGAGCCAATCGATGATGAATTCGAAGACGAAGACGATATTGTTTGCGAAGGGTATGTGTTGCAATATTCATGAACATACCGCGTATGTATTATTCGTATACCCAAGTGAGTTCTGGCTCTCCGGGCATACTTGCAACGGGTGAGGCTCGGGCTGAAATATAACAGACGATTTTTTGCGAAAGACTAGAAAATGATGCTATTTCTAAATTAAAAAAAAACAATTCAATTTAAAAATCAATGAGAAACTACACTAAATGTGGTTTAGTTCTCCCATGCCCAATTGAACTGTCCTAAATTCACTGACAAAAGATATACATAAGATTAAAGAAAAAATATTTTTAGGCTTGTTCTCAAAAACGCGTCGGATCTTTTAGAAGTTCCGAAACTAACGACGAAGCCCAATGATTCGAAGTGGAGACTTGTCGAAGTCGATTTGAATCATCTTCCTGACGCATTCCAAAAAAATGAATACTTCAAGAGATATTATAAAATTGATTTAATCAAAGGATGTTCGGAATTAGCGTGTCGCTCACTCAATACTGAAACCAAGTATTGTACAGAGGATGGTCCAATGAAAAGTGAGTTGAGGATTCATCATTTTATATTTGTATTGATTCGAAAAATCTAAAAATTAAATGAGTTTCAGCTGTAGAGGATTTGCGAAAAGAAATGCACGCGTTCTCAGATAAATTTGGTTTCACTGAGTCAATTGATGAAATCGACATTACGGTTGAAGAAATTGACGAAGACAATAATCTTCATGTTGCGGATATGAGTTCGGCACGAATGGAACGGAATCTTTCGACGAATAAAACGAAAAAAGGGGGAAAAGGAGGTACGATCATAGAAATTGTTCAATGATATACAAAGTTTCTTTTTTAAGAAAAAAAGGCAATTAACTTTGCGAAATTAGATGTTAATGAGTTAATTAAAAAGTATCGTTATCCTTTTCTGAAGAATGAAGGTGTCTACTTTCCTCTTGGACCTCTGCCGAGGAATGACGGGGTGATTAATACGGAAGAAGACAAGTATGACAAAATATGATCGATTCGAGCCATCTTCATTTGTTTTCAGAGAATATATCGAACGCATGATTGCTTCCTCAACGTATGTCGCTGGATTCGAGAAAATTGTGGTATGCAGATTTCATAATAGTACTATACAGATCGCAAAAAAACTTGTAAAAAAAAAGCTTTAAAATTTCTAAAACAAAGCAGGTTGCGTATAAAACTCGATTTTTAAGTTTTTATTTAGTGTTCTTTCCAAAACCTATATATGTAGAACCATCATAATTAATTAGCACCTGATAGTCGGTTTCCGACGATAAATGTATCCGTGTAGATTTCCGAGTGCGTCTTTCGTCATGATCTCGGTTATAAAAATTAAATGTGATCGAAATGTTTCATTTAACGAAAAATAACCAGTTAATTCGCGGGAAACCACTGCGCCCGTAAATCTACACTCGTATATTTGTTTTTCTTTACGCGGTGGGACCAGTGTGTCTACCCGGGACGAAGTTTCCCGGGAATTTCCGGGTTCCCGGGAAATTCCCGGGAAAATTTTCCCGGGACCCGGGACTCATTGAAACTTAATTTCCCGGGATCCCGGGATCCCGGGAAATTCGTTTCCCGGGAAACGCGGGATCCCGGGATCCCGGGAAATTCATTTCCCGGGTTTCCCGGGAAATTCCCGGGACACCCGGGACAATCCCGGGAAAGTCTGCAAACACCGCGCGCGCAAACGCACACTCTTCGAATATTGCGTATTGTCGTTTTTTTTCGAAATTTTATGAGTTTTCTTATTTTCTTTGTCATTCTGATTCGCGACATATTCAAATCGAATCTTTTCAGTCAGTCTTTTCAGATCGAATCAGCGATATTATTTATTATTATAATTTATTGTTTACTTGATCGATCTTCAATAAGTTTTTTCGTTGAAAAAAGTATATTGAAAAAAGTTTAAAACCATTATTTCGTATAAAATTCTTGCTAATTTGGAAAAATCGTTATTTGCACATTTCAATTGTACTCATTTTTCTGCCAAATTTTAAAAATTCCAAATAGGGACTTCCTACGCCATTTTCTAAGCATTGGAATCTTTTTAAAATAAGAAAATTCATTAAAATGAAACGAGAATACGCAATATTCGAAGAGTGTGCGTTTGCGCGCGCGGTGTTTGCAGACTTTCCCGGGATTGTCCCGGGATTGTCCCGGGTTTCCCGGGAATTTCCCGGGAAACCCGGGAATTTCCCGGATTTCCCGGGAACCCGCTCATCCCGGGAAATGAATTTCCCGGGATCCCGGGATCCCGAGATACCGGGATCCCGGGTAGTTGCGGGACGAAACCGGGACGAGACCCGGGATTGGAGTCCCGGGATTTCCCGGATAAACCCGGGAAACGAAATTCCCGGGATCCCGGGAAATCCTGTCCCGGGTAGATACACTGGGTGGGACAGAATGAAAAAAAAAAAACGAATCTGTTTAGCATTTGATTGCGCCAAATTCAACGCAAAAAAATACGAAGGAATTCAATGCAATTATGGCGGATATGAGGACTTGTCAGAAATTATCTGATGTCGAAAAGAAATTTACAAACAGATTTGTTGGTCGATTGCAAAGCGCTTCAGTCAGTTGTCATCAAGATAGGTAGGAATAAGGGTTGAACCGCCAAAAACATTCAAAACAAAATGCTTTAAAGAAGGGAAGCTCGTCGACTTCATCGAGAAAATCTTCAAAACGAAATTGATGGCGAGGAGGAGCTCGAACGAGAATATCGTGATGCTGATGGAGATGATATCAAATCGCGTATGAGACGAGAGACCTCAATTAATTTTGCAACTTATTTTTCTACAGGCGTCGTTGAATCGAAATTGATTCAAATGCATGTGGAATCTGCGAAGAGGGACATTTATTCTTATAGTTATCAGCAAATTCGGGTAATTTCAAAGTGTAATCTTAATAGGCTATGCTAAGAATGAACTTAACAGAATAAACAGAGAAATAGGACTCGGAGAAGATTCAATACTCTTCCAATAGAATCAAGAGACTATTTATACTGCGATATTGTAAATCAGTTGAATCGATCGTATGGAGGTTTTTTGCGTTGTTTGGATCGCGTCAGTTATTTTGGAAGAAACCAAGAAAGAAACGAAACGTTTATTTTCAGAACGCAGAGTATGAATGGATGTTCAGACCAATGATTCATTTTATATATGCACAATTGTTTACGATCGGTAGGCGGATTGACGCTACGGAGGTTAAGTCGAAATTGATTCGACGAAATCACTATGAAGAAACTGTAACGATGTTGTATGTTAATGGCACAAACCAATCATTTGAATTTGCAGATCAAAGACCATCCGCTGAATTTAAAACATGTCGAAGATCTGTGTGTTTTTGATAACGATGAAAAGGAGTTATGGACTGTAATATACGAGAATCTAATCTCATACTTCCGAAATATGCGTAAGTTCACTGACAATTAGCTATATGAAGTTTCACTTAACACACAAGGGTAGAAAATTCGAAAAATTTTGAAGTTATTGTCGGAGTCAAACGACTTGACGAAATTTAAAAAATTATTGGCTATGTGCTAATGCGTCTGAGGCGGCGAAAAGTACGCGATACTGCGTACGTTGCATTATAGGGTTCGCTCATTTAATATTCAATCAACAATAAATTTAAATCTACACTGATTTCGCGAATTTGAAGGCCCCGTCTCTCTTCAATCGTTTGACGCCGACAAAATGATCAAATGAAAAAAGTTCCTAGTTTTAAAATTCATAACCGTTGTTTATATTGGTTGTTCTTGTTAGATTGAGTTAATCCGTTGAAAACGCTAAAATCTGCAAGCATATTAGATTCGTTATAGTTGGATGGATAATGAAATGTTCAAATCGACAAATTCAGAAACTTTTTCAAATTTTAGCTCCGCTTCCGGCATTGATGAACAACAAAGAAGTTTCTGATGCTGTGAGCAAAGCATTCGAAAAAATAAATCGAAATGAACCAGTTAAAGAAAGTTATACTTATTATTGATTCGTTTCAATCATACTGACTGGATTATGAGAATGTATATATATGTTATAATGTGATATACGTTTTGAGACCCCGAATCATGTTATGGTTTTGTTTTTTTCTATTGTCGGCGTCGCATTACCTCCAAAATTTGGCTAAATGCCAAAAATACTACGGTTTATGATCTTGGCGCAACAATAAACGACGTCGACTATAAGATAACTTAAATAACGCCCGAAATGTTATTAAGTTTCCGTGATTTCTGGACCCCGTTTGTTGTTATTTTTCTAATGAATTGTTTTATCCAATAAATACGCGCGTCAATTTTCGTTGCCAACAATTTGCAAGAAACCGTTGAAGGACAGGTAATTGTGGGCCAGATGGGGAGCGACAGGCACCTGTTCTGGTCGAACTCTGAAATTGCGACCACTCAGCGAAAGTTGAAGGTTACCACTTTCAAAATTTTAATAATGGAACCTTTTAACGAATCGTGTCTTTTTTTGTCATTGTTGGTTTTTTTAATTCGGCCAAATCCGTTCGCGACACTCCAAAGCGAATACTTTTTCAAACTTCTAATTTCCGATTCAATTATCTCGCACCAATTTATTGTTGCAATTTTTACGCGATTATTTATTTTTGGGGTCATTTGCGATCTAATGTAGTTAATCGTTTGAGAAAATAACAGTCTCATTTTTTTGATTTTGATCAATTCAAATCGAATTGTTCAAAACGCAAAGTTTTATATGAATTGATTCCGCATGGCCGATTTGACGGAAATCGCCGTTCTGAAAAAGTCGAGCTTTTGGTCGACGACGACGTGCGACGACGGTACAGTAACCTGTGATTATACACATACGGGCTTTGCGCTTCGCGAAATTTGCGTTGTTGTGTACAAAGTTGAGTTACCAATTCATTTCGAATTTATTGAGCGTTAACAATTTTGGTAAATTCCATTGTGCTTCACATTCATTGTATATGGCGTTTTGATGTTTTGTCTGAAAAAAAAACGCAAAATGTATACTGATCGCGCTTTTATTCTACGCTTCTTATTGAGTTTTATTAGATGCATCAAGTTTGAAGACTCTTATTCCCTTTTGCGAAATCTCGATTGTCGAAGACGGACGAATTAGGCAAATTTGAATGATCTAATCATTTTTGATCTTACCACGAAATCAATAATTTTTCGCATGCCCCTTTGATATCTACTGTAATTTTCAATGTCTTTCATATTAGATCAAATCGGAAATGTGACGCCAAAATTTGAATTATAAGCAACCCCTCCCTAAATTCGTCCGTCCTCGAAAATAAAAAAATGAGGTTTTTGAGATTTACAGACACTCAACATTTTCATCATTTCTTAAAGTATAAATAATAAATTATTGATTTTCACTTACTTTTATCTGGATTTGTTGAATTGGCCAATAAATTGAGAAGCGTTACCTTGAAGATATCGCCCAAACCCGAAAATTTCGATGAAATGAAAAAGGAATTTGAATTGGCGCTTTCGAATTTTTTTTTTTGCATTTTAGTATTTTATTTATTCACCAATGAACACAGTTATTACCAAAAAAAAAACGCGCCGATTTGGGAGTGAGTTATCTTAGGCAGGTTGTCCAGTGTGCAGGATTATTTTAAAATTTTTAAATACCAATACGATTGCTCTTTCATTTTATTAAGAATTGACATTAAAAATTTGCTCCTAATATTCTTCACAAAATTTAGAATCTCGAATCGGCATATTTTTGTTGGAAATGTCAAAGTTCGTTCATCGAAAAATATGTTTTCTAGAATATGAGAATTTCTAGAATATGAGACGACTAAAAATTATTTTACAATCCTCGATTAAATGTGAATTACTCAAGAATTTGTAAAGCAAAAATTTGAGTCAAACAAATTCAATTTATAACATTTTGCTATAGTTTTTTTTTTGAAAATTTTTTGCATTTGTTTGAATGACATTTTTACGAGGCATTTCTTTACTAAATCCCTGATCTTCTCGTATTTCATAATAATCGACGTTTCAAAGGCTTTTGGTTGCAAATTATTAGATCGTAAAATATTCGAAGCGTCCAACCCCCCGTGGCGTCAAATTTCCATATAAGCAGCGCACTTTTTTTTCCCACTTCGACAGCATTTCGTTTCGATACAAAAGCAGCGCATCAATTCGCCGCCTACCACCACCACTTAGAATCTCATTTTGGGACACTTTGTGTCGAACTAATAATTGAATTGAAGTAGGCAAAATGTTGGTGTAACTAACTGAGTGTTTGGTATGACCTTCTCGATTTCATCATCGGCTTTCCGATCGACGACGGCGGCGACGGCGAACCGTGTCCGAAATATAATTGGCCACCTTGGTTCTCTTCCCTCATTCCGAGAAGCACTCGATTACGAGGTGTTTGTTTCTTAGACCATCAAAATCGATCAATACATATCTTTTTATTATTTATTTTACTAATTATTTGAGTTTAAGAGCTTCGTTGACCACGAGTTGCTGAATTTCATCCATCCTTCATCTGAATATCGCCCTCCCCTCCCAATTAGTATTGCAATGCATTCGTACAGTCATTCTACGGCGGTTTCTTTGAAAGTAATAGATACACTTCTAGGTTTCTGATCTTTTTCCATATATTGATTTCAGTTTTATTAGTAATTTTTTATTATATTGTCAGAGACAGGCAACTTTGGAAAATTCAAAAAAATAGGCCAAATTCTGTTTGAATTCTTATTATGATCACCTTGAACAATTGTGGACCATCGTGTTTTTTTTTGGCGGCAATTCAAATTTACTCCAGGGAAATCGAGTACCATAATCCGTACAACCTGCGAATCAAACTCACCGTATATCGGCTCTTTTCTTCAATTGCGATAACGAATTTTTGCGTGCGCCTTTGATGCATACTGTAGTTTTGTGGGGGATCGTTGTTTGTCTTCGGCAAAACAAATTTTTCAATTTTTTTCCTTCATTTTCTACTACAATTATTTGAATACTTTGAAGTATTCTATAATTACCTCATCGATATCCCAGTGGCCTGAAAAGAGTCTCGTTTGGATTACGTTCAACTCAAGCTTAAACTTATGCCCCTGAAAATAATCCTGTGACCCTTATGAATCAATCCAGTTTGGCGGAATTTTCATGAAAAGTGACCGAATATGGTTTGGCGATTCATTGAGAGGCACGCTACAAAACAAAACAAAACAAGCCTCTTGTCCTCGTGTACAAAGTGGTGTGTACGACCAAATATGGATGAACACCAATTGATGAGGTTGTCGTACAAGAGGGCCTTCTCGACGAAACGATTGTGTGCCGTACGAGACGCCGTAAAAAAACGCGTGGTGCGGCCATTAGTTGGATGAACACGATCAATTCATTCAAGAGAAGCCTCATTAGAGGTTTCGGCGTTTTCCAACTTCATGATCATCCTCACTCAACTCCACCATTCACTCCGTTATTCGTGACCTCAACAATATGTTAGATACGCAATCTGGATTCCATTCTTCCTTATAAGAAATTCTATACATTATTTTCATGGGTTCTATTATAACCAGATTATAGCTTCATCCTCATTCGAATACGTACAGCGAATATTCAGCGCCAGTTGGATATACGAACATTTGACTAATCTGCCATCTTGACTAGATCTGTTTTCTATTTTCTTATTTCCATTGAAATCTTCATCTCCTAAAATACGAAGAGCCTCATGAAGGTCATCCATCCCCACTGAATGTACTTTGGTAAAGCCTTCATAAGAATGTGACATATTCAATTGGGAGAATAAAATTTGCGACTGATTGATCAGCAATGTTCAGGTCACACTTCAATGAATCGCTTATTTGTTATTATTACAAAATCCATGAATTTCCACCACAATCAACTTGGATGTTGATTCAACGAATGTCAATCTATGCGTGACTGTGGCATACAAATTGTAAAGACCTTAAATTCTAGATTACACAACAATCCTCCAACGTTGACATTACAATCAAGAACGGATTTTATTCAATTTAGACTTGTGTCGCATTCGATTCCTAAATTCCTCATTCATCCACTCGAGACCATTTCGGTAATCTGAGACTTCCGCAAATTTTTTGCTTGTTTTCTTGTCTCATTTTCCGCAATTCGTGACACTTTGCCGGATCAGCGCAATTTTCCCTCTTTCAGTTTTTTTTCCGTGCGTTTTGTTTTTTTGTTCAACGCACATTACGGTAGGTAACTTTGGCAATAATTGGGCACGCACGACGGGCGTCTTGTCAAACATACTTTCGATTTGAAAGCCATCCGTTGACGATCGTCTTACCGAGAGATGGTGATCAATCACTCAGAAAGAATTGAACTTTTCACGGACTACAGTAATTCGTGGGTATTCAGTTCTAAAATAAGCATTTTAAAGATTTTTAATTTAAAAAAAATGTTAAAATTTTGATTCCATGACTGTACAGTTTGTTTTTAAGCGAAAAGCGGCAACCAGAATCTGTCGCCACAAGACCCAAATCTCTCTCTTTCTCTCTCTCTCTCTCTCTCTATCAGAATGGAAAAGGAATGCCCGAGAATGTTTGAGGAGAAATATGCTCAAATTTTTGTTCTCATGTGAGTCTCGAAGCGGCCGACTCAGGCAAATCAAAAATAAAATATTTTGAGAATCAAATATTCAATAATAAGTTCTAAAATATTTTGAGAAATTCTAAAGTCTATTGATAGTTTCTAAACACTTATTGAGAATCGATAAATTAAAAAAATATTTTTTTAAATCTTTTAACATTTCCGAAAATTTATTGAGCAAATTCTAAATTATCGCAATAAATTCGAAAATTTTAGAATGTATTTCTAAAGTTGATTGAGAATAATCTCAAATATTATAGAGACATTTTAGTTTCTCAATGATTATCAAAATATTTTATATTCGATTTACCTGAGGCAGCTTCATTTTTCCGGAAAAGATCATTCTCAATAAATTGTTTCGATTGGCATTTTCCAAATGTTTCAAAAACTAGAGTTCGAAAAAAATGAAACTAGGAAGAGCTTAAATATAAAACGATTCCTCAAACGTAAAAATTCAATAAAAATCACAACAACAAAACTTATTTAAAAAAAATATTTATTATCAGAGAAAAAATTGGCACATTTGATCAAATCGACACATTTTTGTATGCGCCTTTAATGAATACTATAATTTTCAATGCAAATTTTTCTTTTTTTCTTCAATTATATATTTTAAAATTTTCTCTACATTGATCCTTTAAACTCAGGAAAATCAAATAAAATATTTTGAGATTCATTGAGAAATTAACGTGTCTCCATAATATTTTAGATTTTTCTCAATCAACTTTAGAATTTATTATCAGATTTTAAAATTTATTGAGATAATTTAGAATTTGCTCAATAAATTTTCGGAAATGTTAAAAGATTTTCAAAAAAATTTTAAGTTTATCGGGTCTCAATAAGTTTTCGAAAGTATCAATAAACTTTAGAATTTCTCAAAATATTTTAGAGTTTATTATTGAATATTTGATTCTCAAAATATTTTATTTGATTTCCCTGAGTATAAGCAACGTCCATTCCCTCTCGTCTTCGATTATATTAATTACTGGATTATTAAATAATAATTTGTTTTCATTTTTAAACTCCTGATTCTCAAAAAATTGAAGAAACCGAAATCCTCAAGTCAATTGAACACAACTTTTCTAAATTCGCTTCTATTCATAATCCAATTGTGATTGTTTTAGTTTTGGCATATAAAAACCAATAAAAGTAACACCTCATTAAACTTTGCTAATAAATTGTCAGAATACGCGAAATGGCGACTAATTAAATGAATAATTGACATTTCATAAATGGATTAAATGATGAGAATCAATTAGCAAAACAAATCTTCATGGGAATGGAATGTGGTTGTCGAAACAGAAAAATACAACAACAACAATGCCAAGTTTCAAATATTTCCACAAATTCCTCATCTCAATTAATCGCTCGCCAATTTCTCTTTCGCTCGATTTTTTTCCATCAAGGTGTTCATTCGATCGAAGCCGCACACCTAATTTGTCGCCTAATCTGCCACACACACACACACGCAGACAGACAATCCTAGCGGAATATTACCGTTCGAATAGGGTATATATTCTCATCATATTTCGTTTCATTGATGTCCTCATTCGTCGTCGTCTTCTTCGCGCACTTTTTTTTTTTCGTTTTGCCGCTTTCCTGCGGTTTCAGAAGGCAGGAAGAGTGGTGCCAAAACTCGTTCCCTACTCAGCTTATTCATCGACGCCGTCGTCCTCTTCCTCGCGTGTTTTTTTTTCTTGGCGACGACGTCTGCGGCGTGGGAAGAAGTCGATCTGAGGACTATGTCGTTGTTCTCGTTACTGTCTCTATCTGTCTGGATATATCCGTCTACTTTCATCTAGTTTATTATTATGTTTTTCGTTTTACTCGCCAGCTTCTTTGCATTCGATAATTTTTTTAATCTAGAAGAATTTTCGAACCATCTCGTGAAAATTGTGAAGAGTTTGCGAAGACATTCGACACACATTCTCTCTAATTAGAATCAGCTTCAAACTCAGCTCAAAGCCAATGTAGACTTGACGCAGTTTCTAGCAAGATTCTGCTAAAAGTCTTCGAAAATCCGAAATTGGTTATTTTGGACAAAAAGAGATCTAGTTTTTCCAGAATTTGAATAATTGTGAGATTTGAAATCATTTTTAAATGCTCGTATTTGTTGTGCTCAATTATGTCAATGTATTTCGATATTGTCGCGGCTGGCTGGCTTGTGTTACCAACTACGTTCGCTCTACCTCATCGGCATATTGGTTAGATATTTACCTTATATGGTATCGGCCTTCTTCTTCTTCTTCTCTTCATCTCCATTGTCTTTGTTTGGCGCACATTTGCGATATAGCGTTGAAGACATTGAATCGTAGACGTGTATTGTGTATGAATAAGGAGTTGATCGGTGCCCGTACCGAGCGAGGACCATTAACTCGAAAATTAATGAGCGTCTCGACAATTTCAACCTACTTTTTTTTGTCTACCACATTCCCAAACCCACTTCAATTAACGGTATTCGTTGCGCAATTGGTTGAGTTCTGATGATCGTTTCGAGACCAAACCCTCTTCACATTTGTATACATAATTAGTGCAACCGACTGCATCAAGGTTACATCAAATTTTTTTCGAACAAATATCGGATAATAAATAAAACTTCAAAAGTAATTAAGAATTGAATGAAGTGACCTTGGTTTAGTAATCGAATATATCAAAAAATGTTTAAAATGCGGGTTGAAACTTCTATTTTCATTATGATACAAGTTTTTTTTAAGAGAAATCCGCTGTAAATAATTGTATTTTCGATTGATTCTAGGAAGCAGTCCAAAATTCAAACCACGCCTCTGGAAAAAAAAAATGATTCTGCGAATAGGCGATTAATTCCAGAATCAAATTCAATTTTTAAATGAAACTTGTTTTCTTCTTTGAAACACTTTAATGTCCCCGTTTCGGAGTAAACGTCTTGCTTTGAATAAAATTTAATTACAATCTGGAAGCTCAACTTGTCAATAGTAAATACTCGGCGTCCTCTTGAATATATATTAGTGTTTGTCTAACAATGGTGTGTCGATCGAGCCGGACGAGGTAATAAATAACACGCAAACCGAATCGAGTCGAATCGAATCGAATCGAACCGGACCGGTGCGAAGCATGTGCGGTGCATGGTCCGTTCACGATTATCGATCCCATCGCCGGGGTTTTGTGCAGCCTGACCCCCCCCCTTCGCTTGTCCCTCACTTCCCATACGGTCCGTTCTCGTGCCTTTGTATCGTCTCAGGTGTGTGTGTGTGTGTGTCACAAAGGTCACGGAATGCCACCACATTCATCGTTCCTCTTTTTCAACAACGTCCCGAATCACACACGCCCACAAATTATTTGCAAAAGGAATTCGACGTTCGATTTCTCATTGTTCCGAACCTCACCCAAATCCCAAGTTATTTCTCATAATGTTTCGAACATTTAAAGTTTTTTTTTTTCTTTAAATTAAAGACTGTATATTATAAGCTGAATATTGTTGTTTTTTTTTCATAGGTCTGATATCCATATTGGATTTAATCCGAATTCTTTTGATCATCCTTGTATCTTTTCATTTCTTACTTTTAAGATTGGATCGAATCCATTTTGCTCAGCATATCGAGCATTGCCTTTTCATTTTTTTTCAAGCTTGCATCAAAATCCATGTTTTCGATTTTAATTTGTTTAATTTAGTAAAACACTTTATGAACCTGAAACGTTGAAGTCGTCTTCATTATTATTCAATCTCAATTCCATCCAATTGTTCGACATTCTACTAATTGCCATGTCCAAATGATATAATCTTTGTCTATCCATTATGAATAATTCCTCAAAAAACTTCGATATCTAGAAGTACATAGAATCGAACTGCTAGTTGACAATTCTTGTTCACCAATCCCCCCTTTTCATTACGTCGAGTATTCGAATGCATTTCGATGTTGGAATTCATCACATATTTGGGAATGATTTGCGAAAACTATGCAATTGTCTGTTGGAATATCGGCGCGATGCGATCTCCGCTTCATTCCGCCAAACACGTAATCTGCTCTCGAAAATCTGTTTGCCTCCCACTTCCATGAATTTCAACGCCTTTCTTTTCCGCTCGCCATTTATTCTTGTTTTCATTTTCCGATATAAATCATTAATTATAATCCTTTTTTTTCCAAATACTCAATATTTTCTAATCGACTCCATCATTCATTTTTTTAAACTTATTTTGCTCGACGAACTCTCAGAAAATTAATTTCTTTTGTTATTCTTTATGATTCAATATATTTATTTTCGTGTTTCATTCGTGAATTTTCTTCTCAAATGAATTTAATCGAGTAAAAATTGACTTTTTTTAAAAGTTACCTCTTGACATAAATCCGCTGTTTTTACGAAAAATCCCATGTTGGATCATTTTTTTTTTAATTTGTCTTAATTCTTTTTAAAATTTTTCTCAAAAACTCCTCCAACCATTAGCAATTAAGCAGGCGAAATGCGTCGGAGGGATCCACCTCCACCTCCACCTCCAGCACTGTTGTTCGCAACCCTATTATTCACCAATGCTCTGGCGGTATGCTCAATGAACATCGACGTCGAACGTCTCGCCGCACGTCAAAGAATCGACGAGAAATGGGACGAGATCGAGCGGTTCGAGAGTGGCGCGGGCCGATCGAGAAAACTGCGACAAATTCAACCGAAAGAAATTAGCATACAGGTGAGAAAGAGAGGTCGTTTAACCGCGAACCGACTCACAAAAAAAAATGCAAACAATTCACGATGATTAGATGAAGCAAGAAGAAACATTCGAAAAAAGTAACCTTGGGCACTGTGGCGATTTGGGGGTCAAGAGGGTTACTCTCAGTAAACATTCTGTACTTTTGAAGGGTTGTAATTTGTAAAATAACATTGTAATCGAATGTAGATGACCTTACGGAGAATCTAATAGAGGTGATCGATTACTGGTTCGAGATTCATTATTATGGATAATTGTTCAAGGGAATTCAAATTAATTTTTTTTTGAAATCAATTTTTATATAGTGAAATTAAAATTGGCGGTGTCTACTAATTCTGGAAACAAACTGACAAACGGTTAACCAATTTTTGTTTAAGCTAAAAAATTTCCAAATTAAGAGTATGGTAGTTTTCCCACGAAAATCATGAATTTGAAATTTTCGTTACTGTAATTTATAACTGTCTGTGAGATTCATTCGCAGTTAGTGCGGTACTCGAATTCTCAATGCCTTAATTTTTCATGTGCCCGTTTTTCAATGTTTAATTTTTTTAATATTTCATTTTTTGACTATTTAGAGAATAATCTTAATTTGAAAATGTTTACTTACGTTTAAACAAAAAATGGAGCGTGCTCGAATTTCAAAACGACGCCGCCAGTATTTACAGCCGGAATTGATTTCCGTATTTGCACAGACGCGTTTAATGGATTACCTCGTTTGCAGGTGACAGCACCGTTGTTCTCCAGCCGTTTATTCGACTACGGACCACAAGCCGGCGATCAAGAATTGCCACAAGCTCTTGATGTTGGAAAAAAGGTGTGCAGAATGAGAAATACTGCGAAAAAACGAATTGATTTTCAGCTTGAACTCACAAATCCAATTTCGTTCTACGGAAGTCAATTCAAGACAGTTTATGTATGTTTTCAATGATTGAACCCATTTCAGACTGATTTTGTAGGTTTTGTCAAATGGTGGAATCGGTTTTGAAGCTGGCGCCAGATCTTACAAGTCTAATATGCTGCCAGGCGCCACACGCATAATTGCACCATTTTGGAATCGCAATGATCTGCGGAACGGTGGAAAGGTGTACTATAGAGAAGTGACAAGTGAGTTGAATGGCAACAGGGGCGCAAATAACTGCACGTCTCCACTTTGATGCCACCGGCAGTCATGTCCGAGTGGTTAAGGAGATTGACTAGAAATCAATTGGGCTCTGCCCGCGTAGGTTCGAATCCTGCTGACTGCGAAATACTTTTTTCCATTTTTTTTCAAATCATGTTTGCAGAGGGTCGTGTTTTGGAGCGCGGACAATCGGAAATTCGTTATCAATACGATAAAAACGTGAAAGTAATATCTGCGCTGATCATCACTTGGGACAAAATGCAGCCCTTGAACACCGCGGCGTTGCCCGAAGAAAACACGAACACATTCCAAGCAGCCTTATTCATCACGAGCAACGGCACGTTCGCCAATTTCATCTACAGTAATATCGGATGGACGCAAGGCGCCGAAGTACGTAATTGGTAAAACAACGAGTTTGGCGACCGATCGGCCGGATCCAGTGGATTATTACACTATCTTGATTAGAAATCTCGAATGAAAAGGAGATTCTAATCGACTTTTGTTTGATTTACAACGCAAACACGAAATTTTGAAATACAAATTGCTAGGTTTAGAAATCCGCGTTGAAATCAACTTTGATTACACGAAAGGGACACTGATAAATCTGTTTAAAAATGGCCTTAAATGGAATTAAAACATCAATTTCAGGCTGGCTTCAATGCAGGAGATGCTACCAACCATTTCAAACTTCCGACGTCCGGTACCCCGAATATTATGTATTTGGAAGAGTACGGTAACACCGGAATTCCAGGTATCATACTTTAAAATCGAAACCATATCCGAATTAAACTTTTAAGGAGAATGGATGTTTGAACTCGCTGAACTTCGAGTTATCAGCTGCAAAGCTGGCATCAAAGGAGACACGTGTGATCAAGGTAATTCTGGAAAATGTATAGCATACCAATGAATAATGTGTCATTTTCTAGAATGCACGTCTGGTGAATGGGGTCCTGATTGCGCATTCTGCTGCCATTGTAGCGAAGGAACCTGTCATGCCGTTACGGGAGATTGTTCGAAAGGGTGCGCAACATGCTGGGAAGGATCCAATTGTCAGAAGCGTATGTTCATCTAATCTGGCCGAATATTTCGCAGCTTGTTTCTAGGACAAGACAAATGTGCGACTAAAACTCAATGTGCAGCAAATGCTCTTTCATTCAATGACTATGATCGGTGTGGAGAGCCAATTCAGAGGTGTCAGTGTCTTAATGGATACCGAGGTGATGGATATAAGCGTTGTGATGGTAAAGAACCACCAATTTGGGCCTTCTAACTCGCTTTTCCAATTCAGATGTTGACGAATGCTCTGCGAACTCAACAATCTGCCATCCAGACGCTATTTGCACAAACACTCCTGGCCGCTACTTTTGTCAATGCAAAGACGGATTTACTGGAGATGGACAGACAGAATGCGCCCAGTCTCTCCTTCTTCATTTCGATACTCACAAGCAACTCCCGAAGCACAAAAACGCAAAAATGGAATGGAATTTGAAACGACCGATAAAAGTATTTGGTGAAGTTGTCGATCGACTGACCATCACATCGACTGGATTGATATCGATCGATGAAATGAGCAAAGATGGACCGGCTCGATTGGAAGAAATGCAATTGGTCGGAATTGCGCCATTCTTTGCACCAATTGATCTTTCCAAAGGAGGTTCAGTGTCCGTGGAAGAAGTTGAAAGTCGGTTGAAACCGGAAATCGAATAATTTCAAAACTGCAATTTCAGATCGAAACTTACTTCAAAAGGTGACAAGAACGATTGCGGAAAACTATAACGACCCATCATTTGAAGCGAAAAGTGCTTTAGTGGTGACCTATTCGAACGTGACGGATGGAAAACAACGGGTTAGATTTCTGATCTATAATTAGAACCCTGAAACATTGATGACGTTCGAAATTTAAAAATAAATTGCCTTTCAGAGAGGAAATACTTTCCAAACATTGATAATTGACGGAAAAGGTGCTCGCGGTGAGAAGCTCACATTCGCCGAGTTGATCTACCGCGATTTGCCATGGGGCTCTGGAGCTGAGGCTGGAATTCTTTCTCGAGATGCTGCTTCCTCGATACTCCTTCCCGCGTCTGGAACTGAAGCAATTTCGCAGTTCACTAAATTGAGCAACGTCAAACAGCCGGGGACTTGGCTTTATCGAATTGATCGCGCTCAACTGACACCATGCGCTCAAGCAATTCAATTGCCACCATATTGCGACAAGCTGCTCACCGAGCAACCGAGACTTCCATCAGTCATTCCAGATGAAAAGAAAGAGGACATGAAGCTTCCAACACCCGGATCATTCCAAATTGATCAACCATCTGAGACAATTCGCCCATCACTCGTTCGAGGAAATCAAGATTTAAGAACTATCAGTGTTACTAGTCAATCCATTTCAAAACCGAAAACTACCGTACGACCGCGACCAAACTTTTCGAGCACTCCTCATCGTCCGATCGTCTCGCTCTCTGATGAAGATTTCGCTTTGGGACCAGACGCATTTGAGATTACATTCCCACCATTTGTCACAGTTGTTCCTGAATTATTCAGACCTGAGGATAGGAAGAAGTCCAGCGGAAAACCAGCGACAACTCGGCCACTTCCAAACTTTTCAATGAAAACTGTAACAATATTGAACTTTTAAAATTATTCCGTTCATATTCGATTTATTTTCAGCCATTAGAGGAAGAAGAAGAAGAAGAAATAGTGCCACCAACGACAAAATCAACAACCTCAGCGACCACACGAATTGCACAGACTACCAGGCGATTGATTGCCACAACTACTAAAACACCAAGAGAAGAAGACTTTGAGTCGCCATTTGAATCGCAATCATTTGATGGAGAAACTCTGAAATTCACTGATGAAATTGAATCTGCAATGAAGCACGCAGTAAGTTGAGCCTTGCTTGTCATCATTTACTATTGTAATTTCAGTTTGAAACAACTCGTCGAACTAGCCAAAAGATGGAAACAACAACAGTTCAAGAAAATGAAGAAGAGGAAGAAGAAGGAGACGTTGAAGATGAACAAGGAGAAGCCGAAGTGATCGAGGCGGATGATGCTGAGCCCACTACGACTACAACGATGGCGACGACAACAACGTCGACGACAACTGAAGCTCCAATAACAACTACAACGCCTAGAAGAATTATGTCGACTACAACTACGCCCCAGTCGATATTTGTTTTCACCACCACAAAGGTAAACTGAAATTCTTGAGGACAATAGAAGAACCAGTTGTTGTAGGCGCCAGCTCCGCCACCGCGTAGACTGACACCAAATAATATCGTGACAGCTCCACCGAAACAAGCACCTCCGAATGCGAATCATACTGAAGAACAATCTGAGAGAAGTAGGAGATTTGATTAATTCAAGACACCTTAAAAGCTATTTTAGAACTTGCAATAATCCTACCGGTCTCGATTATGCTCGCCTGGTTGTTCATTCTTCTGTGCATTGCTGGCTTCATGTGTTGCAAGAAGCGAGCCTCAAGTCGAGAGTCATCTCAATTACGCGCTATGTACGGTGCTGCTTATGGTGTGCGACCAACGTCCTTTGAAAGCAAACGCGTCAAGGAATCCTCGTCGACTTCGTCGTATGAAGATCATCTTGAACGGGCGGCGAGACTTGGAGGGCAATCGGCAATCAATGCTCAACAGGTTTTCTTTTTTTTTTATTTGGTTCTATTTTTGGTATCGAGCGGTGTGGTGTGGTATGGAATTAATATTAAACATTATTACCCTTTTAACACAACCTAATAACAATTACAGGCGGCTAAGCTTACCTTATACGGCAGTTACTGGAATATACCCAGCGGACATTCTCCGACGACACGGCTTTCAACACAGGAGCATCGATCATCGCCGCCGAGTTTTATTAACAACGGGTACACTAATCCGACGGTGTGTTTTTCAACCTAAAACTGACTATTTTATTTTCAACAATTTTAATTTAACGTTCTGAAAAAAATTATAACGAATTTCAGCGGTACACCTATGCAGGGCACTATTAATTTTCTTCTCTAATAATTCTTGAATCAACTGTTTGAAGTGTTGTGTGTTTCTACTATTCTCTTCTTTCCAATTATTTCTTCAATTGTTTCTTTATTTTAATTCGACAAGTGTGACATACTGATGCTCATTTATTTCTCTCAAATCACTCTTTCGCGAGTTTCACCCTGTCCGCACTGTCAGCTTTCGGACGTCGGACGATGTTGTGCCTAATCAACTCACGGTTTTCTACAGTAACCTCGCTAATGCTTTTGCTTCTTTGAATTTTGTCTATATTTTCATTGTCTTGTCTTCAGAAAGAATCGGAAACGACACTCATCGAATGTATAAGGCTATGAAGTATAATAATGTTACCAATAACTTAATTGCGATGCAATAGGTGCCAAAATCGGTTGCCCTTCTCAATTTTTAATCGATTCTTGCCTTTTTAGATTTTAAAAATCGCAGTATTTAATATACTTTACAAACGGGATTATGAGCACCACTTTCATTTATTGTTTATTTTGTTTTTTTTTCACTTTTTTAATGTGCAAAATATTCTGCATTTACTTTACTTCGTGTCAAATAAACAATTAATTATGAAAAACATGTGGAATTGTTAAAATATACAAACAAAGAAAATGAAAATATTAAAAAAAACGATTAGAAACCGTATAAAAATGTTCGTGCGAAGACCATTATAAGAAAACGAGATGCTCCTTTGGATACTGTAATATAAGAATTTATTTTTATTTTCACAGCACAGCCACCGAAACGTGAATAAATACGAATGAAGGACTTGCGTTAAGCAAGAACCACTGTTATCAATACGGAATTATTCATATAAGTACTGTTTTGACCTTTATTTGCTTGAAAATTCAGTAATATTTCATGAAAATCTGCTTGTGCTCTGGTAAGTGGTTTCGAATCACATAAAACGAATTTCGAAAAAAAGAATTTCAATTTCGAAGCTGAAATTTGTTTCGTACACTGCAACTGAGAAAAGGACAAAAAGCGGATTAAAAGCATATAAAAATGGTTCAGACTATAGGAGTATCTATTTTTCCTCCACTTTTTAAATAATTTTTTGGCACGTCCCCAGTTGCAGTGGTACACAATACCTAGTAACTAATTGTAATAAATTTTTATTTTATAGTTAGGTGAACTGGAAATCGTTGATGTTTACGGACAACATTTTTTATATAGAAAACATAAAAATATATTTTATGGTATTTTAATGGCAGAATTCATCACTTATTTCTAGGTGCTTCTTTGAGATAGCCAAGATTTTTCGTTTAAAACTATTTCAGGAAGCCTCGATGGATTGGGTTCAATGTAACTCTTGTCAGAAGCGGCCGAAGCAAGTGCGAATGTTTGTCACGTCGTGCGGTCATATTTCCTGTGAAGAGTGCAGGAAAAAGGGTAACGGAAGTAAAATTATCCAGTTTCAAGAATGAGTGCTCGTTTTAGTTGAAAACTCATGCCTTATATGTAAAAAGAATTGTCAATTTGAAGAAATTTGTGCGACAATGCCAGCAAGTCTTCTCGAATTATTTCGAGATCCAAGAGAATTAGCAGGGACATTAATGAAGAATTTGCACAACATTATGTCATTTCAAACCAGTCGACGTGAAAAATTGGCAAAGATCAAACATAAAACGGTACAGTTTCTACATTATCAACATCAAATATTACGTCGCATAGGCAGCCGGAGAAGCAGCTAAATTAGAAAAAGCAAAAACAGAATACGGAAAACTGTTCAAGAAATTTGAGTAGGTTTTATTTCGTCTTGTTCTAAATTATTGTACTCAGAAAAGAAAGGGAGAGACATACCGAATTACGTGCTGAGTTGAGCACAGTTCGAGCCAAAAAAGCGGAATTGAAAAACAAGCTAATCGAGCTTCGAAAGCAACGATCGTCAATTGAAGACCGAAATTCACAGCCAATCGGAAGACAAACTGAGCCGCCACCGTCAATAACCAAAGTTTTCACAATACCCTCAAATCAAAAAGGGTTGGAAAAGAAAAGTTTAGACGTCGAAACATTATTAAATAGTAAGCGATATTGTTGTACTTTCAAACAATTGTTTTCAGATGATGCTGAAGAGCATACGCTTAATATGTCGCATCCCCAATTGGTGACAAGTACACCAATAGTAAACGTAACATATCAGCTTCTTTTTTCACATAATCATTTTTATTTTAAGCTGGAAGTTTCGCGGAAGGAATATTTACGAAAAGCATTCTTTTCTGGTGGACAAAACCCATCACCTGTTCTATGAATTTTTTATTAAATTATGTTTGCTTGTTCCATATTTGATTTCGCTATTTTAGTGCATCCTTTTCAATTTTCTCTTATAAACCAGTTTTACGTTTTAAGCTGGTCCTGGAGAGAAATTATTTTCCATTCCAAGCACGATGCTATCGAATGGATCTATTCATGATATAAAAAAAGAAAATTATTCGACATTTTCCCAATACAGGGTTGTAAAAACAATGCACATTCTAAATTTAACAACTTTTCACATTGACGAAAAATGTGCCGGTGTTATTAGACTGGCGCAAAACTAGTGAGCTGACGCAATTCGTATAGCCTTTATGATGACAATTCAAATTCCCTCATTTTCAATTTTTCCAAGTTTTATTATTGCCGGCGTTTTGTACGAGATTTTTTTGTGAAAGGTTAAATAAGGTATTAAGAAATTTCTAGCTGGTATTTTATTTAAATATTGCTGATATTTTTTATTTCGAAAACGATGTTCGATATCACTATTTTGTGAAATATCCAATTATTCGGTGTCCTGATCTTTCGAAATTTTTAAATTTTTTGAAATTTCTTTTTTAGATGATTTCGTTGCTGAATCGATGGAAGCGTTCTCCAGGAGGTCCAACTGATGCTAGCTGCTTCATGCGAGTCCTGGAATCATCGTCCAGTCCAGTCAATGACAAAGTCGCGATTTTGCACGCTTTCAACGATTGGAATGTTCTCGTAACTACTTGGTTCGAAGTAGCTGACGTATTACCATCAATCGAGCAATGTCTTGAAGACGGTGATTTCCCAGATCCGGGTGCTGCAGCTCTTCTTGTCTCGAAGGTAAAATGTCACAAAATTCAAAATGTTCATTTTTTGTTTATAGGTATATTATTGCCTTGAGAGATATGATCGAGCTCTTGACTTTGCTCTTCGTGGAAACTTTAACGTTGTTCCAGCGCCAAAGACTGGTCTCGGAAATGACAGCGAGTATGTTAACAAGATTATTGAAGTTGCGATTGACAATTACAAATCGATGCGAATCTCCGGAAAAGCTGACAAGATTTCACCTAAACTCGAAGCTCTTATCGACAAAATTGTTGATAGAAATTTGTCAAAGGTATTTATTACTATTAGAATTGAAAATTAAGAAAGAAATATTCAGAAAGAAATTTGGTATGTCATCGCTCTCGGTTTTGAAACAAAGAACCTTGATATGATTCAAAAAGCAATCAATACGATGCCGAATGAGTTGTCTCGTCGCAATCAGACATGCCTTCTTGAAACTTTGAACCGTGTCGTCAATGACGGTTTCGATCGTCATTTCCGTCATAAGGTCATCGAAATGGTCGTTAAGACTTACCTTAAGTGCCCGTCGCCGGACTTGTCGAAGATTTGCGAGTGCTATGTGTTTACTGACAATTCGGACGCTGCTGCTGATACGATTCTCGATCTTCTTAATCAAGTAAGTATAAATATTCGTTCTGGTTGCCGCTGAAACGAGAATTTTAGGGGAAACACAGCCTTGCTTATCAGATTGCTTTTGATCTGTATGAAAATGCGAGTCAGAGATTCCTGGACCGCGTTTTACACAAGTTTGGGTTACTTGAGGTATTTCATTAGGATTAATTTTGGTTTATTTTTGTTTTTTCAGAAGTCTCCGGATCCGATTCCAATGGAACGTGTTCACTCCATTCTCAATGGACACGAAACCATCAAAGCTTATTTGGATTTCTTTGTTCGTCACAATCATACCGACTCGATTTTGCTTGAGGTACTTGGCTCCTCTAACATATGACGCAACTTTTGATTAAGGAAATTCGCGAGAGTATTCGCACGGCTTCTGGTCACAATGCGTTGCTCATTTCGAATGGTCTTATGCAGTACGGAACTACATGCGATGATTTTCTTCGTAACAATTTGAACTGGGTCAGCAAAGCTACAAACTGGAACAAATTTAATGCTGTTGCCTCTCTTGGTGTTATCCACCATGGACAAGAATCACAGGCATTGAAGGTTCTTGATCCATATTTGCCACGTGATGGAAGCATCGAAGGATTCGGATTCAAAGAAGGAGGAGCTATGTTTGCATATGGTTTGATCCATGCTCGCCACGGAGATGCGACTGCTATGAGCACATTGGCTCAATGGTTGAAGAGTGCCGAGGCGGAGCCAGTTCGACATGGATCGTGTCTTGGATATGGTGTTGCTGGATTGGGATCATCATCGTCGAGTGCATATGAGAAAATTCGAGAGGTTCTTCAACGAGATGAAGCTGTCTCTGGAGAGTCTGCTGGAATTGCGATGGGACTTATCATGGCTGGAAATTTGAACGAAGCCGTGTTCACCGAACTCAAACAATATTCGATCGACACACAACACGATAAAACTCAACGAGGAATTCGAACTGGTCTTGCATGCGCAGCATTTGGTAAAAACGAGTAGAAGTCGAAGAATAATAAATTCGTGCTTTCAGGACTCCAACGCGAAGCTGAACCATGGATTGAATCTGCAATTACGAACAAGAGCAATCCAATGTTAAGATCTACTGGCGTTTGTATGCTTTCAATGGCCTATGCTGGAACTGGAGATGCCGATGTCGTGAGAAGACTCTTGGAAAAAGTTGCCACTGATCCAAACTATGATGTCAAACGTTACGCTACAATGGGAATTGGATTTGTTCTCAGCAAGTAAGTTTAGGAAGCACGAATCAATTTATTTAATTTTTATGAAATGGTTCTTTAAGGGATCCAACAACTTGCCTTCTTTATATTTCCATGCTCACTGAGCATTTCAACGGACATGTTCGTTACGGAGCTGCATTGGCTCTTGGTATTGCATGTGCTTCATCTGGAAACTTGGTTTAGTTGTTATTGACATTATAACTTTTCATTCTAAAAGTTTAGGAAGCCATTGCTCTTTTGGAGCCAATGATTTCCGATAAAGAGGGATTTGTCCGCAATGGAGCACTTATGGCGTTGTCGTTGATTATGTGCCAACAAACCGACTATACTTGTCACAAGGTCCCCGGATTCAGAAAGCAACTTTTGAAGAAGATTACTGAAAAGAACGAGGACAGTTTGGTGAAGTTCGGTGCTATTATCTCACAAGTTAGTCGATTAGATGAAATCTAGATTTCAAAAAATATTTGCAGGGTATTTTGGATATCGGTGGCCAAAATGCTGCGATTTTGATGCACAATAGCGACGGACAAGTTGATATGGCCAGCATGGTTGGAATGATGTGCTTCTTGCACGGATGGTTCTGGCATACTATGCATTTCTTCATTTCTCTTGCTGCCAAACCAAGCTGTTTGGTTTTGGTTAACGAAAACTTGAAGGTATACTGAATGTTTAACCCAAATATTTTATTCGTTTAAGATTCCGGCAACCGAATTCACCTGCATGGCGAACAGCATGCGATTCGCGTACCCGCCAAAGACTGAATCCAAAAAGGACAAGGATGTTAAGAAGATTGAGACCGTTGTCTTATCGATCACTGGAAAGAAGAATGCGGCGAAGAAGGCGGCAGCTGCTATTGAAGCTGAGAAGAAGCGCAACAGAACTGCTTCGAATACGAATGAGGAAGAAAAGATGGAAGTTGACAAGCCGAAGTAGGGGATTTTATGAAAATAGAAGTATAAATTAAACCAATTGCAGAAAGGTGATCGACACGAAGCCAACCCACAAACTTAATAATCCATGCCGTGTGATCCCATCTCAACGGGAATATATGACTTTGACCGATCCGGAATCCTACAAACCCGTCAAACCTCTTGCTAAAGGAGGAATTATTGTAGCTGATTACAAGAATACATCAAAGCCGGAAGAAATCGTTGCGGAGGTTGTATCGAAAACACATGCCGCTTCAACGAATGCACCGGACCCGAAACCCCATTCAACATTTGAAATCAACATCAATGATTATTAGTTTTTATCCTTCTTTAACCAATCGAAATACAGCATGTGTATACCCCTTTCCAATTTTTCTCTTTCCATCTCGGTTACTGTATTTTCGAAAAAAAAATTAATTTATTCTCTGTATTATTTATGTTGGTCCAATGCAGAAATCAAGAATGAAGTGCGAAATTGCATAATTTATATAGATATAAATCGAAGAAATAGTAACAAATCAGCTGGTAAACAATTGGAAATGTTTACGTACTCCACGCGGACATCATAAAGTGTACGCCTGGTCGCCCATTTGCGTCCTTCCCCATGATGTGTTTCTTTAATTATGGACAGAAACGCTGCTGCCCGAAAATCGCAACATGGTAATTATTCTGCCGCAGTTACTCTGGTAAATGATTCCGAGTCGTATACGAAGAAAGCTCAATTGTATACGCTGATATCGCTCTTCAAACGCGGCCAAATACGATTGGGATTTCTTAATATACGATTGGCATTTCTTCGTATACGATTATAATTCTTCGTATATGATTGTGATTTCTTCGTATACGACTATAATTCTTCATATACGGTAACGATTTCTTCGTATTCGATTGGGATTTTTTCGTATTCGACTGGGATTTTTTCGTATTCGATTGAGATTTTTTTCGTATTCGATTGAGATTTTTTCGTATTCGATTGAGATTTTTTTCGTATACCATTTCACTTTACACTACTCGTTTGGCATTTTAACGTTTTTATATGATGTAAAGATTTCTATACCTGTTTATTAAAAAAAAATATGAAAGACAAAAAAATGAAAAAGAAAAAAGAATAAATAAATTAATTTTGGTTGGCGCATCAACCATTTTTTTCCACTGCTCGCGCTTTCGATCGTGAATTGTTTCTGAATTAAGTTCATTTGAATGATTAATCATGAGGCAGTCTTCGGCATGTGCAGATTTTGGAGAAAAACGCAAAAAATCTGATTAAGACTAGTTTAGCCGAATCTTTATAATGTTGTCGAGTTTCTTTAAAAGGTTTTTACTGCGTTTCTTTTCAAAATCTGCATAGGCCCACTAAAAAAGTGAAAACTCACAGGAGATAGGTCATATGACCGTGTACCAAATAGGAGATTGTAGAATTCGCCGTTTCGTCAGCCATTCCATCGATGGTAACCGTCTTTTGTAAAACAGCTGAAATTAATTTAAACATATTTTAAACATTTTTCGCGCTATTTGAGCATACCAATCGCTGTGTTGACAAACCGAACTGGAAGCGTTGCGTGCGGCGGCGTTGGCTTAAACGATGTTGAATAATTCACACGATCGTTATTCGGAATTGTCTGAAGGTATTTTTTTGCAACTTTAAATAATTGTAAGATACCTTATCGACAAATCTGTTGACAGTAGTATTTATCACATGCTTCAGAGCTGCCTTCATGAACGGAATTTCCAAAAATATTTGGGCCACGTTGATGTCTCCTGTTAAAAGATTTAATACAAATTCAAAGCTTTCGAAACACAAAAAACCCACCATTTCCATCCAGTGATCGAATAATTATTTCTGCGTCTTTAAGAGCTTCAGGGTTGTATACGGCGATCACGTCGATCTAAATTTAGAGAATAGCAAAATTTAAAAAAATACTCACATTGTTTTTGTTTGGCTTTGCCGCGAATTTTTGGGATAAAGTTTCTATCTGGAAGAATAGGGTTTCTATAGTTTCTATTGTGGTACTATGCAGATTTCGCAAAAAACTCAAACAGCGGTAACCATAATTATAATGGTTTTTGCCGGTTTTGACGAGTTCTGATATTTTTTTTACGGCTTTTGATGATTTTACTGCTTTTTTTTTGCGAAATCTGGTACCATTACATTTGGAATGATTGAACAATAAATAAAACATACCGTGAACATGATTCCTTTCATGGCAAAGGCAATTGTCCTCAAATGATCATCGGACGAAGAACATAATTGATCCACGTTCGTATGATCGAACTGAAACGTTCCAGAGAGATTGGTATGTACAGTCTTCTGTAAATTTGCGTTAAAGTGGAATGTTAAAATTTGAATTACTTTCAAGTCGATCAATTCCTCCGGAGTCGAATGATACAGATCCTCGCCAAGTTCTAATGGGCATAAACCATTCTTTAAAAATAATGAAGATTCGAAAACAGGAAAAAGATGTAAAATCCCACCACAATTTTACGCTTCCTTGCTGGTTGGTCGTTTGGCATATCGTCAACCTGAATGCCTTCGATGCTTCCAAAATCCAGCTCGTTTTGACGATAGTCTTCGAAGTACAGCTCATTTTCATCGACTTCTTCCTCGATGAGCTAGCATAGGTCTGAATGAAAATGGTAAAACAGTCGTGATTCCATTGTCAGGAACTGTGATGGCGTAGCCAATAAGGTTAGAAATTGGCAAGCAAAATAGAGAACCTTTATTTCTCACCACAGCACCATATCTGCATGAACCGATTGTCGAAATGCATTGCTTAATTTCTTCTTTTTGAAAATTTTGATGGAGTGAGTTTGCTAATTGCAATAGGTTGTCTGTATTTAGAATGTATGGTTGTAGAATAACCCGGTCACCGAACTTCTCATTGAGGAGAAATCCCAATACATCGCCATATTGCAGTGAATTTCGCCAACGAAACATCACGACGCTATTATCCGAAGCAGTATTTCTTTGTATTGAGTAGTGTGAGCCTTGATAGCTGTATTTCTCAGTAAACAAATCGCCTTTTTGAGCCAGCATTGAGTACTTCAGTGGGACATCTGTCGTTTTTTCGATATCATCATTCTCCGAATATCGAAATAGCAGTTTTCTCAGTTTCACGATAGACACATCATGTTGTTTTGTCGTTGGGTCCGAATGAAGTCTTGCACGAACTTCGGTCGTCAAATCTTGCAAAATTGCAGCACTAAAATTTTTCTACGGTGTACAATTTTATAATAAAGCATACTTCCGTAACATTCTTTGCCCAATTCCCTTTGTGATTTCTGACGATAATAGTCGTTTCAAACTGTGATATACGTGCTCGGAGGATTGGGTACTGAACGGATACGGGCTCTCATACATTCGAACGTTTTCGGATAAGTGGAATACAATCTGCTGAAAAAAAAAACACTTAGAATGCTTTCAATTTTAAACTGATTTACATGTACTTTCGCGCCGCGATAAAATTCGGGACATACTCGGTTTAGCGTTATTTTTATACATTTGCAAATATTGGATACCTAAATATAAAGCCGACTGTAATGAAACTAACTCCTCACTCACCGTATCGTATAAGTTCTTGTCACCGATTGACATCGGAGATACTATTGTTCGATATAAACAATGGAATAGGAGGATTATCAGTGAAGCATCAGCAGGTAGCCTTCCAATTAATGCAGCGGATACCAGCGATGATTCGAAGATCTAAACTTATTATTTTTGCGAAATGATATAGCTTTTGTTACCACAGTCCTTTCGCAACCTGTAATTTCATGAATCCGTCCAGAAATTGAACGAAAGTTTGAGGGTGTTCGAATGCTCGTGTTTAACATCAAGCGACAACCTTCGAATACTTTATAACGGCGTTCATTTCCGAATACTTCTGAAAAGAACATATAAAAACAGAAAGTTAACTATAAATACCTTCAATTATTTTTTTGAATATACCTTCTTCAAAACAGTGAAATGAATCAATTGGCGACTCCCACATTGGAATAATCGAATTAAAAAAAGTGTGTTTTCCTTTTTGCATTAATCCGTCTTCCAAATTAAGAGGTACTCGGACCCCATACTCGTGACGGTCTACATTTAGTTGTTTTAGAATCATAAAAGTAACAGACCTTTGACGCTCTCATCATTGATTTTCACGAAAGTTGATTGGTTTAAACAGAATACACAGGCCCCCTTTGACGAATGACCCTTTAAGCCATATACCTTTCTTCTAGCCTACAAATGGGAATTTTTAAAGGAAAAAAAATCAACTCACGGGATCGTCATGCGAGCCAGCAACAAGAGCTCCTTGATACCAAATCCCATTATGATGGTACGGCGTCGAAAAGCTGTTGATCACCCACTTTACGATTCGATCGTGAATGTATGAAGACGGGTCCACCTTACTTAGATAAATAGACGATACTATAATCGAGCTAGTTCGGGCACGATCGTTATCTTCGAAATCCAAACATTGAATAGAAAAAGGCCAGCACTTTCGACTAAAACTACATTCTTTTAAAATAAATTTATCGAAATGGTTTGCCTTTCATTTCTCCTCAGCTTTACGCCATCAAATGTACACATGAAATGTACAATGACTCTTTGGTTATCGTTTTCGATTTCTTTTAGAAGTCGTTTCTTTAGAATCCCTTCAGCCATTGGAGACGAGCATGGCTCATCTTGAAAAATTTTATTTCGAGTTTGCAATATTTTCTTAGAATTCAATTGTATAAATGATTGAAATCTTTCCGTTAAATCGGAAAAACATAATTCGGCATTTACATAACCAATCGCGCAAGTACATCTGAATATCATGTTATTTGCTATTGAATTTCTCCAAAAACAATTTAAAAAAATATCAACACACGTAAATTACTTTTCATTGTCATTTCCACAGTTTCCACACACATTGATAATTGTCTGCTTGGCATTTTCCAGCAAAATTTTCTTTATTTCAACTTCATTTCGATTTTCTTCCATTTCAAAATAACGAATGATCGCTGAAAATTATGATAATGGTTAAAAACTCTTCAACCAACCTGTTTTTGAGCTAGTATAAGTCAAAAAAAAAGTGAATCAACAGTAAATCTCGCGAAGATAATGCTTCCCATTGGCCTAAAGCGAAATAATTTCAAAAATATGCAAAAACGGTAACAACCTCTCGACGTAATGACTGTCTGCAAGTTGTCACAGCTCGACATTGACACAAAATCTTCTTCCGCGCAAGTGAGTTCATCTTCAGACGATTCTACAGAATCTATAGAAATTAAATCTTGCTCTGTTTTTACTTTTAGTTATACCTGATGTTATGGTTGAAGTATCTCTATTTTCTGAAAATAGTTATTTTCTTCATTTTTTCTGTTGTTATCACCTGTTTCCGTCTCGTTCCGATATTCCCTATATATGTTTTCCATGATTTCTCGTGTGGTGTAACGATATCGCTTTCGATATGCAAATAATTTTGAATTTTGCGACATATCTACAAAGGAAATAAGGATTTCTTAGAGCGGGGGCAGTAAAATGCACGATTTTTTTGGAAAGTATATATATTAAAACGCAATATACGCATAAAAATCGAATATGAAAAAATTCGAAAATTTTCGAAAATTGTTTTTCGAATTTAGACGTCAATTTTAATGCATGTCCGCAGTGTATCATTGTGGTGGTTACACTACTGTGATAAAATCCAAATCGTATACGATCCTTGCAATAACGTATACGACGAGGAAATGCGGATGTTTCGTATACGATTACAAACCATTCATCAGAATCGTATACGATCCTATACGATTCACATTAACTTATACGATTACCATTAACGTATACGATTTTAATTTTATCTTATACGATGAAGAAATTCGCTTTTTTCGTATACGACTCGGAATCATTTACCAGAGAAGAGTATTGGAATAACGGAGGCGGAAGAGAGAACATATGTGCCTTTGCGGGTGTCAACAATGTGGATATTCACGCCCAAAAGGCACCAGCGTCGATTCTGTGCCACTCGTGATGATCTCAATAGCGAAATTGATGAATTATTTATCATTTTCAATGCATTTTAGTTGTCATTTTTAAGAACTTATTCACTTGATATTTTTTTAAATCAGTTTTATTTTGGTTTGAAAAAATCCGATTTCGGTTTAGTGAATTTCTCGAATGAATAACAAACCTTCATGAATTGAAGAAATATACTATTATTATGTATTTATATGTATATTTAAATTCGTACATATCCTACCGTGTGTTTACCGCAAAATGCGAGAGTCAATTTGTCGATTCGTCTCGTACGGACATGCTATTTCAACATTTCAATAGAATAATATTCAATTACGAGTCGGACAGGTACTCTGTGTCAATAAACATCACAACATAATGAGATTGGATTTCGTTTAGCTCGAGGTCATTTCTTTTCACATTTTGATGTCTCTTCCTACCTCTCGCGTTTTTGTTTTACCGATTCCGGTTGTCGACAAGAATTTGAATATGTTTTCAAGTGGTCATTGGTGATAAGTGACATCTATTTACTCATATCCCACATTTTTTTCTCAAAATCGTCATGACCGGAAAATACGGTATGTTGAGTTATTCGCAAAATTCATTTTTCTCTGAATTTGAAAACATGTTTTTTTTTTCAATTCTTTATGAATTTAGACGTTTCAAATCGGTATAGTTCTTATCTCGAAGCTCGACGTTGCTACTTGGATCATTCGGACGATAGCGAAGATTCAGATTTAGACGCTGAGGTCAAGACGATTCTTAGGCGGCCGCCATTATCATACGCATTTAAAAGATCTGGTAAGAATTTAAATTTATAATTAATAACGTAGATTTGTCGTGAAAAATCGCGAAATACTTATGACGATAGGAGAAATCTAGAAAACAGGTGATTCCTTGAATTTTGTGAGGACAAATTATGTAATCAAATATTCGAAATGTTGACTTCGCCTTTCGCAAATTGGAATATAAATTTTTTGCCTCGTATTGCCTTCCTGAAAACCATTCCTTCCTTTCGTTTTTTCGTTTGTTTCCGGAACTAACAACGACATAACTAATCTTCTAATGCATGCGCAAACATTATTATTAATTCGCAAAATAAACTTTCTCAAAAAAAAGAAAGAGTCAAATTATCATTAACATTTCGTTTTTTTTTTGTGCATATCAAGTTTTCAGTATGGTGTCGAATTTGTCAACTATATTTCGGACCAAGAATCAAACTAAGAAGAATATCAAAAACAACGTGAATCCAGCCGGTGAGCACTTTACTTGATTCTTTCCCTTCTAATCAAATTGACTTACAAGCGGAATCTAGAAGCATGTTTTTTCTCCAAATACGAATATGAGATACTTTAATTTTTTCAAGTCACAGCCTTTCTCAATCGATTTAGAATATCCCAAAATTCCTTGATTTCGAAAATTCAAATTATTTTTGAAGCGTTTCTGGAAAACTCTGAGGAAACAAATTTTTGATAAGAACTGTTCATTTTGCACTAATGCACCAAGATATAATAGTGAGCTGACTATTCTTCTTCTTAATTATCTATTAATTTTTATTGCAAACTTTCGATTGGTTGGAAGCTCCAATTGAAGCCAACGAGTTTTAACAACTTCCGACCTTCAAAATAGTTTTGGTTTAGAAAAAACGTTTGAAAAATAAAATAAATAAATTGAATAAAAATATATTTTGTATGGATAAATCGTTTTATACATAATTAATTATACATCTCTCACTTAACTCACTCATGTGAGATCACTGCTCGAATAGTTGCTTCATATTCTTCTTCTTCTCCTTGTTTAAGCTTAGATCAAAATCATATATGTAGCAGCATATTCGAATGTCGTCGTCTGCACCCTCTTGTACCCTTGCTCGATAAGCTCGTTGAGCTTATTTTGGCGCAATGTTTGTGCGCATTCTTCTTCAACCTTCTATTTTTCAAATGCATTTTTTTTCTCATTCTCTTCATCTATGAAATGAAAAAAGAAAGATATTTCGATAATGCTCAACTAAACCATTTATTTCTTCTTCTTCTTCATTTTTTTCCCATTATTGTTTGATTTTCACTCCAATATATGTGAGATGTGTGCCGATGTGTGCGAGTTTTTTGCAACAATAGAGTTGTGTTCATTTCTTTTTTCTGTTGTTCAACCAACTTTTGGGTAAACACAGCCGAGGACGACAAGCATCCGAATTTTGTGCATTTTCACTCATTTTATTTCAGTTTCGAGTAGCAGCGAAGAAGGCAACAAAGCTACCAGCATGGTCCTTGTACCTCCGGTTACCGTGCAAAAGGTTCGACTTTTTTCTTTTATTTTTAAATGGTTTCTAGCGGATTAATCGTAATTTCTTACAAGGGAGGTCATTTTGCTGTCCGTCTTAAAATTTGTTTATTTTTTGCATACAGATTCTTTAGAAAATTTCCAATCGAATGAACTAGGTCCCTACCTGCGCAAACTTCTAGTTATCGAGATATGGACCTTCAAAGTTTTAGCCCCTCCCCACGTGAATTTTGCATACAAATGTGCAGAAAAATTTTATGACGGAGCGAAAAGACCTCCCTTGTTAGATACTCCACCTTTTATTTGCTTTAAAATGGAAAGTTATTGTAATAATATAAATATGAAGATTATCATAAACCTATAATAAATAAGACTGTCACTATTTGACCAAACGCAAATCTCTATCAACTTTGTGAAAATGTGTGAAAAGCTTTCAACTAATCGCAAATGTATATTGACATAAACGATATTATTGAATGCGCTGTAATTATTCAGGAAAAAGAAGAAATCAAGGCGGATTCCAACGAAGCGTCAAGCTCGCTTATCGAGATTCCCACAGTTGAAGTGACCTCGCCAACACCGGAGCCAAACGGAGACATCCAGAAGGAGGACAACCAGAAGGATGGCAATGGGAATTCACAGGCATATGAAAAGGTGAGAACAATATTTAAATATTTATAAATGATGATTTTTTGAGATGGTGTTCATCGAGGATGTGATTAGTCAAAAGTTTAATGAAACTCTTGAAAAAATAATTAAATGGAAGAACGAGATTACTACGAAAATCAAGGAATCTGATATCGATTTTGCCAAGGAATCTGTGTAAGTCAACAATAATTATTGATTTTCAGATAAAAACAAAAATGTTTTATTAATTTTTTTTTAGGAAAATAGCCTACAATGTGGCCGCTTTCTTGGCTATAGCATTTGTCTCAATCGTATTAGTAGCTTTGTTCCGTTCAGTCTTCATCAAACCCGATATCAAACAAAACGGATGGTTCTGCAGGTAAATAATGAAATTCATTTTGCCGACGTTTTGTTTTAATCTGAAATTAATTTTCAATTTCAATTCTACTATCTGAGAAAAAAAAATCAAAAAGTCAATAATTTGTTTTAGCTGGTTTGCGGCTCCGTTTGATCCATTGTTCAATGCGCTTTGTGAGCAACGAACCCCAAATATTGCTGACCGTTTTTCCAATGAAATTGCCTGGATTTTCAATGATCTGATCACCGGTAAGATTCTCGATGGTGTTCCAGTTCAAGTGTTTCAAGTGTTTTCAGGTGTTCACACAATTTTCAATAACGTTTGTGATGGATTCGCTGTCTTCGGAACATTATTCTCAGCAATTTTCTCCGGTGTCCGAAACAACGTAATAAAACAAATTTTTGAAATAGAATTACATGAGAAATATTTTAGTTGTGTTTCGGCTTTCATGAGCTTGGAGAGAATGTCGAGGAAAATATCGCCTATCTTTTCCGTTTCGTTTTCCAAATGTTCGACGCGGTCATCTATTTGTTCACCAGTACTATTGCCACAATTGCTGGCGGAGTTGCTGGAATCGCCTCGTCAATTCAAGAATTCTTTTCGGCTGAATCCGATAATCACTGGTCCTAAATTATTAACCATGTATGGACCGTACATTAATTTTCAATTCAATTTGTATTCGTGTTTGTATATATCTAGCCAAACTCAACCCGTTTCACTTACTGTTAATACCTGATGTAGACATGCATGTAACCTACCATATTTTCTAACACGTTCCTCCTACTAACTTTCACTTGATTCAGGAATTTACATGATTCTCAATTAATTCGTAATAAATCTCAATGAAACCAATATTTACAGTGTGTATTTTTTACTTTTAAAATTGATTGAAAAATACACATATACATGGATTAATGTCTTTTTGGAAATTTAATAACCCCATTCATTTCAAATTTTTATATTTACCATTTAAATGATTTTTCAATTTTATTGTTGAATTTTTACACAAAATTATACTAAAGGGCAAAACGCACAGTTCAAATTTGAACTTGCGACGCGAAGACGCAGACGTAAAAACCGAGCGTGGGTCTCGCAACGCGCGCCTTTGGCAAGCGGCCAGTGCGCAATCGATCGCGGGTAAATTTAATTTCGCAGTGCTCCGGTTTTTTACGACGAGCCGAAACCTCGCGGAATTTTTCTCTCGCAAGGGAATCGACATTGACCATCTCATCCATTGCACAAGCTTCACAGGAGACGATATTCAACGACCAATTCGCAACGCGTTACCGTTTTTTCATTGGATAATTTCAAATTCGTAAAACTTTTTGACTTAAAATCAATTTCGCACCGGTTTGAGAATGGTACGCGTTCGCAGAGTGGTCCCTAAAGAGTGAGGAACTTTTTTATTATTTATATTTTTTATAATTCTTCGCAGATTTTATATACATTCATTTTTTTCTTTCTGTATGACGACGATAACAATGATGATGATAGTTCCTTATTGTGTGTGTTATTATGTCGTTTCTCATTCCTATTATTGCTCGTTGGTCATTATACGAGTACGCGTGTTTGATGGCGGTGACGAACTTTAAAAGTTTAATTCAGAAATCTCTAGGGTTTCTGAATTTGTTCGTCGCACCACTGCCCTACACGTTTTCAGTTAGGAGAACAAAATTTTCGTTTTCTTTGCCACCATTCATGTTGATCTTTTCAGCTGGGCTCGATATTCACCCATAGGAAATGTTATTCCTCGTACCCGATTTATTGTTTTCAAAACTCCTCTTAATGATAAGTTAGCTTGTCAGTTACCGAAAGAAAAACGGTTCAACGTGAATGATCTTTTCATGCAGGTTCAATATTTTTTTGTTTTTAAATTAATTATTTTCATTTTAGTTAAACATGCGTGGTCAACGTCTAGGACTTGTAGTTGATTTGACTGATACGGATCGTTACTATGACAAGAATGACATAATTGGATTAGGCGTGCAGTACGAGAAAATCAATTGTCCAGGAAGAGGGTCAGTTCAACACTAGCATGAATTTTGTATTTTCATTGATTTTTAGATTTATCGAGCGAGATGAATGCATCGAATCATTTCATCAGGCAATTCAAAATTATTCCGACAATTGCGACGATCAAGATGCTTTAATCGGCGTTCATTGTACACACGGTATTAACCGAAGCGGCTATTTAATTTGTCGGTTTTTAATTGAACGGCTAGGATGGAGTTCACATGAAGCTTTAGATGGTAATTAAAGAAAAGTTAAATTTCTTACTATCCTTTTTCAGCATTTGAGCATGCTCGCGGATATCCAATCGAAAAAGGAGCATACGTGATGGCTTTACACAAAGCGGCGAAAGATGTTCGAAATAGGAGGGTCGAGTCCGATTCGGATTCTGAAGGTCGGCGAAAGAAGTCGCGAAAAAATAAAAGAAAACATCGAGAGGAAGAGAATGGTCACATCAATATTATCAATGCGTTTTTGGGAGAGCTTGGACAGCAAGTTGCTAGCGTTTCTGGCGCGTTTGAAAATTCACCGATTAGTAATGGATATGGAACTCCTGACGATCAAAATCCCCAACCCCAACAGCCTCATTGGGGATACGCGGTTAAAAAGTCCAAATATCAGTCACTCAACCAACCGAACAATAATGGAACTCCTGTGGAAAGTAGCCCATTTGTCGAAGACGAGGAGCAATATGACGATGGTGAAGACGTGAGTTTTTTGAAATTTCAATTTTATCTTGTTCGATTTAAAATTTGCTGTGGTTGTTGATATTCATTAAAAAATTAATTATAGGACGGACAAGATGTTCAAGATGGTGAAGTCCAGGTCGCAGCGGATGGTTCAGCTCCTTCGGCCTCGTCAAAACGAAGGGCGCGTCGTCATAGAATGCAAAAAATGCTCGCTGTAATGAAACGCGGAAACTTTCACGAAATTCAAGCGATGCAAGAAGAAGTCGCAACAAATCATGGAGCTGCTGCGACACTTTAATCAGTGCCTGTTGAGAGAAATAATTATGGGTTGTTTTAACGTTTATCCTTATTTCTACTTAATCGAGTTTGTTTTTTTCTAATGTTGACCACATGTGTTTTTTATGTTTATAATGGTGCTTTCTTGTTATCTTTGAACTGAAGTTATATTTTCCATTTAAATTGATCTTCCATTTTGTGTTATCTCGTATCTACTTTTTATTCTTTCATATCGAAATTGTACAACCAATCGTTTAATAATATTTTGGTCTATGAAGATACAATATGAAGAAAAGAGTAGACAAAAGTTGAACGCTTGAAATGTGATTACTTGGAATGTTGTCGGCCATTGGAATACGGACTTGATTCAGATGACCGAACCGTTAGAAGATATTAATCTTCGCGAAGGAAAGTTTCAGTACTCGAAGAAATCCTACAGGGCCCCTTTCAAGGTCAGAATTTCTAAAAAAATGAAACTTTTGTGGCTCTTTTTTGATTTTCGTCAAACAATTAATTTCAAAATTCCTAGATAGTTTTGTACACGGCAAAATCGATTTAAAGGTTCTAAATTGAAGGTTTCAATGTTGCGGGTATCTTTTTTTGAGAACAATTTTCTTAATTTTAAAATTACATTCAAATTTAATTCCGACTTTTGGAAGTCACTCGTGAATTGTTTCATATCTGCGAAAATATGATAATCAAGCATCAGATGAATTTAGGTTCACACAATCGCGTTGAATCCATGTAACGACTTAATTGCACTTGGGTCGAAAAACGGCGATATTTCATTAAAAAGATCTTCGTGGAAACAAATTTGGAAGGTATTTCCAGCGGTTGAGAATAAAGTGCTTAAATAAAAAATTGCAGCTTAATTGTAACAATTGTTCGACACTTTATTATTCAACTAGCAAACCATCTTCATTGGAATCGCTGGAATTCTCTCCAGATGGATCGTTGTTGGCCGTTGGAATGAACGATGGTCATGTACACATTTATGAAGCAGAAACTGGAAATTACAAGCATACTTCAAGGTTTTTTAAACTATTTTCATCTTAAAAATCATATATTCGTCTAGAATTGGAGACCGAAATATCTCGCCAATTATTTTGCGTCTTCGATGGCATCGACATACTCTATTCGATGCTCAACTGGCTGCTAGTGAATCGTACCTCAGTACATTGACTGCTCAAGTGATGGATGAACGAGCAAAACGTACCAAGAAAGGAAACAATATTATTGGTGAGAAAACGAAACATTTTTTTATTTCTTATACGAATAGAACCCTTCGCCAGTTTTTCGTCCGAGATTACCCTCAGCGACTAATTTGTTGAGTAACTCGCTTTGTTTGAAGCATGGTTCATTTGGATACTTTTCAACCCATCCTGAAACAAGATGAAGCTATAAAGAAATATTCTCAAAATTAAATCACCATCCATTATAAATTTGAGAGTATCGAGACCCACATAATCGGCCAATTCAAACGGACCCATAGGGTATCCTGCGCCAAGTTTCATTGCTACGTCAATATCCTAAATGATGAGAGAATCACTTTTTCAAAACCATTCGAAACCAACCGTCATCGAAGCATCGTCTCGTTCGTATAAGCTAAGCGCTTCGAACATATATGGGACCAGTAAACGGTTAACGATGAACCCTGGGCTATCTTTGCAAGCCACTGTTGTTTTGCCAATCGCTTGTCCGAATTTGATCATTGAAGCGAATGTCTCATCTGAGGTTTCTGTGGTTCGAACTACCTGGAACAATTGAATAGAATTTTCTAACAAGCGATTATTTTTCGCATAAATTACCTCTAAAAGCTTCATAATTGGAACAGGATTGAAGAAATGAAGTCCTCCAAATCTCGATTTGTCTTTTATCACATCTTTTGAAATATCTTCGAGGCATAATGACGACGTATTCGTCGCGAGAATCGCATCGCTACAAAAACGTAAATATGTTTCGATAATGAGATATTTTGAATTGAAATATCAACTCATTGGCAGAATGCTCAATTTGTGCAAATAGACTCCGTTTCAAATCAAGTTTTTCGACGGCAGCTTCAATTATTAAATCGCAATTTGCAACGGATGTTGGCAAATCGGTCGTTGTTTTGATTCGTTCCATTGTTGATGAGACTAATGCAGATTGTGACTGGAGTTACTCAATATCGTTTGAAATGATTTTCATTGAAATACCTCTTTTGACGTATTCGATCGTTGCTTCTTCGCAATTCGAGATAAACTCTTGCCAATCGTTGACATCGCGTTCGTTAACGAGTCCTTGTCAACATCGACGAGTGTCACATTGAATCCAGAAGCCGCCGAGACTTGTGCGATTCCAGAGCCCATTTGGCCAGCACCAATGATCGCAATATTGCTGATATTGGCCATTTGTCGAGTTAGGAGCACGTTGCCCAGAGTGCGAAGCTTGATGGATGACAAGAGCATTTTCTAAAAATGAATTCCATTTCAGGCCAAGATCAAATTTATCAAAATTGCTTGGACATGTACGTGGAGAAACCAGACGTGGCCCGTGAAGACGTTGCATTCGTTTTTCAAATGCTTGAATCGGTATGTGAATTCCTACCTGATTTAACGCCATTCAGAAAGCGCAAAATACGAACTGATCTCATTCTTATCATCAATTTTGCATGATCATTTCACGCGAAACGTTTCGAAATTAATTATTGCAGGATTCGCAAATTCTAAAATTCGAGGAAGGACTCGAAGATTATATCGAAAATTCGTTTGTGAGCAATCAGAAGTATCGCGAAGCTTTTAAAAACACAATTCTGCTCGCAATTCGCGATGATTGCATTGTTACGGTTTTAATGGCTGGAGTAATGCCTTTATTGAATATTGATCTCTCAAAAACATTAGGTTTATTTAAACAGCATAATTTAATTGTATGATTATTTTCAGAAAAGTATGGATTATCTCCTGTAATGGTTTATGATGCGTGTTATTCTCGGACTGCCGGTGGAATTACAATTGCTGCAACGACTTGTGGTCCTAAGCCACAATTCAAAAAAGAAAAGGTTAAAGAAATAGTGTTTAAATGTAAAAAACAGAAAACCTTAATTTCTGTGAAACTCCGTACCAATAATATAAATAATTTTTCCAATAATGGAAACTCTACAAATTCATCGGGCGAAACAGGGTCGGGGGACAGGGGTTTTTCACTTTCGGTGAAACAATGACAAATGTTGGGAAAAAAACAATGCCGAAAAATTAGAAGAAATTGTTTCAAAGAGGAGACACAGTGAAACCATCGTCTTTCGCCGAATCCGGAAAAAAACGAGAGTCTCGCCCGATGAGTTTTGCGAGAAATGAAATAAGTCTGTAATTTTACGTCAACGTACGATTCAGACACTTTTCTACCGTAGCCTCATAATTGTTTTCTTTAGAACTTTGGAATTCCCACTGACGAACCCGGCGATTATGCGGTACACACCCATTTATTTTGCTACAAATTCGAAATTCTTGATCAGTATTGGGATTTAGCTTTACGGTATTCATTTTTAGTCGTTACTAACAATTCTTGTTTCTTTCAGATTCCTCCGTTTATGTTATGGATTTGGACTACTCAAGTGTAGTTACGATTCGTTTGTTAAAGAATGGGAGCCGCATATGCAGATTTTAACAAATCGTTTTGAGACCGGCTCAGCCAATGTAAGAATTGGAGAATTGCTCATCGACATGCTGCTTTCAGGTTGAGTGGTTTGTTGTTTTTTTCTCGAAACAATTGCTTAATTTTCAGGAACAACTGAGCCTGCTGGAGAAGCATTTTTAGAGCGTGGAATGGGTGTCGATGGCCTCAACGGAATCCGAGATTATCTCGATAAACATTTGATGTAAGATTTGAAAATTTCTTCTCGAATTTATTAAAAAATAAAAACAAATTAAGCGAGGTAATTCGAATCATTCGCGGTCAGGTACAGGCGCTGGTACGAAACATGACTTTTCAATCGGACGAATTTGAAGCAGTCTCGAGATCAATAATGGAAGAATTGTATTTAAACGTTAACCGAAACGAAGTGCTCAATCTTCCATTCCAACAGGATATCGATTCGGAATTTGTTACAATGATAAGAAGAAATCCGATTTCTGACAAGTTTATTTATTTTGATAATGTCTTACATTTATTTCGTTATTTTAGCTTGAGAAATGTGAGTAAACGTCTAGAGTATAAATCGAAACAAATGCTGCATTCTGCTGAGATTATGATGTTAGTTTTCATATGAACTCATATAATTAATTAAATAATAATAATTATTATTATTTCAGGCAAGAAATTGATCATTTGTTTAAATGGCTGTCGGTTTTGAAACCTTTCGCGCGTGCATTTAAAGCAAATCTTCTCGTGAAAACGAAACGACTCGATATTAACAAATTGATGAGGGTAAATGAATTATAATCTCATTTATTGAGTTATTCCAAAATATTCAGTTTGTCGTCGAAACATTTGTCACAAAACGCCACAAAGCGAATTACAATCTGTTGATGTTTGAGGTTGATCGACTTTGTCAAGTAAGATTTTTTCAAAATTTTGTAAACATTATCGGAGACGGACGAATTTTTGAAATTTAAATGGTCACATGTAATTTCCATATTTTGATTTTCATAACATATTTTTTATGCGCCTTTAATGTCTACAGTATTCGGGAAAGACATGCGAAATTTGAACAGATTTGGGCAGACTTAAGCAGTTTCTAACAAGGGAAAGTCTCCGAAAACTGCGCGGCTTTTTCCGAGTAGTTTTATATTCATTTCATATTAGATCAAATCGAAAATCATTGCTAGACAATGACTGAAATTTTCATCATGAGAAACGTTCGTCTCATTTTTCTGAAAATAAATTTTAAAAATTTATCGTATTTTTTTTCAGATTTTGAGACAACAAGAGAAAAATACGCGATTCAATGAAGAAGAATTTTTCAAAATGGCAAAAGAGCACGCTGAACAACAACATAAAGAATATTTAAGCCAATTAAAGGCACTACGTCCGGATGTTATTGAATATACTGGGTAAAAGTGTGTGATAGGTTTTATTTGAATTCTGTTTTCAGAAAACGTCCTTCATTCGCGCCTTCTCCTGATAACGATGATGATGAGCCTGATGACGAAAGAATCAAAGTTGATTTAGATCGAGTCTGTTTTTTCTCGTTGAATTGCTTAATAAGTTATTTATTGATTTTAGCTCGGCTCGTTTTTCAAACATAATTTTTCTGAGACGGCGAAAAAGGTTCTGAAAGATTGCAATACATTTTTATCGACAATTGAACCAACAATGGTGGTCGATGGAAAAATCAAATTGACGGAAGAAGCGAAACTAACGACGTTTGTTGATTTTATTTCGTTTTCACATAAATATGAATTTTTCAGATTTGAACGAGTTTTTAATGAATTGGCTCATACTATTCTAAATAATGCAAATGTTGTTGACGAACCTCTTTTGAATCATCTCAATTTGGTGGGGAAATTTCATTTTTCAACATAAGTATTTTCGTAATTCAGCTTTGGATGTTCGAAATTGAATCATCGGCGCAACATCAAGGTTTCCAGTATGTCCGATTAAACAACTCACGCCCGGATTATCGGAAATTCGAATCAGATAGCGATGAAATTTTCAAGTATTGCAATTGCTATTTTAACTGTGAAATTCAAAATTCTCATCTAGCTCAAATTACAGACGTTCGGTTCACGTAACCGCGGCATCGAAGACAACTTTTCATTCGCATGTGATCAGCTCAAATGCGGCTGACAAAATGCGAAAAGAATTCTTCGAAGGACCAATTGGACTTTTATCGGCGGTTTTCAAAATTGATGTACGTCTTATGTAAAATAATGCGAAACAATATGGCCAATTTAGGAATCAGCTGAGGCACCACAAATTGAATCCAATGATGGTTCCGAAAGGCAAACTGACGAACCGATGGAAATTGATGTGAGTCCTCTAGGTCAATTGCAAATTGAAATCGACGAGCCTTTGCGAAGATCAAGGTATAATCGACTGGTTGCGTTTGATGCGGTTTTTCCTGGAAATGACGGAGAATTATATGCAATTGTATGTTTTCTGAAAAACTAGGTCCGTAATTATCATTTTTTTTGTAGGGAAAATTCACCGCTGCTGAAGAATCATCCGGTGTGATACCAAGAATGATGAAACTCGCATTGAGTGTAACTCCGAACGAGGAAAGTGTCTGGATTGTGCAAGATGTAAGTGATAGTTGATTTTAAAACTTCAAACCATTTCAGTTCCAGGATGATTACGATACGTCGGAAGTTCCTGAAAAGGTACAAGTTTGCGAGTCGTTAACTCGTGGAACATACGTGCACGACGAAGGAACGCGCGTCGCAATCTTTTCAATAGATCACAAAACGTTCGCAAGGAAATCGATTGGCAACAAAATTTCGCGGAAGCAATTTTCAACACGTAAGATGACACTATTTATTCCAGTCTATTCACTGTAGTTAGTTTATAGATCCTGCGTCTCCGGTGTCATTTTTCCGAGTGAAACAACAATAGAGACTGTAGACTAATTTATATTATTTAAACATTGTGAATTCGATCTCTATTCCTTCAAATTCGGTTTTTTTGCATTGCTACTGGTTTTAAATTGTTGAATGTTCATTCGTTCTCTCTTTCAGTCTTTTCTTGTTACATACATTTTTAATTGTTTCATTTGATTTTAATTTATATTTTGTTTCCTGTCATCATCATAATGAAGATTCAGTCAAAAACAATGATCATGTATTCATTAAGATCCATATAGCTTGAAAATGTTTTTAGTAATAGCAGAACTGCTCCGAATTGCATCATGTTTATGTTGATCATTGCAATGATCGAATGAAATATTTAGAAGAAATATGAGCCTCACGGAAACTCTGCCAACGCATGTTAATCGAATCAAGATTTCCGGATAGAATTTGGATTATGAGTTTCTGTGAATTCTGCTTATGACTGATTAGGTTTAGTCTTTGATTATTCTTGATCTTTATTGAAAAATTGAAAAAAATTGCAATAATGGCGATGGAATTTTGAATTGCCGCCTCGGGTCTCATATGGAAAAGCACTTAGGTGCGAATTTTGTTTAATTTAACCATTATAATGTAAAAAAGCATAATTTTTGTGAGCTTTTTCTTGAAGTGATAAATGATTGAATGAGCATTGTTTATTTTACGAAATCTACACTTTTATATTTGCGTCAAGACACAGTCTTTGCTTTTTTTAATCATTTTGCCAATCTTCCTCATTCGCGCGACGCCGACAGTACGAAATTTGAAAAATTCGCTACGAGAATTACGGTAACTCGCTCATCGCATTGCGTACAAAACGCAGGATCCCACGACATCTGGATAAATTTGCCATTTCTCAAAAATATATAATTTTGAAGAGGGGCCAATTGGTTTTGAGTTAAATCTATCAAACGAATTAAACGTGTTGATTTCGTTAAAAGTTCATGTGACGTTTAGAAGCTGGTGGGCTGTTTCGAACAAACTTGAGAATATTTGGATTAAAAAACACTTCGGTCTAATTCTTTGGTTTAGTGTTATTGCAATGACGCAACATTTATAAGTAATCGAATATGTAAAATTTTAATAAAGGAAAATCGCTACTGGAACCTGGGTCGAAGCAATTTCAGATTAAACTAGTTACGTTGAAGCCTTCTAAACAAATGATTTATTTAAATAATAATGATTTGAAATCAGGAATATTTCGAAATTGTTGGAATCGCAAAACATCTAACAATTGACTGAGAAGATTATCCGTAAAACAGCCACATGTGTCAGGTTCATGTTTCAATCGTAGATCCCATTTGGAAGAATGGGCCGATAAAAATTTCAGAAGCAAATTCCATTTAGTAAACAATTTGGTCCTCTCTTGGTTCCATTTAGCGGATTAGCCCATTTAGCCCATTTGGCAACAGTCGAAATGAATATATCGAAGACAAAATATGTATCGCGCTGCTTAGAGACTCTTATTTGAAACGACTTACCCGAGTATTTCATTCAGTATATAACAGAGCAAACACCTTCCGACCGGAATTATGTCCGCAGCAGTGTCTCGACTAGAATCGGCGCAATTTTGCGATCAAAGTTGGTTTGATTATTGTCGACGTCACGCGACTGCGAAAAATTGGTTGAATGCCAAAAATTAGAAGAGAGATCTCGAAACGTGGTGTGCGCCTTTAACCTATCTTAGGCCCGTATATCTACATTATTATTTTTTTCGCATCCGACAAACACCAGAGGTACACCGAATTTCTGGTCCATGTTAACTATGTGGTGCCAATATAAAATTTGTTCTCCTGGTGGGAAATCATTAAAGCTGAATTCAAACGATGAATTCAGATTCATCAAAATGATGCGCTTAAAAGGCATTTTTGGATCGGAAGTCTTCCAAAAAATATTGATGTTTGGCTGAAACATCTTCTTGCGAGTTCTTCCATATTTAGAGTTGACTGTGATCTTTTGATTTCGAAACGAGTTCACACAAATTCAACAATTGTTTGTAGTGAGCAGAAAAATTCCGACGAAAATTATTCGAATCAATTCGTCATTCAATGGGCGGAGCCTAAAGAAGCCTTCTCGGTGGCCTCTTCCTCCTCCCACTTTTGCGTCTACATTTTAAGACCAATATATTATTATTATTTTTTAATTGAAATCTTCAAATAAATTCTTTATCCAAAGATCTCTGTTTTTAGCCAAAATTGTTTAGCAACAATCCGAAACACATAAACACTGTGAGTAGCAAATAATTGAATTGGCAATGAAAAGAAAAACACAAGTCCATATTAATATAATAAGAGATTCTTCTTTTTTCAATCGCCTAATTTGTAATTATTTTATTGTTGGAAACACAATGAATATTTTTGAATTAGTTTGAAACATTTTAAGAGCCGCGTTTTGACACTTAAGTCAATAGTCCCTCAAAACTTCTCGGAATATAATATTCCATTAATTCTGGAGACTTAAAATTCTGTAAAATTTGTATTTTCCAAAAATCGGCTAACTTGATGAAGTATAGAAGTTGGATTTCTCTTTCCCTCTATGACGGCCAGAATTATCAATTTATGAATAATTTTTAAAAAGTATTTGAAATGAACAAAATGTATACTTTTGAATAAAACTAGTTCATTCACCCACCGGCTCATTCCAACGAAAATTATTTGACCGACAAATTTCAGATTTTTGTTTGAGTTTTGAGTTCATTTCGTTTTTGATCATCATCTTCAACTCTTCACATTAATAATTGCATCAGTGATATCAGAAAAAAAAATCATAAAGATTAATTTGTTTTCAAACATTCACCAAAAGTTGACGAATATCCGGTTTCCGCACACATTCAAATAAAATCGACATCATTTGACCTACGACTTTTCGGATTTAAATAGTTGTATTCTCTTTTGTCTATAAGCTTAAAACTCTTGAGTCGAACAAAAACATTCTCATTTATTCATTGGATTCTTTAAATCTTAATTCGTTTGATTCTCGAAAACGAGAAATCGATGCTCAAGGATTCTTTGATGGAATCGAAAATTGCTCAATCTACTTTGAAATTATTCACGTTAGAAAGGCATTATTTGATATTCAAATTTCATTTTGTTGCTTCTCAAAATGGCACCATTTATTTTCTGAGGCTTCTTATAATTGTTTCTCATTTTCCTATTCAACGATCACTTTGCGAAAATTCTTCCTCATTTTTTTCCTGGAATACAATTGAATTGTATCAGAATAGTGAAGGCAAGTACAATTGAACCATAATCAACAGAAAATACCACAAATCGTTTTCCCAGTGCACTTTTTGTTATCAAAATCGGTTATTCGCTAATTCAGAATAATAAAAACTTATATGAGAAAACTTGAATATTTGAGAAAGAAGTTCGAATCAAAACAAAACAAAAATAAATTATTCTCTTATAGTTTTCATCTGAAAAAAATTAGAGACCTATAAAATTGGATTGGTATGGCACTGAGGTTTTTCGTCACAGATATTTTTATTTTTCGTTTTTCAATACAAATATATCTGAAAATGATAACCAACTAGTGTTAGATTAGGAAGAACCAATGAAATTAACACGACCGCACGCAAACCGCAACGCGTATGAAAACACTGAGGGGAGATTTACGAACATGCACTTTTCTCGCGAAGACTTGCGAATTATAAGATTCATTTCGACATTTTTTGATTACAATCAATAGATTGGAAAAATTAAAAAAGAAACAGATCAAATTACAAAGTAAGCCATCCAATGGGACGAGATCATAATGGGTTCCCGTAATTCTCGTAAATCTATCAAGGCATTGCTGATTATTCATTTTTTTTACCAGCATTTTCTTGTACATTTGAGTATAGTATTTCAGATTTTTAAGAAAAAAATCATTTGTAGACTTGACGTAATCAGTTCGGCACATCGATTCCACTTGTGCAGATGCTCTTCCGAATCATTTTCCTGCTCTCGGCGCTTTTCCTCGTTTCGTTTGCTCTCGTTTCCGACATTTCCCACCGCTTTTTACACAATGATAACAAGGAATACAAGCAACTTGGTACGTTGGAAAATTGAAATTCGGCGAATTGAGATTCGAGCAATTTCAGAGCCGATTTACACGGCGTATGGCCTCGAAAATGCTGGCCAGTTTTTGCCGCTTTATGAAATGACGAACTCGCATCTTTTGAAGCTAAATGATTTGTTGAGAAAACGACACGAAAATCGAACTTGAAAATGATTGGATAATAGTAAAAAAAAATCAGTTGAATAAATGTTTAATCACTGTTGATTTTTTTTCCTTCCAAAATAATAATGGAGAATTTCGTTGTTGGAAAAAAGAAATACTAAAATGGAAAGAAAGAGAAAAAAACATATTCTGAAGAAAAGAATGGAAAAGCTTTAAGTGTGCTTCTGACATTCAGAGAAGCGCAACCTGAATTTCAGAGGTCCGAATCCAACAGTCATCACTTGCTTTTTATTTTTTTAAACAAAGAATTGCTCCATAAAAATTGCTTGAAAATTGTTTAGAGTATGTTTTTTCCCCCTTGGTGTGTACACAGAATTGCATCATAAATGACGACAATTTCTGGTTCAGAGCTACTAGATGAAAAATTCGAATTATTACGTAATGCTTTTTTCGTAATGAGACCACCCCCGTTATATTTAATTAACCACTACTATAAATAGCGAGACTGCATAATTCTTGGCGAAAATATAGTAAATTATTTATTAATTTAATAATTCACATTATTGTTCAAAAAATTAAAAGAAATTTTGCCAATCGAACTGATAAATATATTTTGACAAATTTTTATCATTTTTTTTTTGATTTTTTCCGCTGTCGTTTTTTAGTGGTTTTTCATTCTCAGACTTCCCCATTATTTTTGATGATTAATTCGCGTTTGGAACACAAATCAAATTGGCATTCTCTGCAGATTCGCTAATTTATATCATATCACTAATCACTGGAATCGACCCGATTTTTGCATAGATAGCATGAAATCAAGGCCGGCCGTCGAACCGAAAACGGAAATTAGAGAAGAATTCTGGTGATGACAATGAAGATGATGATCCAACAAAACACATTTGATCGTTGAGCGAGTTATCACACTTCTCAGAGGGACTTCAACACAATTTCCAGAAAATCTCGTTTATTAAATTTTCGATGCAACTGATCATGATGTTCGATGAAAGTAACGGAACAGAGTATGATAAGAATACGGTAGCAATGATTGATCACAAGTCGAAGCAAACCCTATGATAATGGGTCTCCTTTAAAAAACCACTTGGACCGTGTGGCCTCGGGGCGCATTTGCAACTGATCGACCTGACTGATAGCATTCGTAATAGGCACAAACAAGCTCTTTGTTTGGCATTCGAATATTAAAAAAATTCAATTTTTTTCATAATTCAAGTACCAAATAAATGTCTGAAAGTTATACTTCGTCGAACGGGTCCTCATATCACCCGTGTTGGGCTTAAATTCGCATTTTGACCTGCGCGGGGACCCGCGGGTCCCACCAATTTTCATTGTCTCACTGCTATTTGATCACCAATTTAAAGACGGTATCATTCTTATTAAAGGAGTTTAAAGAATTTGTGTGCTGAAAATAAGAAATCGAACCAAATTAAATTTAAAAAACAAGAGAAATTTTCTATTAAATTCGCAAAAAAAGCTTCGCAGGTTTTCTGTTAAAATTCAAATTTAAATTGCCGCCTCAAAAATGTGCGATGGTCCACAATTATTCAATTGCTCGTTTTTTGCGATCGTAATATTTTTTGGGAATTTTTTTTGTCATTCGTTCTCATCATTTGTATCTTTACTAACTAGAAACACCAAAAATTGATCATTTAAAATGTTTAATCATGGAAAAATAACACGTTTAAAAATAGCCGTCGAATGGAATGAAATTCTTTCGGTTCAAATAAGCGACATGCTTATTTATGGAAATTTGTTCTTGAAATATTGTGGAAAAATGACGAATGTGAAAAACTGCAGCGATATCCTATGCATTGTGTGCGTACACCGAGTCGCACATCGCGCTCTTAGCTACAGTCATCTAAACTGAAAAATATTTAATCAATTATTGATTGTTCCTTTTTATATAAATAATTAACTTCGAAAAATATACAGAAATTATTACTATTACACTTTTGCAACAAAACCGTATACATAAAACTATAAATTCGCCAAGAAAACACAGAAAAAATAATAAAAAAAATGATTAAATAATTTTCAGTTGAGATTACTGTACGTAAGATCGAGATGTGCGACTCGGTGTACGCACACAATGCATAGGATGTCGCTGCAGTTTTTCACGTTCGTCATTTTTCCACGTTACATAGTTTGACGTTGGTTTTTGTTTGATTTTTCGAATTCTTCTATAGTCGGCGCCCGGCGACTGCTGTACGCGGGTAGATTTACGGGGATGCGTCTTTCGAAATGGTCTCGCTATGACTAGCAGTTTATTTCAAATTTTATGGACCGGTTCGATAATTTTTTTAATCGAATGACGTTGAAATTTCAAGGAAATGCGAAACTCATAAAGAAAAAATAAATCGTTCACGTGAAAACAGCAAAATAAGCATTCACGCGTGGCGAGACCTTTTCAAGGCGCATGCGCGTAAATCTACCCGCGTACAGCAGTCGCCGGACGCCGACTATATGTTTTTTATCATTTCTTATAAGGTGGTTTTGCTCAAAATAAATTTCGTCCTAGCTGATTTCGAAGAGGACTCTTTCAATTTCTCGAACACAAAATGATGTTCACAAAATTCGACCCCTGAGCTATCGGCCTTCCAATCGTTTCTCGTTTTATTGAACTCGGAACAAAATCGGGCACCCATCAATCTTATTCTTTCATCACTTATTTTTTTTATACACATTCTTTCTTCTCAGTTTCGGCCATTTCAATTTTCGATGCGATTTGTCGCCGTACACACCGATCGCCGAGAAATGCTTGAATGTCTTGTTTGAACGTGCGATTTTTAAAGATCACTGAATTAATATCGGCCACAACGTCGGAAACCATTGATCAGCATCGTCTTGTTGAATCATTTTCCGGGCTTTCATAATTCGAAACCTGATTCGACCGCTGATGTCATTGCCACAGGCAGAGATCAATTCACACAAAGTGTTTTGTCAACGAAATAGAAAAAGCTTACGACGAGGTCACTGATAAATTGTAGGCTGTCCTCGATCGCGATTCGTAATGATTAAAAATAGAATATCATCATATTCAAAATTAATTTTTGGCGTGTTGCAAGTGGCACTGAAACCTCGACAAATTCTGGGGAATTCTTAAACAATAAAAAATCAAATTTTAAATGTTTATTATTTTATTCTCATAGATATTCAAATCATCATAAATTAAAGAAAAAACTTCCTTCCTCATCGAATTCTTTCGATTAATTAGCGAAAAATTCTCATTAAATGTCTGCCATATATTTAGTTTGATATTGCATTTTTTTTCTCCCACAAAACCTCATTTTTCAGCCCAAATAGATGATGTGAGCCCAAAAAAAAATCGAGAATTTTGGGATTTTCGATTGTTTTTTTTTTGTATCGTTCGAATAGCTAAGAATATCTCAGCAATTTGCTTACGATCAACCCAGAAAATTGATGATGCGAAGATTTCGACGATGGTTTCTCCCCGCGAAATCATCTCCAAAAATGGACATCGATGATAAAACTACGCGGTTTTTCGAAAAAGAAACACCAAGAACCGAAATGTTCATGGGAAAGTTTATTGATTGTTCGGATCGGTTTGACAGGTTCGCGATGATACAATTCCACAGTCTTTTATTCGTTTGGACTTTGATTTCTTTTTGGGAAAGCGATTGAATGGTTTAGATCGGAAATGGAACACGATCTGATCAAACTTTGATGTTCAGCACATCGCATTTTTAATCTCTTCCGATCGCTATCAATTTGTTGTTCATCGGTTGGATGCTCGCCAACGAAAAAAAAGGGACACGGAATCATTTCGAGAATATTCGAGAGATGACGTCGTCGATGATAAATCGTTTGTCGCGTTGTCGATCTGCTCGAAATCACGAAACGCCGGGCGCGCGCGCGCGTTACGACGATCGACCTACAATTGTCGAGATCAGAGAATGCCGAAAATTGAGCGAATGAAATGCGGCGAAACGAACCAAAATTTCAAATATTTGTCCTTGGCAATATCTCGAATAGCTCACTTCAAGGTTTCTCCTTTTTCTTCTCTTTTTTTATTAGGCGATTATCGGTGGCGATGGACGCCGTAGATGGGAGCGACACTCATTTGATTTGCAATGTGACGGATGACCGAACATTTTTCGTTCATTATACGACTGGCATGGTTAAAAGAAGATATTTTCATTTTGATGAGGTTATCCGTGGAATTTGATATTAATTCAACTGATTTTTATCGAAAAATTTCTGATGAATTGAGCGAATTAGGTATTATCTGCTGTCCAAAAGCATTTCCGGAGATTGAAAAAAAAGCATATAGAAATGTATACTAGTATCAGTGTAACTTCTAAATAAATATCGAAGGCAATAGAAAAGAAATTGAAATTACAATGATTTGGAAAATAATGGCATTGAAGCCACGGCTCGCCGCAACTCACGTGTGGCCTAGAAAAATTATCATCAAACCTTGGTTCGGCCACGGCCACACTTGATGGATTAATTAATTAAATTAAGTAGAACTGAATGAATACGAATATATTGCGTGTGCTTACGATTTCAAAAACCAAATATCAAAATAAAAGTCATAAATTCGCATAAATTACGCATAAATTTAAAAATTAGTATGTGATAGTGTGCCGCACTTGCATTTTTCGCTTTTGAAAGTGCCTGCCAATTTTTCTAGGCCGCACGTGAGTTGCGGCGAGCCGTGTAAGCGAGTACGGAAAAAAAAGAAAAAGAACGGATGGCTTTTCAATTTTTTAAAATGAGAAGCTTTAAAAAAACAGTTAATAGTTTTCATTTCATTTACAATTTTTTTTTATTTTAAATAAAATATTTATTTTCGTTGCATTTTATTTAAAAGTGCAAATTCATAAATCATTCGCGATAGAATCTTCACTTTTTTCCAGTCATTTTTTTTTCGTTGAAATACGCAATCTTGTATTATAATCTCCGAATGACCTTTATCGAAACTATAGCGAGTTTTTTCGAAAAATTGGGCATAAACCTCCCATAATGGACAGAAAAACCTGTACTTTCTGAAACAAAAAAACGGTGTTCATTGATAGAAATCAACAGAACAATGAGACTCTAGAAATTTGCGATTATCGAAGAAAATGATAAAATCGAAATTAATTTTATAACGGGATAATTTGGAGTAACAGAATTAATTTTCGAAATATCACTTCTTTTAAATATTTTTTTAAACTAATTCACCCATTATAGAAAATCTGATTCAAAAATCCATCCGCAAACTTCAGGTACCGATTAATTAACCGGTTCTGCGATATTTCTGTGATAAAAAGGGATAAAGATAGATGCCGAAACATTTTTTTCCAAATTCATTCCAATGATCCGCTATTTTTGGATCAAATTCCTTTCTATTTCCGAACTAGACGTGTGTGGGAAGATTGTCCGAAAAGTGCATCCGGAGAAGAACTTTTTTTAATTTATCGAATTCCTGATAAAGCGTATTGAATTGCAATTTTGATAAAGATCAAATCGAATTCATCGGTGTGTTCATTAAGAGAAGGAAATAATTGCGATACTAAAAACGAGAAAGCAAAAAATAAGAAAAATTGTACGAAAAGTGCCTCGGCGGAGAATGCACTCTATATAATCACTATTCAACGGAATATTCATGACATCAGTTAATGCATTTGTTATTACGTTTTTTTCATGGATGAGTTCCATTGATGAAGCTAATAATGACTTGATCAGTGGTTTCTGCTCTCAATTACATCAGCTTTATACTTATGATAATGTTTGAATTTCGCGTCATATGTTTGATTCATTTTATGAATCGCTTCTTATCAATACCAGAAAAAACGACCCAACTGTGTGGAAACCAATAAGAAATGTGTACACGGCTTGGTGTGATTCGAAATTTCGCATGCCGACCATCATTATGAGATCGAGAAATCCGTCGAATGCTGCTCGAATTCGTTTCGTTTTTATTTCGCCATTTCAATGCGATTCGATCTGCTGACGAACAATTCGCAAGATGTTCTTCTTCTTCTTGTTTCGTTGATTCCCTAGTTTTAATGAAACAGAAAGTGGTGGTGCTGAATAAACGAAGCGGCATACGACCCCCCCCCTCATAAAATTCGCCAATTTGCTAAAACATTCCCAATTTTGGATGATTAGAAAAACGAGCGAAGTCGAAGTAAAAAGGCAACAACCCAGTGTTGAATATTCGTAATGCATCCATGCGAATCATATGTGAATCCTAGAAGGCCTTGATGGAATGAGGCTAATAAATATTTCAGTGATTCGTTTTTTTTTTGGTTTTCTCGCAGAACTTCACCCCATTGTGTTTCGATAATGGCTAATTATTACAACGCGATGCACATTACAATAATTTGACATTCATTTCCGCAATATTCGCTTCCTTTTTCGTTCGACATTGAATAGTTAAATAGGATCGACGCGATATATATATATATGGGCAGATTAGATAAACGGCGAGCGGCAATCATTCATTTCGACGCACGATTCGGGCTTTTCGAAAATGTTCGAAAAACGTGATCGGACACACACGGAATTCTCTCTCTCTCTCTCTCTCTCCCATTTTTCGAAATTCGCTCGCCCTTTTTTTCTCACTTTTTCCATTGATGGTTTCCGTATTTGAACTGATAATTCCCCCCCCCTGTTTAATTCGAACCGACACTTTCGAATTTTGACGAAAAGACACACCAGCGTTGAACCGTCGAGGAATAGAATTCGCGGAGTTCCTCATGGACGATTCGAACTTCCGCGTCGTTCGTTTTCAGGAAGACCCGCCGTCCGTTTTTGATCTACGTCTCGTCTGCCATTTCGCCGATTTCACGTTCTCTAGCAATTCATCAACTGTTTCATCATTCTTATTCTCATTTTCTTGCCGTCGAGATTTTCTAAACAGGTGTTCGAACAAAAAAAACGTTGGGATATGATAATCGGAGGCTGATTCGCAATTCTCGATGAATATTACACTTATCGAAACTTTGAAATATGGTGATTGTTGAGTATAAATCAAATGGGTGTTCGAACACAGAGGATCATGATAATGATGATCTCAAGTTCCTCGCGGTGTCTGAAAATTTTTGTCTGAAAATTTTCCGAAAATGCCAAATCTCTGAAAATGTTCTGCGAGTGATATTTTCGAAATGTTTCGAGAGATTCTCAAAAGAAAAATTCGACACAAAACATCACATTTGGTGTATGTGTTGTCGACTCACATTGATTCGGTTTTGGTCTTGTACGGTCAACGTTGGGGGGCATTATTCGATGACCCAGCATTATCCAATAATCCTTTGTCATTGAAGATTCACACTTTGTTCGTTTTCCTCAACATTTTGACCTCTTCGAAGAATGACGTCGCTCGCTGAAAAACGGCGGCCTTCTGGGAATTGTTTCGGCATTTTTTGGCCGCCATGCTTGCCGGCCTCCATGTGTGCCCCGGCCCCTCTCCAGTCCTTCCGCCGGCCCCGCCTGGCTGCCTTCACAAAACGAACACTTCCAATGAAACATTCATACACTCACTCACTCCCTCACACACACTCGCACACAAACTGTCTATTTCTTTTTCGCCCCGACTCTTTTTTTTTGTTACAAGATCACGGGTTTGCTCTATATTCAAATCACGAGGAGTCGTCTTTTTCTCTCAACCTCCGCCTACCAATCTCTTTCAGATTGCATCAGGCATCGTTTGGCCAACCCCCAAAACTCCGCCCATTTCTATACTGTAGTCAGCTGCTACGAAACGTAGCGCGTATTGGCCCGCCCATTGCCTCCTGATAAATGGCTTGGTTATTGACAAGCAAACAGTCAGAAGAACCCTCCTCCCCTCCTCATTCGTTTGCCTCCCAAGATGGACAACATTTATCTGTTGACCGCTTCCAATAATTTTTGCACCCACGTTGCCCTTTGCGTTCAGCTGATAGCATCTCTCATGTTTTCCAATTGTTTGCAGAATGAAACTGAACGCGTTCTTCGAGAGATTCCTCAAGCCTTCGTCGTCGAGCAACACGCCGAAGCCGCGAGGCGGCGCGCGGAACAACATGTACTCGGAATTGATTGAGCCCCAAGAGCTGTACGAAACGATGGCCACTCCTGTCAAGGAAGAGGTAATTCGAATGAGATGCCTAGAGGAGATTTGCAATTCGGTCAGTTCCAGGATGTTCTTGAGAAGAACTTCGACGACCTCGATCTCGTCCCAGTCAATGTGAACAAGTCCGGAAAATTGACGCTTCTCAAGCAGTTCTCATCGCAAGCGCGCCATATGGTTCAAAAGGGAGAAAAGATTGACTGGAAGAAAGGTGAGAGACCCCCATGCGATAGCATTTTGAGAATTCTACTTTACAGTCCGACCGGAAGACGCTCATCGCTGCCAATTGTGGTTCTTCTTGGGTCTCGGCCTCCGAGAAGCCGAGAACATGCTTCGCTACTTTAATGAGAACAACGCGTTCGTTGTGAGCTATTGCCATGGAAAATATTTTCTATCGGTGTGGAAAGAGCACAAGGCTCTTCATTTCTGCATAACGCACTATTTGAGAAAGAATGGAAAACTCGCGTTCCGATTGGATCTTGAGAAGAAGTTCCAGTAAGTCGAACTCGATTTGTTGATCATCTCGATGATTTTTCAGCAACATCGTCGAGCTCACTGAGTACTATCAGAAGCATGAGAGTTATGCGCTAGGAGAGAAGCTCGGTGTCGGCGTTGGCGTTTACAAAAAATAGAATCTGTCGCCATCGATTATAATAAATATATACTAGAGGGCTCTCGCAGACGAAGAGGATAATTACTGTAGACTCGGTCGAACATCGTTCACTATTTCGGAACGGATGTAGAAATCACTGCCAATTCCCGATTGGACTATTAATTATTGATATTGAATTGCCTTGATAAATATTATTGGATTTGTGTTGGTGGTCTTCTGGTTTTGAATTCGCATGAGGAAGCGAAATGTCACGAAACAGGCCACCCGCGACGAAAAAATCGATTAAATAGCACGGCGAGGACGAATGTTGGCGAACGAACGCCAACCAGCCAGCCAGCCATTTTTCGCATTGTTTGTTTATATTTATTTGAAGGGGGGGGGGCAAACGACTTCCTCCCATCGGCGACACACATTATTCGAAGGAATCGCTCGAGTGGAGATCATCGACAGAAAAAAACCTATTTGAACTCAAACATTCATAAAATCACGTTTTCGAAATGGTTTCAAACAGAAAAAAACGAGAGAGAGAGAGAGAGAGAGAGAGAGAGAGAGAGAGAGCGAAAAAATGTGGACTCGACCAACGTTTGATTTTATGTAGAAACCGGAAGGAATAATACAACAAGGCACGAATCATCAAATATTTTGAAAATCGAATATCTCTTTTGAGAAGTGAATTAATCTGAAAAAATAAATAATTTAACATTTTCAATTCCCATCCATTTTTTCAGATTCTTCTTATTCTTTTTGACAATTTTAAAAATTTCGTTTCATATTTGTGAAAAAATCGTATACTTAATAAAGACCTATTCATCAAATGATTTTTTTTTTTCAAAAAAAAAATGCAATCAAGAAATGTGTAATTTTTACATTTTTTTGTCGTCAATTGCAACACACAAATTGTAGATCAAAAGCCCATCTATTGATCTTATTGTTTTGCTTTTGCCATCGATATCAATATTCTTTATCGGAACACCGACAGCCCAACCCTTTGATCGGCACCTCCTCGTTTTTCAGAAGTCGGAAGCCAACCATCCGGAAATCAACCACTTTCTCCAGATTTGATTTTTTTCGCGTTGCCTCGACAAATTTGCACTTGACAGACACTCGCTTCGAAAATTCTATAATTGCTGGAATGCGAATCGAACGAGAGGAAAACTATTTTTAAATTTTTGCAAAAAAATAGAGCGAATGAGAATGTGATCATTGGTGCTCAATTTTCGAATCCGCAGAACTAAAAATGTTCTTTTGTGAAAAATTATATTGGAAAGGAACGATGCAAAAAATGATAGGTATTCGAATGCAAATTTCAATATTTTCTAAATAAACCTAACAATTGAAATATGATGTTTGAATGGATTAGAAATCAAACGAGCAAAACTTCAAATCAATTTATTTTATTTGTATTTTTGTGACCATCTTAACGAATTTTTCAAATCATTTTCTGGTGATTCCATTTTGTTTTTGTTTTTGTGCCGACGATTACTGTAGATGGCTGTAAACAGTTGGAATTCTCACGCCTATTAGAAGAGGCACAATTGAGTCTCGGACGTCTCTTGCCAACTAACAAATAAACATGTTTTCGCAATTATGACGATCGAAAATTGAAAACAAAGGGATTCGTTCGTTTATTTTTCATTTCAATTCTACAAGTCACAATTTGGATGAGCTATTTTCAGTTAATTCTGTCTGAAAAAAAATGTATATTGATAATGAATTCTAATGTGATCAAAACTACAATTTTAGCCACAATTTTTTTTGATTAGGAATGCTCTTTAATGTCGTATTAAAGAAACGCCTTCAAATTCCACTTTAAGCTGCTGATACGAGAAAAAAATCGAAAAAAAAAATCCAATGAGATGAATATTTTTCTGTGACATTTCGTCACGGTGTTTGCACACATTTTCGCGCGCTACCATAAATTCATATTTTCTTGTTTTTTTTTTAACGACAAATGTTAATAAATTGAGGTTGAAATCAAAATTAACAATGTATTTGCGGGGAAAATGCAAAAAAAAAATTGGCGGCAATTCAAACGCTTGTCTCATTTCTTGAAAATTTTCGAGTTTGCATGGAATCTATAATTTCAATACTTATTACTTCTGTCATTTTTTTTGGTTGCAAAGGCGGAAAAATTCTGTGCGTTTCTAAAACCGTATAATCGGCATTCTTTGGCCCACCGATTACCGTACTTAATCTGATTGATTTCCCCAAAAGATGCCTTGTGTTCTGTCCGAATTGAATTGATAACTGCGCCGCAAATTTTCCTGTATTAATCGGCGCAACGTCTTTGATAATGCATGTGAGGAAGTGAATTCATTGTTCGATGAGCCACACGATGAGATAAAGAGCATCTCTCGAAAATCAAACACCAGCAAGTAGTCTGAATATGGATGATGGGTGTCTATAAGACGAAAGACCAAGTGGTTTCGTTTTTTTTTCATGTCGCCACTCTCGCCGGTTTCGCAAACAAAACATATTCGATGCTGCTCAAAGTTCTAAATAAATATTCATGGGTGGTCTAGTTGTTTATTTAAGAAAAAAAATAATGATAGTTAAGAAGGTTTCGAGATGAGAACGATTTCAGAATAATGAAATATTGGAGTTTTATTTGAGCCTAATAGGCATTTATATTGGATGAAAGTCATTGAGAAAATCGAACAATTCTCAAACACAATTCAAACATCCTTATAAGGGATATATCAAGAAATCTTGTCGGAATATCCGATTCTTATACATTGTCCCGAAAATCTACACTTATTTTTCCCCCCAAGACCGTTTCCACTGATTTTTTGGCATTTAGCCAATCTGTCGCGCGAGTTTGACCTTAGAATGCATTTTTAAGGTGAATTATTTTATTCGCTTTTTCCCTCAACCCTCAATTTCGAACAATTCATCAATTCCAATCAACAGTTGAATATTAAAAACAATGAAAAAAGGCTTTGAAAGCTAATCATATAAATCTAATCGCGTTGATCCATCACTTCATATTTTGTTGTTCCAATTATTGTTTTTCATGAGAGCCTAATCTTGTAGTTTGTAGACGAGCCTCAAATATATTTGACCTACATCGATGCCGATCACAATGATATCACCAAAAGCATGATACTGTTAAAAGTGTGGCATCTGTTATCAGCTTTTCGATCAAGTGACTCTCTTCCGAATCGTCGCGGATGACACCACGTGACACCGCGAATCCAATTCGAATTCGAATCAGACGAACAGAGAACGCGCAGATCAAAATGGTTTCGGATTTGCCGACGGGGGCGATTTTCAAGCGAATTTGTGCAAAACCATGATTATTTTGTACATTGTTGTCATAAACTTGAATTCAAACATTCTTATCGTGATATTATATAGTTAGAAGCAATTTTCAAATTACGCGCCTTATCTCCATTTCCGCCATTTTGTGACCAAGAATTTGGCATCGAAAATATGGAATGCAACAAAGAAAAGTGATTGCCAAATAGAAGTCGATTTATTCAGGGGTCAGGAAGCGACGGAACATCCACAGAATAATCGATTTGTCCCGCATGTATATTTACGAATGAATGAAAAATTACGCGAGCATTTTGAGCAAATGCGGACCATTGTATTTTTACGGCGCGGTAATTCAAATTTCGATTTAAACACTGGATATTAGAGTACCGTGCGACGGATAATCTACGAATGCCTAAATGTCAAAAAAAATGATTTAAAGGTCTTATTGTTAACGACAAACGATTGAAGGGAGGCGGGGTACATAAAAAAATTTAAATTTATCGTTGAATATATTAAATGCGCGTACGGTATAATGCAATGTCCGCAATCACGCGTTGGCACATAGCCAATAATTTTTTAAAATTTTGTCCAGTCTCCGACTAGTGCGCGATAGCCAGTAAGTCTACATTTTAATTTTTTTGCCCCAATGCGACTTTTTTGGCATTTGGCCAATTAAAAAAAATTTTCTCAATTTTAATGTTAAAAATCATTATAATATAATTTTATTCCGTGCACGAATATCGTGTAATTTTATTAATTCAATTTCCTGATAATTTCTAGGAACATCAATGGATATAATTTGAATAATCCATTTTTATTTCATTTTGGAGAAACTACATACAAACTTTTCATTTAGAAAAAAAATTCCTCGTTTCTACATTTTTCCGCTGTCTTCTTAAAATCATATACTTTTTTCTCAAAGATCGCTTGTTTTTTTTGGTTTCACATTACCTTATGCTTGAGCATAAAAGTTCAAACATTGACCAAAAAAAGAGCTCTCGAACATTGAGAGAATGCATGCATTTGCTCCGACAAATCACGTACTGCTCATTCGAATTCTATGAATAACTAAATAGAAGATGGAAAATAATGCATTTTTTTGCAGCCGAATATGGATTATGCGAAAGATGAGATGGAATACATATTTCGAACTAATCGAATTTTTCGATCATACTAGATTTATTTCGCATTTCCAGAACACGTTTATTTATATCAGCGGTGTTTTTTTTTTTGTATGACCAAATTTCGAAAAAAAAGGACTGGGGGATTTTTTTTGATGTTTTACACGTATGAGACCATTAAAAGCCAAGTTCATTTCAACTCTATTTCGCTCTTCTGTGCATCATTTCGGCTACACATTCTGATAAAGAGCTTCGATCACATCCAAATCTGCAATTCACAGAAATTCAAGAATTTCGAAATTGCTTTTGAAATACTTGTGGTAGAATGTAGTTGATCCGACTTGATAGCATCTATGTGCGATTCCGTTCATCAACAAATCGCGTCCCAATTCCATAAAAAGTCCGTCATCGACACATCCTGATATATTGACATTTGATATAATGAATTGAACACTAAAAATATTTACCCAACACTGACAAGTTGCCATCGTTTTTGCATTGGTACCGAATGTGTTGATGGGTCCACATCTGTCCAGTACTGTACTGTTGGCCCTCGTGAGTGCAGCCCAACACTGGAATAAAAAAATGTATATATTTAAACAGGCAAAACGAATCATTTAGCTCACTTTTAACCACATATCTCACTTTTCCTGGCGCGATAATTTCGCATTCGTGTCGTTTTCCGTTTTCGATTCGACTCTCGCCGGCTTGAAGAACCTGCCCAAAACTGTTTTGCATGTAACAACCTGAACCAAACGATGAAAACCAAAATCAAATGAAGCAATTGTCACCATCGACATGAATGCCTTGCTCTTTGCACACCAATTTGAACGAACCATTGCGGAACGAATCACCAATGTTGTAATGAACTCCGTTCTCGTAGCACATTGCTTCTGAAAATGCGGATTCGCCGTCACCAGATGCTCGCCTTGCCTTGTTTGTATGTCACATTATCTCCATCGACATTGCAGAAATGCTTCATTCCACTTCTCACGAATGTTCGTCCCAATTGAATAACCGATCCATCATCAGCAATGCAAGCTTTAAATCCAATCAAAAATCGAATATTCTTATTATTTGCGACGAACCAACAACTTCGGCAGTTCCGTTGTTACACGAGTAATGGAAGTTATTCCTTGTGAATGTTGAGCCGTGCTCATGGGTTCCAGCATTCGCAGTGACACACGGAAGCGGCGGAATTCGGCCATTGTGAACTAGAAAAATCTCTATCTATATTTTGACTAAACAAATGTGTTTTTTTTTTCGTCTCTCATTTCGCGTTGCAACTTTTCGGTAAAAGACCGTAAATCTGGTTGACCTAATTGGATGTTATCAAACGAAAGATAAAAACGTGCCTGGTATGACTACTCGATTTGCATCGTCGATTCCCATGCCGTGTGCGGTTAAAATGATTTTGTCACCTTCTTGATGATTCACAGTTTCGACAATCGACGAATGGAACTCGGCGAATCCATGACGACACAAGCACAACGCGATGAGAATCGAGAAAAGCATCTGCAATTTTGGATGGATCTCTCGAAATTGAAATGAGATTGTGATAATGAAGCGACTAATCGAGTCGTCAATCGCTGTCGATTATTTTATATGCTGGGAACAGTAGCATTAAATTTTCTTTAAAAGGACATACAATTCAGTTTCTCAAAATGGAAGTTCTGCTAGCGAAACATGATTTCTAGTGAGAAGGTGGAACTGATTTTGGAAGTTTCCGTAAACAGATTTCAAATATCAAACTTCCTAGTTTTCGATGAGTCATGTATTCTTTATAATATGAATTTCAAAAAAAAATAATCATTCACATATTTTGAGGGCAATTCGACGTCGAAATGAAAGGGGAATATGAGATGATGCTTTAAAAAATTTAAATCTTGACACTTATGTAGTGTTTTTTTTGAATGACCGATGTACAGCGGGACTATGATCAAAAATAATGGCGAGAGGTATGAAAGTGCGTTTCAAGACTCGGAGTACTTGAAAGAATTAGCAAGAATCTCGGGCGACGCGATGGGCGCGTGCGTCCTTCTTCCAATCTCGACGCTTCTTTTTTTCGAACAACGAACCAGCCAACCTTCGCCAAAAAAAGTAGGACGATTCAGTTTGGACGCATCAACAATTTACTTGTCGTTTTTCTCGACAAAGATTTATGGGTTGTCGAATTCATTCGACGAAATGTGTTTATTGATTCGAGACGGAAGGCGATTTCAACTCGAATGAAATTAATATAACAAAACAACGACGGCGAAATTGTTGAATGTATGTTCTTCAAACGAGCTGATCGTCGCTGAAAAACGGCTCCGGTTTGTCGCGATTAATCTCCACTTCGGGCATCTCTTCAGGAATCTAGAAAACGACGCGCAAAAATTGTTTTCAAAAAGATCATCTTACATCCGACAATGTATCCTCTTCATTTTGAGTTCCTGCAAAAATTAAAAAAATAATTTAGATTCCGTCATTCTCAAACAAAACCAATTTCAATTAATAGCAAAATATCTCATTTTCTAGGCAGATGCTATAGTCGACGACGGACGAATTTGAGGTACGTGTTTGAATTGCCGCCGTGGGTCTCGTATGGAAAAACTTTTCAAAGCGATTTTTACGTTTTCTAACTATCATAATATGAACGAGCATAATTTTTGATGAATTTTAAGTACTTTGGCTAATAGCATATGTGACGAATGACGGAGTTGATGTCGTTTTGAGGGACCAATTAAATTCAAATTTCTCCAAATTCATCCGTCCACGACAATATGCAGATTTTGGGAAGAAAACTCAAAAAACCAGTTTCTTTTTAGAATTCTATGGTTCTTTGAGTTTTTGAATCTTTTTTAACCGGTTTTTTGAGTTTTTTGCTAACTGTGGATAGTGTGATTACAAATTGAAAAATTCGAACTTTGCATACTCTTGCGGGGCCTTTTCGAACTTGTTGGTCCCAATGTAGGCGCCTTTTCGCCTCGTTCACTATTATTCTGTTTGTTATTGTTGTTCATATTGTTGTTGTTCATTAATTGGTTGTTATTATTCGCATCGATCATATTCAAATTTGCCGCTTGATGCCTTCTGAAAAAAATGTTTTTAATTGTTATAAAAATAGTTTAAAAAAAGGAGTCGAAGTGAGACTAAAAAACATTTTTTTTTGAAAAAGCGTCTTGGGATTTTAGCTAAAATTGTTTTTGAACCCAACTCAGCACAATAAGCATTTTGTTTTTGAATCAAGCGAAATTCTTACAGCATTCCAAGTTCGTTGGCATTATTCGCTTGCGCCGGATTGTGATTGTTATTATTAACATCGTGCTTTATTGGTTTTCTCGTTACAGACACTTCTTCCTTCAAAAATTGAATTGAAACTGATTTGAAACATAATCAGAATATTACTTGATAGGTATTTTTGCGTTTGCAAATGCACATTTTCGTAGAAATGAGAGGCGCACGCCAAAAAATGGCAAATGATCGAATCACATAATTTGTCATGCGTGAAATGTGATCCCGGGGCAAAAATTGCCATCGAATCGAGTTGTCGGCCGGTCGACAATAATTATCGCGTCCAATATCGAGACTAGTGCTAGGCATCCGATCCATATTCGACCCCCCCATGATTGTTTTACAGCTTACTCTTCTTTTATTTTTCGAGTATGCCAATGCCGATGATTCTTATGCCGAATACAATGTTCCGAATTATAATATCGATGGCAGCTATGGAGTCAAACAAGAACCGTATATGGATCTTCAACCCATTCCGGTCGAACCTTATAAGGTATTGGGATCCCGACAAACAATATTATGACGTTTATTTAAATTGACATCAACTCATATTGAATTTAAAATAATTTTTGTGATTGCAATATTTGTAGACACATGACACTATGGGACCATCTCAAATAGCATCCAGTTGTCTAGCTCGAATTCGTCTTGCTGCCTCGTTCGATCATTCGATTACGTTCCAAATCAATCGATATATTGACGCGATGCTGATCGATCGTCTCCGATCTTTTGTGTGTGAAAAAGTAGGCTTTTAAAAAATTCCTTTTTTCCAATTCATTTTCATCAGACAGCATTCTTCTGTTCGGAAGAAGAGCAACGCGCAGTTGGAGACATGTTCAATCAGTTCGACAAATCCATCGAGATCATCGACACGGTTCGTCGTCAATTGAGCAGCACCGAAAAGGATCAGTTGAATATGATGGAGAATCTCAACGACACACTTGCCGAGCAATCATTCTACATTTATAAATTTCATGTAAGCTTTTGTTTTGTAGATTTGAAAGATGGAATGTAGTATTCAGCTACTTAATCCTATGGATTTGGCCGTTTTGGTGGCGGCAAAACAATCATTGACGAAATATTTAAGCGAAAATGAACCCGACCCTCAATTGAGTGCTGCAATGGGAACATTTACTGCACAGGATTTAGCTCGACTGCAAGTAAACGCTCAGACTTTGCACTCTGATTTAAATAAGCAATAGGGAATGTCGCCTTCAACATTGATCGATGACGTTCGGCAACACCTTGCGCGATGTCGGATAACCGAAGAACATATCATTCAGGACACTGTCGCCTTTCTTCAATCTTTGCGTCTTTCAAATCCAAATTGATTTTTAATATTTTTATTTTTTAATTTGCACAAATTAAAGCATGTATGAAACACTCCAAAATAATATTATATTACAAGATAATAATTCATTTATCACACTTTTTCGGGGAAAGCGAACATATTGAAATGGTTGGGAGTGCAAAAAGGAATTACAGAACAACGCCTTGGCTGACGAGGCCCTTATCCATGAAGCGACGACGAGCGAAGCAAAGCCACCACTTAATTATAAATTTGAAGAACAAAACTTAAAATTAATTAAAGAGTACCTTCGATGGTTTATCGTTAGGATCTGGGAACGCAAGATCGCAAAGACGAGCTCCAAGCTCTTGCCGCGCCTGCTGCAAATAGGCCCTCATCTCGTCCTCGTCAGCCTTCGTGGTAGGAGCCTTAAAATATGTACTCGTATTTGAAACATAATCGTTAAATACCTTGTACATGCTGTTGAGTGGAAATCCGTTTTCACCAGGAATTGGAAGTTGATGGTTCAACGCAAGCGCCGCCAAATCCTTTTGGCCGCTGATTTTGTTAGGACTCTGAAATATAATTTTATAAAAAATCAAGTTCTGCTTTAAAAATTTAATTTTCAAACACAACTAGTCAAAATAAAATACCCTTTGCAATTTTCGCAAGCATTCTGTGATATAGAAGATGAGATAAATTAGCATACGATCAGCAGGCCCTTTAATCTAAAATAATTCGTTTCAAATTGAGAAAACAAAACACGAAATTACCTCAAACTCGCGGAAGAAAATGTTTGGTTTGAAATAAGTTAAAGCTTCGTCGATTACATCCTCCTGGGATGTATCTAAAAATCATGATTGATCTTTTTTTTCAAACACTAACATACGTGGTGCTGGTCCTTTGAAGTTGGTCCTCAACGGCAATTTTCCCATGTTGGTGTTGCCAAGAGGCAAGATTTGCATTTCCCCATCGAATTTCGAGTGATATGCCTGAACAATTCAAAATCTCCGAGGAAATTCCTCATAACTCTTACCGGCATGTCCACAGCTTCTATAACTAAGTCTGGAATTCGGAGTTTAACAACACATTAGCATTAAAATTAACAGATATATGATTGGCTTTGAAACCAGTACAAAGTTAGAATATTTCATATGAAAACAGTTTATAACTAAACCCGTACACAAAAATGATCTTGAAATATCACAAAATTCCATTTTAAGCATTTAATGCTTTTTTCGTTGTTTGTTCGATTTGCTCATGGAATGACTGCTTCGACAATTGTATATAATCGATTGGAGAGATCGTCAGTAAAGAAACCCATTTTCCGAGCGATTTAAAATCTTTTGAAGCAAAAATGAAGCTTCGACCAGTTCTGAAAATAATTATGAGTGTGTAAATAAACATTTCATTAATTTACTTACGATTTAAATTTTATTTCGAACGTGAAATCCTTTCCAATCTTATTTTCATCGCATAATTCAATGAAGCAATCTTCAATTATAAGCAGAAGGAATGGTTGCGCAGTTGTCTCGTCTTCAGGTTTGTTGTATACAAATAATATATTCGCTTTTAATACGCCCCATCCAGAACGCCATGAGAAATCCTAAAATTTATAGCCAATTATTACGTTACTGTTTGTGTGTGCTTTTTTTTTTAATTGAACATGTAGAAGACGGCTTAGTATTACTCAGGAGTATTTTCATCATTACAAACATATCCAAGTTTTGCTAGCCCAGATTCAACTGATCATAAGATCAAACATTATTTGCAGGAAAAGAATGCAATTGAGTCGAGAAATGTGCCAAAACACATTAATTACTCTTCGTCACAAGAGGTCAACAGATAATGTTTTGGTTACATCAGGTGTCTGCCCCTCGACACCACTCGGTACCTGCTGGAGTTGGAGAGCTCCCGAGAAACGACGCTCAAACGTTGGATCACTGCCGAGTTTGAACAGCGAATTGGCATTGGCGAGCATTTCTGCAAATGTGGTTCGTCGCTATTTTGATCGCGGTTCTCGCGACGGGAATCGAATGCGGACATCGGAGAACCGTGAGTTTTAATTGTTTGCAAACTTTTAAATTGATTTCTCATACTTTTAGTATACGGTGTGTGAAGGACACAATGGTGGATTAACGTATTATAAAGAAGGAGGAAAGTTCGGTGAAGGTTTTTGCGGAAAACGATTGGCTAGCGCTTCCCTTCACAACGAAATAAACGCGACTGGGTACCGATTTATCGATTTTCTTGTCTATGCGTCATGCTTGTGAATGCAAACAAAAATGAATAATTGTAGATGGGCTTTTCTTGAAGTCGACGTTCATAGCGACAAAATTCCACATTACTTGCAAGGATATGCTGCAGGATTTGCCGAGGGTAGGGTTTAAAATAGTCTATGTTTTAATATCTCAATAAACATAGTGATTATGATTAAGTAAAAGTAAATTAGTTTCATTCCGAGATTGAAGATGAAATAAGAAGAAAAAACGTATTCATTTATAACAGAAATTCAAATACAATAAAATTTGTGAGTCATTAAGAAGAAAAAGCGGAAAATTGAGAAATTTGAATTGAGAAATAATACTAGTCGAGGGCAATGTGTTCAGCCGTAGCGTCGTTGCGAATTGTTTCTTGTCTGCGCCTCACCATCTCCATTATCCATCCCAAAAGTACTACAATAAGTGGTAGTTTTTGATTTTCAGGTCGGGTTACAAGAGAACTAATCGACTTGCATGTCATTAACACTGTTAATGGATATTGTGATGGAGCCAAACATTATTGCGAAGAACTTGGAGAGTTCCTCATCGAAAATTTGAAATGGATGTCTCAAGAAATTAAAGAAAATCCTGAAGATGAATATTGGCAACAGGTTTATTGGATAGCCGCTCGAGCAAATTATGATAGTTTAATATTTAGGTTAACTTGACTCTTAATCAGCTGTACGGATTGATTCATGGATATGAGAACACTCTTGAAGCGAAAATTGATTTCAAGGATCTCGTGATTCATCCAATCTTGTAACAATGAAAGAAATATTTCGTGAAACTAAACAAATCCATTCAGGATGATTCAACTTGCTGGAGATCTTGAAGATCTTGCATTGAAATTCAAAAAACCGGAAAATCCGAAAAAGGTTTATTCGGGACCAGGACATTGCTCTGCTCTTGTGAAACTTCTTAAGAACAATGAGGATCTCTATTTCTCTCATGTCACTTGGACTTCTTATTCGGCGATGCTGAGAATCAACAAGAAGTATTCGTTCAAGACTCGAGATCCTGGGCAAGTTTATTCATTCTCCAGCTATCCAGGTACAAAATTTTGCATGTTTCGTTGAAATCTCTAAATTCAATTTTAAGCCTCGATTACATCAACTGACGATTTCATTCTGACATCTGCCAAACTTGCGATTCTCGAAACCACAATCGCTAATTACAATACAAAATCCTTGGATTTGATTACACCGAAGACGGTTTTGACTTGGATTCGTGCTGAAATCGCTCACCGTGTTTCGTCTTCTGGTCTTCAATGGGCTGAAGCATTCGGCCGTCACAATTCGGGAACCTACAACAACGAATGGGTCGTCGTTGATTACAAACAATTCCACCGAGGAAAACCAGTGCAACCGGAGCATGGAATTCTCCACGTTATTGAGCAGATGCCGTTGGTGTTTCTATTGGAAATTTTTTGTTGGAATTTGAATTTTTCAGAGGGCATATTGTGCATTCAGACATGACAGCACATTTGTTCCAAACAACCTATTGGCCTGGATATAATCAACCATACTACAAGCAGATTATCAAGTATTCAGAAACAGACAAAATGGTTGAGAAATATGGCGACTGGTACAGGTAGAAATCATGAAATGTTTCCTCTTAAACAACATAATTTTATTTTTTTTTTTAGCTATGACAAAACTCCGCGAGCTTTGATCTTCAAGCGCGATCATCACACAGTGACCGACATGGATTCGATGCTCAGACTCATGAGGTTCAATTTCCAAACTGAAAAAAATGCGACGCCAATTTTATTTTTCAGATCCAACAACTACACCAAAGATCCACTATCCCGTTGTGATTGCAATCCTCCATATTCGGCTGAGAATGCGATCTCGTGTAGATCGGATCTCAATCCTGAAAATGGAACTTATCCATTCAAGTCTCTTGGATTCAGAGATCACGGAGCGATTGATGTCAAAGTGACGAATGCAAAACTCATCAATAATCTTGAATTCACCGCGATTTCGGGACCAACGTACGATCCAGTGCCAGTTTTTGATTGGAACACTTCGCCGCTCAATAATAAAGTCAATCATTATGGGCAGCCACTCAAATGGAAGTAAGATTATTTCTCCAAGCTTTTTTTTTAATTTAACAAAATGTCGATTTTTAAAGATTCGAACCAATCACCTACAAATGGGGAAAAAGAAACCATCGTTATCATCTTCTTCGTAATCATAATTAAAATTCTGTCGTATAAATTCAAAATAAAATGATGATTGTGGAAAAAAATTCGTCACTGTTTGCGAAAGACGGTCGGTCAAATTTCGAGCACTGTTTGCTTTTTGCCTCTGAACCGGTTCAATTCCGGAAATTTACACGTTTCTTCACGTGTGTATAAAATGCGCGGCGATGGCGATTTGATGGACAATTATTCGGTTTGCGCACACATTTTCTGCCATTTTCGATAATGTGGATCGCGAATTTTGGAAAATCAGCGAAGGCGATGAGCAGTGGATACGAAAGAATTGATGTCAAAGGTTCTTTTTTTGCTACATTCATTCGTTATTTCGTTTTTGTTTCAATTTTAGAAACAAAATCAAAAGAGCCAAAGAAAGATCAGTACAATCATCAACCATTGCCAACAATAGCGCCTCAAATTCCACAGAAATTCGCGTTCTTCGGATAATTGCAGTTCCATTCTTTTAAATTATAAATAAATTATTCATATCGACAAGCCAAATGGGGTTTTTTTTTAAATTCTGCTAACTCAAACTCTTGTAACATAAAACCAATCGGATCTCACAAAATTCGGCTCCGAATTCAACCGATTGGAAAATCTATGGATGAGATTGCATAATTATCATATACGATTCGAATTGAATGATTCAAACAAAATGGATTCGATTAATAACCAATCGGATCTCACAATTTTACAATCTCATTCGTAAAATTTCCAATTGGATCGGGTTAATTCCGACATTAAAATATTCAAAAAAAACTAATCAGGAACGAGGAATTTCAACGGATCCGAAAAATTACCAATGAGATGCGGCAAATCTCAAAATTTTACGAATGAGAGCCAAATTTTAAAATCTTTTTATACGAATGATTTTCAGCTGTAATTTTAGTTCCACTTCACTTGCACTGAAAATCGTCTAGAAAGACCGAATGGGAGAACCTGCAAAAAATTTCTGATGGAAATAAGCGAAGCATTGATTTTTTTGACAATGCTATCAAATTTCATTTGTTTTGTTTCATAAACTCATCAAAACAATGTGTTTGCGAACAGATGTTGCAAATATTCGATATTCAAATTTTAGCAATAATTTTGTGATGTATTTATTCCGAAAAATATATGTAGTAAAAGCCTGACCGTTCAATATATTTCCATTTTTTCGAATAACTGTCTCCCGTTGACGAAATATCAAAACTCAATGACTAATCGTCAGCATGCTGGAAGTGTTCGCACGTGTTCGCGATGCCAGTCGATCGCAAACCAGATGTTGCGCAATATATCCGTCAATCTGGTCGATTATCTGTTACTCCGAATTTGCGAACTCGAATATTCGCACATGATTAATGCGAGGAATCTTTTTGTCGGCACTCTTTTTGGGGCCAACAAGTGGTTTCAGTGCTTAAAATATGCCAGATGCACAGTTGCAGGTGGCTCTTTAATGACAACTCAACTGAAGCTCTTTCCCTAAATTAATTCCGATCATCATTGCATAATTATAGTATATAGTCGACGGCGGACGAATTTGAAGTGCGATTGCTTTATATGTTTGAATTGCCGCCTTGGGTCTCGTATGGAAAAACTTTTCAAAGAAAAGTGCCGAATGGCGGAGACCAATTAAATAACAGCCCGCGCAATTCAAATTTCTCAAATTCATCAGTCCACGACAATGCATAAAGCATAGATTGACATATCTTAAAAAGGAAGTGTTTTTGCCTTGGTGAATTTTTTTTATTTTGCCTACAAATTGTTGGCGAAATTGCTCATCGAGTGCCGATTCCCAGCAAATCTCATTCTTTTAATAGTAATTACACACAAATAAAATATTAATTTTTGTTGTTTAGTGTATGCATTTACATGAATATTTTATAATTGCAATCCAATACATCGCCCTCCCACTTCATCAATCTCAGCTAACGTTTTTAAATCAAAGTGCAAAGCCAGCCAAGAGCTGGTTGGTAGTTGTTCGACAAAATCAACACTATCATTTCAAACGTGTTCGCGCAGTATAGTATTAGTAGTGGGCCAGGTTTACTCTCATCGCCAATCACCGTCTTGTTCTAGTTCAAGTGCTCTTCATCATTTTCGAATTGTTGCTCGTCCAATTGTCGCTTCATTGTATTTCGTTTGTGCGTTGTTGATTTTCTTTTGGCGGAAAAAAATGCGAGAGTTGTTCCACTTGATTCGTGCATGTTTCTTTCCAGTTCTGTCAACTCGTGTTTACTGTAATTGTTGTTCTGTAGTCGGTGGCAAATGCGAATGGGAGCGGCAACATCAAAGCAAATATTTTCACAATTACCAAAATTCAAGATTTCTGATTTATTTTTGAAGATTTATTCAATAGAAGAATGAATATTCAACAAGTTGTCCATTCAATCGAATCTCATTTTTTATTTTCAAATAAGTTCCAAAATCTATAAGGAAGTTTCTTGATTTTATGGAGCATTTCAATTTTATTGAACCAGTTTTCAATTTTTTTAAGATTGAAGATAAGATCGTCATTTGCCCATATAAAATTGATACCCATTAACCAAGAAGAATGTTTTCTCAAACTCATCAAAATCATTTCAAACTTCGCACTCTCGATGTTCCCTCAATTCCCACGATTAAAACAATGCCTCATTTCCACTTTGAGTAAAACGATACTTGCAAAAAACACTTTTTTTCAAATCGTAGTTGCTCAATTTTTTTTTTTGAAAAAATTCGCACCTTTGTATATATATTTTTTGCAATTCGATATTGCTATTTTCTGAGTTTTCAGAAAGACAAAGATTATCTTATTTTAACGTCTGCTATCTGTTAGTATTACTCTTTTGTTGTTGTTCAAACAATAACTTTTTTCCCATTCTTATCACCATCTCGGAGAGATCAATGATCTGCCAGCGGTAGCGCAAACTGTGTTATCATTTGCTCGTCGGCGTTCTTTAACGATACGCTAATTTATATGGTATATTGTATAATAAATATTAAGCCGCGCATATAATGATATTGACACCTGAAAAGTAGCCGAGGTCTCCGAACTCATTGTTTGGTCTGACAATATGCCAGAAAAGGAGAAGACAGTTAGATATGGTCGGCAAACATGCACCGTTCCGAACAATATTAGTAGCCACTTTAACTTCTTTTGTTTTATTTCGTCTTTTGAGATGCGCCCGTCGAGTTTTCAATTCATCCCAAAATCGTCGGCCCTTCATTTTTGCAACTTGGGATCCATCGATGCGTGTCCGGTTTTATGAGAGTGTCGGCATCGGTTTCTTCTTCGCCGAGGCCCATAAACCTATTTTCATCCGATTTGATTTTATTTATTCAATGTTGCATTTTCAAACTCCCACGTGATTCTCGAACGAGTGGGCGGTCCGTTGTTTCGTTTTTTTTTTCTCATTCTTTAATACGAACCGCAGGCCAATTAGTAGTGGCTCGTGAAAAGTGGCTTGGCTCGTGATTTTTGGCTCGCAAAAAGTGGCTCGTACTCACTATATTCTTTGGCTCGCGAATTTTGGCTCATGAATTTTGGCTCGTGATTTTTGGCTCTACTTTTCAAAAATTATTTCGATGAATGTCAAAAGCTTCAATTATCAAAATGTATCATTGTCGATCTCAGCGCGTTATGAAGATGTCTTTGTATACCACTTTGACATCTGCTGAAGTTTCCACTGCAGGGAAGACTAAATCAAAACAAACATAATCGCATGGCCATGTCGCTATAATTTTCTCTGATAAATGGTTTGTAAACGTATATCACCACGGTGATCTTCAACGTAACCAAATACAAAAGCGATTTCATCGTATACATTTGTAGAATTAAGTGTTAAAAATAATTAGAATTTAATTGTTTTTTTCGTTTGCAATTATAATATCAGTTAAAAATGTATGTTTCATTTACAAAAACTTCTTGAAACTTACAACACTATAGGGAGTACCGGTCCATTATTTCATTTTCCCAAATATTTTGTATTCATCAATTGTATATCAAGTAAAAAATGGCCCATTGCCACCAACCCCCCAATTTTCAACCCCTACCCCTGATTTTCCACCCCCAAAATTTAACCCCCATTTTTATTTTTCAACCACCCCCTAATTTCCACCCCCAGATTTTAGCCCCCATTTTTATTTTTTTTTATTACCGGTCAATGTTAATTGACTCAAATTTTTGCCTTGAGTACTTAATTATGTTCTTTTTGCCAATACCGTAAATTTTCCTAGAAATTGTCAGTGTTATATGGGGGAGGGGATCTTAAGGGGTCGGAATTCGAAAGTTTTTAAAAATCCAGAAAATGATCCTAAGTGCCCATTGTTTCAGAAAATGATGCTAAAACGTAAATCTTTTTCATCAAATTTTCTGAAAAAAAAAATTTTAAGAAAATTTTTACAAGAAATGAACTATTCACGGAAGAGCAGGTTCAGATAGACTTCAGGTTCAGATTCGGGGTTCAGATAGACTTCGTAAGCGTGAATCTATTCCCACAATTTCCAATATTTCAAGTATCCAATTGTGCAATTCTGTTTTTTCAAGTATCCAATTGTGCAAATTTAACACATTTGAGGAATATAAATTTATTTTAGGAAAACAAAATTAAATTAGAATGGAAGGGGAACAAAAAATGGGAAAAATTTACCAAACATTACAAAAAAAAACAGCGAATCGAAGAAAGGATATCGATGGCGCGGGATTAGCGTCAGACGAAGCCTGAAAGACACATAAATCATGGAGTAATGTTGAATATACGAAAAATAAAACAATCCTAAAAATTGGGAAAATATTAGGCATTTATTAATTGCAGTCCTAAATAATCACTAGTTCAGTCCTAAATAATCACTAGTTTACAAATATATACATTTAAAATAAAATTATAATTAATTTAAATCCAATTTTAAAAGAATAAATCGCAAAAAATCGTTAAAAACTTTAAAAAATTGAAAAAAATTAAAGCAAAAATAATACCGCCGACAGCTTAAAGGTGCAGCGTTACTGTAGCATTCGCTTAACTGTGCGATTTTTAATAATTGGATTTTTGAAAAATTAACTCATTTTTTCCCTATTTTTAACGTTTTTTTGCGATATATTCTTTTAAAATTGGATTTAAATTAATTATAGTTTTATTTTAAGTGTATATATTTGTAAACTAGTGATTATTTAGGACTGAACTAGTGATTATTTAGGACTGAAATTAATAAATGCCTAATATTTTCCCACTTTTTAGGATTGTTTTATTTTTCGTATATTCAACATTACTTCATGATTTATGTGTCTTTCAGGCTTCGTCTGACGCTAATCCCGGGCCATCGATACCCTTTCTTCGATTCGCTGGTTTTTTTTGTAATGTTTGGTAAATTTTTCCCATTTTTTGTTCCCCTTCCATTCTAATTTAATTTTGTTTTCCTAAAATAAATTTATATTCCTCAAATGTGTTAAATTTGCACAATTGGATACTTGAAAAAACAGAATTGCACAATTGGATACTTGAAATATTGGAAATTGTGGGAATAGATTCACGCTTACGAAGTCTATCTGAACCCCGAATCTGAACCTGAAGTCTATCTGAACCTGCTCTTCCGTGAATAGTTCATTTCTTGTAAAAATTTTCTTAAAAAATTTTTTTTTCAGAAAATTTGATGAAAAAGATTTACGTTTTAGCATCATTTTCTGAAACAATGGGCACTTAGGATCATTTTCTGGATTTTTAAAAACTTTCGAATTCCGACCCCTTAAGATCCCCTCCCCCATATAACACTGACAATTTCTAGGAAAATTTACGGTATTGGCAAAAAGAACATAATTAAGTACTCAAGGCAAAAATTTGAGTCAATTAACATTGACCGGTAATAAAAAAAAATAAAAATGGGGGCTAAAATCTGGGGGTGGAAATTAGGGGGTGGTTGAAAAATAAAAATGGGGGTTAAATTTTGGGGGTGGAAAATCAGGGGTAGGGGTTGAAAATTGGGGGTTGGTGGCAATGGGCCATTTTTTACTTGATATACAATTGATGAATACAAAATATTTGGGAAAATGAAATAATGGACCGGTACTCCCTATAGTGTTGTAAGTTTCAAGAAGTTTTTGTAAATGAAACATACATTTTTAACTGATATTATAATTGCAAACGAAAAAAACAATTAAATTCTAATTATTTTTAACACTTAATTCTACAAATGTATACGATGAAATCGCTTTTGTATTTGGTTACGTTGAAGATCACCGTGGTGATATACGTTTACAAACCATTTATCAGAGAAAATTATAGCGACATGGCCATGCGATTATGTTTGTTTTGATTTAGTCTTCCCTGCAGTGGAAACTTCAGCAGATGTCAAAGTGGTATACAAAGACATCTTCATAACGCGCTGAGATCGACAATGATACATTTTGATAATTGAAGCTTTTGACATTCATCGAAATAATTTTTGAAAAGTAGAGCCAAAAATCACGAGCCAAAATTCATGAGCCAAAATTCGCGAGCCAAAGAATATAGTGAGTACGAGCCACTTTTTGCGAGCCAAAAATCACGAGCCAAGCCACTTTTCACGAGCCACTACTAATTGGCCCGAACCGCAGGTGTCTGTCAGGTGCAAACCGTCTATTGTGGTAGGCGAGAAAAGAAAAACTGCAAAACCGCTTAAGCAAGGCGCGGATCGAACCCGACGCGCGTCGAGACCATTGCGTAACCGACGACCACATTAGCCAAGTTGCCGGTTTGCATACGAGTACACGCGTCTCATAAAAGTTCAAACACGGGCATCCGGTTGTTTGTTAAACTTATCGGCAGCCGATTGTCACTCAAAAAGACATGGCCACCCATATTTATGTGCCTTTGTCAGACCGGACCACACCAAGATTGACAGTATCAAGAATTGAGATCTTGGCGACTGATTCACAGGCTGAACCCCCCTTGTTACGACCAATGACGTTGACTTGATCGTTTTTTTTTCTCGTCTGAAATCATCCCCAACACCTGTCGCGATGACAAATCCCATTTCGTTTTTCACTATGTGTATGTTTGTTTCAAAAAATGCGAGAGTAATTAAAATTAGGGCATACAATGATTGGGACTGATAATAGATTAATTAGGGGTCCGATTGGTTTTCAGTTTTGCCGCCATGATTCTATGTAGTGCGAAACGCAAATGACCTGGTTTATTGCCATATTTGTGCCATCTGCTCGTGATCGCGGCTTTTTCGTTTTCGTTTGATGAGTTTCGTGTTATGGCGATCACAAGAAAAACGACTCAATCAACCGTCGTTATACCAACTTTTTTATTGGGTTTTTTTATTACTAATACTCACCTTCATTTGATTCGTCGTTTCAGCGTTGTTCGAAGAATAATCCGGTCATAAATTGAAAATTGCAAAATTTTTGTCTCAATTTTCAACAAAATTTTAAAATAAATTAAATAATCTAAAATTGCCATAATTACAATCAATCACAAGTGAAGCAGAAAACAAGATAATTTAATATAAATTTGTCAAGTTTACATCCTACAATAATAATAGTCATTCGAATTCGACAATTTCAAGGCCGAGACATTTATTTCTTTCAGCGGTCTCAAAATATTCTTTCTTCTCCTCTTTTTTTGTTTCATTTTGCCCGGAAATCGAGTAGTTGATCCATCATAAGAACAATGCCAATAAAATGCGGCCGTGTTTAATAATTCAGAAGAATGATTCGACGGTTTCCTTTTGACCCGACAACCCCTCATTCCGCAATCTATCATTCGTCGCTTTTTTTGCGCAATGTGCATGCGTGTTCGCGATACAATCCGACACACTTCGATTATCTGATTTAGGTAGTTTCGCATTTTCCTTTTGGCTCCATACATTGTTGTTTTGGCTGGGCAACCCTCGGGATTCGAACAATCAAATTCCTTTTGTTGTTATTTTTGTTTGTTTTGTAAACAAACTTCGAGACTCGATTTGAATTCGTCGTCTGAAACAGCTATACATATCCTCCTTCCCTCTCTGTTGGTTGACTGGACTCGGCGATAAATCTTGGCAAAGTATACAGAGTGCATTAACACATACACGTATCCATCTCATCCATCTCATCCATCCGATCAGTCAGTCATCCGCCGGTTATTTTTTTTGGCGGCGCCATACGCCCACTGCGGACCACAATGATTTATCAAAAGTGATGGTGATAATATGAAAAAAAAAATAGAATGATACACTCAGTGCCTGTTCAGCCTCTCATCAATCTTATTCGCAAACTCTTGGCTGCTGTCCGTTCGCACGCGTGAATAGTTCGTTCGATGTTGGGTAGGTGCTTGAGATTTCACTAAAACCCCCCTTCAAGTTGGGACCTTTTTGATGAAGCCTCTTCCATGTTTTTTTCTTTGACAAATTTCATACTTCTTGATATTCACGGAAATCCATATATGTTTTAGCGGGCGGAAAATATGGTAAAAACACACTGTTTCAACTAATTATTTAATTACTATCCTAATTAGCTCATGGTAAAAATATTCCAATCGAAAAACCCTAATTTCTCGCAGCTTTTGCAATTCGTGAGCTTTTTCTATATGAAGCTGATACGAATTGCGGAGATAAACAATTTGGTCGCAAAAAGACAAAATTTTTGCTACCAGCGGCCATAAAAATGTTTAATTACGCCCATTTATCGCCGAATTGTGTACTTTTTTCAAAATTTACTGATTACGAGCTAATCAGACTATTGTTGCGATTATTCATTTCCCACTCAAGTGTGGCGGACAATTTCATCGAAAATGTTATTTATGGTGTCGAAGAAACGCATTGAACAAAAAAAAACCTATAACCGCGTTTTATAAGCTTTTGCCTTTTATCGATGTCAAAATAAACAAATCATGCCGTATTTCCCACACTGAACGCCTTTCTCGAATCGACAACAACTCGCATTTATGTTTTTTGACAGTTTCACCTTTCAACCACCCAATAATTATCGCATCATGCCATTTTTAAACTACCTGTCCTATTATTTTTGTATAAACTTTAGCTATCCCATATGCGATTCCAGATGTATCTCAATTTCGATTCGTAAACATTTCTCCAAAATATATTGGCTTCTTCAAATCGTATACATTCGAATTTTCCTCCGAAATGAATTGATCATTAGTTTTTCTCGAATTTTTTTTTGAAAATTTCGCATTTATTAAATTGAAAAAGTTTTATATTTTTTATTCCAAAAAAGCGTTGTGAGACCTCAACCGTATTTACCGTAATCAACATTTTGATAATCGAATTTTATGCGAAACTTCTCCGCCCTACCAAAGAAAACGCTTGTCTGGCGTTAATTAAGCACAAAATAGTGGGCATCGAGCGGAGAACTCGCATCGATATCGAAAATGGGAAAACAGCGATTAGAAGAGATTATCGATACAGCAGTTTTTAGCAATTTAATCGCATCAGTTCCATTCCGCGTTGATCGTTTCAATAATGAAAATTACCATCATACGATGTTTCGATTCGATGAAAAAGAAAAACTCTCGTCGATTTCAGATGAACTGGTGATGCGCCGAGCGGTCATCGTATTTCTAATTGTGTCCGTTTTCCACCTGAGACCCGTTTCGACAGGATGCTATCAAAAAAGGTTGTGCTGTGCCGGACGAAATAATACGTGCAAGGTTGGCAATTTGAGAACTCGGCCCAAGAAAATTCCAGAATTATGAGAAATGCGTTGAAAACGTTTGCAGGGCGTCGACGACGGCATTCAGCATTTGCCGACAGTCGCAACAATCCATAACAAAGAGGCTCAGACTCAGCATCGCCGTGTCGAAAAGGAGTATTATACTCCATTTTATGAGTCTTCTGGCGATGGATATGACATGGTATTTCCTGAGGTGATTCGATTGATTTTAATTTTCACATTCAAAATAATCTTGATGCTCAAAGGTGTATGATAACAGCAATGAGAAGATCGGAAAACTAGTTCTTCCGGATGTGATTGAAGTCGAGGGATCAGGTGTCGAAATTCTGGACAGATATGGTATAATCAATTGAATGTCAATGAATTCAATATACTTGCGCTAGGTCTTGCTTCTGGCGATGTGCCGGAGCCCACAACTCCAGCTCCAAAAATCAAACAATTGATATTCGGAAAAAAACGCGATCAAGATGAGCCGATTGATGAAATCACGCGGTATTCCGAAAAAATGCCAAGACATTTACTTATACGGTTTGCGTTTTTTTGTGGCTTCTACTAATTCGAAACACGATTTCATTAATTGATAAAAAAATTTTTGAAAGGCAGTCCAACAACCAGGAAGGGTAGGGTAATTTCGAGAGTGCTATATGTTCGTGTCCGTCCGAGTTTTGAGAAATTAACTCTGGGGTGGCAAGTTCTAAACCGCATAGAGTGTAGATATGGGTTTCGAGTATTTAATCAGATTGAACATTTTCAGATATTCACTTCTTAACAAGTACATTCCACTTAAAGTGCATTCAACTCCTCTTCTATACGAAGGTGAACATCATTTCGATTTGAAATCATCTAATTTAGTTTTAAATATTTAGAAAATCATGTCGAACCTGTTAAAATGCCCAATTTTTATTATTTGGAATCTCCGATTTCTGAATGTTATTGCGACGATCATTGTGTGATTCTAGGCGATTGTTGCTCCGATTATACATTCGTTTGTCCGCGTAAGATTTTTTGTTTCCAGAATTCCGCCAAAAACAATTTTTCATTAATTTTAGCGCGAGATTGTGTTCTCAGCGACTGGTCGGCTTGGACAAAATGTCGTCCGGACGCCGGAAAATGCGGAATCGGTGTACAGGAACGGACGCGGACCATTCGTGAGGAGCCCGAACGAGGTGGTGCTGCTTGTCCGCCTCTCAAAGAAATGCGCACGTGCTTCATCGAATGCCGATTCAAGAAAACACCAATTGAAGGTATTATAAGATTGTACGAATAAGGAGAACAAAGAAATGAGCGTGGCAATTTATAATAGGATTATTAGACAAAAAAATTTCAAATGAAACATTTCAGAAACCAATTTCTCGAATTTTTCAATATTAACCTGAAGCGTAACGCGTCTGAACTAAACGGTCTTGTAGCGAAAAATTCGGATAACCGTTTCTTTGAGAGAAAATGGAAAAAAAAATCGAAAGTCCGCCTTTTTGGAGCCAAATTAAACGCCTTTATTGTCGAAGTCTCACGACTTGACGAAATTTTAAAAATTATTGGCTGGATGCCAATGCGTCTCGAGGCGTACGCAATACGATTGCGTACATTGCATTATAGTGTACGCGCATTTAATATTCATTCAACGATAAATTTAAATCTACACTGATTTCGACAATATAATTTGTCAAAAATTTTCGAATACGATGTTCCTTTTGGATATGAACGACAAATATTCAGATATCACAACGGTCGCGCTAATTCTTGACTACAAATTCAACGAAACTCGTGCAAAAATGGATCGAAATAATATTTATTGGGATGTGCCGTCAGTCGTCGAAAAACTCAAAAGATCTTCATAGTAATTAACCAAATTCGAGATTGCGCTTGAATTTATTAAGCATTTCAGCTATTGTGTTCATTATGAGATCAATTGGGTGAATCGAAATTGCGTTTCTCGACTCGTCGATAAAGGACTTACCAAAAATAGCATTATTTGCGCCGAATGTCAACCAGAAGCGCAACTTCATCGCAATAATGGACGGTAGAATTCACTTTTGGTGTCAAAATTCGAAAAATTGAATATTCAGATGTGCTTCGGATCTCGATGATGGCGATGAAGGTTTCTGGAAGCTGATCGGACCACAATCATGCAATGGCATTTGGACCCGACTCAATCGAACCGACGATTGTCATTGCCAGTCGAATTATCCCCAAACGCATCCATTTCTATTAGTTTGATTTATATCCGGTTTATTTCCTCCTAGAAGTAGGCTTCCAAACAAATATTGCCTTTAAATTCTGATGAATTCACCAAAATCTCTATCCATCTCCCCTTAAAAATCAACGGGCAACTAATAATTGTCTTTTATTTTGAGTATTTCGTTTTCTGCCAGATAGTCACTGCCGTTCCTCCCGCATAATATTGTCAATTAAAAGATTATTTGATTTGAATTCCAGCAATTTTCAGATCGTGCCAACTTTTCGTATAACAACTGGAAAACAAATCAAATATTATTATCAAAAATATTGCTTTAAAAGCCCTTATATTGCCAATCAATACTACTAATAAATCGGTGACGAGATAAATAAATTACAATTCACTTAGTCACTTAGTCGGTTCGTCCTTCGCCTGTTGAGGCGCGAACCACAGCTTTCCAAGCTTTTCGGTCCTTGGCTTGGGTGGACCAGGGGGTGATAACGGCTCCTTCAGCTGTTCTTGTAGTGATCTCCTTCCGAAGCGAGTCCGACCATCTCATGGGAGGCCTTCCTCTTGGCCGGGTCCAATTCCACGGCCGCCACTCCGTTAGAAGAGTAGTCCATCTTCCATCTGTTCTTCTAGCAACGTGTCCAGCCCAGGTCATTTTCCTCTTCGTGATGTGGTGTAGGGGGTCCCGAACTTTAGACATGATGCGGATGTCCTCTCGATGAAGATCTTGTTCACGTTGTTGTGATAACGTGAGGCCAACCAATCTTCGCTCAAGCGCAGCGTGACTAATTCGGACTCTCTCGGCAAGAGCTTTGGTGAAGGTCCAAGTCTCTGATCCGTAAGTCAGCGCTGGGAGAACGATGGAATCGAAGAGCTGTGCGCGGGTTTTGTTACAGGAAATCAAATCGGTGGTGTTCTTGATTCCATTAAACGCTGCCCAAGCTGCTCTTCTCCTTCGGAAGATCTCCTTGACTAGCTCGTTTTTGGGGTGAGTAGTCTTCCAAGGTACACGTATTCGTCAACATCGTCAATGATACTGACCGAATTCTGGTGCGTTAGGGTAACCTTGGCGGAGTCTGCGAAGGGGTTACGTAGGACTTTGGTCTTTCCAGCGTTAATCTGGAGCCCTACTTGTTCGCATCTCGCAACCATCTCACTTAGCATCTCGGATGCCGCTTGCGGACTGTGCGCTATAAGCACGACGTCGTCTGCAAACCGCAGGTGTGTGAGGTTGCGGCCATTCACTCGTAATCCTGGAGTGTTCGTATTGTCTTCTGAGTCGTTTTTGAATTGACTCCAAGACAATTCACGGAAAACTTGCTCCAGGCACGCGGAGAAAAGGTTCGGCGAGATTGGGTCACCTTGCCTTACTCCTCTTCGAACAGGTATCTCTACCTGTCGATGGAATGGCGTGATGCTTGTGGAACAGTCAGAGTAACAACTTTGGAGTAGCTGGATATACGCTTCTTCAACGCCTTGGTCTCTTAGGCTCTGCCACACTGCTGAATGCTCAACACTGTCAAACGCCTTTTTAAAACCAACGAAAACAAGTGTGAGTGGGATTTGATATTCTCGTCCCACTTCTAGCAGTCTTTGGACAGAGTGGATGTGATCCACTGTTGAGAAGCCCTTGCGGAACCCAGCTTGTTCTACAGGTTGATTGGCTTCTAGTTTACTCCTGATTCTATTCAAGATGCATTTTGTGAAAGCCTTGTATAGAACAGGGAGTACCGTGATTGGCCTGTAGTTCTCCAGGGAGTATCTATCACCTTTCTTGAAGATGATAGTTGTCTCTGACTTGGTCCACAGTCTCGGTATTGATCCGGTTTCTAGGTAGCGGTTAAATCGGTCCGTTATCAGCGCGATAGTGTTTTCGTGGCAGCATTTGAGGAAGTCTGCGCTTATTTTATCACTACCAGCTGATTTCCCATTTGGGAAGGACCGAAGTGCCGAAACGATCTCCTCTCGTAGAAATGGAAGGGGCCTATCCTTGACTTGCGTTGTACAATAGAATTGTGTGATTCCGTTCGAACCATTTTCCCGAAATCGACTTTGGAATGGAATTCGGGGTTTTGGGTCATGAGATATCAATAAAATGTATTCGAGTGTTGAAAACAAATAAATTGATTATCTTCACATTTTTAGAAGGTTTTCTTTAAATCGACCATAAAAGATTTTGTGTTAGCAGCAATGGTGACTTCTTATTACAAGATTAAGTAGAAGAGATCTTCTTGATATGACCCTTTATTTTAAATGTCTTGCACAATGTTGAAATGTTAATGTTTATCCGACGTTTCGATCTTTTTAACATTAACATTTCAACATTGTGCAAGACATTTAAAATAAAGGGTCATATCAAGAAGATCTCTTCTACTTATCAATAATCCACACGATGCACACAAAACAAGTCGCTCCACAACTCACAAAACTTACAAGATTAAGGCTATACGGTGTATTCTGTCCAAAAAAAAAACTTCAAAGTCGATACGGAATAGAATTTTGAATTCGAATTACAATTATATTTTGAAACACTACTTAATTGATAATTTTCTGCTCCCATAAGGAAGCAAATAATCCGAAACATTACCGCGCAATTCCCGGCAATCAGGAATTATATTATAGAAGTCCGCAATGTGCGCGTTGCGGTGTTTGCACACAATCTCTGTTTCATTAGCCGCGTGATTTTAAATTTTCAAATTTTTACTCATTCTTATTGTATTTTCCTAATTTTGACGCGAATTTTATCATTTTTGAAACGTTTTTTTAAAGAATAAACGTTAATCGTAGCGAACCTGGTGTACAATGGCATCACCGAACAATGAAAATGTGCCTGTTAAGGTATAAACGTTGAACATAATAAAAATCATGTTTTTTTTTAATTTTAGAACTCTCTAAAGAGAAACCAATTGGAATCACCGTTTTCGTCGGCTTCCCCGAGCTCCAGAATCGGCAAAGAAACTAAACGGCAATCTTTATTTGGTAGATCGGCGCCGTTGAATTTGAAAAGTTTGAAATTCCTTTTTTTTAAATGTTGATTTTTTTTTCCAGATGCTGATGAGAATTTGGATCGGACTGCTTTTGAGAACTCGACTTTTTTGGAAACTAAAAATTGTTAGAATTGGCAATTTTTCCTAATTCAAAAATTTTATTTAAGGTGCTGATGCAAATCTGGATTCAACTGCATTTGAAACAACGACTGTTGCGGATGAATATTTGCCGGAAAATTCACAAAATGGTAAATAGCGAAATTGGAAGTTTGATGAAAATATCGAAATGAAAAAATCACGTTTGAAAATGCTTTCAATCGTTTTGTTTTAAATATTTATTATTGTTTTTTTTCGACATGTAATTTTTTTATTTAGGAGCTGATACTAACCTTGATGCTACTGCACTAGAAATGACGACCGTTGCTGATGAAACATTGTCTGAGAAAGAAAAGGGTAAAGATTATTACATAGTTTTGTGATTATTTTAACGATAATTTATATTTTTCTTTGAAATTTTCTAAAGAAAAAACCAACATAAATCATATGTTTTGCCTGTAGCTATTGGCTATTTTTAAAAATTCCAGACGTGATCGATTTTGTTCTCAAATTTTGATGGTTTTTCAGCAATTGGATCCAATTCAAGCACGTTGCTGGCCGAGTCTGAGCTCACGCAGCTCGCTGCCAATAGAACAAGAAGCGCAGTTGAGAAAGAAGAATATTTAGGTGCTATTGGTAACTTTTTAAAACTTTTTGAACGTTTTTAATTAAAAATTACAGAATATCGAAGTCCGAATCCGCCACAAGAACCGAGAGGCATTAGTCCGATTCTTAAAGAAGATGGTGAGCGTATTAATCATTGTTTTTTATAAATCCAGATATTTTCTGCTAATACAAAAACAAAATATTTTTTTCGTGAAACTATAGTCAACTGATTCATCGAGTATTACAGACTCGAGCTTGTTGCTTGGCGAGTCGGAGCTCACCCAGCTCGCTGCGAGTCGCACGTTTCAGATTAAAGAAAATTGTGAGATTGTCAAAATTATAAACACATAATTAAAAAAAAATTATTTTTCAGCTAACATTACTGACTCGAGCATTATGCTCGGCGAATCCGAGCTCACTCAGCTCGCCGCTAATCGCTCTGGTGTTGTGGAATCGGATATGAATGATGAACTAGAAACCACCCTCTTGGGCGAGTCTGAGCTAACCAAACTTGGTGCAGATCGCCCAAATCAAACAATGGATTCACATATGAGCGAAAACACGATTTTGAGGGAATCTGAGCTCTCTGGAATGGCAAATTTGACCATTGAGAGTAGGCAATCAGAACAAAGCTGAGACAATTTGCAAATTTCAGACGATGGCCGTCGAACACCGTCATTTAGCGATGGCGGACACGATTTGAGTAGCGTTAAAGAACTGGAGGAGGATGAGCCTGATGTGACGCTCTCTGACAGCCCGCCTAGGCCAGTTACCAGCACCACTTCTTGTCCAACAGCTCCTAGTGCTTTGGCTAGCGAGATTCGCAAAGTTCCGGCCCCACCTTCGCCGATTTGTGTCACGTCGCCGGCGACGTTCAGCTCGAAGAAGGTTGTCGACGAGTCGCTGTGCGAGTTCATGCTCTTAGAGCAGAAGTTTGAGCATCAAGAGGTTTTGGAGAATTTGAAAGCGCAGGTTATTGCGCTTCAACAGCATCTGGTTAGTGAGCATTTTTTAAGACTGGACTTGAAATTGAAATTTTGTCCAAATTTATCAAATCGTTTCCCTGTACAAGTCGAAATTGATCATATTCAGACGCAAAGAGACGAAAAAATCCGCACAATGGAGGAATCTCGTATTTTCGAGGACGAAATTTGGTCGAAGCAGCTGGAAACTCTTCAGAAAAAATTGAGAGCTGCAGAAAAACGCGAACGCGAAACACAGGCAATGGTAGAGCTAACGAAAATTGAAGAATGACTCTGAAATAACATTAACTGATAGGTCGAGGAACTTCAATCGAAAGTTAGCCGAATTGTAGAGGAGGAAGCTTCGACGAAGATTGAGGAACTCACCGCTCAAAAAGAGCAGCTTGAGCAACAGATTGCCTCTTTCACATTGCATTCTGAAGAACTGCAACAGCTTCGGGCTCAGATTGAAAGATTAGAAGAAAATGTCGAAAAATTGACACACGAAAATAATGAGCTTAATGGAATTGTTGTTGAAACCAAAGAAAAGGTTGGTTTCATTTTATACACACGTCTTGAAGTTCGCGCTTTGGCTCGAAGCCTTTTCGAAAAAACATTCTGAAAAACGGTATTTCAGGCTAAATCGGAAGCTGAAGTCCTTCAAAACCAAATAAGCGTTCTTCAGGAAGATCTTTCTAAGTCGAATGAGCTCAATCAGAAGGATTTGGCTTTTGCTGAATCGGTAATCGCACACTTTAATAGGTATCATTTTCACTAATATTTTCAGATGGAATCAATGAAGACGGATCTTGAGGCGGCATTGAGCAAGATTGCCGAGCTGAGCAAGCAGAAAGCGGAGCTGGAGACCGAGAATTCGACACTTGAAGCACTCGTTCAAGAGGTTAATCAGGAGATCTCAGCGATTAACAAACAAGTTGAAACGGATCGTGAGGAGATGCAGAGGGAGCTTGACCAGGCGCATGCCAAGAATTTGGAGCTGCAAAAAAATATTGATGTGCTTGAAGCGAAAACGTCAAATTCAGAAGAACTCGAACAGCTAAAACAGACATTGGATGAGGAGCTTGAAGAAAAATCAAAAACCAATCAGCAGCTAGACCAGTTGAAGTCGGAGGTATTCCATTGCTTTTTGCCAGTTATCAATCGAAATTATGTGTGTGGTTGTTTGCAGCTTGAAGCATTACAACTGGAAAAGGCGAATATGACGCATGCGGCGGAAAATGTTAATTTGGAATTGAGCGCGCTGAAAGCACGATCTTCAGAGCTCGAACAGAAGATTGTCGACGTTTCCGCCGAGGTTCATCCATTTCCCATTCATTCGCATTATTTTAAAATCAATGTTAAGGCGGAATCTAAAAACGCTGAAGTTCAGACTCTCAGAACGAAAAATTTGGAGCTGGAACAGAAAGTCGTCGAAATTCAGGGCGCGTTCGAGCAGAAATCGCAACAGGTTTTTTATCAATTTTTTTTTTCAAATTCTCAATTTAATTTTTTTGTAGTCAGAGCGTGAAAACTCGCAGCTTGAGGAATTGAAAAACAAGAATGATGAGCTGGAACAGCAGGTGGTGCAGCTCAAAACTGAGCTTGAACAGAAATTGAGCCAAGTTTTTCTCTTTTTTTTTTGTATCTCTTTGCTGAAACGCTAACATTTTCAGGCCGAAACTGATCGTGCTTCTCTCGAATCTCTAAAAATCCAAAATCAAGAGCTAGAGCAGCAGCTTGACCAGCTTCAGACTGAGCTTGATCGAAAATTGACACAGGTTTTAGAGATGTTATTAATTTTCTTCCAATTTTATTTTTTGAAGTCTGAAACTGACAACGAGCTTTTGGAATCCATGAAGAGTAAGAATGTGATTTTAGAACAGCAGATAGTTCAGCTCAAGGCAGATCTTGAGCAGAAAGTAATTTAATTTTTAAATTCCCATGGAAATGAGCCAATTTGCAGAGTGAAACTGAAAGCTCACAACTGGAAGCTATGAAGAAAACAAATGAAGAGTTGGAGCAACAAGTGGCGCAGCTCAGAGATGAGGTTGGCAGAAAAAATGAACTGGTTTGTATTGACATTGTATCGTGTATTCTCAATTTTCTGTCAGATTGAGATTCATGCTCATCAGAATGAGGAGCTGGCGAAGCATACGGTACAGCTTAATGAGAAAAACGAGGAACTCGAACAGGTTTGCAAAGGTTTTGAAAATGGTAATTACGTCTTGCAGTTAAAATCGAAAAATTTGGAGCTCAGTCAAATTGTTTCCGAAGCTCAGACTTCCAATTCGGCCTTGAAGGGGCAAATCGAGGACCTGCAGCAGAAGGTGTTTAGTTCAATCTTCAGAAATCAACAATTACACTATTTAGACTCGTGCTGAGACAGAAGAATTGGAGCAGCTTAAGGCAAAGCATGAAGAGTTGAAGCAACTTTTTACGGAAGGTCAGGCAAAAATTGAGGAACTCAATTATGCGTTAAGTCATGGAAGCGAGCTCGAGCAGCGCGTCGAAACCCTCATGACTGAGAAAGTGGAGCTTGAGACATTGATTACACAGAAATCGCAGGAGGTGAGAGTTCGTTCTATTGTGAATTCTTTATCATTTTATAGGTGGAACAAACAAGGATTGAGATAACGACGTTGTTGGAAAAAATTGAGAATTCAGAGGTTCGATTTTATCGTGTTTCTATGAGGGGCCACGCAGGAAAAAGAAATACAAAATAGACACATATTAAGTGCAGAATGAAAAGGGAAAAAATGCTAATTTTTATTTTCTCTGCATTAGTCCATGAAATTCCAAAAATTCTTCTCGAAATTGAACATTTTTCGCAATAAATTAACAAAATTGATCATGAAGAAATCGGCCTAATTTTGAAAAATGAAAATTGCGTGTTATCACGATAAATGTTTTTTTTTTATCCAGAAGTCACAAGAAGCTCAACTTTTGGAAATTTCCGAGCAGTTGAGCACTGTTTCTAAAGAGCGAGTTGAGCTTATTGAAAAAATTGGACAGATGGGAGAGCTGCATCGAGTTGAACTCGCCAAGATTGATGAGAAAAACACGGAAATTTTGAAAATGGTTCGATTTTTTAGAATTTCGTCTCAAAATTGTTGTTTTAGAAGGATTCCGAACTCGAAAAGCTCCGAACTGAAATTTGTGAATTTGAGGCTCAAGCAACGAGCTCTAGCACTGAACTCCGGCAAGAGTTGGATGATCTCAAATCGAGACTGTCTGAAGTTGAGCAGCAAAAGCGAGAGATTGAATCGAAGACGGAGATCGAACGAGTCACCGTTGAGCATCAGAAGGAGATTCTCGAGAAGAAGATTGAATCGATGGAAACTCATATTAAGTTGCTGGAGGAGAAAACAGCAAATGCTCATTCGGTTCGTTTTTATATTTTTTATTCTTCTTTTGAAAATTGAATTTTTCCTTCTATTGTCGATTTCAATGGAGATATTTTCATGCATTTCATAATTTTGATCTGTCGTTTGAAAAGGACAATTAAATAAGATTAAATAGGAACTAATTTGATTTTTAAAATTACGAAGAATGTCATATTTTATTTTCTTGCAGATCAATTCAGTAGTTGAAGGTCTCAGTGCTCAAGTTGCGAATCTTGCTGCCGCTCTCAACGAAGCTAAAGCTCATGAGCAAGAAGCTCAGAATGATGTGACGATCATGAAGGAGGAGGTGAATGAGAAAGACGCACTTGTGGAGAGTTTGAGAACTGAGATTGAACAACTCAAAGCTCAAATTGAAAAGCTTCAAAAGGAGCTGGACGAGAAGGCGTTGGAGAAAGAGAAGCCTTTGGTGGATGATTTGGCTAAAATTCGAGAACTTGAGTCGGAAATTCGAGATTTGCGCGAATCGTTGACAGTTCGTGACCGCGAAGTTGAGAAACTTGGGAAATTGTGCGACGATTTTGACGACGAGGAGAAAGTTTATAAGGAGAAAATTCGAAATTTGGAGAAGGAGATCGCCCAACTCAAAGGCATCAAAAGTCCAACGAGAAATGCAGCTCCCGGATTGTTGCAGATGGCAAAGAATGGGTTAGTATTTCGTACGAATCTCTTAAATCTTCGATTTTCATCCGAAAATAGCCTGTGTAGAAAATATCTGGAATTTCTGCAAATGTTGAAAAAAAATTATCCCTGAAATCAAAATGTTATTTGAAATAAAATGTGTGTCCTTCAGAATACCACCGGTCAGTCGTGAATCAAGCCATGTTGAAGAGGAGAATTTCTCCGATGCTCACGACTCACTGCCATTTGATACTCAACGAGCCGAAGCTGCTGGAATGAGCGCTAGCTCAAGCTCAGCCAGCAAAAAGACTGCGGCCACTCCAGCTCGCGCAAACAATAAGACATTGATGATCGAAGATTCTGATCAGGGACCGGCGACACCTTCGAAAGTGAATCGATCGACTTGTCAACATCAATAATTTTTAAGCATTTAACGTTTTTTTTTGTAAATATGCATAAATCATTGATTATTATTCTAAAAAAATAATCGAATCGAGAGTCGAGTATTTGAGTCAACAAGTAGTAGGCAAAATGTGAAATCGAAAAATAGGAACAATGGCAAAACGTAGGCGTCGGTCCTATATGGTCGAATCCGGAGCAGAAATTGTCGGATCCGATTGGTCCAAAGTTTCCAGAGGCGACAAAATTTGCCCCAAAAGAAAAATGACGCCTGAAGTTTTCGAAACGGTGGAATAGTTGTCTAATAAACATTTTATAGCACATCGAGGTTTTTATCATTCCGCGAAAAAAAACAATGCAAAATGAGAAGAATGGAATTAATAAATGGTAATCAACAAAAAAAAACAATATGAAACAGAAAATTCAACAATTCGACGCATTCCTTTCACGAACACTATTTAATATCGCCTTGTGTAATGTAGGAATCAAACTGATTGCGCGTTCTTTTGCGAATGAAGTTAATGATTCAATTGATTGATGCGGAATACGTCCGTACACATCAATGCACGTCACCTGAAAAATATTGAAAATGTAAATGAAAGAAATAATTTATTTACCTGATTCAAATTTGGCACGAAAGCAAAAGTGATTCCTCCTTTAGAATGATGCTTTTCCATTTCTTTGTGACTCGGATCTGTCATAAAACTTCCATCAGCACACATCGCGACATGAACACTTGACATTAATCCCATATTCTAAAATTATTATTTATTATATTTGTAATTCATACGTCGTTCTCTGATGTATGCATTCAAACACAAATAATACCTCGATTCCTGAATGTGCTAATGCCAACGATCCAGCAATAAGACCAACAGCCAATGCGCCTCCATCATCAGATAGCACTGTTATCTTAAAAATAAGAATTATAATTGAAATTTAAAGGTTGTAAACTTCAATATCAATAGCTTTCCCCGGATATTTATCGACAAAAATAACCGCAGACAAGGCCGAGAAAAATTGGGGACGAATTTCAGCATTTTTCTGTTCATCCACCCCATTCAAGCTTACAGTCACCCGCGCATATGCTTCTTCCCATTTCTCATCACTTTCCGGACCGTGACTAAAAAAATAAATCATTTATACAACGAGAAGCCGACAATTTACATTTGTGCTAAAACACGAGTATTCCCAAATTCGGCATATCCACTTCCGTCCTGCACGCCAAACACTCCACATTTCACGCCTATATAATTATATGATATATCGAAACACATAATAACTAACAAGATTCTCGGAATACGGTCGATGGCCTAGAAATTGTCTCCACTTCCATCGAAGTTCCATCATTGACACTTTTCAAATCTGACAATGGAATGCAAAGATTCGAGCGTACTATTGGCATACTGAAACAAGTAGTATAAAAATATTGACATTGCATTTGCTCAAACGAAAAAAAAGTGGTTGGCAAAATATTTACAGGTCTCATGACTACATTGTCTCAATTATTTGCCTTGCGTGTATTTATTCAAGGCGCATACAGTATATAAAGTGCGGGATGTGGTGATCACCAACCAGAATCATGTCAACTATCAGCTCAACATCAACCTCGCCTGTTTCCTCGACGACTAGCATTCCAAAAATGGTTGAAGAGGAACAACACAAACACGGTATATTTCGGAATTGATTTAAAATTAATAATTTTGATTTTTTCAAGAAAAGAATACAAAAAAAGGAAAGAAATGTGAAGACGACTTGAAGATTTTCGCCGATATGCATCCAGTATTTCCTCAAATTCCACCAAGATTTGCACTATTTGGCTAAGAACGATATACTCATTTCGTCTGTTTTTGTTATTCCTCATTACTGTACATAATCGGAAATAAACTCTTGATATCAAATATTTCGGACAACAACATTCAACTGGGAAAATATCAAATTGGAGAATATTAACTTCGCGAAGAAATAACCAAGTGTTTTTTTTTTTGAAAAAAAAATCAGCTTTTAGAAACTCTTTCAAAAATCGTAATTATGCGACGAGACGCAAATAATTTAAAACATCTCGTTTATGTTTACTGTTTTGAAAATTGGAAATTTTGTTTTTTGGTAGAACTGGCATGAGTTGTTTGTTCTATTATTCGTTTTCAAGATTTCAATTCAAAATCGCTCCCCTGCCGCCCTCGTTTCAAAATACTTCGCAGACAAAATACGTGACAACGAAAGCACATTCGAATTTTGCGAAAACTCATTTCCGGTTTGAAATTAATCTATCCGTTTTCGGAGATATCGAAAATAGAAAAAAAGTAATTGGAAATGTGTGTTTGAATACGAATGTCTATCACATGATAAACGATTAACAAAAGGGATACACAATCAGTAATCTCTCGTGATATCAACAAATTTCGAAGATGCACATAAAGAAGCATTGATCAGGTAACCCTCTAAACCGTTGGATTTCCAATTACTATCGTGATTTCTGACCACGGGCTTCGTTAAAAATTACGTGCAACGTCTAGTCTCATTTCTCGAGAATAAATAGTCATTCCGCGGGGGTTTGTGTACAAAAATGCTCAAAGTGCAAAAAAGTGACGAGAAATCAAGTTAAAGCTAATCGTGGCTAATTACAAAACTGGATTTGATTTCACAAAAAAAAGATATAGAATCGGTATGAAACGTTTAAAAGACTCCGAACATTGTTTTAGAAAAATGAAAGCATTTATGACAAAATGCAATAGAAAACAACCTGAAATGAGAAAAAAAGAAACAAAATATACAGAACCAAGTGATACATGGAAAATAGAACATTGCAAGTCATTGGGCAACTCTTATTATACATAATAAGTTAATAAATTAATATATACGAATAATATAAAATTTATAACATAACATCCACTATGATAGGCAGATGATCAGAGGGACATGTTTTCGAAGGAATTGCAATATGTTCAGAAACGCTAGCATGACTCGGCATTGGGCAATTACGGTACAAAGTGACATCTGAATAATTCAGACAATTAATTAGAATGTTAGAATGTGTTTTCAAATATACCTCTACCCCAAATATAGTCAATACTCCCAACAAAATCTTTTGTAAAATTCGTATACGACGGGACTCCAGACAAAAGTGTTAGCGGTTCAATGTTCGGAAGCTAAATAAATAAATAATGAAGTTTTCGAAAAATTATTAAAAAAAAAAGAAACCTTTAAATGTTCGGCTCGTATTGAATTGTTTAATGACCAGCATTCATGTTTATTATCAATGGAACCCTAAAAATTAAAATAAATTTTCATTCGCATGAAAAAAAACATTGTATGAAACCTTTGTCAAAAGTTCGAAAACCGGCCCACCAGGAATGCTATTGAAATCGCCGCCAAATATTAATTTGACTGCATTATTTGGAAACTGTGTAGTTGTGTCGGCTTTCTCTCTGTAATACAACATTAAATATTTGATTATGTTAAAAATTTCATTCAAAAAATTATACTTGATCAATTTCTTGACTGCGACCAAAGCAAGAAGCGGTTTTATATATTCTTCTTTGGGATTGAAGGGCAAATGAATATTGGCACACATTAATATCGAATTCGTTGGCTTGTCACGAATTGTTACAATCTAAAAACATTTGCCTTATTATATTTATTTGAATCGAAATTGAAAAACAAACTTGTAAAACAGTCGGCCGCGACATTACTCGTTTTTTGACTTCTTTCGAACAGTCCAATATCCTTCGAACTTCTTCGTTCTCAGGTTCATCAAATATCAAGTCGGGCACTTCGAAGCTATTTGTCGATACAAATCTTAAAACCCAAATTTTTTGGTGAAATTTTGACTGAAAAAGAACTCACTCAAATCGATTTTTGTCAAAAGCGATTATCGTTCCTTCGTTAACTTGTTTCCCTTTCTTTACATGATAACATTCGAATCCTAATGAATTGAAAAGAATCTCGACATAATTGAATTTCCTAGTGAAATCGACTTCTTGGAGAAAAAATATTGATACGGAGCTTCGCGCAAAATCTATAAGTTTTCAACCAAAACTCAATTTTGAAAAAAAAAATTGAGCCTAAACCTCTTAATTGACATAACACTAGTGGAATTCGATATGCTGCTCTTTGATAGATCTTCGGGCAATAATTGAACATTAAATTTGGTTGATCTAATGCGAGGTTTAAGTAGTGATCAGCTAGAACATTGTAGCTTAAAACACGAATTCTGAAAACATTTTTTGGAATTATTTAAATAGCGAAAACGCGTACATTGGGCCCGTTTCGAAAGTAGGATTGCTTCCACACCACTCGACCTGATCTTGCGTAATGACAGGCTTGTATTCCAAAATTGGAAAATGTGAAACCGCGTAGCTGCAATTAATTTTCTTATAAATTCATTGTTACTACAAACATTAAAAAAACAATTTTATTTATAAAAGGTTTTCATAGATTTACCCATGTTTGATTTTTAACAAACATTTTCATTCTTAGAAAATACGGAATCTGAATTACCACGGTTTAAATTCGAATTTGGATTACGGCCTCGAAAAAATTCGATGGTCCAGAAAATTGCAAGACGCACGATTTTTGCGATGGTAATATACACAGCAGTTTTAGAAATTAATTAGATAAATGACTTACTAGACAGGAAAATCTTCTCCAAAATCAATTATCGCAACAATTTTTCTCGAAACATCTTCAGCCGATGGCTCGAATGTGGCACCGCTTCCACGGTAAGTATGACCGTCTACCAAAAATGTTCGAGATTTTTCTAAAAAACGAAACTGCATTGGATTTTGTTTTGATTTATTCATTAGTTACCGTCTAAAAATGTACAAGACACTGTGTCGATTTTATTTTTCTTTGGATTTACAAACATCTCATCATTAATGTTGATTGGATCTCGTGCGATTTTTACAAACCAATGACAAATGGGCGAGTGTTTTAATCTCGTAAGATCACCTAAAAGAACAAAATTAACAAGCTTCAATTTTCAAACCTTTTCTTACATTCGTTATTGTACTCGATTGCTGGTGCAATAATATTTCCAACACTTGGTAATAATGGAAGACTCAAACAGTGAATTGGTGGTGGATTCCGCACAATTTCAAATGGAATGTCGTTCATTATAAAGCGTTTTACCGTATCATACTCAACTAAAGATTTCATATCTCTCTGAAAATGTTGAATACGTAAGAATAAATAATGAAAAAAAAAACATTTTCTCACATCATTAGTTAGCGAATTAGAGCAGGGATCTGTTCTAATATTAAAGTAGAATGAACTATAATCTTGCTTCATTTTTCGCATTTTCTTCATTACATTTATATGAATCTGGAAATTTTTAAAAATTACTTAAATCTAAAATACTTACTTTATACAGAGATTCTGTGATATCTTCGTTCAAAGGTCGTTTTATTTCGAAAAACGAGGGATTTTCCCCACCACAATTGAAATTGAACATCACATTTACGCTAAAATAGTTTGACTTTGAATCAAGAGAAAATTCCAATTCATACCAATTATTTGCCTTTTTCTTTCCAAACGATTTCGATTTCCACAAATAGACTTTATTCGATGTTAGTATCATCTTTCTCGAGCTATAAAAACGAGTGTACAATTGCTGCTTAGTAGATGATGTTACCGTCGTTCAACGACACTCTCCTCTGTTTTCTGAAAAGAAAATCATTTGCTAATTTTCATCAAAACTTCAATTACCTCTTTTAGAATGTCCTTCCAAAATAATTGTTTGTTATGGTTTTGTGGACCCGTTGACTTTCCAAAGAGCCCTTTGATAAATTTTGCCACAAATTTGAACATAAATCGACTAAGCAACAAAGATTGGATAATTAATGACTAGAGTTAGGTAAAGAATGGAGTGAGCACCTGAAAATTATACAGTAATACACTTTTTACAAAATTGTACAGTAATAAAAAAACAATGCAACCAAATTTTTTTCTCTAAATTTATTATTCTAAATGTATTAGTGTTAAAGTAAAGATATCGGTGTCATATTAGAGAAAAAGACCAGACCCGAGCTCATTTGCGCCCCATTGTTATAAAAATTAAAATTAATATTCACGCGCTTGAGAAAACGACGCGGACGAATTTTTGACAAAGATTCACGTAAAACGTTACTTCGTTTTTACGGCCATCTGTTCTTTATCGTAAAACCACAACATAGGCTGTATTTATTTTTATGCGTGTTATTTAATAAATAACCACTATAAATTCAATTTATAGTTTCCATGAGTCATCAGCCCAATTAAAATGTTTCGTGGAATTTTTGGTCGTCGATCTCGTACGTTGTGGAAACGTCTTATTTATTTCTGTGTCATCTCTGTCGCATTTTTATTCGTTTCATCACAATTTAAAGCAGCTCATTTATATGCCCGTGTTATACCAAATGAAGAAAATGTGGGTTAAATTTTTAAATTTTTCAAAAATAGGACAATTATTCAGGAGTCCCTAATGAAAAATAAAGATTCTTTAGCCGATCCAGAGAGAGTAGATTCTCCTGATGGGTGCGTTGTTTCAAAATTTGCTCTCATATGTTTCTTTCTTTAGGGAAATGCTTTTCCAAAAAGTGATCACAACTAAACGGATAACTGTTCGTCCGCGAAAAAAGACGAATTACATCATCGATGGGGAAAAGTATCCAAAGCTCAGCCTTGATAATAAATTCATTCCTCAACGACGAATTATTCATTTGGACCTAAAAGGAGCACCCTACAAACCATCATTTTTTCCATATTTATTTGCATTCTTCAATCAAATCAAAGCGACGGGTGTGCTGATCGAATGGGAGGATATGTTTCCATATAAGGGTCGCCTAGCCGAAGCTGTGAACAAGAACGCGTACGATATCCAAACGGTACTATTAGTCTTAAATTCGTATATAAATGTTTTCAACTTTAGGTTCGCACAATTCTCGGAGAAGCTCGAAAACATCACCTGGAAATAATTCCATTGGTTCAAACAATGGGACATTTAGAATGGATATTGAAGCTGAAGAAGTTTGCGCATTTGAGGGAGGATTCGCGATTCCCGCAAGTGATTTGCTTTTCTGATGATGAAGCATGGAACTTGATATCGGAAATGATCTCGGAAGTAGCTGATTTGCATAAAGAATTCGGAATGAATTATTTCCACATGGGAGCCGATGAAGCATTCCAGGTTCGTTCAAAATTTTCTTGTTCTTCATCATTTTTGCTCTTTATTATCGTTTTCAAGTTTAGATTGGTATTTGTAATGCAAGTATTGTTAAACTACGAACGGAAAGCACTCGCGAACGTTTAATGTTATGGCATATGTCAAGAACTGCTAATTTTATCAAGAAAAACTATAATGACGTTAGTTAAAAGATGAATTTTAACTTTTAATTTCTTATTGAAACATTAAAAAAATAGGTAACCGTTCTTGCTTGGCACGACATGCTTGTGAATGCGATGGAACCCGATCTAGATGAGTACGGTGTCGTCAATTTGATCCAACCGGTTCTTTGGAATTACGCTGAAGACCTTGATTTGTATCTTCCACGATCTACATGGAGTGTGCTGAAGAACTTTGGAAATATTTGGGCAAGCTCGGCATGGAAAGGTGCTGACGGACCTGCGAGATATGCTACTCATTCTGAGCATTACATCAAGAATCACGAGTCATGGGTTACTCAACTTAATACATTTTATAAGGATTTCGAAGCAATTGAGGTTCTTTGCCAGTTTTTTCTTGTCGTATCCGAATTCTTTGTGTTGATTTAGGGAATTATCATGTCCGGGTGGTCTCGGTACGATCATTTGGCTGTGCTCGCAGAACTTGCACCTGTAGCATTGCCAACTCTTGCAATGAGCATGGAGACAATTCTGGTAGGTTTCTTCAAAACTCGGCAGCTTTAATTTTCGGCTCAGGAAGCAAAACATCTGAATAGTTATCCGATAACAAATGAACTTCTTCAATGTTCACCACCCGTTGGTTTGGGATATTCGGCATCCGGATGTAGTTTTCCGGGCTCGCGAGTCTATGAGCTCGTCAATGACCTCTACCAAAAACGGCGACAATTGCGCTCGTATCGCGAAGATGATTATGAGTTGAATGGTTGGATGTCCAGAATGGCTGACGATTACATCGTATCAAGTCATTGGTATATTGATGTAAATTTACTGTTTTTTGTTCATTTTCCAAACTGAAACATCCTTACAGAAAATACAACCAATGATCGAAATGCACGCATTACCGCTGGAACAATTGGAGTTAGATTTGAGAAATGCTCTCAGTTCTATATATTACAATGTAGGTTTGAACAAATGAAATATTATAGAAAAAAGATGATTTTATAACTAATTATCCATCAATTTTTGCTTTAAAAATAATTTTCGACATTTCATTATTTTTCTAGTCTGAAGTTTGATGTCATGACGACTGCTGATGAAAAATACCATTTTTTTTAGAGAGAAAGAGAATTACTCATATAAAATCGTTTTATATTCTTTTTGATAGTTTATATGAAGACTTCCATGTTTGTATTACGATTTTACAATTGCAAATAACTATTTGTGTAAATTAAAGTGAGTTTATCGTTTTATCCGTAATGCGGTCCACTAATATTAAATGATTAAATCGAAATTAAAATAATCACTACGAAAGCATTCGATGGTCCGCAAACACTAGAGGTTTCATTTTGCAATGGTCATAGTTTTAAAAATAAACATCGAAACCAAGATCGCCAAGAAAATTAATTGGTGCAATCAGTATTAAATTTTTTTCGTTGTAGGATACAGTCGATGAGTTCATATTCACATATTTGGAGGAAGATTTGCATTGGATTCGACGAAAAAGAGAAACAATGAAAAAGATTAGTGAAGCGAGCGAATTTCCACGGCGTCCGTTCATCATGAGTTCTAAACTTCGAGATGAATGTGGAAACACAAAACAATAGGCGTCGGTTCGCGTTTTTTTTTTCTTCTTTTTGTTTCTTTTCCTTTCTTTAATTTGCACCCATTACTCGTATTAATATGGTGCTCATTTCTTTGTCTTTTTTTTTCTTCGTCTTCATCTTTTGTTCACAATTCACGAGGTATGCTAGGGTTAGGATTTCGAGAAGTGGGGCTAATTAAAATAATCGAGACCGACCGGAGGGTCGACCTAGCCAAACGGCGGGTTTCTCTCGATGCACACTGGCAGCGGCTCGTGTGTTTCGCAGTTTGTCTGTGCGGTCTCATCATTTTGCCGGCTCTCTCTCGCACATCTCCCATAAGATTTTTGGGAGGCAGCTCGTCGATTCCGATATGTTGCCGAAATATGTGTTCAGAGGGAAGCTAAGCTTTCATACTTTTTGCATTAATAATTTCGCGGTGATTCATATTGAATTTTGGGCAATAGCAATGAGAAACCAAACTGAGATTACGGTAATTAATCATATTCCTTAATACTTAATTAATTGTCAGCCAGTTGTTCATTTGGTGGAATTAATTTTTTTTTGAAACGATTTCCACCAAATTTCCTCAATAATGTTGATTAATAATATTTATTCAGTGCACTTTTATCTGCCAACGGTTTGCCAATTCATTCATAACTATGTGGTGTACTTGTATTTCCTTCCTTCATAATAATTCAATTTCACTCGGCCTGAATCAAAGTGTATTGCATGCCTTCCTCCATTGCTCAAATGAATTATTTTCGTCCCGAAATTTATTAGATTTTTCAAAAAATAAAAAGAAACGAAATCGCCGAGAAAAATGTCGACTAATCGACGAAAGTCGCTACTATAAACCGGCACGCCTCAGCGATTTCCTTTTCATTTCCGGCACCAACGCTTTTGCTACGTTTTTTTCTCGTTTTTTTTTCTTTAATTTTTTTTTTGATTTTATATCTAAAAAAAGATTTCAGTTTTAGTCAAAATCGAGATGGTTACACAACAGGTTTGGGAAAACTGAAAGCCCATTAAAATGAAGTCTCATTTTCAGAGTTCTTCACATCCAAATCATTTATCTGCTCTCGATCAATTTGTGGCTCCTGGATTGAGGCTTTGGATGCTCATCGCCCTCGTAGGAGGCGTTTTATTGATTATGAGTGAGTTTTGCAAATTTCCCATTCTTTATAACAAAAATACAAAAAATAAACGTTTGCCAAAAATAAATCATGTTAGATTTTATTGAAAGAAAATAGTTTTCTGAAATCATTGCGACCGTTATTTTCTGAATATTTACGACTATTTTATAAAAGTTATATTGTGTTTATTCGATTGTTTTTTTTCTGTCAATCTTTTATTTTTAACATTTATTTTTTAGTTGTCATCGTCTGCTGTTTTATGCGAATTCGCATTCCGCGTACGAAACGTCAAATCGATTTGATCGCCGCCAAAAGAAAATTGAGGAAGAGCAACAAAAAAGCGAGCGAAGCGAATGCACACAGTGAGTTATTTCTTTTCATATTTTCTCATGTTGCGATGTGAACGAGCGTCGATATCAATTCGGATTGATATATAAATTGTTTTTAGACGACCAACGAGCGCAGGCGATTGTGATGAACTCAATGCGGCCGTCATCGACAAGAACCTCATCGAGTCGACATACTGGCTCCAAGATCCAATCGCAAGTCTAACTAGCGTTCCATTTTGCTCAATTTCCATCCACTATGTGTCCAGCCCCTTGTCCTTCTAGAATCTGTATAAACTCGAGAAGCTTTAAACAGTAATAAAATATTAATTTGGTTTCGTGTTCATTTCTTTTTCGTCCTTGTGGTTGCTGCTCGCCCATTGTATTTCTCCGAACGAAAACTTGCATATCTTGCTGTTTGTTTTTTTTTCCCCTCAATTTATACCAATATACCAAGTCCAACTTTCAGCATGATATTACGGTTTTAAAAAATGGATAACATTCTGCGAACTCTTGAGAAAAATGCGAGGGAGCGCGAGGAACTCGAGACGCAAAGGCGACGCGAAGAGCTCGCCAAGAAATTGGAGCCGTTTGTGCTTGGCTATGTGACGAGAAAGAAATATCAGGGACAATTAAGGTAAGTGCGTGGAGGGTCTGGTTTTGTTTTCGAAACATGAGAGTCCTCCACTTTTCGAAGAAGCTGGATAATGGCCATAACCGAAAATTGGATTGAACTATTCGGATTTTTATATAAGAATAAACTGGGCTGTTATAAAAGATTAAATTTAAATCTTTAAAAAAACACTCAGCAAGAAACATTGAATAAAAATAAATCTTTTTTAAAGATTTCTGTTACTGATTTTTCGTGTTCAGAACGATTCGTAATAATTGCTTCAAAGATTTTACGGATTTGGACAAATCGAACAAAACCTTATTAACTGTACGGGAATTTCTGCAAAAAGCTCCGCGATGTGTAGCCTCGTCGAAAACGGCAAACGAAATCACTGTAATCATTCCGTTTCATCACGACACCAATGTGTTTAATTGCGTTTGCAGCTTTTCTGCAATGTGTGTCGCCATATAATTATTTCGCTCGACTCGAATTCGAAGGAGGTCAATTTTGCAGCGGCATTTCTCAACAAAGAAACGCTTGCCGTTGCAACCAAACTGATTTCGACGATTTTCGCGCAAATTCCCGATATTTTGTTGCGTATCACTGGCGAAAAAGCTGTTGAATTGAAGCAATGGCAATGCTTAATACATCTTGTGATCGGAATGTCGACGCCAACGACATGGGCAATTGTGAGGAATGCGCCCCAAGTGCAAACTGCTCTAAACGGCCTATGTGCCAAATTGATGGCTGTGTTTTACGAGGAAGATAACTATGAGAAAATGACGGTAATATGAAATCGATTGAAATCAAAGCATTCATAATCAAATTAGAACTCACTGTTCATTGCTGTCAATGATCAAAAGCCCATTGTGAGTTTGGAGACAGTCAATGCCCAGTACTCGATCATTTACCGTGTGGTGAGGAATCGTGGAGAAAATGAAAACTTATTTTCGATATTTGTCACGCGAATTCTGACCTGCCCGGCGATTATTCAATATCTTAACCCGCAGGTGTTTCCAACACTCAATTATCAACTATCATTATTTTTAGAATCTTGAAAGCATTCGATCAACCGAGTTGTTTGAACGAGCGCTTTTTTGGCTTCGTGCCAATCAGGAAGAACTCGAATCGAATCTCGATGTTCGCGTTATCATCAATTTGCTCGCAAATTTGATTCATATGGCGTATAACGACGAACAAACACTGATCGCCAATCTGTATGAATGGACGTGGTGTATTGGAGTCGCATTGACAAGATGTACAGAGATGGCAGTAAATAATACGAACAAATCGAACTTACATTACTGGCATCCTGTATTCGGACATTATTTGGTTCCTATAGACAAGAAGTCATATTAGCATAACTAGTAATTTGAACTGTGATGTAATTTAGGACCGAAGGTGCTCTGCGAAATGTCGTTCAACAACTGCGGCTTCTATGGAGCGCAAAAATTGTGAGATGTTTGTTCGATAAAGCTTTTGCTTCTGCGCAGGCGCAGCTCACAGCGAATAATGATACAAATATGATCACAACATCGAATGCTGCAAGATCGCCGTCGAATCATAAAGATCTTGGTGCAGCTTTTAGCAGTTAGTTAATTGAAAGCTTAGATAAAGCTCGACAATTTCTCTCTAGAACTTTGGAGGAAACTTGGAGGCACATCGAACGATTCAACGTCTTCCACAAAAGAGAAATGCGTCGAAATTCCTGAGTCACCGCCTACATTGACAGCAGTTGTATGCCAACTTTACATGACTGCTTTATCGACAATGATCCGCATGAAGCGGGAGATCGTTTCTGGACTCTGTCGTGATGATCAGCTGCTTCGTCAACTGTGGCTGTATATAAAAGAGTGGGGAGCGAAAAATTCGAGTGGATCGAGCTCAATCTTCAACACGTCCTCTATTGATCATTACGGACCCGTGTCGGCGTCGCTACAATCGTTGAAACGGCTTTACTCTCCACATACGGCAACACTTCGATTGTTCGCCGATGCTACAGCAGCAATTGTCTCGTAAGCACATTTTTGCCGCGATTCGAATAATTATAATTGCATTTTCAGAATCCTAGACGAAGAAGAGATATTCGAGAAAAGTGTGCCATTCAGTGTGAAAGAACTCGAAGCAGTTTCAAGATACAATAATATATTTTGTTTCCGAGCGATATGGAATGGAATAATTGGTATGATGAAATATCGATTCATGTTCCAGCAATATTTTTCAGACGAAGTGACAGCATCGACGAACACTTTATTCCAAAGTATGCATTCGCTTTGCATGGTTCTCTATGAGCGCGATAGTCGACGATCATTTGTTTCTGACCCAAAATTCTGGCTTGTTTCGTAAGAAAATCGACGATTTTCATAGATTTTTATTGATAAAAAACTTTTTTTAGTGAAGTAAAATCATCAGCGATAATGACGGAATACGAGAAAAAGACATCACGCGGAATACTGTTGATGCGAAAAATGTCTCATCTAGTTCCTATAAAGGAACGAATGTTGCTTTTTCGCAGACAAGTCAATGAGGATAAGGTCGTTTATTTTACGCTCTACATTTTATTTTAGAACTAATCAATTACAGACCAGGGTCAGCAATATTGCTGCGGATACTCATCTTCAAACATGGATCACAGTGCAGAGAAATAGGCTGATTGAAGACGGTTTCCATCATTTGTCGAAATTATCTGTGACCGCTCTGAAGTCGACAATTCGTGTCAAATTCATCAATGAGCAAGGCTTAGATGAATCTGGAATCGATCAAGACGGAGTGTTTAAAGAGTTTCTTGAATTGACTCTAAAGAAGGTGTTCGATCCACAAATGAATCTGTTCTCGACAACTGCTACTGGAGTCATATATCCATCTCCGACATCTTCCCTTCATGAAGATCATCTCTCGTTGTTCACATTCGTCGGAAGAATGCTCGGCAAAGCAGTTTATGAGGGTATCGTAGTTGATGTTCAATTGGCACCTGTTCTTCTTGCTGCTGTTAGTTTTTCTTTTCACGTTCGGCTCATCATTCGAGATTGATGGCATTTCAGATTCTCGGAAGTCATCGACTTTGCGCTTTTGACGAACTTTCTCAACTTGACGCCGAACTTTATCGTAATCTGACGTTTGTCAAGAGATACGAGGGCGATATGACGGATTTGTCGTTGACATTCTCGATTGACGAAGATTTTCTTGGAAAAATTCACACGGTTGATTTAGTGCCAAGCGGAAGAACGATTCCTGTCACCAATGAGAACAAGTACATTTCGTGGTTCTACTTTCAATTTTTTTTCTGAAAAATTTCAGAATCGATTACGTACACCGAATGGCTCATCATCGGGTCTTCAAACGAACGCAAGAACAGTGTCGAGCATTTGTTCAAGGAATTCAATCGTTCCTTCAGCCAACTTGGCTCAGCATATTCGCTCCGCACGATCTTCAATGCCTCATAAGTGGACAAAACAGCGATATTGATTTGGATGATTTGAAACGACACGTTCAATATTTTGGCGGCTTTCATGGTAGTCATCGGCTCATTAAATGGCTCTGGGATATTCTCGAGAACAAATTTACTGCCGAAGAACGAAAATTGTTCCTCAAGTTTGTAACATCGTGCTCTCGTCCTCCAGTTCTCGGATTCTCATATCTCGAACCGCCGTTCTCAATCAGATGCGTTGAAGTGTCTGACGATCAGGATCAAGGCGATACGCTGGGAAGTGTTGTTCGTGGATTCCTCACTCTTCGCAATGGAACCACCGCTACTCGTCTTCCAACCGGTTTCGTCTATTTAAAGAAAGCATTTGTATTGTTTTGCATTTCAGCTTCTACTTGCTTCAATCTTCTTAAACTGCCAAATTATAACAAGAAATCATTGCTTCTGGAAAAGCTACGATACGCGATACACGCTGGCACCGGCTTCGAACTCTCGTGAACAACACATGTAAATACAAACCACCTAGTCAATTTCATACCTACTAAATTATGTACGTTCAATATTCATGTTCGTTGTTGCTATCACTTTCGCACGCGCTGAACTTAATAAATTCCGGGTTTAATCGGTTTTATTAAAAAAAACAGGCAAAAAAATTATAAATAACCGAATTTAATAATGCACCGCCTCATGTAGCCGTGGATTACAGAGAAGGACATTAAAAAACTATTTTAGACAAAACAAAAAGGAATAAAAACTTGTTTGAGTTATCGGCTTATTTCTTAAGCTTTGACGGTCTCCTTCTCCTGTTGTGCTGGTGGCTTCTGCTCCTGCTCTGATGGCTTTTCTTTCTGATCTTGCTGTTGTCCCTCGGAAGCATCACCCTTTTTTCCATTGCGGCTCTTCTTTCGGTTTTTTGTACGACGGTCAGCCTTCTTCACCGAATTATCCGCCGCATCGCCATTTCCTTTCTCTTCTTTCTGAACTTCTTCATTTTGTTCGACCCCATTTTCGTCTTTTTGCGCATTTGGAGCAAGTTTTCCTCGAGCACGACGTGGGCGACGTTTACGAGTTTCACCCTCACCGCTAAAAATAATGTAATTTAAAAAAAAAACGTCAATTTTTTAATAGCTATACTTCTCCTGTTGAGATTTATCTTGTTGTTCTCCCTCCTGGACTTGTTGAGGTCTGCTGTTTTGACGTGTGCGGTGCGCGAATCGGAAGCGACTGAACAATTGACGCGCAAAGCGTGATCCTTTCACATTTTCGCCGTTCGGACCGCTGACGTTAGCAGCTTCAAGTCCTTTACGTCCCTCAACAATGTCGAAAACGACCGGTTCTTTTTCATCCAATGTGCGAAGGTAAATCTTTATTAAACAACGCTTTAAATTGAATTTCTTTATTAAAATAGTTACCTTAATGGTATTCGATTTCACGATGGCGGTTTGATGGACGAAAACGTCCTCGCCTTCCTTCTCCTCTCCGTCACGAGCCAAAAAACCATAACGGCCTCTCACGGAGAACCATTTGACGTATCCTTTCACGCCGGACTCGACGAGCTTCTTGCTCTTTTGTTCTTCTTCAATCTTCTTCAATTGCTCTTCGTAAGGAATACGCGGCGCAAACTACAACATGTAGGTTCAAGGAAAGACTTTCATTAATTGTTATCACCTGTCTGCCGCGACCCCCACGACCTCGACCGCGAAATCCGCCACGCCCACGGAACGCGCGGCGCGTCGACCGTTTCTCGTTCGCCTCATTCGTGTTGTCGACGTTGAGTTGTTCCAACTTGTCGGTTACTTCGCCGACTGAATTTGAATTTTTTAAATTTTAAATCAATTTTCCCAATATATTGTAAACCTTGATCTTTCGGCGTCTCGACGGTGTTGCTGTCGTTTTTTGCCGACATTATGTCCTTCTAGGCGATGGTCTTATTGATGTTGCTGGGGTGAGGAAAATCCTCTTAGCCGATAGTTTGACTACACTCTGAAGAAGTAATTTTATGTAGCAATGTTTCGAAAATGTCAATAAATAGTCGGAAAAACTGATAAGTTCCAACGAGAGAAAATTTGATGGGCATATTTGTGAAAAGTTGGTCAAAAGGATTAAATCGGTACGGTGTTGATAAATTTGAATAACAAACCAAATATCGATTTGATGTTGAAAAATAACAGGAAAGTTGACAGTCGAACACAGTGATGTCATAGTACAAAAAACTAGCAGAAATCAATTACGGCAGTAAAAAACCCTACCGGAATGTTCCTCAGAGAATATAATATTATTGGTGAAATGTTTCTAGTAATCATGAAAACATTTGCCATAATAACAGATCGTGATAGAAGTTCTAGGCAGAAAAGAGTTATGAGTCACGAAGTAGAATAATCTAGAATAAAACAACATGTAAATAAAAAAAACCTTTTCGAAAACAATTAAATAAAAGAATATAATGCGATTGCACAAAATATTTCACAATTCTAACCGCCCGTTAATACGAAAATGGGAACTAAAATAAACGTGAGCAACGCCATTTTGAAAACAATGACAGATTCGCCACGCCCCATTTTGCAACTCGGGCATATTTTCCAGAAATCTAGTCCACGGCCACACTAAATATTTGAATTAATTTAAATAAAAATCATATTCAGCAAATCGCGTCATAGAAACGGCGGACAAACGATTCATATGAAACGGTCCCGAAAACAAATGGCTCCGTCTCTCAAAATCACACAATCTTTCAAATAAGTAAATAAAGTTTCATCAGCGATTCACCCGCGTTTCACCGAAATCAATTCATCCCCTTTTCTACAGAACGATTTGCTGATATTATGAAACATGTATATCTTTAATAATAAATATTTACGGTTTTTTTTACATAATGAATACATGAGAAACCCTAAAAATGAAATCAATAAAAATCTAAATTATTACTCAATTATCTTACGTGTTAAAATAGCAAACAGTGGTAGGAAAAATTGTCCAAATAAAATATTGGTTGGGATCTAATAATGAAACATATATTAGTCACTTTGAAAATGCGGATTTATTCTGTTATTTCGAAATTTTAATGGATCTATTCACGTAATAAAAAATGAAAAAAAATTTTTTTTCCAAAAAAAGATTGTGAAAAAATGCACATTCGAGATTTTCGTAAAAAAATACATTTCATAAATAGGTCTAAAATATTTGAAACATTTCGTTATCATTCATTATATTCTCTCGTAATTCGAGTCGAATCACATAACGCCTTCGCGTTCTTTTTGATCTATTAAAAATTATGCAGATTTATCTCATTTATTGAAAATATATAAGTAATAAATATTGAATTGAAAATCGTCAATTTCAGGACAAATGCGACCAGCACACGAACAAGTAACAAGAATAAGCCGGTCGAGAAAAGAATGGACAAGTCAAGAATGTCTCTCGTTGTCTGCGCTCTAGCCACCTTATCCTTCCGTTTTTGTGATATTTCTCTCATAAGCTCATCGATTCTTGCTGAATTAGGCACGAGTGCTAGTAGAAATGAATGTGCAGCGTTTTAAGGAGCAGTTAACGAAGAAAATGCAAAATCTCGGCGAATCTCTTAATTTGGATGATAGCGATGTTAAGGTGGATAAAATTTATAAAGCATTTTCAATAAAATTAATTAATTTGTTTAGATGGATGATATGAGCGAATATGTTCTTTCTCCATACGATGACCAAGGAGCTGGTTTAGACGATAATTATCAAAAACCAACTCAGAGCCAGGTAAAACGAATGGACAAAATCGAAAAAAAAGGAGTAAAATACATTTTGTAGACATCGACCCCAAAAAAAGTGCAACAGAGCAAATCTTCTGAAGAAGATGAGATCATTAATTCTATTGATGCTGCTTATTTCATTGACCACGATGAATTTGATGCAATTGATTATGAATTGAAGGTTTCAAATTTGTGCACAAAGCGCACAACATAGCTAATTATAGAGGCGAATGCTATGATTTTAATAAAATAAGTTTTCAGAAGCTTCCGGATGTTGAAATGTACTATGAGGACATGAGTAGAGAGCGTCTTCGGTTAAAATCTCAACATTCAGTAGTCTCGAAACGAATATCGAAATTAATTATGCAAAAATCGCCGTCATATAGTGGTCAAATTGTCGCAATGGAAAGTATACATGCCGAGTTAAGTCGAGTAATAACAAATGTTTTAAATATTCGGAAGTGAGTTATTAAATATAATAGAATTGCGACTGAACAGACTTATTAATCCAGATCGCTTTCGCTAGCAAAAAACCAAACCGAAACGTGTCTTGGTTTAATAGCAAATGAGAAGAAAAAGCGAATGCTTGGATCATTGAAAGACCAGCTGCTTACTATTAAAATGTTTTATGAATCGGAGCAAAGGATACGAGAAGTAATGGAGGTCCTAGTTTTTTCCTATCATTTGTTCTTTTTAATTACATTTATAATCATTTAGGCTGGAAATTTTCCATTAGCTATCCAAATGCTTATTGAAACTCAAATATTAGCAGCAAATTATAAGCATTTTACATGCGTCAAGTAAGTTTTCAGAGTTTTGCTTGACATTACAAATAGATGATAATATTAGTGACGTTATGGCAAAATTAGCTGGAATGAGTACGTTGATGGAAAACGAATTGAGTAACGCTCTTTGTGAGTTTGCTCTTGTCTATGATGAAATGAAATATGATCATGTTTATACGGCATTTGAAATGCTTGATAAATCTGCGGTATGTTTTAAATAGTCTTCTTCAAATTCAGTGGGAAGTGTTCAGGTAGTTCCAGAAAGATTAATTGAGTATTTCCATGATAAAATCGAAAGCAGCTCAAAAGCGATTGTACTCGATAAATTGAAAGACGGTGAGGAGGAAAACACTAAAAACGGTTTACCGTATTCGGTATTATGCGCGGTTCGTTTTTTTAATTTCATTTTTCAAATACGAATAATTTCTATTTAGCGGCTTGAGAATGAACAAGTTGTGATCGTATTTCGAGAATTGTGTTTCACCATTTATCAATGTTTTCTATCATTTCATAGTATTCTACGATATCATTCTGTTGATGCGACAAACGGTATTGTTTTTCGTTAATTATTTAATGATATTTTAAAATTCAGAAAAATCGCAATATGTGTACGACAAACTACTCGAATCTCGCCGCAATTTGTTTCTCGCTGCGACAAATCAAATACTGTATATGATTGAATCGCGGGATTTTGTCTATCTCAAATTTGATCATATTCTTGATATTGTTGATATGATTAATAGGTTTGTATGAACTGTTTTTTTATATTTCGAATTTGAATTTTTTATTTTTAAGGATTAAAAATATCGGGCAGAAATATTTTCTACAATCGTGTTCTTCTCTCATCACTGCCATCGAAAAACAAATATCCGCTTATTTTGTACGATATCATCGGTAAATTTTTTTTTTGCAAATTGTACATTATGAATTTTAAGCGAGAGAATGGAAGAATTAGGAATGTTCGTTGAAAATGAATCATTTGCAGTTTGTCCGGTCCCACCGCAATTTACTATTTTTGATCTACAAGTAACATCAAATTATACAACTTTGAAAAAATATAATTTTAGGATTTTGAATTTCTAAAGAAAATGCGACATGAGCAAGATATGGAAGATTTGAATAAAGAAGAATGTGTTCAAAATGAAATTTTAATGTCGACAGACAGTCCGAATCCATTTAGTCAGTCTAGTATAAAGGTTTTGAATTTTAAAAAAATTAAATAAAACAAATATTTTAGTCTCGTCATCAATCAACATACAGTACAAGATCAAATGAATCTAAACAGAGAAGTTATTCAACTAATTCTGAAGGAATTCCCACCGATAATGTCGACGGGAGGTTTATTTTAATAATTGGAGTTTTTTTTTTGAAAAACATCCGTTTTAGTCCGCGTCACGATCCTCTAGAGGACTCTGCATTTCATCAATATCCTACGCCATCGCCCAATCTCTGCAACACCGCATTAAACCTACTTCGCTTTTTCGGTTAATTATTTGCGCACAAAAACTAGTTATTTTTGAGTTTTTCGAGTTTTCTTTCCAAGATCTGAACCATACATATTTTGAATACGGATACTGATAAATTTTTAATTTATTTTATTCAGGTCGTTACATTCGAATGACTGCACTTTTGCCATCAATTTGTGATAAGTCTGCGCCTGCAATTATGGAATTGTACGAATTCTTTTTTGCATCGGTTCGTTTTTATTTTTATTTTTTATATAATCAACTAATAATTCGTTCAGATTTGTCGTATTTTTGGGGCGGATAATGCTGAACATGTTGTGAAGTCTGGAAAATTGAACGAATGTCTTGAATCAATTCATAAAAAATTGGTGAAAACCCAAGATCCACATCAAAATTCTCCGCTGAAAAAAGTGTTTTTGAAGTCCAACGGAGATGTAACGGCAAAAAGCAAAAAATATTAATAAAAAATGTGTCTATTTGCAGAATATTTACCCGAATTTATGTCCAGCAGTTCAAATCGAGTTTATCGACAATTTGTACGGTGCTTGTGAAAGGATTATTGCAATCGATTCAATGTAGTTCAACAAATTCATCAAACATCGAATGATATCAATATTCAGTGAATTCGTTTCGAGACAACTTGATTTGATGCGTCCTGTCATCGAATCTCTAATATCCTCAGAGCATCAAGAAGTATTATGCTCACAATTGGAGTATTTCTATACCAAAGTCAGTGAATTTATGAAATTTCGCCTAAATACGTCTGTCTAGGTTCTTCCATGCTCACATGAAGCCAAACTCTTCATAATAGACGCGTCAGTGACACGAGCAATTCGTTTGAAATCGATTATCGAAATGGTTTCAAACGGAAAGTGGGATATCAATGAGCTGAAGAGCCAACACAGTTCTTACGTCGATTTCATCATCCAAGATTTCGAAGCGTTCGCTTTAAGACTCAATGCGTTGCCAGAAAATGGCATCAATTTAACGGATGAAACGCGTCGAATATTTTGGAATCGCGCAATTTATTATAGCTTCAAAGCGCTAGTCCAAGGATATGGAGATGGTGGAAAATGTTCAACAGAAGGTCGCGCACTCATGCAACTCGATTTTCAGTATATTCTACTCAAAGTAAACGACATATAATGCTCAAAATATGTATATTCAACTCATTATTGCATATTTCAGTTAGAAAAACTCTGCTGCATGAAGCCAATTCCTCATTCTCCGTTTGTCGACGATTATATAAAAGCCTATTATTTGCCAGAAAATGGTCTTGAACAATGGATTAAGAATCATTCAGTATGTCGTGTTATTCTTTTTTTTCTTCCAATTTCCTCTTTTTGCAGGAATATTCTTCAAAACAGCTCATTTCCCTTCTAGGAGCCGCTGCTCATGTTAGCAAAAAAGCTAGAGTTCGCATATTGGATGCTCTAAAAGATTGAACAATTTCAATTATCGGGAAGCGTTTCATTTCAGCATTATTTCGCCACTTTGTCTTTGGATTTGCAGCAGGTTTCATTATGTGATAATTTCTCGTCAATATCTTAAAATTCATTTATTATGATCTCGTATACATAATAATTATTTATAATAAATTAATCGTATTACAGTCACATTTGAAAATTAAACTACTGAAATTAGGAGCATGAAAGAATGTCTCCGTGTTGATCAACAGAAATATTCGAAGTTCCATCGGAGACGACCATTCCTGATCGAGAAGTATGAATACGGTTGTCAGCACGCTTCACAAAACATTTGTCGCTATCCTGAAGATCGATATGAACGTGGAGAATGAGATGTTGAGAAAACTTGAATAGCCATATCAATATAGGTGGTTCGCAAATGGATTGTACTCCTTTTTGTATTGATGTCCATTCGAATTGGTTTCGCATCGATTGACACATCCCCAGTTACATGGTTACTCCGAATATGGATTCCTTGAAATAATTTTGAGTTATTAGTTGTTCGTCACGAATATACCATTGATGTGAATGACTATTGTCCCATCAGGCTTCATCGGCTCATATCCAGCCTTTTGCACAATATCACCACATTGTATAGCGGCTTTATGGCCCATTTTGGATTCGGCATACAGCTGATGCAACGAATAGTCGATATCCTTTATTGGAAATTCTGGTTTTTCAACGGCAACCACAGAAGCTTCTGCAAAACCAATGGTAAATATGATGGCGATAATGCTGACGAAACAAACTTTGTGTGGATTCACCCGAACTATTTACCAAATATGCAGTCGCGAGGTTTTGCATTGAGAATAGAACTCCTTCGGGTCCCAAAACGGCATACCGATCATTTGCGGCAACTGAAATCAAAAAAATTAATTCTATCAGTACTGATGCATACTTGCCAAACTTGCAATGGACATGCTCAATTGTGTGCACGATTGTTGCGAAGCGATGTACAATGCTCGAAACGTCTCCGGTCGTGTTCACGTACGCCATGAAATTGTTGTTGCTCACAACGCGGAAGCTGCGATCGACACAAACTTCGACGAGAAGCTCAGCGGTCAACGAGAGCAACATTGTGCCTTCTTGGGTGCGAGTGAGTAGTGGATACTCCACTATAGCGGGATTCTCGCTCCGAATACCCATAATCGGCATTGCAAGAGGATTCGAAAAGTTTTGATTGATCAATTCGAATGGAAACAGTCTTGCTAAACATTTTATTATTGTCCTAAAAAATTATTCGTTTTGAAACAAACGCTTTGGAGAACCATGAGGAGAAATTGAGCTGGTTTTGGCATCGGAAAGATAGCCCGAGGTGGGATTCCGGCGATTCCTATTTCGACGAGGCGAATTTTTCGGAGCTTGATTTGATACCGCATCTCGGGATGGAATATATGGCGGAGGTGCCATCTCAGAAGACGATAGTTTTGGCATTCCTCTGAAATGCAATATTAGGTACTACTGATGTAAAGTGGGAATCAGAGAACATACGGGGGAAGGGTTATAGGTACTATCACAAATTCACTATTTCTTCCATTATTCTGAATTTGATTTGATTTGATTTTTCTCGTGATTCATATCTCTAACTTTCCTATTATTGAAGGCCATAATATTCGGATTATTTGAATTTGGAGAACTACTAGATTTATCGGATGTTAATGAACAACACTGAAGAATCACTTACTTGGAGTTCGTACTGCTTTGCATCGGAAGTTATGAGCAAATGACCTGCTGCAGGAAAGACGTGGAATGATTGAGATAAACCACGATTCATATTTATAGTTTATCACGCTCTTCTCGAAAAAAAACCAATGGGATTCTTTTTCTGAATTTCTTATTTATTTATTACTAGCCGAAAAGTTAACGAAAAATTCACTACCCATAGATAACCGAATTTCGAAAATTGATTCACAAAATTTTGGCAAGCCTCAACCTTATTAGGGTAATCAAATGAAAAATATAAGATCAATGTTTTCGTTAAAAAAAAACAGATTTTCAAAAAAATTCAATAAATCTTTATGATCAAGGCTGGAATTTGACTATTGCACAAAAAAAAATTTCTGTGATCAAATCGCACGTGGTTTCAGTTCAGTTTTAATATACATATCACGATACAGAAATGTATAATAAACAAAGACGAATAGTGGAATAAATTTATTTAACAAAAACTGCAAAAAAATCTAGTGAATGTAAATTATAAATGTTAACAGATTAATTATTTTTCATGAAAGAACTATTAATTTACCAGTTGGATGAGAACAGCATGATGTTAATTCGGAATCAAAGCGCGTTGCTTGATCGAAGCACGCGTTTTTCTGTCTTCGGCACTTGCACCTGCAATTGCTTGCGGAGCTCATCGTTGTCATGTTGAAGCTTCTTCAATTGGATCTCGCTTTCTTTCAGACGATTTCGCATGTTCCAAATATAATTTATCTAGAAACTCTTGATGAAAAAAAGATCATGGAACCGACTAACCTTTTGTCCTTTGTTGTTATGACCTGTCAATGCCTGTAATTGTTCTGCGTCTTTCATGTGAAGCTCATTTAATGTGCTAATTTCCAGTTTGAGCTTTTCGAGATCATCATCATGATTTTGCTTCAAAATCCGCATTTTCGATTCAAATTGTTCGATGACATCTTGAACACGTCGCGCAACTTCTTCTTCGTGCTGCTTCACCAATTCCCTGAATTGAACATACAAGAATGAATTGAAGATCCCGAAAAATCCTACTTTCTCTCCTGTATCATCTCCATTCCCAACTTCTTCACTTTCTCATTATAGCTCTTTAAAGCGTTGGCCCGAGTTCTCTCATGCGCTGCTTGTTCCCGATCAAGAGACAATTGCAAATTCTTAACTTCTTCTTGTTTTCGAGCACGCAATTCCTCAATATCCCTGGTGTGCTTCATGCGCCTTTCCTCGACCATGCTTCTTAGCGAGTCAGCCTCACGCTAAAAAAAAACCAAGAAATTAGGCGAAACTCTATCATTACTCACCTTCCATCGTTCCACCTCCTCACTACTCTCTTCAATCTGATTCTGAAGCGCCTCTTTCAGTTCATTGGACTTGGTAGCAACAGCATTTTCAAGAGCAGCGATCGTTTTATCCTTAGCTTGAATGATAGCAGTCGACTTTTTCAGCTTTGTCTCATAATCGGCTAGTAGCTTTTCCTTTGACTTCTGGACGGATTCCAGCATTTTCTTATTATTCTCTTGCTCGTTTTCCAACGCTTTTCGATGCTCAACGGCAATTTCTAGCTTCGAATTCATCTTCTCTACAGTGTCTTCTAATTCTTTTGCCTTTCCGGCAATCTGGTTTTTCTCCTCAACGACTTTCTCCAGCTCCTTCCTCGTCTTTTCAACAACATCCTTCAATTCTCGCGCATCTTCCATAGCATTTTTCGAGTTCGCAACGTCGAGTGCAAGTCGATTCTTTTCCAATGTTGAGTTTTCGAGCTCCTTCGTCAGCTGCTCAACAGCTTCTTTCATACGTGCAGCTTCTTCAGCCGTCTTCTTCGAGTTCGAAACGTCAATCATCAATTGATTCTTCTCCGCAGACGTATTCTCGAGTTGTATCGTCAATTTCTTCAGCGCCTCATTTCGTTCCTCGGCGATCGTCTCTATCTGTTTATTTAGCTTCTCAATCTCATCCGTGTAATATTTTTGCATTTCTAAAATGAGTTAAATTAACTTCAATTCAGAAATAAATAAATCCTACTGTCGAGTTCTTTGCTGACATCCAAGATAGTCTCAGATTTCTCTGCCAACAACAAATCCTTCTCGTTAATCTGATCATCCTTTGATGCAATCACAGTCAGAAGTTTCTCCAGCTTATCACCAGCTCGGATGTGTTTGCCTTCCAGTTCGGCATACAACATCTTTTGCTCCTCAAGCTCATCAGAAATGGCGCAAAGTCTACAAATCACAAATAAGGTCTCACACTCAAATTCAATAATCTTACTTATCTTCCAATTTGGAGATCTTGGCAGCGCTTTCATTCAAATCGCCCATCTTGCTTTCAATAGTTTTTTTCAAAGTTGCATCTAGAGCCTGATTCTCGGCTCGCACCTGCTCCAGCTCATACATAATCTCTTTGATTTGCTCCTCACACTCTCCGTGATCCGCAACGACTTTTGTCGCCTCGGTTTTTGTTCTCGATGGTGAAGGAACATAGAGAGTCTCTCGTCGTGGATTCCGACTACTCCTTCGTCTCGGGGTTCGCAAAATACTCGCATTGCACAACGACTCATTGACAATCTCCGACAACCTTGTTCGAAGATCTGCGTTCTCAGTCTCAAGCTTCTTCATCTCCTCATTTTTTGCAGCAAACTCAAGGAGCAACGTGTTCATTCTTTGCTCAATGGTTTTCTGCTCGTTTCCGTCGAATCGCGAAGCCGTGTACTTTTTCAGCGTCTCCGCATCAATCTCCTTGGCTCCAAGCCCTTTCAGAAGCAAGATTTCGTACTTGGCCCGCAGCTCCATCATCTCCTTATTGCTGTTCAGAATTACTTGATGCTGGTTCTTCCTTTCAGTGTCCATATCCGCGAGGCGCTTCGCGAACTCGGCTCTAACTTTCGCCTCGATTTCATCATTCTCTTTCCGAAGAAGTCGAATCGCCTCCTTGTATCCTTCTTCCTTATCACCGCTCATGCATTCATTCTTTCGAATATGGTTCTTAATCATCGAGCAAGCCGCAGCGAATTGCAGCGTCGACGTGGTTTCCGCAAGGAATCTGAAATTATGAGATATATTGGCAACAAATTCGCAAAAAAAAGATTTACGCTCGGTCTGGATGCATGTTCACAATAACGGCAGTCTTCGAGTTTCCTCCCAGTGAATTCTTGAGAATATGCGTCAAAACCGAATCTCGGTACGGAATAAATGCTCGCGATTTTTCGGGTTTCGACAATTCTCGAATACATCGACCAAGGACAGAAAGTGACTAAAATCAATTTGAAATGCAATATTTAATTGTCTATTCGTACTCCATTGATATGAGTTGCTTCTTTTAACCGTTCACCTGACGCCTTCGTATGAGATTGTCTCTCCGATCCAGCAAGATCGACGAGATTCAGAATCGAGGTTCGAGTCGTGAGAATCGTTCCAGTCAACTCTTCTGTTCGAATCTGAACATCTAGCCCATTTTAAATTTATACAAATTGAAGCAAAACCTTAATAATCAGAAGCGCGTGAGATCTGGAAGAATCTCGATTCATGGCTGTTTCGCCAGTCTTCCGATTCTCCCATCCCTTCCGTACAAGGTTCATCAAATCGATGTAATTGTCGACGAATTCGCTTTGCACATTGTTGAGTTGTACTTCAACGCCAGTGTCCCGATAGCTAATCTTCTTTTGTTGAAAATCGAGCAGATCGAATATCACTTCATTGTAAATTTCAACGAACTCTGCGACAACTTCATAAGAAAACTTTTGGCATTCCTTTAAATTAGAATTAATTGGAACATTTAAAAATAAATGTTGACGTACCTTGCATTTTTCGTCTAATCTCGCGAACAAGTGGTTAACGGATCTTGGAATCAATCCCATTTTTTCACTATCCGTCCAGCTGTTAGCCGGCCCTAACATGGTATGCGTTTTCCCTGATCCGGTTTGTCCATAGGCAAATACGGTTCCATTGATTCCTTCAGCACAATCATCGACAATTTTCTTAGCAACAGTTGCGAAAATTGCTTCTTGATCGCAATCAGTGTCAAAAACTCGATGAAGATCTTGTATCTTTTCCTCTTTTCCTCCAAAACCCTCGCAACTGAAATATTGCTTTAATTATAAAAAAGACTACAAAAAGGAGAAAGACTTACTGGATTCGATTACTGTCGAGTGCTTTTACCGCGATGCAGCCATCGTTTGCCGATGGTCGCAACCGACCGTATACTTGAATATAATGAGACATTCTGAAAAAAAAACTGAGCTACGAGACAACGTTCAAAGTACACGCGGGAAAACAACATATATTAGGACGCAGTTCTATTTTTTTTTTGTTGTTCTCTGCAAATGTAGAAACTACGAAAAACGTGTGAATCGCCAATTAAACTGTTCATTTCATTTTTGATAAAGTTGTATATTTTAACAATAATTCTAGATTGTGATCTCAATGTTTAATCGTTTAGTGTCAATTTAAGATTGATTACAAGAAAGTAGAACAAAAGTAAGTACGGCTGACACTTGAGAAATCGCAAAAACGTTTACAACTTCTTGGTGAATTTTGCTAAATGCTACAGAAGTCACCAAAACCCAGGAAAATCGTTATTTCGCCGGATGAGTTAGAGAAGAAATTGCCGTCAATTACCGAGCGTAAACGTTCGATATTTAAATTTACTCAATTTCGTGCCGTGTCATTAGGGCGCAGATGCAGCATGTACAGTTCGACAGGAAATCAATCTCGACAATCCGTACCGGCGAAACGTTTATTTAACTGACGGTGTTTCTCCCGCTCGAATTGCTAACTCTGGTAACTCAAAACCAATCGGATCCGAGAAATTACCAATCGGATGCAATTACAAATCTTATCCGTAGAATTACCAATCAGATCGGGCTGATTCCGGAGCCGAATTTTGTCGGATCCGATTGGTTTTGAGTTACCATAGAAGGAAATCGCAATTACAAAGACGGTCATGTCCTAAGTGACGATTTGAATGGATATTTAGTATTCAATTTGAAAAAAAAAACGCATTTATAACTTTTTTTTTTTAAATAAATGAGAACTAACTAGCAAATTGCGACTTCACTTTAAGTAAACCAACTAAATAAAAAAACCGAAAAATAGTTTTTTGCTTAAGTTTTAGCAATTTTAGTTAATTTTTTACTAAACATATGACGAAAAACCCATTCGCCAACAGAAACCGATGTTACTGGAATAGTCGGAAAAAATGAATGAAAATCTTAAATTTTGACAATTTCTTTTTCGCTGCTTAATATTGTACTTAATCGTAAAATGAACTTTTTTAATGTAAAAATCGCATTTAATGTGCGTTTTTTTTTTCAAACATCCATAGGAATAATGTGTTATTTTTACAATTGTTATTGCATGAATTGGTTCATAAGGTTTTCCCCATATATCTTTAAAAAATATGGTATTTTTTATTGAAAAAACTTCTTGTTTAAGAAATTTAGCTCTAAGCCACGGGAAAAACTAACAAATTCCCGATGTCGGAAAATTTCCCGCTCATATTCGTTGCTGAGTATTTATATCAAAAAGTTTATTAATATGATATGTTACGGTAGTTTCAGAGTCTGTAAACACTACGACGTAAATCGACACCTACAAAAATCGTTTGCAAGAATTTTAATTTCCCATTTCTTTCACTATTTGTTTTCTCTATTACTCATTCTTTGTGAAGATTATTTAAAAATTATTATTAGTTCGATTTTTTTATTATTATCAGAGTTATACAACTTAAAATCTAATAATTCCTTGTAATTAATTATGCGCTTAAAAGCTTTTAGGTCAATACAGAGTTCTCAGGTAAATCGAATATAAAATATTTTGAGATTCATTGAGAAACTAACGTGTCAATTCTGTTTTTTAAAGGTTTCTTCCAAATTTTGCCACCGTTTCACTGAATGCAACGAAATTTTTTTGTGAACTTCTCGATCCAATTATGTCGCTTCATAGTTTTCGTTGAAATTTTGCAATAAGTAAAACAATTGAAATTTAAAAATAATTTTGATGAATTTACGAAAAAAAATTCTAGATGTTTTATCATTCCAAAATATTTAGTGAAAACGTTTATTAAAGAGCATGGTTGTTTTAGTTTGGTCTCTCAGCGACTAGCCTCAATTTCTTCAAAAGTAGACTATAAAATGAAAAATTGTTGAGATTGTCTACAGATACTTGCTCAATGAAGCAAACTTGCAGAAATCTTAATTGAGTTTCCACTAGTGCACTTTTTGTTTTGAAACTAGCTAAAGGCAACTTCCATTTGATTATTATCCCACATTTTCGCTTCTTACTTATAAATTTCGACAAGATTTTGCCGGATTTACCCACGTTTTCGATTTTATTCCGAAAAAGTTGTACTAACGCTTCAATGTTGGTTATCACCGACGATTCTCCGAAAAATTCGGAAGGGTGTGGTTGTTAGATTATCGGTTTTCAGATTCTTCGGAAACTTGTTTAGATTATTTGATATCACTTCGAAGTAAACGAAAACGTTTGATGGTATGATTGATTGACCAAGAATTGCGTTGAAAATGAAGTGGCCAATTCAGAACTTTGAACGGCAAAAATATCATAACGTCGGTTTTTACTGTTCCAGACTTTTTTATGGGATGTTGAAATTAAACAGATCCTTTCTATATATCCGGATTATTAGGATATAATCGCTTTAAATCAAAAATATTTGCAATCCTAGAATATTCAAAAAATTAATACGTGAATTCTTCCACAGCCGTTTTTCTTTGTTCCGTAACCTTTTAGATAAATTTATATTCGTTCTTCGACAGGCATGTGCGGAAAATTTCCGAACACTAAAATAATCAGTACAAAATTGTTTTCAAAATTTAAGATTTGGTTTCGTTCATTATGCGGGTTTCTAATAAATTTACTTCAGTTTTTGTTGGCCACGGTGTTTTTTGTCGTTTCTTGCACAAAATTAACTAAAACTTCAAAAAATCAAATGAAACCACATTTCCCGGAGTTTTTCACCGAGATAAAGTATTCCTCAAAAATTTCCCAACGTGTCTTTCCTCTCAAACCTAAATTTTACTTGTAAATGCTCCAATTATATCATGTTTATTTGAAAGTATAATATACGTATTGAAAGTTGTGTAAAACATCAGAAGTTTGTTTTTTTTTCATTTTCTGAAAATCACAAAACGTGCAGATGTTCTACATCTCCCGAAATATGCTCTTGGGGAGATGTTCTACATCTCCCCAAGAGCATATTTCGCCCAAAATGGTATTTTCTAGTGAAAAAAATAATGTAATGTCAGTTTGTTTTAAATAATATTTCGCTAGAATGTATTGGTTGCGAGTCATCTGACTAGTCCATCCATCAGTCCCATCACGTTCGTTCGTTTCCCAACCAAACCCGGCCAACTCATTTTTTTTGTCTTCACGCAAAAAAACCAGATGTGCAGCGCTCCTCTACTTTGCAACTTGTTAGTCAAAGCGTAATCATAAGAGCAATTTTCGGCATCCTCTTCGACCATTTTGCCAGTTGTTGTCGTCGCTCTTTTCCGTCTCTCCAAGTGCACTGATCAATTTCCGGTAGAGTGTTTCGGTTCGTTTTTTATTTATGTGTGTGTGTGTGTGTGTTGTGGTGGCCGGTTGCTTTCGCCTTCATTACTCTATGTTGCTGCTGTCGACTGGCTAGCTGGCTGACATGCTGGTCGTCGGTTCATTCTGTGGGCCGTTCGATGATGCCACTGTTTCTTGTCGCACTCCTTGGAATATGGCGTATATTATATATTGGCCGCTTGCTTTCTCTTTTTTTCTTCACTTTTGCGAACGATGAGGGAAAGGGGTACTCTACGCGCCCGCGCACACACATACACACACAGCAAGACCTCGAGCGTGCATGTTTTTTGTGTGTGTGTGTCGCATTTCTCGCGTGCGATTTTCTCTGTGCTCTCCGGTACGCGCGGTTTTTGCTGTGTTTCTTGCCTCGCCGTCCGTCGTCTTCATCTTCAAGACGGATGGCGGCGTGCGGGCCGTGCGATGCGAGGCGTCCGAACGCTTTCAACTATCGATTTTCGGATGTTTCTGTGCGTCTCTCTTTTCGTGTTTCAACAGAGGTTATCTGCCGATTGCACACACACACACATACCGCTTTTTGCGCCATTCGCCTCCCCTCTGCCTGTCCTTCCGCGCGAGATATTTTCAATTTTCATTAATTATTACAGTTTTATTTCTATTTTCTCTTGTTTCAGCTTTCAAATACTCATATCATTTTCATAAATTTATAATGTTTTGGACAAAAAATGAAACAAATTAATTTGTTTCGGCTATTGGCAAAAAAATTTTCCGAATATTTGAAATTTTTTATATTTTTATATTAATATTTTTTTTCGAATTTGAGAAAAGAATTTGTTTCCCTAGTGAGAACCTCGTAAACTCTTCTGTCCGTGTATTCTTGAAAAAGCATTGCCAATATAAAACCATGGGCGAATAAATACGGCAGTTAAGATTGATATCAGTCGAAGATTTATGGGAGAAACATGATCTTCCAGCGGTTCTTTGGTTGCTGTCCTTTTCAACGACAAATGATATTGTCTAATCTGTCTCTATCTCATCATTTGCTTCTTTACGCTTTTTTTCGCCGATTTTTTAAACTTTTAAACCTGCTAATGAGGCTTGCTGAAATATTTAACGGATTTGCTCAATGCTAACAGAAAATGCTTTTTTTACCCATCTTTCTTTTTCTAACATTTTCAGATAATGAAATGCGCCACTTTTGTGTTTTCTTACGAATTTTCAAAAAAAATTGTGTTCAATATGTATATTTCCGTGCGTGTAACTAAGCTATTCATCAAAGAATTTCCGTTTTTCATTCTCATCAGAAGACGAGAGTAGATCACCGAATGAGACCGCGAGTGTCATCAGCGGTTGAGAAGATGAAGAACATTCTCAAGTATTTTTTTTGGCAAATGGCCGATTGCTGTCGAAGTTCGAAAATCTGAAGGATGACATTCTAATCCCATTAGTGTATCATCAAACCTCGTTGTCTTTCTTTCTTCATAATACGATTTTTGATTCAGTGCACAGAGCCAACGAAAGCAATGCAAATATAAGCAATGCTAGTGGAAATTAATTTTCAGTGGGCGACGATTCGAAATTAGATGAATCGAAAATAGAATCATTCATTAAACCCGACAAGACATCATACGGTAGTGTTGAGTTCGTTTTGCATCTCAGAAATTGATTGCGTAACCGATTCGGGCGTCGAGAAGTGTTGTAGTTTTTTTTAATTCGACGACTGCGTTCTCGTTCTCTTCTCGATCAAACTTATCACTTGACCGATGTTATCAGCAAAAGATAGCCTGCAGCAATGCCGCAGCTTTCACCGGCATATGTATTTTTTTCTCGTTTTTCAAAATCAATTGGTTGTGTTTCTTTTGGTGTTGCAAAAAAGACTGATGTTTGTTGTTGTCGATCGAATGAACAAAGAGGGCACGAAGGACGCGCAAATCGACGTTTTTTTTTGAATTATTAGTTGTTCAACTAGGCGATGTTCATCTTATTACATTTTGTGTTTTTTTTACCAGTTCATTCATTCCAAATTTCGCTATATTCAGAAAGCTTAAATGCATGACGGACAATTGTGATAATGAAAACGCTTACTACGTAGTATTAATAGCACCTATTCGGTATGTAATCGCTCATTTTTCATCGCAACTATTGTCGGCGTCAAACGACTTGACGAAATTTTAAAAAATATTGGCTAATTGCCAGATTTCTCGAGGCGATGAGAAGTGTATGTGGCATACACTTTGCAGCGTGTTTTTGCGCAGCGTGTTTTTGGGCGCGTTATTTTTTTTTGAGAATTTTTCTGTATCTCTTTTTTTATTAGCCAATTTCTTTTATTTTTACGGTTTATCTTACATTTTTATAATCGCTGATTGATAGTTTTAAATTTTAATATATTTAAAGGCATTTTTTAATTAATTTGACATTGTAAAAACTTATTCTTGATCATTTTCCGTTTCCTAATTTTTAGTACATTTTAGGAAACACAATCATATTGAACAGGAGCCGAAATACTTTGACATCTACAAAAGTTAACAAGACGGGTATTTATTTTATTTTTATTTAAAATTGTCATTATTTTATCATTATAGTTGCAGCGACTACAATGGCATCAAATATTGAACCCTTCGCGCAACCTCGAAGACAACCTCCAACAAACACAGAATTCTGAATTATATGCTCGCCTCGGTACATCACAGCTTCATCAATACTAGGGAAAGGAATAAATATACTCAATGACTTCAAGCTTCTTCCGAAAAGTACGTTATCATTGTTTTAATTTTTGTAGACTCAGTTTTCTTTTTAATTTTGTATTTAATGTGAAGTTATTACTAGTTTTAGGCGATTGGAATCAACACTCGTTTGGCTTTCGGTTATAAGTTTCAATTGTGCGGCGTCTTGGTACATTTCGAGAATTCTCAATTAATCGGATGACTTTCCCCTTTGAACAATAATTTTCATACTATTTTTACGGTAAATAAAACATTGTTGTGGTGCTCTTAAGATATTCGATAAATGTACGATTCTCTCGTTTGTTTAAGTAAATGCCGTTAGTTCCGTGAACTTTTACGTATATATGGAGGTCGACTCATTATAAGAATGCAAATGACAATGGGTATCAGGATTAAAACACGCATAACATTTTTTTTAATATTAAAAAATCGAAAAAAACCATTTAATATTTGGTCAGCGCGTAAATCTACCCGCTCGTAAATCTACACTGGTTACGATATACTGAAGGCCACGCCCCCATCAAGTCGTTTGACGCCGACAATACGTCGTAACTCGTCAATTTCCGTTTATCGACAAATTTCCGATTCGTCGTTTTCAGGAAATAAGGTCTAAAAATAGTGTAGTCGCCATTTCGTAGAGTTCAATCTGACTAATTGCTTGAAATTATACGCTTCTAACTATAGATTATCTTTGCGGAGGCTTTTGGATACGGGATTTATTCTATATCGCGTTGCCCTTTCATATCAACATTGTGAACTGATTAGGTTTCCGTCACTAAATTCGGTTTTTGTTTGTTCCATTTCATTTAATTGAATTCGGCGTTGCAAAACAATTTGGGGGATGAATAAAATTGTGAATGCAATTTGCCATTGATTAAGTCCCAGGGACTTATCAAAATTTCGACGAAATGTGACCGACCATAATATCTTGAAACTCTCTGCGCTAAATAAATATATAAGTTATGCTCATGAAATCGATTTTTTGAGTGGCAACGCCGCTCCAGCTAGCATATTATTAACCACATGCCACGCCCACAGGCTCATTCGAAAAATGTCGCTTATCGCATTATTTTTGTTTTTCGATTATATTATTAGTTCTCTTTTAGAATTTTCCATGAGAACTTCCAAATGTAATAAAGGAGTACTTGGGAGAGATGTTCTAAATTCTCTTTGTTCAGCGTCGTGTGCGTTATTGACAATTACAAATCCATGGAATAATTCCATTTTTCTGTTTTGACATGTGCTCAAACCACACAAATTTCACAATATTTGATTTTATAATACATATTTAAAAAAGGCTAGTTATTTTTGAGTGACCATCCGATTCTCCGTGTTCATTTCAATACGGGTCTTCGAGTTTATTAGGTCTATTTGCTCTTGATAAAAAAAGTGCAAAATCATTAGATTGCACTCGTTCGTTTTCTCGCCCTAAATGATTCCAATTATGCGAATTTGCAGGTAGCATTCATTCTTATTCGTTTTGTTTTTGTTATATCAGTCGTCAGTTAAACATTTTAACGAAGATCGAAAGAAAAAAGAAGACGAAGAAAATAATCGCGTTGCGTATATTCATTTTTTGTATAGTCGAGTTCAAGTCGCTGAATCGTCGATTCTTTTATTAGAAATGGAATATTTCCAATCAACGCCAAGCCAGCAGCAAGGCGGAGGCGCGACTGCTGCCAGCAACCAACGACAACAGCACCAGTATCACTACAACGGGCTCAATTCGCAGCAGGTTTGTTTTATATCTATTTTTCGTCCCCCACTTTTTCAATTTCACTTTTTGTTTCACTTCCACCTGAATGTCGTCTAATCGGCGCTGACTTTTGAATTTCGCGGGTTGTTTTGTTTTTGATGTCGCGCGAAATTCAAAATCAGCCTGCGCATCTAAATGTTCACCTCCTCTTTGCACTGAATGCTGTTTCTTTTTTTTTAACACGAAATACCGTATTTAATATAAATAATAAATGCGATTGATTTTTCCTATGATTATTTTGAAACCATTTGTCGTAGTAGTTTTCGTTTCGTTGCACAACCACTTACAAGATTTTTAATGATATAAATAATCTGTCAATCTTAAATATTCGCCAAATGTTATCAGGAAAATATGATTTTTAACGTTTTAAAGCTTCAATCCGATTAAAAGAGAGAAAAAAGATCGAAAACCTTGCAAACGAATTGCACTTGTGGTCCAAAAAAACATTTCGAAAACCAACGTAACCGGAATAATTAATTTCCGTTCAACGCTACAAAAAATAATTGAATTTTTTTCGATTTTGCCTCATATTTGATATAAACTCGCCTATTTTTCCCGAATGTTTACAATTTTTGAGTTTTGTTAATCTTCTCTCCAATTGAGAAATTTCTCGCCCGTCTCGAAAATCAATATTAAAAATTCGTTGTCAATTTTTCCTGTCAATATTTTTTGTTTTCTTCTCATATTCGATATTTGTCGTTGTATTTTTCATTTCTCTTTTTCTTCTACTTCTCTTAAAAAAAGATTTGGTGGACAGTTTTTGTTGTTTTTTTTTTTGACTGGACCCCTCCCCATTTTTTCCTCCGCACTGGATGCATTTTCATTTAGTTTTTGTGTCGTCGCACCGAAATCATTCTTTTTTCAGTTTTTCACCGAAAACACTTTATTGCAGAACTACGGCGCGAATCAGTCGCAGTCGAATTCACACTTGTACTATCAGCCGACTCAGATGAACAGTCAGGCACAGAAGCAGCAGCAGCAACCACAACAGAGCCATTTCTATCCGCTTCAGCCTGCTTCGGCAACAGCACCTCTCGATCACGGAGCACAGCAGCAGCAGCATCATACCTCAACAGCGTACCATCACACTCCTACCTCGCACGCCGCCTCTCATCATCAGCAGCATCAGCAGGTAGCTAGACAATTAAAAATAATAATGGTCAGCTAAGATTCTCATTTTTAGACAAGTCACGCAGCCACTGGTTATCACGCAATGCCTTACCATCAACAGTTGCAGTCGCAACAGCAGCACCAACAATCACATGTAGCTGGACATAGTCCGTATTCGACAAACCAACATCAACAGCAGCAATCACAACAGCAACAACAACAACAGCAGCAGCAGCAGGTAATTATGAGTATTCGCCTAGAGAGGTTTTCAACGAGATGCAAATTTCTTGCGCACAGAATTAGCCTTATATTGTATCGGTGTACATCGCTCTAATGAGATCTTATTTCGGAGAAAAATATCGCACATGTCTTAAGAGTGATTCATATAATAGCTGCCTACTACTGCTATTTTCCAACACAAAAATTGTACTTTCTTGAAATTTTCACGTTTTTCAAAATGAATTTTTTTTTCGTTTTTACACATTGTTTTTATAGCTTATTTGTGAACCTAAAAAATTGCGTGGGTTTAATAATGGGTTACAAATGAGTCATATATATTTATCGTAATTTAGAATAGTGTAGAAATTAGCTTTTAGTAGTATTATGGTATTATGCAGATTTTCCATAGAAACATTAGAGATGTCGCATTTTTAATTAACAAATAGTGGGATGAAATGAAAAAAATTGAAGAAAAGAAGAATGACGCGGTTTTTCATGTAAATGTCATAAGTGTCAGTCTATCGCGAGTAAAACAAACAAACAAATATTGTTCGTTTTCTAGACGAAGCACGAGAGTTTTAACTATCCGAAAGAATTATTTAATGGGGAATTGCAGTATCATCAACGACGCCCTCCACTTGGATCCTTGATGACCGGCGGACAACAGCAGCAACAGCAGCAGCAACAACAACAACAACAGCATCAGCATCAGCATCAGGCACACCAGCAAAATCAGCATCATCATCATTCGCAGCATCAACCGCAGCAGCATCAATCGTTACAACAGAATCACCAGCATCCGCATCAGTATGGACAGCAAATGCATCACCACCCACATCATCAGCAACAGCATCATCAGCAGCACCAGGCCCAGTTGCCTCAGCAGCAGCCACAACAGCAAGTGGCTGTTGCTGCGGCGGCGGCGGCTGCTGCTGCGGCTGCTGCGGCTGCCGCTGGACAACATGCAAATGGGCCGGCTGCCAAATTCCCAACCATGATACCTGGAATAAATCCGGCTCTTATGATGCAAGGGATCCCAATCACTGGGGTGAATTTGTTCCTGTTCGATTATAATTTAAATGATGAATTTTAGGAGTTGCCACTTCGCATTCTTGTCGATTCCCGCTATATTGGAGCGATCATTGGCCAGGGTGGGGCGCAGATTCGCGAGATCAACAAAGAATCACGAGCTAGAGCCGTCGTTGAGACGCAGAAGAATCACAAAAGTGGACATGGGGATGAGGAGAAATTGATTGTTATTTCGGGAAATTCGGAATGTTGTTCGAAGGCCGTTGTCAAGATTTTGGAGATTATCCAGCGCGAACAGAACAAAGATGATACGGAGCAAGTGGAACTCAAAATTTGTGCTCATAATCAGCTTGTTGGTCGGCTCATCGGAAAGCATGGGACGACGATTAAGCAGATAATGAAGGATACCGAAACAACGATTTCTGTGTCGAAGTAAGATTTTCCACAATATTTCGCTTGAAAACAAAACTTGAATGGTGTTTAATTTGAAATGTTTAGCTCATCGAGTGATGCAACTCGTACGAATGGCACATTCCCTCCATTTGATATTGCTCCCTCTGAACGTACCATTTACGTTAGAGGACCCACAATTGAGACTGTTTCGTGCGCTGAGTCAAAAATCACCGCCAAATTGAGAAAATGTTATGAAAGTGATGCACGTTTTAAGGTTTGTTTTCTCAAATAATAGTCCAGTCGAATTCGATCGATTTAGATCCAAGCACTTCAAAAAGACTTGCAGTCGAATATGGCGAATCCGGCAGTTATTCAACAAATGGCCGCTACAATTCATCATCCATTCGCAAATCTTATGAGCAGATTTGCTGTCGACACTGCCAACCGAACAGTTCGCATGTGGGTTCCCGATAATATGGTTGGCGCCATTATCGGCACAAAGGTAGATCACAAATTTTCGTATTTTCGAAATTGAAATTGATTTTAAGGGCAAGAATATTAAGAATCTTATACGCGATACTAGCGCACAAATCAAAATCGATTCATCTCCTGATCGCAAGAAATCCGATGAGAGTTCTGGATCATCGGAACGTCACGATTTGCTTGAAGATCAAGTATCTGAGACACCAGCCACGACGACCGAATCCGATGAATCGCAGGATTCGAATGGTGAGAAACCAGAAGAGGAGAAGAAAGTTGAAGAGCGGATGATCACAATCAGTGGAAATCACATTCAGGTGACACGAGCTCAAATAAGTATTTATTCGCGACTCGCCGAGCAGATGAACCAGCCTATCGATGAGGTTTGATTCCTTTCATTTTCCGGTTTTTACGATTACTATTTTTCAGTTCAAATTGAGAACGGAAATTTCGGTTCCGTCAAAATTGATTGGCAGAATTATTGGAAAAGGCGGACAGAATGTTCGCGAACTTCAGCGAATTACAGGTGCAACTGTCAAGATTCCGGAAGATGAACGACATTCGTCTGGGGATTCATCGATGTTTAAAGATAAAGAGGGTTAGTTTTTATATTTATGGGAATTGAATTAATTAATCAATATTCTAGAAGAAGATATGACTGTGGTTAGAATAATCGGCGCAATGCATCCATCGCAGAATGTTCAGTACCGGCTGCAGCAGCTCGTTGTGGATTACATCGCGAATGAGAAGAAAACAAAGGAATCATCATCAGCTAACACTTCGGGTGGTTCAACCATTCCAGCTGGTAAGAGAATTCAAATCTGACGTTGACATATCAAACGATTCGTTTCAGACACCGCCTACCCTCACCAAACGCCCGCGGTGCAACAACCGTCACCGAAGTAACTCTAATTGCGTTTTGAGCGCATTATTTGTCTCTAATTGGGTATACCATCGACATATCCGACGCGTCGTGTAACTTCAGTTGATTAGGTGATATTTTGCAAAAGAAAAAGATAGTAAAGTTGATAACCCGAGTGCCAAAAATAAGGGTTTTCCTTTCGTCGAATGATTGAGGAGAAAATACATTCATTTTCTAATTCTTGGTTGAAACACAAAACGGGTGCGCGTATTGTATTTATTCGATGTCGTCGTCGTCCAGGAGTCATGCTATTCTCTCTCTCGTTTCTTTCTGCTTCTTCTTCTCCCATGTTCTGCTGTTCCCAGAATTCTGACAGTACAAATTCCCGCCGCTCGCCGAGTTCTTGTACGTTTTTGTTTGTTTTTTTTGTTGGTTTCTTTCATTCATTATTCTCCAAATATAGTTCGAATGTTTAACGTTTTCTTTCGTTTTTCCCAAAAACATTGATTTCTCAGTTTCCCCCTGTTTCTTATTGTTTCTTTTTTCTCGCCCCATAGATTATTATTATCCTTTTTCTTTTTTTAGATGTTGTTCGTTTAAACTAATAATTGATATAGTTGATAGAGCCTTCGACCTTTTCTTTCAAAATTCGACCGAAGCGGCGGCGGTTGATTTTTAATAAGTTTCGCATCTGAAATATTCCAATTTTACAGCGCAGTTTGAAAAGGAAGAAAAGGTCTTGCCAAACGATTTCCATACGATAAAGAAAACATTATTTCGCATTTCTCCCCGTTTTTCGTAGATTATGTATTTTGTTGTCGCGAATAAATGTGTTTATACATATCATTGTTAATATTTAACAATTTTCTGCTAAAGTTTACAATTTAACTTTGAACATTCTTTGAAAGCGGAAACAATATTGAAGACAAACAATTTTAGGCCGTCAAAAGGGTCTAGAGGCTGGAAATTATAACATATTCCATAAAAACGAAATAAATTCGACGTGACATAACTTATTTAAATTATTTTTAATTTCAATATTTTGATGAATACGATGAGACTATGGTTTCTCATATCGCTAACATGTTTTGTCAATTCAAAAAGCCCAATTGATTCTCTTGTACACAAACCAAATTTGATAACACAAACCTCAATCCTTTCTGACCACGAGAAACTCAATGATGATTTCCATAATAGTTCGAATCCAGCTTCTACTATCCAATTAGCATATGTCACACCGGTGAGTCTGTTAAAATCAAACATTTATCAATCGAATCATCTTTTAGTGGAATAATCGCGGCTACGAATTGGCAAAATTGACAGCTCACAAATTATCCCATGTTTCGCCTGTTTGGTTTCAGGTCAATTATTGTCGGCATCAAACAATTCACACCGCAGATTTGGGAGTGAATACAGAAGCGAAATTAATTTATCCCGTGCCATAGTACTGTACACATAGACATGTTTACTGTGCATACACTTTTCGCAAAAATGCACAACTCCCAAAACTTCGGTGTGGATTTCATTGTTACGTAATGGGTGCCATCGCAAAAAAAGAGCGAGTGCCTTGAAGAATTGTGGACCATCGCACTTTTTCGTAAAGGACAAACCGTGGTTTTTTTTGTATAAACATTTTGGTTCCACCGGAGTTCCCAAAAACTGTCACTGTTTGTCCCAAATTGTTTTTCCCTAACAGTACGATACTCCATTCACACATCACCCTCAATTTAGCGATTTTTTTATTTCGACTATTGTAATTGAATTGTTTCCCTGTTTGTCCCAAAATTGTCCGTGGGTTATCCAAAACCAAAAAATGTCTGCTGCTTGTCCCAATCAAATCACTGATCCGGGTTTATAACGTAAAATTGGCCTCAGGACATATGTCTGAATTTTGGACACGGCTCACCGCAACTCACGTGCGGTCAAGAAAAATTGGTCGACACTTTCAAAAAGCAAAAATGCAAGTGTGGCACACAAATTCTGAGATATACTTCAACTGCGGCACACTACCACGGACTAGTTCTTAAAATTATGAGTGCGCTTAGTCATTTTTTCTTCATTCTCACGAAAATGTAACTTTTATTTTAATATTTAGCTTTTAAAATCGTAAACACACTCAATATATTCCTATTCATTTAGTCTATTTAATTAAATTAACTAATCCATCAAATGTGACCGTGGCCGAAACCAATTTTAGAGGACAATTTTTCTAGGCCGCACGTGAGTTGCGGCGATCCGTGCGGTTTGTCTAATTTCTGTTATAAGAATAGACATTTTCAATGAGCCTATTAATGAAAAGCAATCTTTTTCAGAAAAAAATGCCGAAAATTAAATTAAATTAAAATTTTTCATAATCTTGTAATAAGAAAATCTAACTTTTTTAAAACATCTTTTATTAAATGAATAGGTCGTTAAGTATGCGCAAAAGTTGTGAATGCTTCCAGCAAGTTTCAGAAAATAAATAAATGTTTCCAGATAAAACCTCAATATGAGGAAGGAGTTTTCGAGACATGTAGAATTGAGGGTGCTCACGGAATAAACAGAGGTTACTCGGAAATACCTATATTAAGTTTTGAAATTGAAACTGGTTTTAGATTGGATAAATTTGCTCCGCCAGAAGAACAAGAATATTAGAATTGTTCCGCGACTGATTTTTGACAATTGGTCGAAAAATGAAATGGACGAATTTCTTGTAAAAACGCAACTTACAAAAAAGTGCATCAACACGGCTGCCGATTTTTATCAGGTTTAATCTACTGTTCATCTATCATTACTAATTCATAATATTCTTTTGAAGAAGAACGAGTTCGATGGGATAGTTGTCGAGTTTTACCTTCAAGCAATAATGGTCGAAAATTCGATGGAAGCAAAATTGTAATTGGTCATTTTCTGAAACTATATGTAGTTGCGAAAAATTTAAGGTATATTATCGAAACAATGGAAGAAATCGCTGATATATTCCATAAACGGAATCTTGAGGTGATTTTCACAGTGCCTCAGCCTCTTTTTCCAACAAGATCGCCTAGTATGATCATTGAGCCGCAAGAATTTAGAGAAATTGCCCAGTTTGCTGACTATGTTCAGGTTAAACTTTTCATTTTTTTAAACCATTGTTTGAATTTTAAGGTGATGACTTACGACTACAATGGGGATGAGCGTGCTGGAGTTTCGCCATACAATTGGGTATCTTCAAGCGTTTGAATAACTTTTTAAATTCGGTGACTTTTTTAGTTTAAAGAATGCATTTCTTATCTTGGAAAAGGTGGCAAATCAGAGAAATTACTCTCCGGAATTAATTGGTATGGATATGAATATACGACTCGCAACGTTCAACCAATCATCGGAAAAAAGTTTTTGGATATATTGTCCATGTTCCAAGATCTTGAATTTAGTTTTGATGAGCACGAAATAGAGCATATTTTGTCAACACCGTAAGAATAGTTTCTCTCAAATATTTTATGCTTAATTATTATTTTTATAGTGAATCGATTATTTATTATCCGTCGTTGACATCTTTGGAAGCCCGAATGAAATTTGCCCGAGAAAAAACTGGTGGAATTGCAATTTGGGATTATGGCCAAGGATTGGATTACTTTACTAATCTTCTTGTCTAGGTTAATTGTTTTAGAACTTTTTTTGTTTCTATTTTATTCGGCTTTCTCCTTGTTCCTTTTGCTTTAAATGCCATAGTAGTATTTGCTCAAATTCAATTTTAATTTTATTTAATCGATCTTTCATTTATTTCGCTTTTTTCGAATTGTAGCATTTTTTTAATAATTTATTGAAAATCTTTCTATTTGATCATACTTTTAATTCCGCATGAGTTCGTTTTAATTTTGAAAAAAAGCATCACAAATTGATGATTTTAGTATTTTTGTTTTCAAAATTGCGAAATGATTGAAAAGCTCGTGAATGACCTCAGTTTCGAAAATTGAGGTTACTGTTTTGCGGGAAAGCCTTGAGACCCCCCGGAAAGGACGCAGAGGGCAAGTCCGGCTGACCTTGAAGGCGAACGTGCACCGAAGGATTGTGTGCGGAAGGAGAGACGCAGAGCAACGCCTCGATGCCAGTCACTGACGCGCACCGTCGCCGTGCTGTTTGCGTCTCCACGAGAGTATGTGGTATCTCTGCGCGCCGTCAACGGGTTTTCGCCCAGTTCTTCGACGTCCGCCACGCCAAAAAATGAGGAATTTGCACTCAATTTTTTTGGCACACTAATATATCTTTTTGCGGTTTTTTCGTTGTTTCTCACATTTTGTTATCGCGATGGTCCATAAATAATTTTGTTTCCATTTTTCTACGTTGTACAAACGATGATAGAAATGGGTCAACACGATTTTTCGAAATTCGACCACCTGGCTCAATTTCACATCACATTTTGTTTTCTTTTTTTTCCGTTTTTCAGCGGCTTTTCAAGAATTCGCATTTTTCAATCTTTATTTATCGAGAATGAAAGTGCTCGCTGGTTTTTATTTGGTTTATTTTTTTCTATTCGAACCAAAATATTGTAGTCGCGTTGTTTGCACGATTTGTCTTAACAAGTCATGTTGATTTTATGCCCCGCCCACAAAAAATGGTTCCTTTAACTAATTCCTTACGTATTTTCATTTGACTCTAAAAAAGGACCGGCTGGTTTCTTTCGAATTCCACAATTTTAATTATACTAATTGGTTTCATTATTTATATTATATTAATAAAGCTTATTAAATATTTTAATATTGAGCTTATCTATTACGGTAGGCCTAAAATTTTTCGAATAGATTTGCTAGAAGAAATACTTGCATGATAAACGTTTATCATCTTGAGCTTAGCTGACATAAGAACTCTTCTCTGATATCATAGTTTCTCACAAACAAGCCGCGTTCGTTGCGTAATAGTTTTTTTTTCGCCTATTATATGTTTTTGCCGGAACGCGGCGTCGATCTCGGCCAGAGGCGTCACCGCGAGCCCCCCCGGCACCGGCTGGCACCGCGCCAAACGGCCCGCACAGCCTCTCGGCGTCTCTTGCGGCGAGTCGTTGTTGTGCGCACTTACTCGCATACACAAATACATACGAGTTGAACTGCATTGAAGAAGCGGCCCAGCAAAAAAAAGAACGTTGAAATACATAAAAACGTGATAGAGACGAAGACAATCGCGGTGCGCATCGAAATTTCTTTTTTGATAGGGTCGCGATTGTTGTGAAATCCTCCTATCATCCTTACCTTGACCTACCTACACTTTTCGACTCATTGCTTGTTTGTATTGTTTTTTTTTATTTCGATCAATAGATTTTTTGTTTTCAGAATATTTGAACTGTATCTAGAATCAAAGAGCAACGTCCAATTTCGAGAATGAGCGGTGCGGTACGCGCCGGATTACTGATCTGCGCTGTGATCGCCATCGCTGAATCGCAGTATGATAATTGCTTCGATGTTGAGTCGACGATCAAAAGAATTTTAGATCCTAATGATACGGTATCGTTCATGCTCTTTAATTTCTTTAAAAAATGTTTTTAGACTGTTTGTATTTGCGCATACAATGGAGCAACAGTAGTTAAAGGAATGGACTTGACGTAATCGCGTTTTTTTTAAATTCATCGATCATATTGAACATTTCAGGTTCACACAAACCTCAGTTCAAACGTTGATTGATAGCTTTGATGCTCTAAATGGAACCAAGTTTGGAAGAATTCGCATCAAGAATTCTTCTCTCAATGAACTACCGGAAGATATTTTTGAAATCGTAAGTCATTCCGATACTGCGTTCAATAATCCATGAATGCGCATTTTTTTTTGAGTTCATCCGATTTTCGCACCGTTAACAACATAGGTTTTATATGAGTCTGCCGTAGTCAGTTGTGCGATAAATCGACCTCATTTTTTTTGCAGGTTGAGCCGCAAGAACTTATCCTTGACACTTGCGAATTAAAGCATCTGCGCGTTTCCCCGATGGGAAATTCTGCGCAATATCTCAAGAAGCTTATCGTTAGAAACAACACTATTCATAGAGTCGAAAGAGGATTTTTTGCTGGAATGAAGAATCTTTATAGATTAGATTTGTCTAGTATGTTTTTTTTTATGCTGTGCGGAAATTTTTCGTTTTTTTTTCAGATAATGACATTTCGTTGATTGATGCGGACAGTTTCCAAGATTTAAGAGAACTTCGCGAGTTGTTCATCAATCGAAATTTTATTTCCGACATTGAGGATTTCACATTTTCGAAACTCAAACACCTCAGACAATTAGTAATGCTTGATAATACGTTGAAAAGCATCAAAAAGTAAGAAATTAACAATACGGTGAATTAGGTGTGATATTACGAGTTATAGGAACACTTTTGCTGGACTTGATAACGTGGAGATGCTTGTTTTGAATAGTAATCAGCTGAACGAAATTGATTGGACTGCGTTTTCGAACATGAAAAAGCTGAGTGAGCTGAATCTGGGAAAGAATAAAATCTCCAAAGTCGAACTCAAAGGACTGCCACAGCTGCAAAAGCTTTATGTTCCTGACAATCAAGTTAAAGCAATGAAAAATGTGATGCTCAGGTAAGAATTCCCAATATTAAAATATGTGTAATAGAAAAGTGCAAAAGTATGCATCGATTAATTTTTTTTACAGAGATCTTCCATCTCTTAGTTTATTGGCGTTGGATAAAAATGGAATCAAATCATTGGGAGCTATTGCATTCCAAGGACTTAGCAAATCGATCGGTTTGGCAACCTTGTCGCTTGCAAGCAATAATATCAGCCAGGTGAGAAATCATGTCATGTCAGTAACGTTGTATTCGTATTTATTTCAGATTTCCCATCGAACATTCACCGTTCTGCGAAATTTGAAAACTCTCGCCCTTCAGGAAAATGAAATTCAAAATTTAACAGTTGGTAAGGAATTCTCTTTGCTTGAAACGATTTTTAAAATTTTTATTTTTTTTTGCAGATGAAATCTCATTTCTTGCTCCGCTGAAGAAACTAAAGAATCTTTTCTTGTCGAACAACAAACTGACGACAATTCGGATCAATGAGTTACCGAATTCATTGGTACAATTATCCTTGGATCACAATTTAATTAATAGAGTGAGTTTCTTATTTTGAAAATATTTTTCATATTTTTCATTATTCTAGATTGAACCGAAGGCGTTCGACGGTTTATCATTAAAGCGGCTCTACATTAATAAGAACAAGATTCAATTCCTCTACCACGGTGCATTCGACGGAATGACTCCGGATAATTTGGAGGCTATTGATGTTTCCTGTAAGTTTGTCTTAAGTTTCAATCAATTTGAATTAAAATCACACACACAAATTTAGCGAATCCGTGGCAATGCGTATGTCGAAATGCTGCCGAATGGCTTCCCCGTTGGCTGGAAGAAGCTGAAGAAGCCGATGTTTCCGAAGGTCCTTTAGGATGTCTCGCAATTCCAGGATGCGGAAAGAAGGAAGGAGAACAAAAGTTGAAACCCGGGGAGCAGGAGACTCCAGAATGGATCACTGTTTCGGCGACGATACTCGCTGCGATCTCGCTCATTCTTCTTCTGGCGATTGTTATTCTTTATTTCAAGGATATTGCCCCACCGAAGGTAACAATTGTGATTTGATTGTCTCGGAAACGTGCTCTTTCAGCTCATTCGTGCGCATCGCGCTGATTCGGACTTGCACAAGCTCATCGAGAACGATAATTTGAGTAATTTCGCTGACAGCTGCATTATGGTGACGCCGATGCTCAAAAAACCGAACTCGACATCAAACGGTGAAAAGAAGAAAGTTCGATTTGAGGAAAATTGAATGTTATTTCAATTTTTGTTAATTCTATCCCGATTATTTTCAACGCCATGAGTTTTTCTCGTTTTCTTTTCTTTTCAATTCCTTACCTCCTTGTTGCAATCGATTGCATTATGAAAGACCTTTAAACCGCCCTAAGGGTTTTCCCCCAATGATCCTCAGTTTTCTGTTTGATGTTTTTCTTTTGTTCATCTTAGTTTCATTTTTGTTCCCGGTTTCGCCTTAATGTAAATAGATATTTAATCAAAAACTCTGAAAATTCCTCCCCATCCTAGAACCAATTGATTTTCTTCTGAACTTACCCTGTCCCCAAATACTTGTTGGCATACTGGTCCATTTTTCTCATATTCATTGTTTTCTGTTTACTAGGCACAAATGCCGTTTTCATTGCATGTTTTGATTGTTTATTTTCTTGTGATGCTGCTACTAATAATAATAACATCAATAATATAATAATAATAATAAGAAAAAGAATGAAACAATTCAAAAATAATCAAAGACCTGACCGTAAATGATATTATTATGGGAGAATGGAATCTGGTTAGTAGGGAATTTTTAAGATTGGTTCAGAAATGGAATGATTTCAACATCTATGAATGAAACGATTTGACGAGCCGCGGCAGTTCTAAAAGAAATGTTGAAAATGTCAAAAAAAAATTCAATCGCAACAAGTTGGAAAAATGTCTCATAAAGATTACTTACGCTTTTGATTTTTCTGCTCGCCTTAAAATATGCCCAACTGCTCCAATAAATTTAATAAAATTATCTCTTTCAGGATTTTCATCGTGCATATTTTCTAATGCGGTTTTTAAATCGGTCTCGCGAAGTGATATCTGAATAGTTCAAAAAATTTTTAAAAATCAAAATATCCTACCGTGGAGGCTGTTTTTGCCCCTTTCATTTTCCCAAACGGAAAATGTTGATACGCGCATTCATACTGATTTAAAACAGTGTTCTGTAAAATATATAAAACGTGTTTTTTTTTTTCGAAATTCTTAGCAAACCATTTGGCCTTCTTTTATATAACTCGTGTCATATGTAGCTACACTTTGTTCGCTAATAAACTCCAAAGGTAGAGGAACTAATTTTGACGTATCAGGCCTGAAAAAATAATCAGTTTTTGTTAATCATTCTCTCAATATTATTCTTATTCTATTTTGAATAAGAAAAAAAAGAAAACTAACATTGAATTATCCAAAATAAAATCTCCAGGATGCAATTTCAGACTTTCTAATAAAGTACTAGCAGCTTCTTGTGCCTTCCGATCAGTTACTGAAACGGATTCTTACAAGTTTCCTGATACAAAATGCATGAAATGACACAACAAGATATCGTTCTCAACTTACAAATATCATCAATTTCCAATTTTGATTTTTTCATTGCTATCATCGAATTTACAATATCTCCTATAACTTGGAAATGTACATACAGTGCGCGTCATAATGATACGCCACCCCCCCAAATTTCGCAGTTTTGAGAAAACCATATAAATTGGTGACGAGGCAATTTCATTTTCGAATTCAGGGCCATTAAAAACCTATACACGCGTATTTTCATGAGGGTCCGTTGGTCCGTATCCATACAGCCCGAAAAAGTTTGATTTTCAAGCGCGTCATAATGATACGCCACCCCTTATTTTTTGTCTTTTCTTTCGGTATTTTTGCATGTTTCTCGCTGATTCTTCTGGATTTTGTACAGTTTTTCAAAAATCTTATCATTTTATCCATAGAGCGATCGTCCGTTTTAGTTTTGACTTGAAATCGGGCCGAATTCGGGCCTTCGAGCAACTTCGTTTTGTTTAAGGACTAAAACGCAAGAAAAAGCTCTAAATAACCATAAGACAACAAGTTAGAACGCGAGAACACACCAAATTCAATAGTTAGTAGTCTCTCCATAGTTTTGGATCACTTCACATGTTCGGTTTCGCATTCTGTCGGCGAGTTCCTTGAGGTATGCAAGTGACCCACCGTTCCATTCCAGTCAAATTGCGGCCTTCAGCTCATAAAAGGTTGGCATTCTGTGTGCGGACAGCCTGACCGATAATTTTTCACTTATAAACTATTTTCACTTATCCTTCTCATAATCATCGGCCGCGGAAAATCTCTTACATTAGCTCACAGGAGAAAGCTCAAATTGACATTATGGTATAACTCAATCAGAGAGTCAAGCCGATTAAGGATGGTATCGGACGTTTCCGAAAATCTAACTGTATACGTAACTACGAAATTTCTTTAAAATTTGTTTCACGAATTTCAACAAGACAATCCAGTCATTCACAAGAGCTACAGCATCTTCAATTGGTTTTAGTATCAAACTTTTGGATGGATCAGCCAGCTCCTCAACTTCAATCCCGTCGAAAACGTCTGAAGGCTTCTTGAACGTTCCTTTCGCTCACAAACCAAGCAGAATGGGAACCTTTTATGAGCTGAAGGCCGCAATTTGACTGGAATGGAACAGTGGGTCACTTGCATACCTCAAGGAACTCGCCGACAGAATGCGAAACCGAACATGTGAAATGATCCAAAACTATGGAGAGACTACTAATTATTGAATTTGTTGTGTTCTCGCGTTCAAACTTGTTGTCTTATGGTTATTTAGACTTTTTTCTTGCGTTTTAGTCCTTAAACAAAACGAAGTCGTTCAAAGGACTGAATTCGGCCCGATTTCAAGCCAAAACTAAAGTGGACGATCGCTCTATGGATAAAATAATAAGATTGTTGAAAAACTGTACAAAATACAGAAGAATCAGCGAGAAACATGCAAAAATACCGAAAGAAAAGACAAAAAATAAGGGGTGGCGTATCATTATGACGCGCTTGAAAATCAAACTTTTTCGGGCTGTATGGATACGGACCAACGGACCCTCATGAAAATACGCGTGTATAGGTTTTTAATGTCCCTGAATTCGAAAATGAAATTGCCTCGTCACCAATTTATATGGTTTTCTCAAAACTGCGAAATTTGGGGGGGTGGCGTATCATTATGACGCGCACTGTATATTTGGTTCGCGCGAATGTTTTTTCTCCGTTTGATGATTTTCTTTATTAGAACACAACAAATTAAACTCGCCCACCACCCAAGTAATAAATCCCAAAAAAAAACGGACAAAACATTGGCGCCAACCAAACAAAAAATTTGCCAACCTGGGCGTTTCGTGCATGGTTGAAAATATGGAACTCCCCAATCGTCCTTTTCTAAAATCTAGGTTTCTTTCTTTTTTCGAACGAATCCTCACCTTTCGTTGAAGCCTTTCTGTGAATAGTTTTGAATACTTCATCATACTCATCCATCTGAATTTTTAATCTATTAAAACACACAATTTTGAATAATAAGTATAATAATGACAAATGAACATTTACGATAGCAGAACCACATCTTTATCGAATTCATTTATGATATTTTGTGAACACTGCAAATATATCTAATCATCTATTATTTACATCTAACTATGCGACAAAAATACGCGTTTCTTTGGTAGGAAAAGACAAGACAATGAGCAAATGAGAAGAAAAAAAGAATAAAATGAGTGGCTAGTTCAATCTAGAATCGATAGAACATTTTGATGGATAGCCATCGTTTTGTTCTGTGTATAAGCGGCACAGTTCTCTGGAACCCGTTCAAGATCATATCTGAAAACACAATTGTTCTCTATCAAACTTCAAAATGTCTTAATTACCTATAATTAACCATAATTCCAAAACTATTGTTTATTCCGCGATGACTGGTATCTCCGTGCCAATTTAATCTGTACAACTCAGCGCCATTTCGAATATGGAAATTTGCTGAAAATGAGTTTTTGATTTGATCTTAAGATAATCGTAAATTGTTGCACTTACCAACTGAATTCAGTGCGAATCCATTTCTCTTAGCCCGACATAAATAATGAGCACAGGCGTACATGAGAATATCCCGAATCATATTCAACTTTTCCTTTTTTGTTTTTTCATTTGAAACAAGCTGAAAAATAATGATTAAAAACCCTACCAAATGAAAAACTACCTGAAGCAAAAGTTCGGTTGCTTTTCCCTTATCAACAGGACTTCCATGAACTTTTGACACCCAGTTAATCACTTTATCATCGACAATCGAATCTTCAAAGAAAATCATTAAAATTCACAAAAATCACAATTTTAATACCATATTCGGCATTTCCTTTGAGATTTCTTATCAACCACGGGCGGAATCCCGGTATTGGAGAAAGTGTCGAGTGAATCTAATAAGAAAATCAGAATTATGAATAAAAAAGATAATTGGTACCTTGATTGATGGAACATCTTTTTGAAGGGCAGTGGCAACTTGTTTGATAAGCATGTTGCCCAAATCAATTCCGGACAAACCTTGACAATCAAAACGTCCATAAATTACTTTTATATTGAATCGAACCTGCTTGCGTCGATGTAATCGAATAATAAATGGCGGTGTTCATATCGTTCTCATTTCCGACAGGTTCGCCGCTATCCACAATGCTCTGCACATTGTCCGCGATCTTGTCGAGTAATGCGACATGCACCATGACAAGCGGATCACGTGGAAGAGCTTCGTGCGAAAAATAAAAGCATCTGGAAATATAAACGCAAATAATCGAATTCTTGTGGAAACATGTATTTTGTTATGGGGCAATGCACAGAAAAATTAAAAAATATGATAAAAGCAACAAATGATGATTTTTTCCATTTTCTGCATTAAAAAAATTCTCAATTAAAAAAAAGTTTTTTTCGAATTGAAAAAGTATTGATCTCTATATTTAAAAAATATATTTCAGATTACCTCCTGAGTGGCCCAAGACGTTTTCGAAAATCAGTAAGACCTCGAACAGGATGTACTGCTTCATATTCAGCAACTTTGTGTAGAATGTCGCCTGGCGAAGACCACGTTAGTCTTTCTAATTTCAAATTTCCCAAGCAGAACCAATTTGTTAGAATCTCTCGGCACGCAGCCTCTAGATCTCTCAATACTGCCAAATCGCTCTTGTCCGTCTCCTTTTTGATAAGTGCCTAGAAACTCTAAAGCGGTCATAAACGCAACTGAACAGTTGTATGATACCAGGATTTGGGCACGCATATTGCACACTTGTTTGACTCCATTTGGAAGATTCCCAATTGCTTTGATTAGTTTTAAATATGTCGCTGTTGCTGCTGTTCGCACTTCGGGATACAGTGTGTCATTCTGAAGTGCTGGCGTTAAATATTTCAGTTTTGGATTTATCAAACCTTGGAATACAATGAAATCGCATGTTTCAAAGCGTCTTTGTTGATTCCATAATCAGTAACAAGTGATACAAATATCGATTTTCTTTTGTCCTGTTCCAGATTGTAAACATTCACAAACCGTTTACTATATTCCTGTAATGAGAACAAAGCGTGAACTTGGAATTTATTCATTTATATCCTTATTTTGGCTATTTTTTCGTGAATTGACTCAATTTAAAATCATAGGCGGTAAGTAATATGAAAACTTACAAGAAGTTGATCGCCAGCAGTTCGACTATTTAATCCATTTAAAGCTTGCGTTAGCGATTCTGGAGCGGTTGACAAGTAACGAAGTGTATGAAAAGTTGATAAACGACTGAGCATCACATAAAATCCTGAAAATCTCGCATTTTTATCGAAGTGTGGGAAAATAGAAGGGTGCAAGCGATTTCGGCAGTGATACGAAATCTACTGCAGCTGTTTTATCAGTTCTCTTCAATAATAGTGTAATGACTGCCACAAACTAAAAACAAATGACAAAAAGCGACCAAAGTACGGCGCAAACAATTTGATGAACAAAAATTTGAAAATAGGAAGTGCGCGCCGCCGTCGTGCATAAAACCGCGCCGCAGATGCCAATTGATTTACGCCCACTTTCTCTTTTTTGCCCGCCCGGTACGAATTTCTCTGTTCTTTTCCACGTTTTTCAATTTTTTGCCTTTTTTGAAAGAAGATATACAAATTGATGTATATTGTTAAGTAATTGATAAAATCCAACCGTAAAGACAACAAATATCTGAAAAAGTTTGTCAGAAATAGTTTTCACACAAAAGCTTTAAAACCAATTCTCAAAATATATCATTCACGTTTAGGTAATGTCGGCAACAAACGTTCTCGGTCAAACTCTTCGCTCGTCTCGCAATGTTGTTCAAAAAGCGTTTTCCACTGTTCCAAGCTCGGAAATGTTGAGATTCAGATCACCGGTCCTTCAGACAAATACCGTAAATTTTTTTAAAACTGAAATTGTTAGAGTTTTGATTTAAGACCAAACTTGCCCGCTACGGAGGACGACACAACGTTGCAGTTTTGCCGGGAGACGGAATTGGGCCGGAAATGATCCAACATGTTGAGAGAATTCTCACTGCTGTGCAAGCTCCTATTGACTTTGAAATTGTTAACTTGACATCGAAAGAAGATGCTCAAGAAGATCTTGCCGAAGCGATCACTGCTATTCAAAGAAATGGAGTAGCATTGAAAGGAAACATTGAAACCAAATTCGATAATCCAATGTTCGTTTCGAGAAACATGGAGCTCCGCAGACAGCTCAACTTATACGCCAACATTCTCCACTGTACAACAATCCCAACCATCCCCAGCCGACATAAGGTACCGAATTAAATATTCTAGTTAAAAATAATAGTGTTTCTGCAGAACATTGACATGGTGATTATTCGTGAGAACACTGAGGGCGAATATTCAGGACAAGAACATCAAGCAATTTCAAAGAAGAATTACCGAGTGGTTGAGAGTCTCAAGGTAAGCCTAAAATTAAAAAAAAAAGAAACTTTTGTTGTATTCATTTCGTATTTTAGATTGTCACACGCGAGAAATGTGAGAAAATCACTCGTTTCGCCTTCCAATTTGCTAAAAAGTACGGTCGCAAGAAGGTCACTGCTGTTCACAAAGCCAACATTCAAAAGCTTGGTGATGGGCTTTTCTTAAAAGTCGCCACTGATATCGCGAAAAATGAATATCCTGATATAGAGTTCAACGCCATGATCGTTGACAACGCTTCTATGCAGTTGGTAAAAAAAAAACTCCATTTAATGAAAAAATGATTCAACGAGTAAATTTAGGTTTCACGACCACAACAGTTTGATGTAATGCTTATGCCAAATCTTTACGGTAATATTATTTCAAATATTGCTTGCGGATTGGTTGGAGGACCTGGATTGGTCTCTGGAATGAACATCGGAGATGATTACGCCGTTTTTGAAACTGTAAATGGTTTTTATTGTTTCTTTAAATAGTTGTGTTTGATTTAAGGGAACCCGTAACACTGGAACCACTCTTGCTGGACAGGATTTGGCGAATCCAACCGCTTTCATTCGTGCGTCTGTTGATATGCTCCGTTTCCTTGGTCTTCAGACCCACGCTGACATAATTTCGGATTCGCTCTTTAGAACTTTGGTTGACAAGAAGATTCATACAAGAGACATCGGAGGAGACCACAAGGTAATCTTAAATTTCGTGGCGAATTACTGATAAACTTTAATTATAGACATCGGAACTTGTCAACTACGTTATCGAATTCATCGACAAGGAGCTCGAGGACCGCAACTACCGTGTTTAAATCGAGAAATATTCTAAAATACCAATTCCTTTTTCACTTTCTTATTCATTTTTTTCGACTACAGTGTTCGTTAGTGGCTAGCTTTAACATCGTCTCTCCCAACAGAGTTCCCGTCTGATTTTAGCGCATAATTTTGTTTGGGCTTAGAAGTTATTAGATAGATGTCTGTCTTTTGATGAGCTTCACCCTTTCAAAACATTCTAAACCACCCTGCACTTTTCTATCCAATGTACCATTTCTCTCCTATTGTAGATTCGTTTTGCCACTTATTCTGTAGATCGTTTTTATTCATTCTCTAGATTAATTTTTTAAAATAACGAAACAATTGTACAATTCAACAACGGTCCTAAACAAAATCCTATGGAAGTTGATAGATGCATTAGTCGAAAAGCCCCGCTTTTTTGTCCTCATCGGCGATATTCTTGTGGGACCCGTCGCAGAACGGTCTGAATGATAACCAGTTTTCGGAATTGATCATTTCTGAATTGCATAATACCTGTTCTTAGATTGTTTGCAATTACAGAGCCATACAGTTGTGTCCTTTTCAGGAATGAAACGAACCGGTTTGAGTTTGAGATCGGGAATTCGGATTGAATTATGCGATCCATCGCATAATGGTTGACTACCACTATAACCGCAACTGCACCATGCATATACTTTGTCTTTTTTCATATGAACCTGAAAATAAAAAGAACACAATTCCATCGATATAGGAAAAACTCATAAATTGAAGGATTGTTTTTCAAAAATTGGGAAGTTTCCTACAAATTTTCAAAGGTTGTACCTTAGTTGGAAGTTTGCTATGAATTTTTCCAGTTCCGGGAAGCTTGTGGTTTTCTCCTTGCAAACCATACGGCTCGTTCGGCTTTTTGTCTTGCAGCTAAAAGCGAAAAATATCTCAAGATGTCGTATCATATTATCTTACTAAATGATATTTCAAAGCTGGCGGCTCTGTTCCAACAAAGTGCACTCCTTTTCGGTATAATCGGTTTGGTCCGAATCCAGTTTTTTGACTCCACTTCGCTGCGGACACGGCAATTTGAAGTGCCGAGGAAATCCTCATCTGAAAAACGTCAAAATTTGAGTTATAGTAAAATGCTAGCCGAACTGCAATGTTCGATTATTTTTAACTACATGTAAAACAAAGTAACATAATTTAAAATTAAACAAAACTGGAAAACTTATTTAAACGGAAAATTGAAATAATGGGCGGAGCATTTATGCAAGTTTGCAGATAGCGCACAGAGTTTTGGCAACTTGATCACACGTATATTTTATTTCTTCCGAATATTTTTTCAATGAGTTTTCAATTTTTCAATCATTTTTCAAATTCGTGTTGCTGTGTGTTTCAATGAATGAAAATACACTTTAATTCAATTTGAAAAATGTTTTGCTTTCTAGGTATGGCCACAAATACAATACGCTTTGTTGGAAATCATGATATCGCCGCAGAAGGAAAATTCCTTTGGGAAATTCTTGCACAACTGAGAAATGTAAAATGTATTATTCTTAAATTGAATTACTAATCAGCAAGTTATAGTTTGGAGTTGGACGAATGGTTACAAAAAATGAATGGGGACGAAAGTGGCCGAATCAGCCATCGTATTTAAAAATTGTCAAAGTTCGATTTTCATTATGAGTTGCTTCGATGATTGCACTAATTTCAGGCGGAACCGGCTATGGATCGGTGGCTTTTTGAAGGAAAACTTTATGCTGAATGGGTTTTTCGTGGTAGAAATCTCGGAGTCTATGAATTTTCAAAGGATTTAAATCGAAGTGACTTTCAACTAATCCACAAGTTGGAATAAATTTTTACTATCAAATAATCTTTACTTCTTTTCAGACATCAAGAAGAAGCCTATAAGAAATGTGCGGAACCAATGAAAGAGATTGTGTTCCCTGATTCATTTCCACTTCCACCACTTCAAGTTCACCTAGCTCAAAAGAATGCTGCGAAAAACGGTCTTGACGAGAAAACTGTGCCAACACGGGCTCCTCTTACATTGTGCATTGACGACGAATTCAAACACTTGACACCATTTTTCAAACAGGTAACTCGATATTGACGCACACCAACACACAACACACCATTAACATTTAAGGCGCCCCCAACAATACTGTCGAATTCGATATATGAAGAATCAGACAAAGATGCTATTTTGGATTTGTACGGAAAAGAATTACCAGTGAAGGTACTGCCAAATGAAATAATTCGGTCAAAACTTGAAAAAATGCTGTTGTTTATTTCGCATTTCCTATTTTAAATGTTTGGAACTGTCATTATATATTATAATCGAAAAAAAAACACGACGGTCCGCAAATTGACAAATTTGTGCTCATTTTTTGCTACGGTAATAATTAGAGTATATTGTTTTTAAACGAAGTCAACATTATATGATTTTTTAATATCTATAGTACATTTCAATGCTTTCTATATATCGAATACAAAAACTCTTGGCAATTATGGACTATCGTATTTTTTTCGGTGCTGATTTGAAATTAAACAGTCGGAATTCGGATACAAAATTTTACGGAAAACTTGCGAATCGAAGTCACCGTAAATCAGCGCATTGTGCCAACTTTAATTCCATAAAGTGTAAAAGATTAGTAATTATATATGGATGAAATTGTATTTCTGAATCTCGAGTTTTTTTGTCAAGATAATCGTCTCGTTTCAGGTTGAAGCTTGGAATATCGGACCAGCACATTTCAAACCTCGATTTAATGCAACTCAGATGCGCGTTGAAGAGTCTTCCCCAATGTGAATATCATGTTTTTCTTATTAAACGTTTAATATTTTATATTAGGTTTGTTTTAGGGAATTCGTTTTTGTCGAAAAGTGTTCGTTGTTTTTTTTTTCGATTGTTTTATAATAAAATTTGGCCACAAAAATGTGTTTCTATGATTTTAATTTGAGCGACCTAGTATAATTCCAAGAATCCGGACTGTTTATAAGTAGAGACTTGATGGCATCCTCGAAACCCGCCGCCACAGACCGCCGCCATCGTCTTCTTTTTGTTGTCCTTGGATCAGTGGACAAGTTTTGCGCGAACACTGTCTACCGACTCGTTCGCCACAACACTCTATTCTCATCTCCTTTCCGATCAAGGCGGGTTTTATGCCACAAATGCAGATGATATATGTATATATTCGGGTATTCCTCACGCCATTTTCTTGATTTTTGAACTTGTCTCTTTTGTGTGTGTGCAGACGATAGGCATATTATCAATTATCAGAATTATCTTTTGCAATCCACATTTCGTCCAGATTGCCGTTTTAGATACGTTTCAATCAATTCGTATTTTTGGTTTAAAGCAACATGCCAAAATAAATATTTTATTTTTATTGAATTGGTTGGATTCTAATTCGAAGCGTCATTTCCATTTCTAACTATTTAGTCATATCGAGCTGAGGTGGCGACTAAATTTTGAAAAATTGGGCGTGATTTTACATTTTTTATCTCTGGGAATTTTCAGCTCCTTAAAAGCAGCTCCCTAAAAGCTGGACCCAAATTTTTATGGTTAAACAAATTATCTTGATTTTTTTCTCGAAATATGGAATATCAAATTTTGGTTGCTTTTATTCTTTTTTGATGTTTAAAAAAAGAGTTATTTTCCAATGTTTAAAACCCATTTTTTTTGTTTTCACATTATTCAATCAGCGGATTTCATTTAAACATATCGGATGAAATCAATTATAAAATATAAATACTCAAAAATCATAAATTTTGATTACCCGCCGATCTTATGAAAATATTAACGATCAACAGCGCTAATAAACAAATATTTTGATTTGTGGACTGTTAATTCGCGAACAAAAAAAATAATAAAAGAATGTAATGTTTGTTTTTCAAGATTTGAGTCCTATAAAAACAATAAAAATAGCCTAAATGTAGCCAATTTTGTATCCGAAATGTAGTCGAATCAGATTCAGAACAACCAGTTTCTTTTGGTAGAAAAAGAGTTGAACAAACTTTATAGACAAATCAAAAATAAGAAAAACCCGTTTAGAGCACTCAATTTTCTTTTAGATCCTGCTATTTCGAAGTATTTTCGCTTTAAAATTTGCCGATTCCAATTTGCGTTTTTTATGCTGCAATTATGTAGATCTCTCTATTCATTGTGTCTGTTTTTTTTTTCATCCTCATTTTCATTTTAATTCATTCGCCCATTTCCGCCCGAAGTATAATTCGAGTCGCATTTCTTTGATTTATTCGTCGACTATGCAGTTTTCCTGAGATGACCCCGATTCGAAAAAGATCCGTCAACTCGATAATTTGTGTATGCGTCTCGAAGCGATGAGTTACGACATTTTCGAATAGGCGCTTCTCGATTTTGTGTCGTTTTGATTTTCGATTTTTCATCTGCTTCATCGAATTTGAAGGACTCCGTCACGAATTCACAGATCACAAATTTAGATGAGATACGTCGTGATTTCCATTGTGCTTTCCACGTTTTTCTATTTTTGCATATTTAAGCTTCTGTGTCATTGTGAGACCTCATTTAAAGGAGCATATGAACATTTTTAATCGGAAACTGTCGAATAACTTATAAACGTGCAAATGTTTGACATCAACATCATCTACATAGTTGATCGTGTAAATTTGAATTGTTCAGATGGCAGTCAAAACCGAATTTCGACCATCGGATCCGATCAGCGACAAAGAGAGAGTTCTCATTAAGCAATTGAGAACAACGTAGGCTTCGAATTCGCATCGAGACCCAAACAAAATCATATTTTATTACAGATTAAACGAAAAACTTGCGAATGGAATTCCAGAAGACGTCGACACTGATTTGAATTTGTGCCGTTGGATTCGTGGAAATCATGGCGACATTGATAAAATTGTCACGGTAAGCTAAAAAAAAGATCATTTTAAACATAATTGATGGAAATTTTTTCAGAATTTTGCCTCATACTTGGCTTCTCGCGAAGCGGCCGGATTCGTTGGCGACGATTTTCCGGAACGTTTTTTCGAAATGGAGAATATCGAACCGTTTTTGAAATTTATCGCATCATCGAGATTGCAAGACCGTCAATGGTCCGAAGAACACAACGCATTTCTGTTTGTTGAAAGAGCTTGGTCACAACCGAAAGAAGTAGTTTTCTTTATTTTCTTTATATGGCCGGCATCGCAGAATTGGCTAAATGCCAAACAATATTAGAAGAGGTCTCGGAGCGTTGTGTGCGCCTTTAACCTATCCGTATATTTATGCTTGTAAATCTACACTAAGTGCGGGAATTGAGGGTGTGCACAAACGCCGGCCTCGTGGGTCATATTCCCGACTCTTTCCATGTTCATGGATTCGTGTTGGAAACAAGCAATAAACAACTAAGAGTTTATTTATAAACGATGGAATGAGTAACGAAATAGTGTGGACTTAAAGCGTGTCTCCCAGCTTCCTACCTCCTCGTTCGTTTCCCGAGCATCGCTTAAATAGGGGGGTGAGCTGGTGACATTGATAAAGGTCTTGGATTATTGCTTCCGGTCGGAGGGTTGATTAAATATATATTGAGGTCCTTCCGGTCGCTGATCGACCTGATTTTGCCCCTATGACTCACTTACAACTATTAGTTTTGCGCCAAGACCACTGACATTGTGTTTCTGGCATTTAGCCAATTTTCGACAATCGCTCGACGCCGACGATAATCTTTCTATTAAAAAAAATAGAAAATTCATAATTTTTTTTCAGTTCATTAAAACATTCAAAACGAGCGACTATCTTTTGCACTGCTTCGGATATTCAGAAATGCTCCAACAATTGATTTTGAGGTTATCGATTTAATCTGTTATTTCAATATGAAAAGTTTGATGATGATCTTCTTTATTAATCTTTCGCATTCTCAGATTTCAATGATAATTGGGCAATTAAGTTTAATTGTCTTGTTTCTAGATTTTTTGAGAAATACAAAAAAAGAAATTTGATTATAATATCATATTGATTGACTGATTTAAAAAAAAAAACTATTTCAGGCGGGAAAAGAAGCAATCACCTGAGAAAGGACCAGTTCAATTCATTGTCATTTTTGATCTGCAAACCATTAATATTACAGATTATGTACATTTTTATTTTTGTTTTTTTTTTCAATGTAAATTTCCTGCAATTTAACAGGTCAACCCGATGTCAGGCTACATGAAATTGTGGCAGATTCGAAGTAAGCTTTGGCAGGATTGGTATCCGGAGCAAGTCCAGCGAATCTATCTCACGAATCCGCCCCGACTCGTCAGTTTGTTGTGGAAACTCGCGCGTGTATTCCTCTCGGAGGAGAATCTCAAACGAATCGAAATTATCGGAAATATGCCCGATTTGGCCAATAAACATTTGCCGAAATGGCTTGTGCCTAAAGAATATGGAGGTGGGTCGAATAGGATTTGAAATGAAAAATTTGAATCAACGGATCTAAAATTTTTAAAAAATTTGGCAAATTGAGTGTTTTTAGGGGAATTCATAAATACAGTACCTCCTGGCGACGAAACTGGCGTTTCTGTTCGTCGAAAAATCACCGCTATGGATCATTATAAGCCATATCAGCACTATAAAAAGTACAATATGGATCGGCCCAAATCTAGTCATAAAGTAAAACATTCAATTCGAAATATGAATCGACTAATATGGTTTTTGAAGGACATCGCACCCGGTGAGTCGTTCGTTGTTCCGATTCATGTACCACACGGCAAATCTCTTTTGTGGGACTTCACTACGAGCGGAGATGTTCATTTTGCAATCATCAGCGGAAAGGTGCATTTGAATTTAATAGAAAGAAATTCATCAATTCGGCTTCAGGACCCAATGAATCTAGTATATCCTCGCCTTCATCTTCTTACAAATAAGTTGAATGAGGAAGGTGTTTTGAAAGAATTGAATGAAGGAGAATACTGTTTCGAATTCTTCAATCCATCCGGATCTTTTACTCTTAAACTTGAATACTCAATTGCCATTGCATAGTTTTCTCTGTGATGATATATTTAAACAATTTATGTATGTTATTATGTACACATTACGCTGAAAAACAAATGAAGAAATATTAAAACATAAAGTAGAAAAAAGCAAGAAACCCCGTAACAATATAAGAAAATGAAGATGAAGCTGATGAAACAAGATTTTCGGGATTTTGATCGATCCGGCCACAATCAACTACGAGTTTTGTTGATCTGTCGATGACAGCTACTAGTTTATCATTGATGTCTTCATCGAAAAGGCTTAAATTGTCGATATGAATCCATGGCTGAAAAAATATTTGTGTTTTAATTGCGTCATACCTCAGTTAATTCTAAATAAGCTAGAAATAGGTTATGAGACAATTAATTGTTGGTTTTATTGAAAAGAAAATTCAATGTTTATTAGTCTGTTATTCTAAAAACTCAAAACAAATTGGATCCGACAAAATTCGGCTCCGGAATCAACCCGTTTTTATGACAAAATTCATTCGCCTTATATGATTGTAAATTGTCGGATCCTATTCGAATTGAAAAATTAAAAGATCCGACAAATTTCCAATCTTACCGTAGAATTTCCAATCGGATAAGATTGATTTCGGAGCCGAATTTTGTAGAATCCGATTGATATTGAGTTAAAATAATGCAAAAAATAAACTTTTTTTCAATATTGCTTATACGGCGTAACTTTAAAAAAATAACCGAAAATATTGTCGAGGACGACGAATTTAGGAGGGCGAATTCGTCTGTCTTCGACAATAACTTCAAATAAAAGTTTTTTGGGCTTCTCTGTGATGTTTACGTCACGGTGTTTGCACACATTTTCGCGCGCAACCGTTTATCTGAATTTTTGAAAAAGAAAAATTATTTTTTTTGAAATATTCGAGTTTGGTTGAATTTCAAGCAAAAAAATTCGATGGTCCGTAAACAGCTTGTTATGCAATCATGAACGAAAGATCAACGAATGATTCTAAAGATTTTATCAAGACTTCTCGTGATTTCATCTCAACTAGGCCAGTACGCTCTACAAAAACACACCTGGACAGCCATTCCAGTGTTATCGGTATCGACTGTGAGAATCTTCTTTCCGTGGGGATTTTTGATCTTCTGGCACGATGTTATCCTAGTCAAACCATCGATCAATTCGACGTCGTATGCGGAATTCTCGCGAAGTCCGGAGATCACAACCATAACCATCATCCGTTTGCCGGCTTGTTGCGAGAATTCGAGTAATCCTTGCCCTTGGGATCCGTGAAGTCGGACTTCGAGTCGACGAGCTCCATCATTCTCAGGTGGATCGATGCAGATATTTCGAAAATAGTTGACTGTGAATGAGGCTGGCGAATCATTTTCCACAAATAAATCCGGTTTTGTGAGCTGATTCTGGAACTAATTGAGTTAAAGAGAGCAAGAAAGAGACTAATATTAAATTTATCTCAAATTCAAGAAAAAAAATTTCAGAAAGTCATCATCAATTTTTTTACGAAGCACAGAATCGTCTAACATGGATTTTCTTGGTCATTTTATCGTATGAAAAAGATCCCAGTAAAAACCTCAATTGTAAATAAGTAAGATCATGTGTCTAACAGTACGGATTCTGATAATATTGCATCGTTTGGCACCAATGTATTTATATATAAGATTTTATGAAATACTATGATTGAGGGGAGGCTGGGCCTTCAAATTCGCGAAATCAGTGTAGATTTAAACTAATCGTTGGCTGAATATTAAATGCGCGTACACTATAATGCAATGTACGCAATCGTCTTGCGTACTTCTCGCTGCCTCGAAACGCATTGGCACATAGCCAATCGTTTTTTTTTTTAAATTTTTTCTAGTCGTTTGTCTCCTGGTAAATGATTCCGAGTTGTATTGTTGAAAAATGACAAATGTATCCAGGTGTCGTGGGATCCTGCGTTTTGTACGCAATGCTAAGAGACAGTTACCGTAATCCTCGCAGCGATTTACGGAGTTTTTGTTTAAATTTTCTTTCAATTTTTTTGCTGAATTTTCTAATTTTTTTTTTAGAAATCTTATATTTAAAACCTGTAGAAAAAAGAGTTTAATTATTTATTTTTCAGAATATGCACTTTTCCATTTGTCTAGTTGAGTTGGGAATTATTGTGAAGATTTTGACGCTCTAAAAATTATTTTGAAAATGAAGAATACAAAAACAAGATAATAGAAACGCATACAGAAAGCAAAACACGATTAAATAATTTTATTAACGACAATAATGATTTCTTTTTAATGTTTGCTGTTTTTACCAAAAAAAAATCGTTTAAAAGTGCTTATTCTGCTAAATACATTATTAAACTCGGTTTCTGCAAAACATAAATAACAAAATTTCAAAGGGAAATACGAAAATTGAGCGAAAAATAAAAAAATGAATATGCGAAATTAAAAAAAAAGTGCCCGTAAATCGTTGCGAGGATTACGGTAACTGTCTCTTAGCATTGCGTACAAAACGCAGGATCCCACGACACCTGTATACATTTGTCATTTTTCAACAATATATGCTAATATCGATTGGGAATTTTGCATATTGAATTTGGACTTTTGCGGATGTTTCGTATACGATTACAAACCGTTCATTAGAATCGTATACGATCCTCTACGATTTGCATTAACGTATAGTCGGCGTCCGTCGACTGCTGTACGCGGGTAGATTTACGCGCATGTGCTTTGAAAATGTCTCGCCACTCGTGAATGCTTATTTTGCTGTTTTTACGTGAACTGTTTCATTTTTTTGTTAGTTTGTCATTTCTTGGAATTTATAATGTCGTTCGATTAAAAAATTGTCAAATTGACCCATAATATGCGAAATAACCAGTTAGTCCTTGCGGGACCATTTTGAAAGACACATTCCCGTAAGTCTACCCAGGTACAGCAGTCACCGGACGCCAACTATATACGATTTTAATTTTATCTTATACGGTGAAGAAATTCTGTTTTTTTATACGACTAGGAATCATTTACCAGGTCGGCCGACAACTCTGGTATTGTTGAAAAATGACAAATGTATCTAGGTGTCGTAGGATCCTGCGTTTTGTACGCAATGCCAAGAGACAGTTACCGTAATCCTCGCAGCGATTTACGGGGACTTTTTTTTTAATTTCGCATATTCATTTTTTTTTATTTTTCGTTCAATTTTTTAATTTTCTTTCGAAATTTTTTAAATTAAATTTTTAAATTTTGCAGAAACCGAGTTTAATAATGTATTTAGCAGAATAAGCACTTTTAAACGATATTTTTTTGGTAAAAACAGCAAAGATTAAAAAGAAATCATTATTGTCGTTAATAAAATTATTTAATCGTGTTTTGCTTTTTGTATGCGTTTCTATTATCTTGTTTTTGTATTCTTCATTTTCAAAATAATTTTTAGAGCGTCAAAATCTTCACAATAATTCCCAACTCAACTAGACAAATGGAAAAGTGCATATTCTGAAAAATAAATAATTAAACTCTTTTTTCTACAGGTTTTAAATATAAGATTTCTAATGAAAATTAGAAAATTCAGCAAAAAAAAATTGAAAGAAAATTTTTAAAAAAATCTCCGTAAATCGCTGCGAGGATTACGGTAACTGCCTCTTAGCATTGCGTACAAAACGCAGGATCCCACGACACCTGGATACATTTGTCATTTCTCAACAATAACTCAAAACCAATCGGATACGACAAAATTCGGCTCCGAAATCAACCTTATCCGATTGGAAATTCTACGGATAAGATTGGAAATTTGTCGGATCTTTTAATTTTTCAATTCGAATAGGATCCGACAATTTACAATCATATAAGGCGAATGAATTTTGTCATAAAAACGGGTTGATTCCGGAGCCGAATTTTGTCGGATCCAATTTGTTTTGAGTTTTTAGAATAACAGACTAATAAACATTGAATTTTCTTTTCAATAAAACCAACAATTAATTGTCTCATAACCTATTTCTAGCTTATTTAGACTGAGGTATGACGCAATTAAAACACAAATATTTTTTCAGCCATGGATTCATATCGACAATTTAAGCCTTTTCGATGAAGACATCAATGATAAACTAGTAGCTGTCATCGACAGATCAACAAAACTCGATGCAACTATAGTTTCTCTGATCCAATTTGTTATGATCCCTTAAAATTGGGACCAAAAATTTCTAACAAGACATTAATTGGAAAAACGCAAAACAGCAATTCTGTAATCGCCTAATTCTCATCCCTAGACTCGATTGAATTTCGCGTTGCCAACCGAATGTATTCTTCTTCGATGAAGCGTAAAAATATTCGAAATTCCTTAATGATAAATTCGTCATGTATCCATAAAACATCTTAACAAGTTTTTTGCGGTGTTGTAAACTTCACCAATTGAAATCGTTTCTCATCGCCATTTTTCATTTTTTTTAAACATTAAATTTTTTTGAAAAATTTCGCCGAACAAAAATTGCGTATTCAATAATTGCAGTTTCGGTGTTGCGATTGTCAATGAACCAACCTGATCGGATATTACACATTCATCGTCATTCGGAATATGCATCGCTGACAGACATTTCGCTTTCCTTATTGCTGACGTCAAACACATCCGAAGGCATTCATCTTTGAACTGCAAAAAAAGAACGAAACCTCGAATCGAATCGGGTGTTGAATGCCGGCCGGCTAATAGTTGTTTCCTATTCAAACATAAACAAATGTTGTGTCATCCTAATTTGTGATCATTTAAGATGGTCTCGTTCCTCTTCATATCGTATGATATTTATGCGGAAAATAGCTGGGAATTGGTCGGAATGATTGGAATGAGATGTGGTCGAAATGATGAAAAACCTGAGAGATGGCGATGAACGCGCTCAAACTATGATTCCAGCTAATGATATGTTATATACCGTACTATCCATATGAGACCAATCAACTATTTCAAGCGATCTAGTGAAAAGAAATTGTGAATAGCTTTTTTATTAGATAGGATTTTTCTGTTTAATTAATTTTTGAAGTTTTCGTTTCTTCGCAACCAAATCAATTTTATTTTTTTATTTTTACATTCATTATTTTATTTAAATGATATTTTTAAAGGTTACCCCCCCCTCCATCCTTCAAATTAAAAAAAAAAGAGAAGCTTCTACGTTCACATGAATATCTCATGAATAAATCAATGAACATTTGATAAAAATCTTCTTGCATAATTATCCACATAAATCACTTGGCAATTAGCCGTAGCAAATGATGATTTAAAATAATTAGACGGCCAAGTTTCATTGTCCGTAAACAACTTTTGACGTTTCCGGTTTCGAACGAGTCATGCAATTTTTGGTTCATGGATTTTCAACGATTCTCAATACTTCAATGATGAGAGATCTTGAAATCCAGGCCTCCCTCACTTCGAATTTTCCCATCAAATCCGAGACGAAGCCCGTGTGATTGAGGGCATTAAATTGTATGTTCTTGATGGTGTTCAGAATCCAAAAATAGACAAAATGTTCAGCTATTCTCTCTGTTCGAATTGAATTTGATAGGCCTCGCCTTGATTCGCAAGGTCACAAATGTTTTGAAATTGTTACAAATCAGGCAACAATTTAAACAAACAAATAAGGTGCACAACAAATTAGAATTGATCTGGAAGGTTGTGTGATTCGATGGGAATCCCTACTATTGATCGATATTCATCCGAAATTGCTCATACCCAAAACGAAACTCGTTGGTGGTGAGAAACGTGAGAATTGATGAGATGTTTGATTCTAACTCTCGCATTTAAAATTAAAAAAGAAAATTCAATTCAATCGAAATAAAAATTTCGCATTATTTGTTGGATTATCCCAATTTATGTAGGAATAAAACAAAAATTGAAAAAAAAAATTCTAGAAATATAAATTTCACTTAGTTCTTAGAAATTTTTGATAGCTTTTAAAAACATCAATTATATTAAACACTCATCGCATTTAATGCTTTCTGACGGAATCTAGATTTACCTGCACCGACGACGTGTGGAAGGCATGCCCAACGATCCAGTAGTTCTTTTTGTATTCGAAACATTCGAGCAATTTCAAGTTGGGCGGTCCGACGATATGCTCGCCGGAGACTCGTAGCAGCGGAATTGATAATAGTAAGTAATAAAACATGAAACCGATGATTCGAAACTATTTCAGTGAGGCGGTCATTATGTCTTGATGGGCGGTGCGAAGGACAAGACGTGTTCGAAGATGATGTTAAAATGTGGGAGTGTCTGAACTGAACCGACGCTTCGTTGGCATTCCAAATGATATTTGAAAAGAAAATAAAAGTGGTAAATGCTTGATGGCCGAAAAACTACGAATAAAGACGTCAACGAAATATCAATTTTCTAATAACGAATGGAATTCTTCCAACACATTGATATAACATATATAATATAACGTGCATTTATATTTATATAAACTAATTCTAAACGCATAATAATTACAGTAATTAGTAAATGATTATCAGTAGTGAACAAATTTCTTTTTTTTTTAACAAATTTTGAGAAAGTTCCTTCCAAATAGCAGCCAATTTTCCTTCTCGTCTTCCATTTTTATGTGGAATAAGGGGCTCGTTTGATGAAATGTCGCTCAACAATACACACTTTTGATATTGATGCAGTTGTGCATTTTGCTGTTATGTTCGCGAAACGAGAGATGAGCGTCTCTCTAGAGCCACCACTCAACATTAAACAAATGCCTCGTCAAATGTTTATCTTAACTTCGATTTTTAGAAATGCTATTGGTGAGTTCATATTTTGATAACTATAATTTAGGTTCTTGGTTATATATTCCCTTAAAATTAAGAAACATAACATTTTTCTTATTTTCAAATTTGCTTTTATTCAATACTGCTAATATGTTTCTTCTTCTTTGCTAGCTGACTCGTCAATTATGATGTATTGTACGCAACTGCAGGGACGACACTTTGCACCGTTCATTATTTTTTATTTCGGCGACTTATTTAAAATTGTATTTATTTTATTAATTTTTCTTGGAATTATTCCATTTTTACAGAAAAATGTCAGAAGATATCAAAACGTTGTTGGATTTAATTGTTGCAGCAAAAACACCCCCAAATGAACGTAATAATGATCGGAAATTAATTAAATTAATTTATTAAATTTAGAGGCTGTCTGGAAAAGTGATCCATTTGAATTTCTATTAGACAATGTCTCTCAGGTAACATATATAATTGAAGTAATGGTTGAAATTTATTTTCAGCACATTAGAAATTCAAAATTCAGTCATATTCATGATGGAATTACAGAAGACGAAAGTATCGCGTCGACATCAAAACAAAATGCAAGTTCATTGAATTCCGATGCAAGACATGCCTATTCGCAAGTTTTGGGAAAAATCTACAATGAGGTTAATTTTATATCTATTAGATCTTGCATATTTCAAATTTAAGCTTGCCCGTTGCTTGCGATCTGAAAAAGACGTTGAAGAGGATGAATATCGGATTCTATCGCTTCAAAATATTGGAATTATTTCCGATTCGTTTCAATTTTTTGTCCTCACCGCTCTCTTGCCCTATTTCGAAAATGGGGTTGGTATTGGCGCATCGAATCGATCGAGTTTTGTCAGGTCATGGAAACTATTTGATGGAAATATTAAAGAGCAAAGAGACAGGGTACTAAAATCATCTAAAAATTGATCTATTCCAAAATTTAAGCTTAGCTTTGCTGTTAACGTTATCTGCGAGCTATTCGGGTCGAATGAAGCATTGAGAGTTCAGCTTCTTAAAAAGTTTGTCGATGATATTCTATGCGTCAAATTTCAATTGGAATCTCTTGGAGTTTCAACATTTCATGAAAATCTTGATGTTATTTTAAAAGACTGCTCAAAAGATTTGTTGATTTCGGCTCTAATGGGGTTATGTAGGCCAAAAATTGGCAAAATTGTGCCCCCAATATGGCTACAGGTACCATTTTTTCGTAATATTCATTATGTCTCATACTTGTTTCAGAAATCTTGTGGAGCTATGTTGTCGTCAATTTTGGTAGAGATCAACGGTTTATCGTATTTTGTTGCATATTATGCAGATGTTGGTGAGTTGCGAAATTATATTTGTAATTCGATATTCTTAATACTGTAGGTGGGAGCAATTGGACAGACAATGTTCCGGTGCGCACATCATTTGCCAGACAAATTACAAGGGTCCCTCAAAGCGCTTCCTCGTCTTTAGCATACCATTCTACTATTTATAGACAATTTAAGCAAATTCTTGCTCAACAGGTAATTTGAATTTTGAATTATTAAAATTTATCTCGATTATTAGGATCCCGACGACCCGGAATCGAAGAAAATTGCAAAATTGTTAGCGAGTTTTGTCGGCGAAATGGGCGAAAAATACAAAAGAAACGCGAATCTCGTTGTTTTCGATGATTTGCTTCGATTTTGGGAAATTTTGAATGAGAAAAGGAACGAGTTGACTTCGAGAATCGAGCAAATTGATTTGCCGGACAACTTCGAAACATCTCTCAATATTCTCTTTATGCTTAGCGAACTCGATGAGACGAATGTTATGATTAGTCCAAGGTTTCTGAACCTTACCGCCACTTTTCTTGATATTTACGATGAGTCGGAAGATATGGATGAAGGAATTATGAAAAAATTGCAAAAAATTCTGAAATTTTCACTAAAAAATGTATCAAATAAGGTAAGAAATTCATTTTTCATTTTTAAAAATGAACATTCTTTGGATTTTTAGGGATCGCTCATCTATTGCTATATTATGAATCCAAGCAGACATGTTCGAATTCTCAAACCAATTAAATCGAAGTTGATTGAAGAAATTGGCGAGGAAAAAAAGTCAAGAAAAACGGAAGATGTTAAATTAGTCGTCGAAGGAATCGAAGAAGCCGATCTCGGAGTGGCTAGAAGACTCGAATCAGCATCCATGATAATTCAAGTTTGATTTTATATTTTCTAACAAAATTTTTCGAAACTATTGTTTCAGAAGTATTTTTTCGACGAATCGTGTAAAATATTTTTGGAAATTCTCGCGGAAGGTGTAAATGACTGGTTTTCACTAAGTTTATCAAAAGAATCCGATCAATATTCTCCTCGATTTGTTGATGATTTGAACAATAAAGGTAATATTATATACGTACATATAGTTATCGGAAAGTTTTAAACTTGAAGATCGCTCGCGAAACGATGCTCATGCTCATTTAGTTGTTGGTTTCTGTTTCGAGCAGATTGTCGAAATCATGTCTGGAGGAAAAGGTTTCGAGAATAGCAGCGATCAATTGGTACTTCTTCTACGCATTGTACAGGTATTCATTCAGATTTTGTGAATTTCAATTCCTCTTTTATTTTTCAGACGATTCTCATTAGAACCGCTGAAAAGTTTGAAAACTTCAAAATAAAATCTGAAAAATTCGATCTTTTTAAAGTCTCTCATGAGGATTTATCAGCGATTGAGGTATTTTTTTTTATTTTATCGAATAAAATTGTAAAATTTAGATTATGACTGAAACTTGCAAAATGTGTATCGGACTCATTGGAGGAGTGCTGTTTGCAGCCAACATGTATCCAAATTTGATGGAAGAACTTGAAAAAACGCTGAAATGCGTTGAAACATTCACGAAATCTTCGCAGAAATGTTGCGAATTCGACGAATTTGGAGAAGACTTGGCGAAAGTTGTGAAAGATGCGCGCGATTTGTTGGATATCATGAACTATGGTAGGCTAAGTCCATATATTTTTTTTTAATTTTAAAATGTTTGAAAATATTTTCAGATGTCAAAGAAGAACCCGAGAAGGCTAATATTCAATCGAAACCGTCAACGAGCAAAGGGTTTTGAATTTGTTTTTCAAATTTCTATATTATTTTCTTGTTTTTAAGCACAACTGATGAAATTGGCGAAATTTTGCGATGTCTTCGCGATGAATATGAAGAATCGGCCATGAAAGGCGCAACCTTAATTCAGATTTCTCGGATTTTCCGGTCAAATCAATCAGAAAAGGCCAAAAAGTTGCTCGAACATGAAATTTTCTCCATCGTTTCAGGTGGATTTTCGATTTTTGATTATTTTTTCTTAAATTTCTGACTTTGTGTTTCAGATCTCATTATGGATCGCGATTCGTATGTCTATTTGGCAGCCATCAATTGTCTATGCGAAATTGCTTGCTATGATAGGAAATACCTTCAAGAAATTATCAATTTGTATTTTGCAATGAATCAGGTGCATTTTTTGAGATCCCATTAAAAAAAAATAATAAGTTGTATTATAAGAAAGAAAAAACATGCGAAGACGACACGATTCGTCGCGGAAGAATGGGAGAAGCGCTCGGAAAAGTGTTTCGAATTTTCGGAGAAGTTTCGATTCTGTATTTGGACGAAATCGCGAGAATGTTCACACAAACCATGAGGTTGATTCAAGAGATTTTGAGAGTTGAACTCAATCGGTTTTTTTTCTCATTGTAGAGAAGACGAAGAAATCATTCGTGCGAGTTGTTGCTGTGCTCTGGGTGATATAATTGTGGCGTGTCGAGGGCGCGGAATCGAAAAGTATCTCGACGAAATGCTGTACACTCTGGAGACTGTCATTTTGGCTGACAAATCGTGTTTGGTGAGGAGAGCTGCTGTGGATTTGGTCCGCCAATGCATTCGATCGTGCTCTACTGATGTTCTACAGGTAGTTTTAAAAATAATACTTATTGTTTAGTGTTGATTTGAGTTTAGATAATGGGCGGTCGATTGCGTGATATTCGCCGAAAAGTGACTACTCTTTGGAAATACGATCGAGACGAAGTTGTTCGTCTTCATGCTCAATTGTGCATCGAGGAATTGAATGCAGCAATTATTGATATATTCGAAGAAGAATCGTCCCATTATTGTAGACAAATCAAAATTTAGTTTTTTTTTTATTCAATAAACACGTTATTGTTCTCTGATTGCTTCACGAGTATTCCGATGATTGGTTCAATACCCAATTATTACTTTTTTGCTCTTCATTTTATTGTTTGAATTCTTAATAATTCGCAGAGCTAGTGAATGAACGCGGTTCAACCGATTATCGATGGCGAGCTTGTAGCAGCGGCCGTAAATGAATTCTATTCGACCACCGATCAACTGAGGAGGCATGCTCTCGACGAATTTTTGTGCAAATTTCGAACAGGTACGTGATCATTTTTTTCGAAATGCTCATCTTCGACATGTTTCCTTTGTTTTGAGATTACGACTGCGTTCAAACGGTGGCGAGTTGCATTCGTTTAATCAGTACACCTACGAATAACGCGAATGTTCGATATTTCGGTGCTGCCTGTTTTTATGATGTCATACGGGCCAGAAATGAAGAAATTGTATCAAATGCAACCCTGGTGCGCTCCGATTTTTAGTGTAATTTTTACAATCAATATTGGATTTAAGCTTGCGAGCGCGAAGACGTTTCTAATCGACGGCCTAACAAATGGAACTCAGTTTTACACTCAATCCGTCTTGAATAAGGTTTTATTTTTGTTTTGAATCAACAATTGAACTACAAAGTTAAAATTGAAGCTCTCTTCCGCATTGGCAATTTTGACATTATATTGCATACCGGATTTATGGCCAGAGCCTGTTGCTGATTTGACTGCCATGTGGGCCCCAACCCCGGAATTACTCCTGAGGTTTTTTTTTTCTTTTGTCACATTATTAAAAATATTTCAATGATTTTTAAGATAATTGCCAAGTTTCAGAGTATTGTCTGATATTGCCGCTGAATTTCAGCATGTTGTGATGCCATTGAATCAGCGAAGTGTGCTCAAAACCGAACTTCATCGAATGGCTGATGTAAGAATTTCGATTGAATCACATAATTGACTTGCTGCTATTATACTATAGGACATTATCAAAATAATTGGAACCGTTTTGTCATGTGATGATGCAACGGCGTCAACGAAACAAGCGGCATTAGATTGTGTAGAGCAATGGATTCGTTTACCGGGAATCGCTCTTGAAAATTGGTCCAAAGTGCTGTCAATTGTTCTGGAAGCTGTCGTCAAAGATAGGTTTGTGTCTGTTTGTTTCTATATAATATTACCATCGCTTAAAAACGAGCTCCTTGCATAATTCTGGACTATCGCACGAATAGTCGAGGCGGTAATTCAAATTCGATTTTAAACAGTGGGAATTTGGCTACCGTACTCTGGATAATCAGCGAAGCGAACTCACCATCGCAGGGTGCTCGTTTTTATTTTTGAATGTAATTATTCGAAATAATGATTGTTTCAGTAATTCATTAACGAATCTTCTCAATGTTTTGGCCAACAATGATGATTTGCCCTCAATGCCGCAACTTCTTCTCGATATTTGTAGTTATGTCGTTTTAAACGTTTCGAGTAAAGTCGGCGAAGAATTGAAAGACGATGGATGCTCTGACGAAGCGATTGCACTGGTTTCAGCGACATGTAGCATTTGCGAAGCGGCCGTGCCGACGTTGGTTGATGTTGCGACACAAGCAAAAAATCCTCAAATTCTAAGGTATTTGATATCAACTTCAAATATATCACAATAATGCAATTCGAATTTATAGTCAAGTTCTCGAAGTGATGCAAGCTCTTGCCAATCTGCCTGGTCAATATCCAACCGAAGAGAAGGTTTCTGATCTACCCGCGGTTTTCCTCACGTCTTTACGCGATGAACTCAAAAGTGTTATGAATTCAGACGCGAAGTATGATCCTCAGGTATAGTTGTATATTTTTTTTGTCTTTTTCAAAAATTAATTCACTATATTCAGTTAATTGCAAATATTGCACAATTTTATGCCCAAATATTACATATGGCGATTTTCAAGCTCACGTATCCAACAGCAGAACAATTCGAAGGGTTTTCTGTTGAAGACAGAGACTTATTTATTAAGTGAGTTGCTTAAATTTTAAGAAATATTGGGAACTGACATATTTCAGTTATCGAAATATGCGCAGCGAAGCATCTGTAGACTGCTATTTGCTGTCCGGTAGCAACACATTAGAGTTTTTGAACCAAAAATTAGAAGAAGCTCTCAAAGAAGCTCATCTGAACCGAAGCGAATCGGTGTTGTTCCTTTTGGAATGCGTTGGCGACTATCTCACCGAGCGAGACTACCCGCAAATTCTACGGTGTATTGAGTTGATCGCAACAAATTTGAAGATTCCACTCACACTGCAGCTTAATCCTGATCACTGCCGACGTGCGCGCACATTGATGAAGCTCCTTTATTCGCTATCACACCTTGTACAGGCGCACGATCACGCTTCTGAGCTAGAAGCCGCCATATTTCCAGTCATTCTCTCGTACATCGTTAAACGATGCGAATCTAATCAATCTCTTTGCACTTTGGAAAAATATGTCGAAGATAGACCTGAGAGTTTGGAGGTAAGCAATGTTTGAATATAGGAATTTGCTACACAATCTAATATAAAAAGAAATTTGTTGTTCAGTATTGCGGAGACGAAATCTCGCAAACTTGCTACGACTTTTTCAACGATGAATTTCAACCGAAAAAACTTCGACTAAACGCCTTAAAATGCATCGGATACGTCCTTTCACGAAAATCGCCACAAGACACGATGGCAAGAAGCACAAAATTTTACAAAATTGATTTATTATCGATTCAATTTTCAGAAAATCGTTTGTAAAATTTTGGGAAACTATATTGGAGATGTGGAAGATACATTAAGTGATGAAGAGAAAATCGAGCGATATTCTTTCCAGTTCAATATTTTCTCAGCGCTTTTCTCGAGCTTAAATCCAAAAAAATCGACGCGTCCTGTCGACGAAGAACCAGCAATTGTGCTAATTCTGAGAGAGGCAATTCCCGTTTTTGAACGAATTTGCGGACAAATCAGCGGCGGACGACTTATTGATGACGTGTGTGATACTGTAGGAAACGAATCATCAAAAATCGATGTATTTGATATATTTCGACAGGTGCGGACCGTTTTAACAGCGCTACCCGACAAATACCTTCCGGACTTCTTCCCATTTGTAGTTAATCTGCTCAATTCGGCTTTGATCACGAATGCATCGGCCGCATGCACGCTAGCAATGTCGACAGTTTTGGTAGATGAAATTGAATGCGAATTATCTCGAAATCGTCGAATTTTATAGCAATGTGGTCCGTTAGTTGGAATTGACATGTGCAATGCAATCTGCAGTTGGTTCAACATGTTCGAGCAAAGATTCGGCGATTCTCAAATGGATGAATGGCTTTCGTTCATTTATCAAGTTGTCAAGAAAGACTGGAAAACGTTGAGGAAACATGGAGAAGCGTCGATGGCTGGAATTCAGAGCGTTTTGAATATTTGCGCTTCGGTAGGTTGCGCACAATTGTTCCAGTTAATTATTATCGGTTTATTCAGACAATTGCTCAATCACAAGAGCCGTTTGTTGTTAGAACGGCGGCTCAGATTCTGGCCTGTATTGCGACTCATACAACGAACAACGATGACGCGGCAATGAAGAATGTTCTCGCCAAATATGGCGCCGATTTGATAAAATCGATATTCGCAAGGGTCCAATGTGAATTGGTTCGTACTACTGTTGAATCACTTGCTGAAGTCTTATTTTTCTATTTCCAACAATTCACAACTGAAACAAGGTAATCGTTGTTTTTCCGATCTCAATAATTCGATTTTTCTTGAAGAGAGGTGATCAATGGAGAACCTTACGGAAGCACTCCAATGGTCGCCGCGTTGTTTCGCGATATCGGAAGTCTGCGAAATTTCAAACAAATGACGATTCGATTCAATAACGCCGCGATTCGAGACGCCGGCTCGGCCAAGTAATGCAAATCACGTGTATGCAGACTAAAAGTGCAGTAATAACAAGAAAATAGTGGGAAAAATAAATAATACAGAGCATTCAAAAACAAAATGTTATTTTGATTATTGTTATTGGGAATTAAGGCAATTTCTATCGAATTATCGACCCAGCGGAATATTGCGTTTGGAACTAAAAAGTGAATGACTCGGTAAGGTTATTCCCATAACAACCTTGGCAAGTGGAGTGGACATATTAAATTGCGTGCGATTTTAATTATATACAATTTTGTACTTGAATTTCTTAAAAATTCGCATTTAGAACCCGCGTTTTAAGCTCGTCGAGAAGTGTTGTCATTTGCTTTTTGTAGTGAGTCGACTGCTAAAATCCGAACATTTTGAGGCTTGAATTCAAAATTCAAAAATGTACCTGATTTATTAGTTTTTGAAGTTTACTAATTTGGGCATCTCTCTCTTTCAGTTGCTCTTTCAACATTTTGATCTCGTTGTCTTTTTCGATATTTCGAACTATCTCCTCGATATTTGACAATATTTCCATCGTGGCACCTAAAAAAATGATAATGAGCGTCATGAATTTTTATATTGTTAAACGAACTATTGTCGCTATCAATGGTATTCTTTTGGCGCTCATTCTCAACGGCCTCATGCTCATCTGGCTCCAACGAAGTACGAGATGTCGATTGATTGCTCTCGCCTGATCCCGATGTATTTGCCATATTCGATTCAGCCCTACAAACGAGAAAAGAAATTTGTTGTGAATTAAAAAATAATAATTCTGACTCGTTCTTCATTCGACGTCTTCTCTTGCAGTTCGAGTAGAGTTTCTTGGCCTGTTCGACCCCAAGACCTCCCAAAATCGAAGCGTATTTCTCGTTGGTCTCATTGGTTATTTTAATCCACATATTATGCCTTTCTGCATTTACAGTCGCCGATCTGAATGTTGCAGAAACTCAAAAAAAAAACATCGGAAATTATAATCCCACCTTGATGAATTGTCGAAGCACATTCTTTGAATATAATACTCGGCGCGTTTTACAACGAAATCGTGGCGTTCCTTTTTGAGAAAATAAATACGCTCGCCTGCAGAGAATGGAGTAGTCGAAGGGGAAGGAGTCGACGAAGTGAACGGAGTCTCGGATTTAGTAGCTACTTCGAATTTATGTGTCGAATCATTTGTTAGAATGTTTTGCGAGAGCATTCTAAACAATTTCTCATTGTAGATTGTATTTTAATGAATTTTTACGTCAAAAGATCGCTAAAATGCTCTCTTCCATTCTCTTCAACTTTTTCAGGCTCTTCGTCAACTTTCAAATCTTCCATTGGTGTCAGTGATGGAATTGAAACTCCTTTACTGAATCCAAAATTCAAATGTTCATCATATCATTTTTCCTAATATTTAATTGACTTACATGTTATCGAAATTTCCTTCTTCTTTCTTTTTGTAATACGTCAGCAACTTTTTGACTTTATCAACTGAGAGAACTTCGAGTTTTTCGCCGAACTCGTCGTTAATTTTTCGAGTGATTTCTTCCCAAATCATTGCTCTTTCGTGGTTCTTTTCGAAGCGACGAGCAGATGCCGAGCTCTGAAACACCCGCAGAAATATTTTGATTCGAAGCAAATGTAAACATACGGAAAGGGATGGCTGTTCGCGGAATAACTGAAGAAGACGATCGCCACGGTCTTTACGGAGTTCGCGATCTTCGGTCGTGAAACCTCCTTTCGAATCACTAAATCATTAAAATTGAAGAAAAAATTCAATAAAAACAGCAAATCGGCACCTGCTTCCAAAATTGATGAAATTCAACAGTGTCGTTTCATTATCAGGATTCATTCCCTCGTTTTCTTTCAACTTCTTCACATTGCTAATGCAACTGCAAAATTAATAATACATTTTTCGGACAAATGTCTTCACTGACTCATCGATTCTCATTCGCTTTGCACATATGCCGGATTCAGACATTTTGAACCCCCAAGCTCAAACTGAAATCAGAATCACATTCGATTAATTTGGAAACTTTTTAAGCTTCACAGCAATTAAAATAAACAATTTGGACGCATTATTGCGTTATGGTGATTGCGGACACTTTTGAAAAGGCGAAGCTACAGTAGTCAGAAATTGATGTATTAAAGTTAGCAAAAAAAGTCCAAAGTTTCATCTGTCACTGACCGCATCTAGGACTATTTTCGAAAACAAAAATAACTATTGCAAGCCGCGGCGCGAAAAATGCGAAAAACACAGGCGAATGTTTTTTTTTACAGACGGTCATCAAGCTTTTTGCCTGATAAAATCGAGAAATTTGATTAAAACGGAACGAAGAAAACATTTTCCCAATAGGCGGGTGGTAATTGATAAGGAAATGGTGTTGAGATTGAGCTCAGACGATGGAAGAGGGCGCAATTGAAGGTGTCACGGAGGAAAGTGGGCGAACGAATGCGAAGGAGGCCGAATGAAATGATACACACGGTTGGACAGCGATTCTCATCGAGAGCGAGCCGCTGCACACACACAGGCATGAGACCATACGTGTTAAGAACAAATTTTGAGGAATACGAGATGGACTGTGGCTATTCGAGAGACGCAGCGCTTGAGGAGGAGCGGACACATCATTGATAAGCAACTTGTATATGCATTCTGATCACAATATATTTTTTTTGATATTGATCGGCAATAAGCTCATTCAAATTTTTCTCGACATTTATGAAAATTCCCAAAAAAGAGGCTCTCAAATTACATTTCATGATAGGGAAATGTTGAAAAATCTATCATAATTCGGAATTCGATCACGATAAAATAATTTTGTTTTCATTAAAAAAATAAAATGAGTCAGTGTGTTTTCAAGATCGACACTTATGAATGTTTTGAGAAAGAGGTGTTCCAATCGCAAAGTTTTTTTTCCAATTATTCACTATAATAATTTATGACGGTATACAATAATGTGTTCTCCAAATCGTCCTAATTGATTTTTTCAATCAAAAAAAAATTAATTCACAACAAAACGCGGTAGTATCGAAAATATCAATTTTACGGGTCTTTTTGAAATTTTAAAAAGATCGAATTAGAAATTAACAAAGAAATAAAAAAAAACAAAAATGGAATAGAAAAATTGAAAGAAAATTATTAAACAAATTCAAATCATTTTTACTATTTTTTTTTTAATGAATTTCTTTGATGACGATTTTTTTCTTTTCAAATAGAAAAATGATTGGTCGTTTCAAATTTCAAGTTTTCAAAAAAAATTAATAAAACCCTTGATCACATCAGTCTGCGCTATCATTTAAATTATTTTCCGTTATGACAACGTTTTAATATCGCAATTTTTTCTCGTTTATACAAAAAGAAACGGTATTAATGATACACTCATGTATCGATCATCTAATGGCGCAAACTTTGAAGAATGAGTCAAACCAGCAAATAGTGATGATGAGCTGGCATGAGCCGAGGAGAGTGTTAGCACAGGCGGTTGTGCATACGGGACGATAACACGGTGTATTGAGCAATCATGAGGTTCGTTTTATCAGTAAGACTCAGCGGGATGGACAGATTCAAAATTGATGTGCATACGCATCAAACTGAGTCGTGTTTGCAATCTTAAAAGACAGATTTCTTACCGATGCCATATTTGGAATGCAAACCATAGATTGGTGCGAAACCCGTAAGTTGTCGGCTGTTGGATGTGTATAGGTGTCCGTGCATCGCCATTCGGGTCAACTCTGGTTCCTTTGCATTTGACCGTGAAAATCTTTCGCCTTTTACTAAAGATTTCCGTGCAAAGGGACACATAATGAGTATACAATCAATTTTTGGAATCCCCTCGAAAGAGCGGGATAATAAATACAAATCTGAAATAACGGCTACTTCATTTATACGGACTGGCAATTCGTCAGGCCATTATTCAAAAAATAAACACATTTTTGTTTTAGAAAATTTCAATTTATTTCATCAAAAACGCGGCAATTTAAAATTCTCTGTAAGATAGAAGGGGTGACTCGGCTTCTCAGAGGTATTGTCAAATGCAGACAACTGTGGGAAATTTCAATATCGTCGACGTCAAATTACCCGTCAGTGTATATATACGAACTTGTAAATTTTCGTGCTTTGATCTATTCCATGGTTGCGCATGTGTCTAATAGGCAGCCAAAGCAGGAATTCAACAAGAAAAACTTAATCATATTAAAAATCACATAAGAATTCATTGGGAAACTATAAGCACTGTGACGATCGTGCCCGTAAAACTACCAAAAGTCATTCGAACACCGATTAATTTCATTTTCAATCTGAAAAGGTTGTCTATGTCTTTTTGGGAAAAGGGTCCACATTTGCTGAAAATTTTATCCCGGTCTTTCAAGGGGATTCCAAAAATTAATTGTATACTCATTATGTGTTCCTTTGCACGGAAATCTTTATTAAAAGGCGAAATATTTTCACGGTTAAATGCGAAGGCACCTGAGTGATCGCGAACGACGATGTACGGACACCTATACACAACCAACTGCCGACAACTTACGGGTTTCGCACCTACGTATAATTTGCGTTCCAAATATGTCTAGAATTTACGTGTTTTTTCTTTGTTTCGAATCACTCCTAACTCTAAAAATACCGTTTTCGTTTTAAAAAATCGAAATTGAAGGATAGAATTTAAATTGATCGTTGACTGAAATATTAAATGCGCGTACACTATAATGCAATGTACGCAATCGTCTTGCGTACTTCTCGCTGCCTTGAGACGCATTGGCACACAGCCAATAATATTTTTTTTAATTTCATCCAGTCGTTTGACTCCGACAATAACTAAAATTTTTTTTGTAATATAAATCAATAGATTTCGAATATTTTGAATCATTTTCAAATCGAGTTTGAAACTTTTTTAATTAAAATTATTTTATATATCATTTTTCTTCGAATCCGATTGATTTTCAGTTATGTCGGAAAATGAAAATTGATTGATAGGATAGGCAACTTTTCGTTTCAAAGTCTGATTAATTTGAAATTGGAAATTATAAATCAAGAAATAATAAAAGCGTTCGCACAAAAAAAAAATAACAAAACGAGTGAAAACGAAGACTTGGAGCTCAATGTGAAAGAATGAGCAGACTGCTCGCAATTCTTGACAACCGCTGATGTTGCCATAGTCACTCATTTCAGAATTCAACCAAACTCGCCAAAATTTCCAGAATTATCTTGGAAATGAGGAGCACAATGAGAAGAGAGGCACAAACAACAGGCATTTGTCGGTTGGTAGGTAGCATGATGCTCGCGCCTCGATCCAGACAGTCAGCGACGGCAGCCGCAGCAGTTCCAACTCGTATCTGTTTGTTCAGCCTTTCAAGTCGCGCACACCTTTCAATTTTTCGCCCTCCTTCATTTCTCTTCTTTTTCGCTTCTTGTCTGTGCATTGTCAATGGCATTGTGTGCAGGTGGCGCTCGTGCTCCTTCCGAGGGATGAGCACTGTCTGTGTGTTTTTGGCCACAAAAAAAAGACGATACAATACACAAGTGTGAGTTCAATCGACTGTCAAAAACAACCACCTTTCTAATGCGAATTATTTATTTCTTCTAAAACACGATTGCTACGAATAAATTACACATACATATTTCAAAAGAATAGTAAAAACTATTTATAACAGTAAATTGCTTGGATTTGTGGCCCTAAAGAGGGCCGTTGGGGTTCGGTATGATGTGTGCGGACACAAGAGTTTACTCCTTCTCTCCGGCAGTCTTCTTTGGAAGAAGAATAGCCTGGATGTTGGGGAGAACTCCTCCTTGAGCGATGGTCACACCGGCGAGAAGTTTGTTCAATTCATCGTCGTTGCGAACGGCAAGCTGGAGATGTCTTGGGTTGATTCTCGTCTTCTTGTTATCACGGGCAGCATTACCGACCAACTCGAGAACCTCAGCAGCGAGGTATTCGGGAACAGCGGCCAAGTAAACTGGGGCTCCGGCTCCGACGCGTTGAGCGTAGTTTCCTTTGCGAAGAAGACGGTGAAGACGACCGACCGGGAATTGAAGTCCGGCTCTCGATGAACGAGATTTCGCCTTTCCTCCGGTCTTCGCTTTTCCTCCCTTTCCACGTCCAGACATATTGACTTACAGCACTAATTACTCAAAATGAGCTAAAGAAGGTCCTTCCCTCGCCTTTTATACATTCATGGGCGTGGTTTTATCTAACCCCCCTTCTGCGACACCGGCGCGCCAATTTGCTTTGTTTAATTCACTTGCCACTACACGGGGACACCATATCAAATGACCCGCCTCTGCCGCAGTTTCGTATAAAAAATTTGAAAACGAATGTCAAGTTACGAGACAAGTCTCTAAAGCATTCGAAATGGCCCGTACCAAGCAAACCGCCCGCAAATCGACTGGAGGAAAGGCTCCAAGAAAGCAATTGGCCACCAAGGCTGCCCGTAAATCGGCCCCAGCCACCGGTGGAGTCAAGAAGCCACATCGCTACCGTCCAGGAACCGTCGCTCTTCGTGAAATCCGTCGTTACCAGAAATCGACTGAGCTCCTCATCCGCAAGTTGCCGTTCCAGCGACTTGTTCGTGAGATCGCTCAAGATTTCAAGACTGATCTTCGCTTCCAATCGTCGGCTGTTATGGCTCTTCAGGAGGCCGCCGAGGCCTACTTGGTCGGTCTTTTCGAAGACACCAACTTGTGCGCCATTCACGCCAAGCGTGTCACCATCATGCCAAAGGACATCCAGCTCGCTCGCAGAATCCGAGGAGAAAGAGCATAAATCGCTTGATCATCTCGTATAACCGAACCCCAACGGCCCTCTTTAGGGCCACAAATCTATTTGAATGTATTTTTTGAATAAATAATTTTATTTTGAACCCCTTGTCTGTAATAATTCTATATGAAAAAATCGAATCGCTCAAGGACGGTCCAAACCGACCGCTCAGCGAAAAATGAATGGAAAGTGGACATTTTTGCCCACTTAATTATTTCGGTTTAGTTTTCTCAAAAAACCCGTATCAAGGGGCAATGAAAATCAATCGGATTTTAGGAAAAAAAGTATAAATTAACATTCAATTCGAAAACTGCGTTTTGATTCAACTCTTCGAAATCGATTGATTTATTTTTTGATTTTGAAACCGTTCATGAATTTAATTTTAGAATAATACGAAACAATGTTAATTTATATTCGCTTTCGATTGAAAACGCAATTATTTTCGAATCCCATTGATTTTCATTTACTAGAGAACTTGATATAATTTATGTTCGTGCAACAAGTTCACCGATTTTTTCACTGTTTAAATTCTAATTTGACCTATGCGTCAAAAAATACGAAAGTCCACAATTTTTCAAGATGTTTGCCGTGACCGAAACTGATTTTTCTAGTGCAACACGTGTGACATACGTTTTGTCAGAATCGTTCCTCACAGATCGTGCGCCCTCGCTCCGCGACACCTATTGTAACTCCACCCCCCTCCGCGCGTTATCGTAAATAGAAAATGATTCGACTGGACGCTACACTTGAGTCAACAAGTTCAACCAATTCGCCATGGCACCACCAAAACCGTCTGCTAAAGGAGCAAAGAAAGCCGCCAAGTCCCAGAAGCCCCGTGATGGAGCCAAGAAGAGACACAACAAGAGAAAGGAGTCGTACTCGACCTACATCTACCGTGTTCTCAAGCAAGTCCATCCAGACACCGGAGTCTCGTCGAAGGCTATGTCGATCATGAATTCGTTCGTGAACGACGTTTTCGAGAGAATCGCCGCTGAAGCTTCCCGATTGGCCCACTACAACAAGAGATCGACCATCTCGTCTCGCGAAATCCAAACCGCGGTCAGATTGATCTTGCCGGGAGAATTGGCGAAACACGCCGTTTCGGAAGGAACCAAGGCTGTCACCAAGTACACCTCCAGCAAGTAAATTCTTCGTTGAATTTACCTGCTATAACCGAACCCCAACGGCCCTCTTTAGGGCCACAATTATCATTGAATTGTTCATTAAATAAATATTTTCGATTAATAATACAAATAAAAACTAGTATCTAATGGAGAAAAATTTATTGAAGTTATAATGATAGTCACCGTAATAATCAGGTATTGGTTTTACGAAATGTATTTTATTTATCGATTGGTATTTTTTCGGACCCGATTGAGTTTTAAGATAAATCAAACTCAACAGGATTCGAAAAAAACTGAAGAATATAAATATATTGGAATTTAAACAGCGGGAATACGAATGATTTTGATTCAAAAATATTCGAAATAAATATATCCCTCATTTTTTATTTTGAATCTGTATTCGGTTGATGTGCATTTTGACATAATTCGAAACAGTTTAACTTATATTTGATTCCGTTTAAAATCGAAATTATTTTCGTTTCGCAAAAGATTTGAATCTATGGTTTCCCGCCAATTATGCGCGTCTTTTCTGTGACGTCACAATGCACATTTGCTGGTTTTTTGGCGTCGTTTTCGGTCGATTATCGAATGCGACAAAAGAATTCCAGATGTGAGAAGTGACACGACTAAAATTTGAAGAGACCCCTGATAAAAATAGCGGTGATAATAAAAAATTCGAGATTTTTTGGTTTAAAAATTGTTTTTCAATAAGTTGCAAACCATTTTTCAATTTAATCGCTGCAAGAATCATAAAAGTTTGTATATGCGTTTTTTGCACTTCGAAATAATGAAATGATAGCGCCAATTTACAAAAAAAAGTGATACATGACCACTCAGCTGATATGAAAATCAATCGTATTCGAAAATTATTTTTCCATCGTATACGATTTTTTTTAATTTCGAAAAGTTGAATTTAAACACTTTCTCAATGAAATCAGGTTATTTTTCTTTGAATTTCACTGATTTTCTTTTACCTGAGTTATAAAAATGAGCTCAAGCAAAATGACTTTATTCAGAACAATACAACATTTACTTACGCGCATTGGAAAGTTTGTAATTTTATTTATACATTATATTTATTATACGAATTGAACAATTTTCATAATTGTGGCCCTAAAGAGGGCCGTTGGGGTTCGGTTATACGAGATGATCAAGCGATTTACGCTCTTTCTCCTCGGATTCTGCGAGCGAGCTGGATGTCCTTTGGCATGATGGTGACACGCTTGGCGTGAATGGCGCACAAGTTGGTGTCTTCGAAAAGACCGACCAAGTAGGCCTCGGCGGCCTCCTGAAGAGCCATAACAGCCGACGATTGGAAGCGAAGATCAGTCTTGAAATCTTGAGCGATCTCACGAACAAGTCGCTGGAACGGCAACTTGCGGATGAGGAGCTCAGTCGATTTCTGGTAACGACGGATTTCACGAAGAGCGACGGTTCCTGGACGGTAGCGATGTGGCTTCTTGACTCCACCGGTGGCTGGGGCCGATTTACGGGCAGCCTTGGTGGCCAATTGTTTTCTTGGAGCCTTTCCTCCGGTCGATTTGCGGGCGGTTTGCTTGGTACGGGCCATTTCGAATGCTTTAGAGATTTGTCTCGTGACTTTTCTACTAACACTTTCTCCTTTTATACCATCCGCTCAGACGCAGTGGAGGGGGCGGGGTGACGCAACCTATCTGGGTGGTGTCGCAGAATGGGGAACAAAACTGCAACGCAGACCATCGGGCAAAAACAAATGTGTCGCGGAGCGGGGGTTCAAATTAACTCCACCTACTGTGGTATAAAAGACGCGCTGAATTCAGATTTCTTCAGCTCATTTCGAGTATCATCTGCATCAAGTCAACATGTCCGGCCGTGGAAAGGGAGGAAAAGGTCTTGGAAAAGGAGGAGCCAAGCGCCATCGCAAAGTTCTCCGCGATAACATCCAAGGAATCACCAAGCCGGCTATTCGCCGTCTTGCCCGTCGTGGTGGAGTCAAGCGTATTTCTGGATTGATCTACGAAGAGACCCGTGGAGTGCTCAAGGTTTTCCTTGAGAACGTGATCCGTGACGCCGTCACCTACTGCGAGCACGCCAAGAGAAAGACCGTCACCGCCATGGATGTCGTCTACGCCCTCAAGCGACAAGGCCGCACCCTCTACGGATTCGGAGGATAATTTCGATTATTCTTTGCTTTCCTGCAGGAATCAACACCGAACCCCAACGGCCCTCTTTAGGGCCACAAATGTACTTTTCATTATTATTTATTGAATAAATTAGTTTTTTATTTGCATATTCCAGAAACCAAATGAATGAAAATAGATAATTTCAAATATAACTGGAATCTTTTAGAACCGCGACCTACTTTAGCGATGAAAAGAGTTTTCTAAAACGTATTTAAACACTGGTATAGTATGAAATTCATTGAAAACTACAGTATTCATAAAACGAAAATATATAAACCAAGCAAAGCTCTTCGAAAATAAAAAAGAAAGCGCGACATATTTTTCTGCGTGATTTTCAAAAATCAGTCGAACTCACAATCATTTCAATTCGCGTTCAGAACCGTCCGTCCAATTTGCTTGGTGAGTTTTTGTTTTTAATTTTGTTACATTTTTTCAACATTTTTGAATTTGTTGGCAATTAAATAGAGATGAGGACAACTGCCAGCGATAACTCGAAAGTCGATCGCAATTATCTTGTGATTCGCTCATCGAGGACGAATTCGTTGACTCGAATTTGTCGCTATTAAGCCCGCACGAGCGCGGTGGCCGGTCAAACCACCCGGCCGCCGAGAAACGCTCCGCCTCGGTGGTCCGAAGGGCCCGACGACTGTAAAGGAGGAAGTCCGCTGGCGGTTGTGTGGTTTGAAATATCTCTCAAATTGCGAAACTTTTTTATTTCGAAAAAATGTGCAATCCTCAAATTGAAAAAAATATTATTGAATCCCTTATTTCATGAGCTCTCTTCTCTGTGATGTCGACCTCGAATTGATGCGAAATTCAACAGCAATTTATTTGGTATGAAATAGGCATTTTGATTTCTTATTTCAAATTTTATTTGCAGTTTTGATTCAAATTTCGAAAACAGCTTCTAATAGATCCTCATTTGCCTACTTTCTACTATTATTCCGTGAGTCTTCATCTATTTATTATCAGTTTCAAACGACTGATCGAAATCCAAAAATATTCGAAATACGCGCCTTTAATTTTGAATAAACAATAAATTTTTTCGGAAAATATCGCCCATCGAGCATGTGTGTTTTAATTTTAAAACGAAGCCTTATAATTAAACAATAGGGCAATGCAAACTAAATTTAAAAAATAAACATTGAGAATATTTCAAAAAATTCCAAATTAATAATTATTTTCCATTTTTGCTTCATTCAATTTTTGTCTATTTTTTATTTCTTCTGCATTGCCCCTTTAAAACCCGTGTTGTCCTTACGAGAATATCAATTATCTCATGTTTTTCAGCAAGATTCCCGTATTTCAGCAGCCACAGCAAACAGAATGATGGACATCTCTTGCATTCCCTTCTTTCCAATATTTCTGTTTGGTTTTTATTTCAGCAGTCACCCCGTATAAGCGGATGACCTGCTATCTCTTTTTTCATTTATTTTCTGTTCCTCAACTTTTTCGTGATTTCCGCTGTTTCGTTCTGAGACCACAAGTTCCCCGATTTCCGAGTTGAATTGTCAGGGTTATCAAAATAAGACTATATTTGGGAAGTTGGGCAAATTGGCAAAATGCCAAAAAACAAAGACAATGGTCTTGGCGCCAAACTAATAGTGTAGATTTACGGGCCTATAGTTAAAGGCGCACATCGCGCTCTGAGACCTCTTCTAATTTTTTGGCATTTAGCCAATTTTCCGTAAACGAGCGATTCCAAAAATACCATTGCAAAAAAAGGACTTCAGGAGTAATTGTGGACCATCGTTTGTTATTCGGATTGACTGTTCAAATGTTCATTTAAATAGTGGAAATTCGGATACCGTACTCCGAATAACCTGCGAATCAAACTCGCCGTAAATCGGCCCAAAGTTCTCGGTTTCGCCGAATGTAATGATTGCTTGTTGGAAAATGGATGATCTGGGCGATCGTGCAGATAAGGTCCCGACAGTGGGGGAAAGGTCCCCGCAATTGCAGCAGAAGTCGCCACTTACACTGAAAGTGGGGACATCTTCATTTGGGACTTTAGCTTCACTATGGCAACGTATATCGGACCTCATCTCCACTGTGGGGACCTTATCTGCACGATTTTTGGTAGCTGATCTTCCGTTCCAGGCGATCCTGCAGATAGGCTCCCCACAAGTTGCATTATTCAGCCCCGCGGAAAAATTGCATTTAAAAAACGCGCATAGTGCAGTATAGGTCCCCCAAAAAATCGGAAATGGACTGAAAATATCGATATTTTATAAAAGTTTGATAATTCAAAACTACCTTATTAACTCAATAGTAAGAAAAATAAATGAAATTGGATCATTTACAGTGAGCATTTATTTTCCTGAAAACATAGATGTTACACTTTTCTTGGAATGTCAAGATGACGCGAATTTACATTGCCGCAGCATTTATATTTCGGAAAAAAAGCGATTCACGTTCAAACCGTTAAAATCAGCAAAAACAAAATGAATAGAATGGAAATAAATAGGCGCCACGCACATGCACGTGGAATAATAATGTGAGCCAACACGATGCCGCCAATTGCTTATTTGTTAATTACGAAACGAAATAATATTGTCAAACCCTCATTGCGCCGATGAGATCCACGCACGGTACCGAATACATTTTGATCGCGGGGGACCTATACTGCACTATGTGGGTCCCTTAAATGCAATTTTTCCGCGGGGCTGTATAATACATCGTGTGGGGTGTTTAGCTGCATGTTAGCCGAAAAGCGTTATAGTCCGATTCCGTCAGCTTCCTTTTATCTTTGAGGTATCGAAATACAAGAAATTGGAAAATTAGAGTGCTCAATTACTTGAAAAAAATTACAATAAAATGCATTCGGTGAAAACACGCTATGCTCATTTTTGGAAATTTGTGTTTCAATTTCAGATTTTTTGATTAAAACACGTATGTACGTATTGAGCTCTGTTCAATGATTTAAAATTTTTCGAATTCTTATTTGGTTTCGATGATATGTTTCCGATTTTTTTATTATCCCACCTTTTTTTCAAATATTAGTTGTGTCACAGCTGGAATTCTTTTGTCGCATTCGATAATCGACCGAAAACGACGCCAAAAACCAGCAAATGTGCATTGTGACGTCACAGAAAAGACGCGCATAATTGGCGGGAAACCATAGATTCAAATCTTTTTGCGAAATGAAAATCGATCGGATTCGAAAATCATTTCGATTTCAATCGGATTCAATTTTAAGTTAAACAGTTCCGAATTATGTCAAAATTCGTCCGCGCGGCGTCCGTCAATTTTTTCTATAGAAAGCCGCCCGCTGTGATATACCGAGGAAATTTCAGAAAACTGAAACGCGACTATTAGTATAACTTCAGCAAATTTTCTTCCATTAGATTACATGTTTTTATTTGTATTAGAAAAGTTATTATCGAAATCATTTATTAAATCAAACAATTCAATGATAATTGTGGCCCTAAAGAGGGCCGTTGGGGTTCGGTTATAGCAGGTAAATTCAACGAAGAATTTACTTGCTGGAGGTGTACTTGGTGACAGCCTTGGTTCCTTCCGAAACGGCGTGTTTCGCCAATTCTCCCGGCAAGATCAATCTGACCGCGGTTTGGATTTCGCGAGACGAGATGGTCGATCTCTTGTTGTAGTGGGCCAATCGGGAAGCTTCAGCGGCGATTCTCTCGAAAACGTCGTTCACGAACGAATTCATGATCGACATAGCCTTCGACGAGACTCCGGTGTCTGGATGGACTTGCTTGAGAACACGGTAGATGTAGGTCGAGTACGACTCCTTTCTCTTGTTGTGTCTCTTCTTGGCTCCATCACGGGGCTTCTGGGACTTGGCGGCTTTCTTTGCTCCTTTAGCAGATGGTTTTGGTGGTGCCATGGCGAATTGGTTGAACTTGTTGACTCAAGTGTAGCGTCCAGTCGAATCATTTTCTATTTATGATAACGCGCGGAGGGGGTGGAGTTACAATAGGTGTCGCAGAGCGAGGGCGCAAGATCTGTTGCGAGAAGGGTGACAGTGCGAAACGATTCTGAATGCTGAGCATGTGTCGCAGAGTAAGGGTTAACTCCGCCCCCTCCGCGCACAGTCATTTATAATAGAATGCGACTTTCGAATCTTCAGTGTGAATTTCACAACACGAACCTAGCGACTTCATCATGTCTGGACGTGGTAAGGGAGGAAAAGCCAAGACCGGAGGAAAGGCGAAATCTCGTTCATCGAGAGCCGGACTTCAATTCCCAGTCGGTCGTCTTCACCGTCTTCTTCGCAAAGGAAACTACGCTCAACGCGTCGGAGCCGGAGCCCCAGTTTACTTGGCCGCTGTTCTCGAATACCTCGCTGCTGAGGTTCTCGAGTTGGCCGGTAATGCTGCCCGTGATAACAAGAAGACGAGAATCAACCCAAGACATCTCCAGCTTGCCGTTCGCAACGACGAGGAATTGAACAAACTTCTCGCCGGTGTGACCATCGCTCAAGGAGGAGTTCTCCCCAACATCCAGGCTATTCTTCTTCCAAAGAAGACTGCCGGAGAGAAGGAGTAAACTCTTGTGTCCGCACACATCATACCGAACCCCAACGGCCCTCTTTAGGGCCACAATTATCATTGAATTGTTGTTTTAATAAACTTGATTTTGTTTAAAAAAAAATATGTCGGCAGAACGAACTATAAAAACTGCGGAATTAATTTCTATCTGATAAAATTGAGCGTGAAATATTGAAACACTTCATTATTCCTATTAATCACGACGAAGACTTTCGCGAATTCGAGATGGACAAAATAGCTGACGTTGCTAATATACCAAGTGGACAAAAGGTTTCATCATTGAATTTTATTTGTCAGTTATCACTTTTAAGATATATAAATGGACGATTGAGCGAAAATTGGCGCAAGGCGATTTCACCCATGTGTACGTGTGCAGCGGGCAGAGCAGCAGCTCGGCATACACGAAATTCGCACTGAAATGTGAAAAAGCAGATAGTAATCTTCAAGTAAGTTACCAATTTCTGAAATTAAAAAACACACATTTTGAGATTGTTTAACTTTTTCACAAATTTTCGATTTTCAATTAAAAATGGACTCAAATATTTTACTGAAAACAAGTGTTTCCAATTGAATCAAAACTCAAACTATTCAATTTGTTTTTCGTTTTTCATCAATCAATTTTAGATGCTCAAAGTTGAAGCATATGTGCTGCAGAAAATTGCTCGTCGCGGCTCTCGCCATTTTTGCGACATCGAGGATATCGGAAAATATCATTCTGTTCATTATATTGTTATGCATTTGCTTGGTCGAGCCCTCGTGGTCCGAAATGCGCGATTATAATCTGACAACCAATAATCTGAATTTAGGATTATTTGAAAGCGTCGCCGACTGGAACATTCAGCGTGAATTGCGCATTAAGCGTCGGAATTCAAATATTTGAAGCGCTAGAAGGTTTTTTGTTTCGTTTTTTTTTTTTTAATTTCAGACAACTTCGAAACGAAACATAGATATTTGAGATCTCCACAATGCTGGTTTTATTCATCGCGATTTGAAACCATCGAATATTTGTATGGGCCGTTTCGATCGCGGCGAACTCGGCAAATTGTATTTGTTGAGCTTCTCGATTGCTCGCAAATATCTCGATTCGAAAGGCGATATGCGAAAAGCGCGGCCGAGTGTGGAATTTCGCGGAACTGTTCGATATGCCTCGCAGAATTGCCATCAATTGCAGGAGCTCAGTCGAAAAGATGACTTAGAATCGGCATTCTACGTTGTCGTCGAAATGATAACCGGCGTTTTGCCGTGGAAAGGATTGCCGGATGCTGAAACCGTAGGATAATCGAGAACAAAAAAAAATTAATTGGGGAATTCGGTGTGATTTCTCAGGTGGCTCTGACGAAAGGAGCATGTCGAAATGTGCCAGGAATCAATCAATTATTGAAAGGAGCGTGTCCATTCGAGGAAATGAAGGAAGTGATGATGTCGATCGACTCGCTCAATTACATGTCGACTCCCGACTATCAATTCATTTATAATGTAAACGGCGATCGCCATGAATCGACTATCTCTTCTGATTTTTATTTTCAGACAATTCGTCGTGCGATTAAAAGAATTGGAATCCCCGAACATCCATATGATTGGGAATTGGGCGGCTCGAATTTTATGCCTGATCTTGTCTAGATTTCTCCTTCCCATTTTTTTGTGAATAAAGTTTCATCGAGAGATTGAAATGATCAAAAATCGGCAGTGAGGTATCGTAATAATGGTTGGGTCTTGAAGCAAAGAGAAGCATTCACCTACATTTTTGTCTCTCTCTCTCACTCTCTCTCTCTCTCTCTCTTTCATTAAACGAGAGAAGCGCTTTAAACGTGTTATCATTTGCTCTTTTTTTTGCAACGGCATTATGGACCTATTCATGCAATGAAAAAAAATTTAAAAAATCAATTTTTTTGATTTGAATTCCCTATGCACGCACGTCGAAAATTACAAAAAATTGACGCGTTATATCGTAATTCTCCGCTATTTATTTTTAAAGGCGCACGCGAAAAGTTGCCCGGGTCACGTCGCGAAGTCAGTACTGCATTTTTTTTTAATGGGTGTTTTTTTCGGATTTTTTTATTTTTCGAGCGTTTAAAAGTTTTCTTTTGGAAATCTGTAAAAGTATATTTTTAATCAACGTTATTTCATCATCGGGTTCATCAGAATCGTCATCGAGCGAAGTCTGCTTCAAATCAACACAAAAATCACTATTTTTCATAATAATTGGTATCTAAATGACGAAACATAGACATATATTGTCGAATTAAGAGTATTTATACCAATAATTGTTTTTTTTCCACGTTCTTCAATCCGTTACTCATTTCCTCTTCGAAGTGTTTGAAAAATACGGAAAAATAGCACACAAAATGAAAAATAAAAATACAGTACCGCCTTCGCGACGTAACCCGCACAACTTTTCACGTGCGTCTTTAAAAAATCAATAGCGGAGAATTACGATATATCGCGTCAATTTTTTTGGAATTTTCGACGTGCGTGCGTAGGGAATTCAAATGAAAAAAAAATTAATTTTTTAAATTTTTTTCATTGCATGAATAGGTCCATTAGTCTTATTTTTAAAAGAAACAAATTGCTACCAAAATCCGTCGTTACGGGACCCTGACCATTTTTTTGGAAATTAGACACAAAAAAGCAATTCAGATTAATTTTTATACGATATTTAAAATAAACCACAGTCTTGGGTCTCATCACGAGAAATTCTACTAGCATCCGATAAAAACAATAAAATTATATATTAATCGGGAAATTGTCGCCTATTGTTTTTTGCGACTTCTCTCGGTTGTTTTTCGAGCAACTCTTTTTTTCCGATATAAAATATGTATTTCATTTCGCCGGAATGAATTTGTTTCTTCTATCATTTCTCATATATTTGTATTTAATACTTGCAAAGCATCTCAATGATTTTTCACAAGGTGAAATTAAAAATAAATAAATAAAATCAAAAATAATATGTGTTGTAGTCGAAGAATCGAATGACGAAATGCTGAATTATGATTACGACGAAGATATTAATGAATATTCACAATGAAATTTATTTGCCAGTGTTTTGTTTTAGAATCACTTGGTTCGTGATCGAATTCCGCAGACGTATCCTCTAATCGATCGACCCATATTTCTGTCGTTCAATGTGTAGTCGCATCTGAAAATGAATCGAGTATAGAATGCGTGAATTCGCTCATGCTACTTTTCATCATCCATAGTTCCTGGATTCCATGTTCCCCATATGTCGTTCGATGGGTTTCCTCCCAACAGATAGAGACAGTTCTGATTGCCCATGTTATTATCGGGCTGACCGTCGCGGAATATGAATCCATCGACTCCTGTCACCATATTATCATTCCAGACGAATGCTTGTTTGGTGACCGGGAAGCATTGTGCTGGAATGTTGGAGGTCGTTCGACATTCCGATTTTCTCGTTCCTCCAATCCAAATTCCGCCGCTACTGTAGCCACTTTGGCGGATGACTTGCGTAGCTCGTTCTGAGAAAACGAATGCTGCTGGTTGACACAGTCAATTGAGTACCCGTGAAGAGAGTAAGCTCTTGTTGATCTTGGACTCCAGCGAGGAATGCCGAATGCTTCTGGCAACTCGCAACGGCTTCTGGCTGGGTCATTGTGCCAGCGAACACATTGAAGCAAAAGCCTCCGGAGGGTCTCGTGCGGAATGTCCAACCAAACGGACAGCCGTTTTCATCGACCTGCGCAACATTTTCAATGAAATTCCCAAAATTGACCGACTTACTCCAGTATTATTATTATTATTTCCAGGATTGCACTGTTGGTTTCCATTATTATTGCACGAATTATGGCAATTAGTATTACAACACTGATAGTACCACCATCCGCAATGTCTCGGCTTCAATCGGCATTTGCATGTCGCAGCTTGAGCTGTCGAACACAAAAATACGAAAAATATGCACAACGTTTTCTTCATTTTCGACCGCCACTAATCATTCAAAACTGACCGACTTTTATAATTTTTTTTATATTTGCTATTAAATTTTTACGGTTTTCTTCATTGATGTGGCAGTAAACTCTTTTTTCCTCAAATAATATATCGGGTACTTAATAACACAGTTTTTAGAACCTCGTGATTGGAAAAATGAATTCGAACGAACAATTACGCGTTGGGATAACTATATACATATTAGAAATAGTATTACTGTAGAAGACGCGTGTTAAAATTGGCTTAATGCCAGAATAAAAAGCAATCTGTGTGGCGTACTTGAAAATTTCCGGGTCGACCAGCCATCGCATTATTTTGAGTAGAATTAATTGTTCTTGGAACAAAAATTGCTCAGAAGTTCCCAAACAAAATTGATTGAACCAGCTTTCACAGTTTTCGTTTCATTTTCGATTTTTTTTATAATAAACGGGTCGGTGAAATTTTCACCCTGAAAAAAAGCGAAAAGCTGGTACAATTAGTTTTCGCGGATTTTTTAAAAATATTTTAAATGTACTTTCTGCTGTTTGATAAGTCATTCCTACTTCGCCACTTGAAACTTTGTTACTGACCAAAGCGTTATAAAATATTATGGCTTTTCACATTATGGATTTAAAAAAACTACTTTGAATGATTTTTTCCATACGAGACTCACGGCGGCAATTCAAACAGCCAACAAAGGGTATTGTCGGCGTCAAACGACTTGACGAAATTTTAAAAAATATTGGCTAATTGCCAGATTTCTCGAGGCGAAGAGAAGTGTATGTGGCATACACTTTGCAGCGTGTTTTGCGCAGCGTGTTTTTGGGCGCGTTATTTTTTGAGAATTTTTCTGTATCTCTTTTTTTATTAGCCAATTTCTTTTATTTTTACGGTTTATCTTACATTTTTATAATCGCTGATTTATAGTTTAAAATTTTCATATATTTTATGGCATTTTTTAATTAATTTGACATTGTAAAAACTTATTCTTCTTCATTTTCCGTTTCTTAATTTTTAGTACATTTTAGGAAACACAATCACATTGAACAGGAGCCGAAGGACTTTGAAAACTACTGAAGTTAACAAGACGGGTATTATTTTATTTTTATTTAAAATTGTCATTATTTTATCATTATAGTTGCAGCGACTACAATGGCATCAAATATTGAACCCTTCGCGCAACCTCGAAGACAACCTCCAACGGACACAAAATTCTGAGCTATAGCTCATATATATATGCTCGCCTCGGTACTTCACAGCTTCATCAATACTACGGAAAGGAAAAAATATACTCAATGACTTCAAGCTTCTTCCGAAAAGTACGTTATCATTTTTTTAAGCTTTGTAGACTCAGTTTTCTTTTTAATTTTCTATTCAATGTGAAGTTATTACTAGTTTTAGGCGATTGGAATCAACGCTCGTTTGGCTTTCGGTTATAAGTTTCAATTGTGCGGCGTCTTGGTGCATTTCGAGAATTCTCAATTAATCGGATGACTTTCCCCTTTGAACAATAATTTTCATACTATTTTTAAGGTAAATAAAACATTGTTGTGGTGCTCTTAAGATATTCGTTAAATGTACGATTCTCTCGTTTGTTTAAGTAAATGCCGTTAGTTCCGTGAACTTTTACGTATATATGGAGGTCGACTCATTATAAGAATGCAAATGACAATGGCTATCAGGATTAAAACACGCGTAACAATTTTTAATATTAAAAAATCGAAAAAAAAACCATTTAATATTTGGTCAGCGCGTAAATCTACCCGCTCGTAAATCTACACTGGTTACGATATACTGAAGGCCACGCCCCCATCAAGTCGTTTGACGCCGACAATATTCGTTGACGAAAATACTATATTCAATTTTATTAATTTTATTAATTTTATTTTATTTTAAAATATTATATTAAATTTTATTGCGCCGCCGAAAAACAGGCGAGCATTTTTGCGGTTCGAATGGAAGCCCTAGCGAAAGTAACGCGCGAGATTGTCGTAGAAATGATATTTTTTGAGTATCGTATCGTTTTCTGCCATTTTATTGCTCGGTTTTGAATTTTGCAACAGTATTTTTTTATCGGGAGTCTCGAGACTTTCTCGAGAATATAAACATTGATAAAATGGAGTAGCGATTTCGAAAACTATTTGGGAATCATTCGACGATCAACGCTGTCCTCTTCTAACTGCGGCATTTTCAAACCTCGAAAGTAAATAAATATCGTGTTTTTTACTTTACACGTTTTGAAGTTTTTATGGATTATTCGGATGAATAGAATGACAGCTTTGAGAAGAGGAAGATGAATCATTCGAGGTGTGCTCTGAGATGACTGGAGGATACCGAGACAATCGACGATGAAAATTACTGCGATTCAGATGAGTGAACTTATGTTAATCATTTCAAAATATAACCTATTTTTTGCTTAGTTTTTCTTATAAATCGCACGATTTAATAGAATAATTTAATAAGCGTCGAACATAGATGAAGAATATCATATCTAATGCGCGATTTGAGTATTTCGTTTGGGCAATCACTTCTCACTTGGCATTTGTCGGTTTTTAAACGAACTTTAAACCGAAACAATGCTTTTTGGTTTATTAAAAAGGAAAGTCTCGAGACTCTTCCTTTTTCAACGTTTTCGCATTTAAAAAAAAACGTAATTGACCACTAATTTTAGTTTTATCATACTTGATTTGACGGAAATT